ATACTTTAAATTTTTAAAGAATAATTCATAATTTTATTTTTTATTATGTGTCAAAATCTATTGTGTCAACATCGAGGACATCTACAACCTACTCTTTTTTTATACTTACGTGATTGCGCATTGAACAGAGATGATATTTAGATTGTATGCACTCATCACATAGAATTCATGTTTTCATAAATAGGCATCATTGTGTATTCTCAAATTTATAATGTTCATGATTCATAAATATATGAGAGTAAGTGATTATAATTTTAGTGACTGAAAGTCATTGAATAAAACATTCAAACAATAAATCGATGTCATTTATCCATAGTCATCCATAGTTAATAAACCCATTGAATGATTGATCCCCTTAAGTTTATGTACTCATTAATTTTTCCCTTTTACATACTATTTTTCTCTCCCTTTTTGTAAATATAAAAATATTAGCAAATTACATTTGAGAGAATAATTTTAAGAAAAAATGACAATAATAGATAACAATAAATTTGACCTCATTAAATATATCTTCAAGCTCATGAATTTATTCCTCCATTGCTTTCAATCACTACTCTACTTGTTTGACACTTCAATTAAATATTTTCAATGATGAAAAAAATGTCAAAGAATGTGAGAGCATAAGAGGATCATGAAGTATAATTTAAAGAAAGATGGTGAAACCATTAACCATCAATTTGAAGATAGTCTATTTGGTGAAGAGTAAACTTGTCAATAAAATTATGATGGTAAAGACTAATTAATTCTTCAGAAGAGATATCAACATTGAAATGATAAAAGGTGTAAATGATGAGGATGCCAAATGAAAGAGTGAGATCATATTTGAGGATAGTTTTCATTTGATCAAGAAATATCGTGGTGAGGTCAAGCTAAATGCAATTGATCAGATAGTTAAGAATGGATATCTATTTTTTAAAAATTTGGTCAAATATATTACTTTTATATCATAAGAGATGACCAATAAATAAATGTATGATATGAGATAATAAGGGGAGGTGAAAGGTCTTTGTATGCTTTTGTGGTATGTACTGATATATTTTGTATGCTTGTGAGAGTTGACAAAAAAATTATTAAATGTAAATTGGTCAACATAGAGAATAGATCCACTATGTAAGTCAAAGATGACATTGAAAATCTCTGAAGTGAGATTAATATAAATATTTTTGACATATGTAGTGAGATCGACAAGAGATACAATAATATTGTTAACAAATATGCAAACAAGATTGAAGAAAAAAATCTACAATAGTGGAGATAAGTTTAGTACGATAAAGAGCATCAATGTAATGTTTCATGTTAATTTTTTCAGTGTAAATAATTTCAGATCAAGAACTTTACATTGCTAACAAAATTTATCCTTCAATAAACTTTGAAATTTGGCTCTAATTGAGAGCACCCTCATGACTAACCCAATTGAGACAACTGGGGTCCTCACGTCCAACTTTATTGGGAGCAAGGGGTCATCATGACCAACTCAATTGAGGCAACGATGTCCTCAAGACTGACCCTATTAGGAGCAACGGGTCCTCACGACCAGCCCCTATTGAATGCATGGAATCCTCATGACCAATTCAATTGAGGTGACAAGTCCTCAGGACCAACCCTACTAGGGCGATGGGGTCCTCATGACTAACTCTACTGGGGTCATGGGGTCTTCTCAACCAACGAAGCCTCAATGAAGATAATCTATTCTTCAAACTATGATTGTCTCTCTAATGATGGTGGGATAAACTTTTAAATACCTTACAAATCAAAACTATGCAAGTAAAATAATGACAGGATTAATTAAGGAAGAGCATGCTAATAATAACCGAAAACTTCAACTTCCAGGCGGGTGCGTTGACTTCGGGTTTTCTAGTGGCCTTATGGGCTTGAATTTATTTGGGCTGAGGTTGAGTCCTCTGGTGGGCTGGGTAAGTCTGTATTGGCCCCACATTCTATGTCACTTTTACACATGACAACAGTTTTTTCATTGGAAACCTAAGATCGAAGCTGTCATTGATGCGATTGGCCAAAAGTGGAAATAAAATAACATCTAGAAAATGTTGTCAGGTGGCCAATCAGTCCAACATGCTAGTCGGCCAGAGTTGCTGCAAGGTGATCTCGTTATCGTAGTGGAGCTTCCTAACCTCTACTATAGAAGGCCTCTACCTCGTTCCCTTCCCAATGTTCTTTATGACTAAGGATCGTTCTTCTCCACCACGAGCCCAGTTGGTGAAAAACTATGAAAACTCATTTCTCTCATCAATCAATTTGAATTTGGAGTAGATTTTGCTCATTGAAGAACTAGCAGCTCACCATGACTGCAACAATGACAATGGAGCTTGTTCCCACCGTAGGAACCTAGGTGACCATGACATCGTACAACCAGCCTACCATAGACGGCGAGAAACCATGATAACTCCATTGAGTGGAGATTTATGAGACAAGTCAATTTCGATCCTTAGTCCCTCTCCTCTGTACCTTGACATCACCCCAAGTGTAAATCAACAAGGTAATTAGAGACGCAGAGATCTTGAGTAGAGGACCAAAACTAAGATTGACTTCCTTCAAAGATATTGATTATTTGTATAACATCTAGTGGGCCGATGATCTATACTAACACCCATATTACCTATTGTCGTCAATTACGAATTGTTATCTCTCGCTATCTGATGGGATTCTAATTGTCGCCAATTGACTTTGCCATGCGGTGGTCAAATTTGCCTCTAATCTAGATGAAGTTGGCCAAGAGCACTTCATCAACACTCCTTGAGATTTTTACCTTGTTCCACAAGGTGAAATTCTATTAACGATTGACAGATGCTAATGGTCAACTACCATATCATGTGAGAGGTCCTTCTATTTAATAAGGATATCGATCCCATGTGAGCTGTGTTGGATGGCGAGGACCTCCGAAGTTATCTCATATAATGGAGTCCATCTGTTTCTATTATTCAGTTTTAATTACATTTTCTCTTCTCCAAACCTTAAAGGGTAAAGTAGTCATTTACACAACTAAAGAAATACTTATTTTATGTACTAATTTAAAATTGATTAATACTTTGGTCATTCAATTCTCTCTCTGTGTACTGAATGGGCTTTATTTTTTTCACCTTCAAATCTTAAATTTATAGTAAAAAATCAATTATCATTAGTTATGTGGTGTCAAGGATAAGTAGTCATTGAACTATTTATGAGACAGATATTTATGAGACATATATATATATTATCATCTGTCTTCTCTCCTTATAATAAATTATTATTAACTTCTTTTCTTCACCATCCAATCTGAAAATTATACAAATAAAATAATCATTAAGGCCTTTACTCGACCGAGGTGGAACGTCTAATAGTAGATTAATTAATACTAAAACTGATTTATACCAGTCCCTGGCAACACAATCCACTATCTCTCTCTCACACACACTCTCTAGGTCTCCTCTCCCTTCTCTCGTTATTACACGGACTAACTCGAGAGTTTACAGAAGTCGTCGTCTTCCTAAGCTTGTGCCAAAATCCTCCGGCGGTAGCCGCGGAGTAAGTCGACCAGCTTATCGGAAGGGGGAAGCACTTCCTGGACCTCCGGCTGAGCTTCGAACTCTCGAAGCCAGCGGGTGAAGGAGGGGAAGTCCTCGCCGAGGTCGGCTTCGGCCACCTCTGCGACGCAGCGGGCCAAGTGCGCGTCGAAGCCGAGGATGATGTCCAGGATGCCCAGCTTCTCACCGCCAAAGAATCTCCTCCCTCGGAAGAAGCCCTCTCGGAGCTCATCTTCCAGCAGCTTCCGATTCTCCCGGACCTCGCCGACGGCCGCCGCCCTCTGCGCCTCGTCGGCTGAGTGTATGAGCGCAGTCAACGAGGGAATCATCTGCAGGGACAACGAGAGATGAGGAGCACGGAAGGGCAATGCCAAGAGGCGGTCCCTCGTCGGAGTTTTGGCTGACCTTGTCGGAGCCGAAGTGACACCAAAAGCGAACGGCGGCCCTCTCGCGGGGATCGGCGGGCATCAGCGGGAACCTGCGGGGCCACGTCTCGTCGATGTACTCGAGGATGACGGCCGACTCGGCGATGGGACGATCGCCGTGGAGGAGGACGGGGACCTTCCGGTGCACAGGGTTGAGGCGGAGGAGGGCGGCGCTCTTGTTGGCCAGGTTCTCCTCCACGTACTCGTAGTCCAGGCCCTTGAGCTTGAGGGCGAGCCGGACGCGCAGCACGTAGGGGCTTGCCCACATACCGTAGAGCTTGAGCTCCACTCCGTCCATGGAGGCCAGTCTGGTTTGAGGGACGCCGAATGGCTCGCCATGGTCGGCGCCTTATAGGAGGCGGCGGCTCCTGTCTTGAGGCCCAAGCAGTCGGCGACCAGTAATTTGCACGTCTCTGACTTGAAAATCGATTCTTTAGTTGCAGAATAGTCCCAAGTAGATTTCGGTGCCGCAAAGTCGACGGCGGGTAGCTTCCACGTCTCTGAGTTGAAAATCGATCCGATAGTTGCAGAATAGTCCCAAGGAGATTTAGGTACCGCAAAGTCGACGAAATCAAGGAAGGAATCCCCAGAGTTAATTTTCTGGGCTTAAATTTAATCTCACGAAATTCAGTCGCGGATGGGTTCTGCCAGTCTGCTCATCGGGCTCGTCGAGCGAAGAGAAATTAGGCTCGACGAGCCCATCAGATAAGGAGAGACACGTGAATTAATTATATTAGTTGTGTGGTTTCAGGAGTAAAGTAGTCATTAAGCTATTTATGCGACAGATATAATCGCTGAATATATGAATTTAATTTTTTTATACCAGTATCTGTCTTCTCCACTTATAATTAATTATTATTAACTTATTTTCTTCACCATCCGATCTGAATATTATTATAATAAAATAGTCATTAAGGTCTTTACTCGACCGAGATGGAACAGCTAATAATATATTAATTAATAACAAAACTGATTTATACCACTGGTAACACAACCACTCTCTTCCTCTCTCTCCTTATTGCATGGACTGACTGGAGAGCAGGCAGAAGTTGTCTTCTTAAGCTTGATTCAACAGGCACTGGCGGACGCCACGGACATAGTCGAGCAGCCTGTCGGAAGGGGGAAGCACTTCCCGGACCTCCGGTTGAGCTTCGAACTCTCGAAGCCAGCGAGTGAAGGAGGGGAAGTCCTCGCTGAGGTCCTCTCCGACCATCTCTTCGACGACATGGAACCAGTGCGACCCGCAGCCGAGGACGATGTCCAGGAAGCCCAGCTTCTCCCCGCCGAAGAACTTCCTACCCCGGAAGAACCCCTCCGAGAGCTCAATGTCCAGGAGTTTCAGATTCTCTCCAGCTTCGCCGACTGCCGCCCTCTGCGCCTCGCCGGTGGAGCGGAAGATCGCCATCACCGAGGGACCCAACTGCAGGAGCGAGGAGAGGTGAGAAAAGGAAGGGCTGAGGATTGGTGATCGATCCTTCGCCGGAGTTCTGGCTGACCTTGTCGGAGCCGAAGTGACACCAAAAGCGAACGGCGGCCCTCTCGCGGGGATCGGTGGGCATCAGCGGGAACCTGCGGGGCCACGTCTCGTCGATGTACTCGAGGATGACGGCCGACTCGGCGATGGGACGATCGCCGTGGAGGAGGACGGGGACCTTCCGGTGCACAGGGTTGAGGCGGAGGAGGGCGGCGCTCTTGTTGGCCAGGTTCTCCTCCACGTACTCGTAGTCCAGGCCCTTGAGCTTGAGGGCGAGCCGGACGCGCAGCACGTAGGGGCTTGCCCACATACCGTAGAGCTTGAGCTCCCCTCCGTCCATGGAGGCCAGTCTGGTTTGAGCGACGCCGAATGGCTCGCCATGGTCGGCGCCTTATAGGCGGCGGCGGCTCCTGTCTTGAGGCCCAAGCAGCCGACGACCTGTAATTTTCACTTCTCTGACTGGATAATCGACCCTTTTAGTTGCAGAGCATTCCCAAGTAGACCTTGGTGCTGCAAAGTCAAGGAAGGAATCCCCAGAGTTAATTTTCATCGGATCTGAGCTCGTACAAAACACCTCGAAATCAAGGAAAATCCTCAAAAATAGTATGAACATTCTTAAAACCCGCTTCTGGGCTTAAATTTAATCTTACGAAATTCAATCACAGATGGGTTCTTCGTGCCAGTTCACCGGATTCCTCGTGCGGAGGTGTGATATAATATATTACAGGGATTTTTACAGACGAAAGCTGCGGCCTTTTCGTCGAAAACCTACGGCCGAACCTGCTGCCTTCGATTTTGGTCGGCCCAGGAGAGGAAAGAAAATGGCACCCAGAAGAGGATGCCGACCGGCCAATCAGTCCAACACGCCGGTTGGCCACAGCCGCCGCCAGGCGGCGATCTCGTCGTCGCGGCGGAGCTTCCTGACCCCGCCGTAGAAGCCCTCCGCTTCGTTCCCTTCTTCCCGGTGATCCTTCCGACTAAGGATCGCTCTTCTCCACCGCGAGCCTTCCGTGTACTGGTTGAACTCCAGCGCCACAGCGTCTGCCGAAAGGGAAGGGGAGAAGAGTCAGGGGAAGAAGAAATGGATTCCATTATTTTCTCAATCTATTTGAATTTGAGATGAATGGGTTTCGCCCATCGAAGAACTAGTAGCTCACCACTTCTGTGACAGCGACAATGGAGCTCGTTCCCGCCGCAAGAACCCAGGTGACCCACGACACCATACCACCAGCCTGCCACAGACGGGGAGAAGACTCTGGTAAAAATTTGATCTCTCAGGTAGAGATATCTCTAGCTTCGATCCTCATTGATGGTGGCAGCAAGAAGGGAGGATTTACCGTAAGGGAACTCCTTGTTCCTTCTCCACTGGATCTCAACATGGTCCCCGGGCCGCAGATCGGCGAGGCAATCGGAGACGTGGAGGTCGTGAGCAGAGCTTTCCACCGGCGGAGCTCTCAGTCTCTCCCATGGCACTCCTTCCTCGACCACCATCGTCCGTCGGCCGTGCGGCGGGTACCTCGCGGTGAAGGTGTCTGTGCGGGAATCATAGCTGAGTTCTGCGTCATAACAGGACAGCATGAACCCCACATGCCCGTTCTGTAATTTAATGACGATATCTGATCAGAAACCGGAAAGGGGAAGACCTCAAAATGTGATATAATCGAAACCGAGATGATCCAGGAGAAGAGGAGCACCTCTCGATTGAAGACCTGGGCAGGGAAGCGGAAGAAGCCGGTCTCGATCGCCAGATACCAGGACATGATCGAGTTGTCCGGCAACCAGGGTTTGGTTTCGGCGGCGGCGCCGAACTTCGAGGTCAACCAAGAGAGAGGCCACACGCAGGAGAGGACTCTGAGCCATTCCCTCCGATAGCCGGCTCCAACGGGGGCGAGGTTGTCCTCACAAGAGGAGACGAAAGATTTCCAGCCCCTCTGCGCCGCAGGGCCCATCAAGCTCCCCCATTTCTCCTCCATGTGCCTCCGCCATAGATGATCGCTCCGGCACCTCTCCCGCAGGGAGTTGCAGACGGCGGCCAAGTTGCAGAGCCCCGCTGGCGAGAGCCTGCCGAGGATTATCTCCAGGGTCAGCTCCGGCAAGTCGAGAATCGACATCTCTCCCCTTGAATCCACATTCTCCACCCTGTGGGAGCTTCTCTTCCTGTGAGTCATCACGGGAAGCAGAGCGAATACGGCCGCGGCGACCTGGCGGCTGTCCACAAGCCAGCGGGAGAGACAGCCGAGGAGTTCCCGGCAGGCGGGCAGGGGTAGCAGTCTCACCTCACTTGCCCATGGGGGGAGGGGTTGCAGGGAGAGGGACTTGGAGAGGAAGAGGAGGAAGGAGAGGAACGATATAAAGAAAAAGAACATCAGATCGGAGAGAGAGAGAGAGAGAGAGAGAGAGAGAGAGAGAGAGAGAGAGAGAGAGAGAGAGCGAGAGCGAGAGAAGAAGGCCGAGACAAACAGGTATTCGAAAAAGGGGGTTCCAAGGACGACCGCCAAAAGAAGCAATAACTAACGATCATAAACAATGGAGAGAAACAGATCTGCGGATCCACGAGGAACCCTCTCGGAAAATATTGCAGCTCGTTCGAATCTGAGGATGAACCAGCGAAACCCACTCGCCAGAGAAGACGACGTCAAAGGGGAGGAAAACCAGGGGCACCAAGGAAATATCCTCTGCGCGGAGAAAAACCCTTCTTGCGGCCGATCTGGAAGAAAGCTCGCGGGATCCACAACCCGAGCTGTGGCGTATCGGCGTGGGAGGGGGAGGAGGAGGAAGAAACGTAGACCTGCCGGAAGAATCCTAGAAAGGGTTAAAGGGAACCACCAGAGAACGGCGATGGACACGGGAGTCGGCGGCGGCGGCGGCGGCGGCGATTGGGATGAGCCTGGAAGTGGGTCCGCCGTCTCCCTTCACATCCGGGGGACATTCGCCGTGAACCCCACACCAAATCCCCAGCTCCCCTCCGCCATCAGAAGGAGAAAGGGTGGGCCGCCCTTCTTTAAGGAGGGGATTCTGTCGATCACCTTGTGAGGATGGAGGTCCCTCCTCTTCCGCTGCTTCTCCGCGCCGCCCTCCTCCGCTTTGCAGTTTTCAATCGTCGGAGGGTCTCAGAGAAGAGCGCCACGCCGTGACATCCCACTGCGGCGGCTGAGAGTCAACCATCCGAGCGCCATTATTGGCCGGCACTCGGCGGGGAGGAGCCGCCGCAGCGGGGAAAGTATTTTATTTTTTTGAAAAAACTTTGGTGTCAGGGTAGCGGTGACCAAGGTGACACGTGGAACGATCCGGTTGAATATTGGCGTCGATGGCCACCATAAAAGACCCTCGATCTCCGACATGCGGCCGCTAGGCCTAAAAGTGGCGTTGACCATTGACCCACTCCGCCGCCCAAATCCACGTCAGTCGGCGGTGATTCGAAGCGTTCGGTTGCGCTGCTGTAAAAGAGCTTGCGTGGGCGGTAACCGGACGGGCGGAGAAGGCAACCCCGGGAAGGCGACGAAATGAATGGTCATTCTCGTCCCCATCCGTTTTCGGCGGGAAGAACCTCGCCGTCGATCGCCCACTTCGGAGTTTTTCCTATAATATAAATATCTACTCGAGGACTATGCTGGAAAATCTAACTTGACAAAAGTAACACGTGGAAAGCTCTCCGTCACCTGGTTCGCTCTGCACGAAATCTAAACCGCCCGATCAATGTGCCTTCTCACGTGCCAAAACACATCCACACGTTTTCGATGGACCGAAGTCACACGTGTAAAGTTCTATGTCAGGAAAATGGCGCCATTAAAAAAGACGAGAATATCCTTTTACTATGCCAAAAATATCCGCGTATCTATCTTTCTCTCCTCCCCTCTCTATCTGTGCGGGAAATCTATCTTTCGACGAAAAGCTGGGAGAAGGCAAGGGGCAGTGAGGGGTCTCGTCAGCGGCGAATCCATTCCAAGTGGGGAGGAACAGTCGACATAAAGCGCGCTGACAGAGCCACCGGCTGTCGGGGGCATGCATTATTGGGATTCCGCGGCACGTTCCCAAGGCGCCACTCCGAGGGCCCAAATTCTCACCTCACTTCGCCCGGGAGCAATGAATAATCGACACGGAGAGGGGCCGGGCGCCTGAATCTAATCCGTGTACCGTAGGCACGACGTGTAAAAATGCCGTGATGGGACAGTGGTCGTTCGCGCAGATTGGGCGCATTTAATCATATGCTCGCTCAGCGAGGGAATACCTGGTGGGCATGTGGCCTTCTTTACTCACTATTCTTCCTCTCACCGAGAACACGCCAACGCTTCTTCGTCCACCAGGGGAAAATAGGAGAAGTTGTACGGGTCAGAAGAGGGGTTGTACATGGTGGGTAGTGGAGCAGTGGCTACAGACCGAGGCCGACAGTTCTTCCGTCGCGGCGGCGGAGCCCGGCGGTGTACTGCTTCTCCAAGTCCATCTGGAGCTCCTTCTCCTTCTCCGCCCGGAGGCTGTCGTCGGGTTTGGCTTCGAGCTTTATCTCGCCCTTCACGCCCTACAGTTGGCCATAGGCACCAAGGCAGACTCAGGCTCTAAGAAGTGTGTCAGTAGGGGGTTGACATTGCCGAAGAGAATGCGCAGCTCCAACAGAAATGGGGGAAGAAAGGCTAATACCAACTGGGTATTCCGATGGCGGCCATGGAATGTGCAGGAGAAGGGAGTGGGGAATTACCATGAGTTTGTTGAACTTCTCCTGCCGCTCCCGGTCCGAAAACAGAGGCAGATCCCAACGGTTACCAGACTTTTTTTGTCACATGAGGATGAATAGTTGCACGAACAAGAGTTAGTGAATGCGTTTTGAGGGAAGTAGATCCAATTCACCTCTTCTGTTGCTTAGTACGATAGATTTTCAAGTGAAAAAAAAGTAAAGAGTCTAGATAGTACGTGGAGATGAGTTACCTCTTCTGGTGGTTCGTTCTTCTTGTTACCCCACAACAGCTTCTTCTTTTGAGCGGTAGACAAGAAACCACACCCCGTGAGGTTCTTATTAACTGTTTGGACGGGAAGCTTTTCGGTCACCTCATGATTGTGGGAAAATCGAAGAAATGATGCAACCAAACGATACTATGATGAAGTATTACATAAAAACGGCATAGAAACCTCTGCGGCAAGTTTAATAAAGTTTTGTAAGACACGCATTCTGATGACACAGAATTTTTTAACTGTGATTAGCAGTAGCAGCACGATCTAATGTAACAATAGAGAGAAAATGGTGCAGTGAAGGAAGCTTGTGACACAGATAAACTTAGATGAAAATTCTGATAAAAAAAGGCAGTGCAAACACAAATAACCAGAATCAGTCAATTTGTTTTTTCAAAAACTAAGAACTCCGGTAAGATTTGCGAAAACTGCATTTTTGCTCAGCCTAGGAAGCTGCCCGATGATATCTTTTGGGCGCTGGTTGGGTTGTGGGAAGCAGTGCATGGGTCCCCTTGCTTCATGCTAAATGAATAAATAGAAATGCTCACAGTAAATTTGAAACATTCAAGTTCATTGAATTTATTGGAGCCAGGATTCAGGCTGCTTCGCTAAGTTAGTCAAATTGAAACTAAGTACTCGGAATCTGATTTAGAAGTTATTGTAGCCGTAAAATTACTTGCCGGAAGTGTGGGATGTAAGATGTCCACCATGGATTACCCAAAGTGGAACACTCAGTGTCTGCGGTTTTAGTAGGAACAAATTACCAACAGGTCCGACATATTAAAAACCAGAAGTATTTATAGATGAAATTATGCACAAAGCTGTCATCAACTATAGCCATTAAGTAAAGAAAATTCAATTCCATTAGGATATAGTAAATCAAAGTTCCACACAAAGATAAATCATCATGAATTTCTGCTATAGATGCATATAATAATGATAGAAGAGGTCATTTACAGTACCTAATTCCGCAGCCTTCATGGCTGCAACCTTTGCCGCATTGAAATCTTGACTAACTTCGACCTGAGAACTAGATGAACCGGCAGCTCCTGAATTACCATCTGCAACATTCTTCTCCTTGCTCAAGCTTGGAGATGCTCCAACATCTACACGGATAGTGGCAGCTTTTCACGATGGATCAGATTAACACGTCCATAATAATGGGAAGTTACAAGCCATCCAAAATAAAACTTACCATCTTCTGCAGCTGGCTTTTCCAAATGACCCGGTTTATGTTTCTTAGATAAAGAATCCTCAACCACACGAGTATTGTTGTCTCTTGCATCTCTGTCACACATAGTAGCTGAATATTTAGCATCATTCCTCCTTTCTTCCCCTTCTCCCCGATCAAACCTATCCTTCCGCTTATCATATTCCCTTTCATTATGTTTCCTTTTGTGCTCTATGCTCTCATTTTCCACTTCCTTTATATTTCTCGAGTAGGTCTCTTTCCTATGACCAGTTTCACTGTCTTTATCAACTCTCGAATCCTTTGGATGTCCTTTCCTTCCATTCAATGATGTACGATCATGCTCATAGTCTCCAGGACTTCTTGGCCCATCTCTCTTTTCAGTCCTCTCAGCTCTATCCTGGTATTGATCCTGCTCCCTATTCTTTATATCCCCTCTGTACGATTTGTCATACTGGCCTCCAGAGGGTGGTCGATCAGATGATAAATATCTGTCATTATGCCTGTGATACTCTGTTCTGTGTGACCGACTATCAGATTTATCTCTAGAGCGCCTGTCAGTTCCATAGTCATCCCTTGAGTACTTATCAATACGCTGAGTACTTTCATATCTAATATTTCCACGCCTGGACTCTCGACCTGATCGAGAGGACCTGAACTGATTTCTTTCACCTTCATCAGCATCTCGTTGGTGTCTACTATAATTTGCAGACCTGTTCCTGTTATAATATTTCCTTTCATCCCTTGTTTTACTGCCGTACATCTTTTGATGATCTTCTTTGGAGAAAACTGGACTACTGCCCCTTTCATGCTTTGGACTAGGGCTGCCTGCAAACGTTGACTGACCAATTAAGCTACCAGCCACAAAGTTTTTGTTAAAGAGACAAAACAGATGTGATTCCCAATGGAATAATAGGAAGAATGATTCACAATAAACTTTAAAAGTAAATAATGTCCAATTCATCTATCCATCTATGTGGAATATATCAGCCAAAGAGTTGGCGAATAGATGGATCCATCTTGGAACAGATATGTATAACTAACCATCCGAAAAGCCTTCCAGAACCTTGATCCTTTGTAATTAAATCAGATACACGATAAAGGGAAGGAATAAAAGTTCAAACATTCAGTAGATTGCAATCCACTCTGTCTAAGTACTGCCCTCCCCATGGTCATAGGATTACGGGAAAATAAATAAATGAACATCAACAACAGCTTACTAAAAATACTGTGCAACTCAGGAACAGGAGATAAAAAGTAAATGTCGACAGATATTTTAGGAGAAAATAAAAAAAAACATAAAATACCAGAAGAACCCAAGCTGTGCGCACCTGCCGCCTACAACCCTGATCTCCTAGTCACCAGAGTTGACTTATGTTACTGAATGGCAGTTGACAGATAGCCATGATGACTTGCGATTTGATTCGAATTTCCTGGAAGAACTACGAGAAAAATGGAGCAGTTTACATTCGATTGTTCTAGATATCTGCTCAGGCAAATTTCGTCCAACACGAGTGGAGACAGTTTACCACAGTGATGGAGACTGCTGTGTGGGAAAGGAGGGCAGGTGGACAAGAGGTGGGATGGCCATCTGGATGGGGTAGAAGGAAGGGAACAAGGCATTGCTAAAGAAGGGAGGTACTTAAGTGATTTATTCATGTAGACAATTTTAAACTGCTGCTTTCCACACTAGTTATATCAACTACGGACCACCGAGACCAACAGCTGACCAAAAGACAAAAATTCAGAATTCTTACATGATAAAACCATTTATGTATACTATTTTTCCAAAATTATGCAAAGCGAAGTAGAAGTGAACACTCGTAATCTTCTCACATCCGACTAGTATGGTGGTTGAATTAATAAGCTAAACAATAAGCGTAAGACTCAGTGACGTCAGACTGTTGATGTAGTCTAAAAAACAGAGAAGTTCAGAAAAAAAAATTGTGCATAGATAAAATACAAATGGCTGGCCAAAATGACAGAGTATAGAGTAGCATTCACTGGGAATATATTTTCTTACCAATAAAATAGATTTTTCTGATACAGGAAAATAAGACATTGGATTTTACTTAATTTTGTGTATGCATCCTTTCAACATGAAATCATGTTACGAGTCTTTTTAAAACTTGAGCACTCTCAGAAAAAAAAACATATGCTAATAACCTTTAGAAAAAATTAGCAATAAAGCAAACGTAGGAGACTGCACGCATGTGGGAGAAATGAGAGAAAAAGTTGCAGAATGCTAAAAAAATATTAGGTCAGATAACAAAATCGTATCAAGTAGTGCTAACCATCGGATAAAGAAGAATCTGATCCTCCAGCAGAAGAATGGCGACGATACTTCCTATTTGCAGCATCATTTGAAGGCTTACGAAATGACGGTTTGGTGTCTGAGACATCAGCTGACTGAACTGGTAAGTCAGAATCCATTATACCAGTACCTGGAGTTTCGAAAATTCGTGAATACGGTAAGGGCAAACCATTAAACACGCCAAAAAAAAAATCAAATGATTGTGAAAAACATTAATCCAAAAGAAAATAAAGACAGAAAAAAGGAGCTACGAATGCTCTCCAACTTTGCCATCGTTAAATGGTTTTCAACTGCGCAAATGCAATTTTCACTGAAATTGAAAAAGAAAGGGAAAGGAATTGCCCGATTTCTAGCTGATCTTACACAGATCAGCAGGCGACTTCCTCGACATTATTTTGCCTACTGTGGCGGCCACTGGTCTTCCTGATCAATAAATCCCGCCTAATGTTATCTCTAGAGGACAGTTTATCAACTCAGAGTTAGAGTTCTAATGAGGGTCGAAAAATTTTGAAAAAAAAAACCAGCCTTAAAATTTAAATCATCTCCGGTTTCTCTGAAATATTCGTAAATACTTCAGGGATAATATATTCTATTAGTTAGCTCACTTAACTCGATCTTTCAACCCAAACTGAAATTAGGCATACACGGTCAAGATCCAGATTGATGATAAATTGAAGTCTCTATTAGAATCAGAAGACCATCTGCAAGAATTTTACCATACCATCTACGAACTGCTTAATGACAACGTAAAGGAAATACGTAAATATCATTCCCAGCTAATATTATCCATCCAAGAAAATAAGGGTGATTGTGAGAAAGGTACAAAAAAGTACACAACAAAAATAAAACTTCTGGAATCCTCGAGTTCCACCCACGGTAGTCAAGTACAAGAAACAGTATACATCAACAAATTACAATACGAAAGCATGGTAGAAAATCAACAAAATGCAAATGCAACACACGAAAGATAAAAAGATCATGGACACAGTGACAGACTACGACGTGAATTTCTCATGGAAATGGTTAGATACCATTGCCATATATTATCTAGGCACACATTTGATACGCACGATAACAACTAACTACATCTCGAACTGGCCGAAGAAAATACACAGTCCTGAGAAACCCTAAAAAAGACTTCGCAGTCCTTTCACAACTACACATCCCCTCGCTAATTCCAATTCCAGAAATTCATCGAAATCGATTAAGAATTTGGAGGATGAAACGAAGTAGGGAAAAGCACCACACGTCAAATAAAAGATTTAAAACTTTCAGGTAGGACAGTCTAGGTAGGAAACAAATACATCGATGCATGAGCGTACGCCGAAGCAGAAAATTGGCAACAAAAAGGACGAGTAGGAATGTATGAATTGTGGCACAACGGGGGATAAGAGCTTGGATCAATACCTTGGATCCACGGAACGCAGTTTCTCGACGAGAGCGTCCAACACTCTGCTTCCACTCCCTTCCTGCCCTTCCACCGTTGCTCGACGAACCCTAGCGCTTCTTCTCCTAATAAAGAAGGTCAATGTCTTCTGTGGCGGGGTCGGTTTCCAGGATGGTGTTACGATCGGACACGTGGCACGGAACACCGAGGATACGATCTCTGTCGTTGATCGGTGATATCATGCATAGGCTCTATGATTCTAAGAATCTCGTTTTGGGCTTTTCATTCAAAAATGGGCCGGGCCTGACTTGTTGATTGGCCCGTCGTTCTGACAGCCCCGCTAGTTCTTCGTTCTGTGTTTAGGGTTTAAGGACTCTCTCTCTCTCTCTCTCCCTCCCTTCTCCCCTATCTCCGCTAGCAAAGGCTAGGGTTTTCAACCATCAAGTATTGCATGATCCTGTAGTTCTGATTGTTGTCACCCTAGATCGTATCTGGTTTTCCTCCTCTCGCATCGTCACTCGTTGCAGAAGTGTCGGTGCATCATGTGGGCACTTCGTCGAGCCATAAACCCTGCCAGAAGGTGATACTGACTAGCCTACTCCAGTTTCGGATTTGTTTTCTCCCCTGCTCGTCATCGTGTAGTCTCGGATATGATTTTCTACTGTGTTCTTCCGGAACACAGAAGTTCAGTGTCTGCGTTGTTTCCGGTATTTTTCCCCAGTTAATGCTCCACGTTTATTTTTAGAATCATCAAATCGTTAAGAGTGTTATTGGAATGGAAGCTGTCTTTATCGTTTCCGCATGTTAATTTTCTGCCCTTTCTATACTTTCTCCTCGCGGAGTCCATTTTCCCCGCAGAAATTTTTGTTTAACCTAGTTTTCGGCCAATTTTAGGCCGCTGGTCATTTTCTTCGTAAAAGAAAAGATTGTGTTTCGGTCTACAGCAGGATTGTGATATGCGAACACCCTCTCCCTCAATGGACCTCTATAATATTAGTGTCGGTAGTAAGTTTCTGATTTATTTACAGATATATATATGGATATGATTATAATAATGTGGAACGGGTTTCATTCTATGACGATCTTATTCCTTCTTTCCGCTCATATCACTTTTAGCTTATATGAATTTATGGATGTGGTTTGTTGTTATTCCTGTAAAAACCATCATGTGAATAAACCTTCAATCTTCCTTGTCCTCAGGAGCCATGGCTATATTCGGGGAATAAGCCAGTCTACTTGTGCCTGCTTGGACACCTCAGTAAATTGTTTTGATCGTGGAGTTGATCACAATAGGCATGATTGCTCCGCAAGTGGTTGCTACCTGCGCCCAATTAAATCTTCCCGCGGGCTTTTATCTTCAGTTGGGCCCTTCATGGGAAGCAGAACCCTTTCTTCTCTGGCTGGGGAGAAGACCAGCAGTAGTGAAGAGGATCTGGAGGATGGATTTTCTGAGTTGGAAGAAGATAAAACTGCAATTAAAGAGGATGCTGAGCATTCTGTATCTGAGTCAGAGCTTTCTGGGGTTGACTCTGATGATGAATCCGTAAAAGCTGAGGAGGGCGCACTGGAATTTTCAGACATTGAGGTTGAGACAAGTGGAGGGAAGCCTTCTTTAAAGAAGAGCACTCTTTCCCCACTTTTCAAGGTCATCATTGAAGCTCCCCGCCCTTCCATTACTAGTGCTCTTGACAAATGGATCAGCGAAGGCAATTCTATCGGGCAAGCTGATATCTTCCCTACCATACTTCATCTTCGGAAAAGACGTTTTTATCTGAAGGCCTTGCAGGTAACACTTATCATGCCACCATCCTTGTTTGGTTGTTCTCTTACTTCTTTTATTGGACACAGTTTGAAGGAGCTTCATAACTGGTTTTGGGTTTTGCTATTTCATCTGTTACCCTAATTAGCCATACTTTGATGTCGCCTCACTTTCCATCTTTTAGGTAAGCTGGCATGCCAATATGTCATGCTAGATACCTTGGCTGTTTTTTTCAACTTGGGAATTTCAATAAACGATGAGAATTTTTAGACTTCTATTTTAGGTCGTGATAAGAAATGGGTGCAAGTAATCTTATAATTGATGGTTTAATGATATTTTCCCACACCACATTCGGTTGAGAGCTCATACTGACTTAAACATTCTCTTAGCAATGCAATGCAATGCAATGCATTGATCTTATGATTGAAACGCCTTTACAGATCTTCACTCGTCCAAAATAATGATGCAGTCTGCATGATCATGCGCGTTTTTGCCGAATTTTCATTCCTAGATTGAGATTTCTTGTATTCTTACCCTTTTTTCCTCATGCAAAATGATATGGCTGACAGTTGGCTAATTTTTTTCCAGTTTTTTGAGTGGTTAGAAGCAAACAAGCATGTTGATTTTGGGGAGAGGGACTATGCATCCCGGCTAGACCTAATAGCTAAAGTTCATGGTCTCTTCAAAGCCGAGAAGTACATCGAACAAGTCCCCGAATCCTTCAGAGGTGAGCTAGTGTACCGGACCCTCCTGGCTAACTGTGTCTCCGCCCTGAAAGTCAACAAGGCGGAGGAAGTGTTCAACAAGATGAGGGACCTTGATTTCCCATTCACTGCCTTCGCTTGCAACCAGCTGTTGCTCCTCTACAAGAGGCTCGACCGGAAGAAGATCGCCGATGTGCTATTGATGATGGAGAAGGAGAATGTGAAGCCCTCAATCTTCACTTACAGGCTGTTAATAGATACAAAGGGCTGCGCAAAGGACATCGTGGGCATGGAGAAGATCTTGGAGACCATGAAGAATGAGGGCTTGGAACCTGACCTACCAATCCGGGCCATGATGGCCAAGCACTACCTCCTCTCAGGTTTGAATGACAAAGCGGCGACCATTCTGAAGGAGATGGAAGGGGATGACATCAGTGAAAACCGCTTTGCTTGCGAGTCCCTTCTCTCCTTGTACGCTTCTCTCGGCAATGCAGACGATGTGGAGAGGATATGGAAGGCGTGCGAAGCCAGCCCCCGATTCGACGAGTGCTTGGCGGCGATAGAAGCCTGGGGCAAGCTGGGGCGTGTGGAAAAGGCAGAGGCGGTGTTTGAGAAAATGCAAGATAAATTTAAGAAGCTCTCTCCCAAGTACTACAATGTCCTGCTGAAAGTCTACGCCAACCACAAGCTCTTGACCAAGGGGAAGGACCTGGCCAAGCGGATGGCCGACAGCGGGTGCGTGATTGGCCCGATGACCTGGGACGCCCTTGTGAATCTCTACGTGCAGGCCGGCGAGGTGGAGAAGGCCGATTCGATACTGCAGAAGGCTACCCAGCAGAACAAGGCCAAGCCCATGTACAGTTCATACATGGCCATCATGGAGATCTACGCCAAGCGGGGAGACGTCCACAATGCAGAGAAGATATTTCACAGGTTGAGGCAGAGCGGCTATGTCGGGAGGATGAGGCAGTACCAGGTGCTGCTTCAGGCGTACATAAAGGCCAAGACGCCGGCATATGGATTCAGGGAGAGGATGAAGGCGGATAAAATGTTCCCCAACAAGGCAGTGGCGGCCCAGCTGGCGACTGTCGACGCCTTCAGGAAGACACAGATCTCAGAACTGCTGGACTGACGTGAAGTGCTCTGGAGAGCTAAGAGCCTTGTCTGGGGTGCAATAATCCGACGGAGGCTCTAGAGAGCATGGGGCAGCCTCTGCAACTTGGCACTCGATATTTTGCTTGTTTTTTAAAATTAATTACCAGGATGTATTATGCATGGACCACTACGTTGACTTTGACCTCGGAATGCGGTGACGATCCCTGATTGATGGATCACTAAAAGCCCAATCCTTTTTCTCAACTTGGAACAAGAAGATCACAACAGAAATTGAATACCAGGATGTATTATGCGCGGACCACTACGTTGACTTTGACCTCTGACTGCGGTGACGATATCTGATTGATGGGTCAGTAAAAGTCCGCTTCTTTTTCTGAACTTGGAACGAGAAGATCAGAACAGTGTTTTTCAACTGCCGCAGAATCACGAATGGATCATAAGGAAATTGAATCCCAGTGAGTGCTTCTACAAAACTGAATCAGAAAGGGCGTCTCAATGCCGCCAACATGCACTTTTCCATATTTACAAAGAACCCAAGTGGGGTGGGTCTATGAATCTGGCTCTGGATCCTCTGTGGGGGGTAGCTCGGGTTCTTCATCCCCCAACGCGTCGCCATGGCCAAAGAAGCCCTTGTTTTCTGGTACATGCATCACCTGCTGGGCGGAGATGATGCCGGCGATGGCTCTCATGGCCGCCGACTTCTGATCGGCGTTCACCGAGGGATCTTCCCCCAGGTTGGGTTCGTCCGATTCTTTGGGAGTTTCGTCGTCATCTTGCTGCCGTGGCGGCGGAACGAAGAATGGTATCCGGCCCCTCTGCCAATCGTGGAGGATCATTTTCGCCGCCGTAGACAGATCAGGTTCTCCTCCCTGTCAAAATAAATAAATAAATAAATAAATAAATAAAAAGCTTACATTATACAAGCAACATTAGCAAGTTTGTGGAATCAGTATGCTGATACATATTATTGTGTACCTTCAGGAGTTTTCCAGATGATTTGCATAACTGAACAAGGAAGTCGTTATCGTCGACCCTGGCACAAGAAAAAAAATAAACTTCAATAAGCGCGTCTAAAGACTACTGAGAGAGAGAGAGAGAGAGAGAGAGAGAGAGAGAGAGAGAGAGAAAGAGAGGGAGGGAGAGAGAGAGAGATAGAGGGAGAGGGAGAGGGAGAGGGAGAGAGAGAGAGATAGAGGGAGAGGGAGGAGATAGAGGGAGAGGGAGGGAGATAGAGGGAGAGGGAGAGGGAGAGAGAGAGAGAGAGAGAGAGAGAGAGAGAGAGACCACTACTTAAAAAGCATCTTGTTCACATAAGCTGGCGTAGAACACTACTTAAAGATTAGCCCACCACTGGGTTGTGCTTCATCAACCAAAAACACTAATGTTCCAAATAGTCCATAAAAAAATGCCCTTTGCAGACGAATGTTGACCGCGAGATCCAAACATTTTAAAAAATGTTTCGAGGGCATGTAAATCCAAACGCGAAAGGCAGTGAGGGCGTACCAGTTCTGTATCTTATACGCCCTTTGAAGGTGCTCCTTTTTGACGCGTCTCAAGACTTCGCCAATGTGCTCAGAGGCGTCATCCAAGTTTGTGACGCGCACCTTATCATATGACCACAACATGAACATTAGTAAATACACACTAAGTTAATGGTCGCAGAAACCCTTTTTTTTTTATAAAGTTTCGTCAGACAATAACTACTATATTGAAATAAAGCATTTACAATGTGTCTTTGCGATAATTTATTTCTCAGGTACGTTAGAAAACATTATCTCCGTTACACAAACCAGTGTGGGATCACTTAAAACTAAAAGCCATGATGAATGGGTGCAGCCACAGACAAGTGAAGTCAGAAACCAACTTCAGCTATTCGCTATTCCTACGGAATAATGTCTAAAACCCTGAATGAAGCAAAACTCATGGACCGGGGGGACCGGGGGGGCGGGTGCGTGGTCGCTTGGGCTCGCATATTTACAGACTGAAAGCTCGGATTTATGAGGGAGCGAGACCCATACGAAATAGCCTAAAGAAGTTTGAGAAAGCGAAATAACCATTTAAAAAAAAAACGCTAAAGCATAGGTTACGGGTTGAGAAATAAACAAAATTTCCATGAGACAGACAGACAAACAAAATGAAACCGTTACATTTATACGTTAAGATATCATCTGAAAGAGCACGTTCTACATTCAAAGGCATGAAAAGAATCCTCATAAAAATACATACCACTCCCTTGAGAACAATATCTGTTTCAGAGTCCTTGTTTTGGTAAACGACTCCAGGACAATCGATTAAAAATATCCTTTTTGTAAGAGTTATGTACTGCCAAACTTTAGTCTCTCCAGGAATGGGAGCAACTTTGCAGACCTAGAAAATTGAGATTAAGACCTCAATATAAACATCAATGAATTTTTTCAACCACTTAGATAACAAAATTATGAGCAGCAAAAAGAGTAATTAATGGTAACTTTCAGCGGTGTTTCAACACCCCATTTCAAAGGAACTTATATCAACATCCAGGTAAAACTACAGAAAGAAAATGAAAATAAGAACCAACGGGAATAACTTCAATCCAAAAGGTCTGTTTCAGACAAACTTATCAACCAGTTTCCCGATTCTAGCACTATAATTACACCAGTGATACGGATCCAGCACACACAAAGGATCATCACAAGTATTATTGAACTCCTCTCATGATCTTTTGTCTTCACTTCTTCTGCCTTGCATAAACCTAAATTACAAAGGAGCGCAAAATGAAGACATCATTACTAAGTCAACTTTCTCAAGAGCAGCTTATCAAGGCAAAACCTTGACGGCAGTGGAACTTGCACTTCATCTTTGTTTTTGCCTCAAGGCTTGCTATGGATGAACAACGATATGCCAGATGGATAAGCAGATGAAAAGTGCACTAAATTATAACCATATGTATGTCATGAACCAATTAATTTCATACTGGGTACATACTCTAGCACCAATAGAGTCTCTTTTCATATTTATAGGCAAAATATAGGATAGCATAGTTCATAGGCAACATTAGACAAATTGGAACCCGAAAAAGAAACATCAGACATTTTAGAATATAAAGAGCCGATCTGATCCAGGAGTGGCCTGGCTAGAGGTAGAGGGAGGGAGGAAGGGAGGGGGTGTGTGTGTGTGGGAGAGAGAGAGAGAGAGAGAGAGAGAGAGAGAGAGAGAGAGTTGTCTTTTTTTTTTTCACAAATGGCATCTGGAGTGAAGGAACTTACATTCTTTGTACGTAATGTGTTGATCACAGATGATTTTCCAACATTTGGATACCCTACAAATCCCACAGATATAGCTTGCTTATCATTCTTTAGCCGGGCAAACTGTCTCAGAACTGAAAGCAGTGAACCCTGTATATAGAAAACCGTGGTTACAGCAGGAGCAAGACATGAGAAGTTAGAAAAATGGATGATAAAAAATATTGAAAACTGCATTCACCTTTCCGAAAGATTTATTAATACTTGCGTGGAATGCTAGAGTAGGAAACTCTTTAGAAAGTGTACGCAGCCATCCCTTTGTAGCCCATGCAGGAACCAAATCACACTGGACGAAAACCATTTCTTAGCTGCAGAGGAAATAAGTCAATAAACCAATCTAGGTTAACTTCATAGGATAACAAACCTTATTCAGTAAAAGGATCATGTGCTTGTGCCTGCAGTGCTCTTTCAAATGTTTTTCCAGATGAAAGCATCTAGTACCTTGTGGATCCCTGGCATCTAAAACCTGAAGGGGAATGAGACATTTGAACAAACATTGAGGTAGAAGAAGATTTGACATGGAACAGTGATAGCATAACACACTTAAACCTACCTCACATGCCCATTATATTGAAAGGATTTTCTCAAAATACCAAACACGATAAGCCAAAATCATCAATTACTGCACTCATTATCCTACCAGTCCAGTTGGAAACCGAAGGGGGGCTTGTTATGCCATGCCTACTAGTATTAGAGGGCAAGACACTAGCTTACTAGAACTAGTGGTTTTCCGATTGTAACTCTTTGATTATCTTACCAAAAGGCTAGAAGAAAGATGAGATCAAATTACCTGAACAACCACATCAGAGGAGTCGATAACTTTATAGAGTTCACCCCAGATACGCTTACTTTGACCCTTCTCAAACATTGTATGGCGGACCAAGTCTCTAAGGCCGTCTTCCTCGTCTACATCCCCAGATTTTGAAGCAGCTTTCTGCTCATAGGCATCTAGTAAAAATAAAGTAATCTTATGAACAGATGTAATATTGAAAATAATTCAAGTTAGTGATCTGATTTAATCCACGAATAATCAACAAGAACACATGATACATTTTTAACAGTTCCAAGTACAGTAGGAAAGAAAGCTAATTTTCAGACTTAGCCAAATAACTAAAAATATCATACAAGGGCCATTGGGACCTTCTAAGAGCTTTATTGCAATGGTTCATAATGTCTTTCCACAAGCTGTCTATTTTCTACTATAACATCGACCGGACCAACCTGGCCAGTGATAACCCCAGAAATAACTTCTCATTCTCACCACACCTAATTCCCTCCCTTCGTTCATAGAAGCGTGCCAGCTGGATTCCAATTGTACCAGTTATTTCAAAAAATAAACATAATGGCTGGGGCATTTCGACATTTCTCAAGATATTATTTCTATGGGTAACAAACTCCGACATAATTATCCATACTAGCATAGCACAAACGGCTCTGAAAAACGATGGTCAATGGGACCCATGCGATATAAACTCGATCAAAGTACAATTAAAACGCACCTACTCGTTTATTCGCATGTACGAATTCAAACCCAAAACCAAATGTCAACCATTAAAGAAGACCAAGAATATCAAAAACTAGAGCTAGGGTACCCAATTCGTCAATATGAAAATCAGGTAACCAAAAATTGCGCAATCACGTTCATGTACCTTGAGACCCGTCGGCTTTCTTGACCAGTGAGGCGTAGTCCATTGCCATAAGCCTTGGACGTTTTCGTCTACTCTTTGGACCAAATGCATCTTGAAATGACTCAGTATCAAGAAGATGTGCCCTAGCTTGCTATAAACATTTGAAAAAATGGAAAAATCATCCAAAGTTACAAGGGTAGCAATAAAAATATCCTTCAAAATAATTTCTATAGAAATGATCAGCCTATCCCAAGACAAAATTGAACGCGCATTAAGAACAGGTTGGATTATTCTGCCAAGCCAACAAAAGATGGAATCGGTAGGTTTGTTCCTTATCGTGTAGCAATGAAAACTCATCATAATATGAGATCCCGCATCACCTCGGAGACCACTACAGATGTTTTATTTCTCCTCTGTTATTTAGGTGACAATCCGGAGATGATGACAGCTAAAATGATATCGATACTCCGCTCATGGCTTTACAGCGTCTTTCTCCTCAATTTAGTGACTGACTTAGTTATTTCTCGAAATAGAATCGTCATTTATAACGTTATAATGAACCCAAGCCGCAAAAATCCATAACATTGAAGCTCGGCCATAATAAAGCAGGCAAGAATAACTCAATTTAGAGTCGTACCTTCTGATGATCATTTAAAAGCGACAATGGTAGTTTCCTCTCCTTCAAAATTACGTTGTAGTTGCTTGATAGCCGAGTCTGAAGCTCCTCTCTAAAGAACTCAAGCTCCTTCTGATTCACAACACGCGTGTTTCCTGCGTAAGTTTGAAAAGTGACACACGGATAATTGTAGCCTAATGGAGGAACTAAATGTTCTACAGCAAAACCAAAGTCACAACTTCGAACTAAGTAGCAACTTCAAACAAAACAGCAGATCGTACCAAACCAGCGGCGATCAGGCTCTATCCTGGTGGAAGGGAGTTCCTTCGACTGGAGGTCAATTTTCAGGATCTTTCCCTTGCGGTCGCGTTTGGGCCTGATTTTGTACATCTTAAGACGCCGCACAGTCGCCGCGGAGCGTCCTTCTCCATCGTTCCGTCCCTTGCTGTTGCTGCGATTCACGTCCAGGGAGTGCTTCGGCTTCCCGGAAACCCGTGACCCCTTTTCCTTCTTCTTCACCATCTCTCTCGTCAGCAGGGACCCTGCTGGAGGACACTTCAGAACCCTACCTCGGCTACGATGGGATAGCAACCGAAGGGCGGCCGTCAGCGGGAGAGCAACAGAGTCGAATACCTCCCAGCTGCCACCTCCACTTATTCACCAGCGGGAGATGGACCAGAGGACGGCGGCGGCGCTTGCGGCGTGGATTTGAGGACCCCCTGTAGAAACCCAAACTGAGACAAAAAACCCTAACACTTGGACACAAAAACGGCCCGAACCGGCTTTTCCACTGCTTAGAAGGAAAATAAAAATTAAAAAAATATATGGTCGATATACATACCAAATATTTATTTACACATAAAACATAAATATATGGCTGATATGGTCGGCCATATACTATATAAATAATATGGGTTTTATAAAATTAAAAATTCAGATTTTCTAAATAAATGTCACATTTTACCATCTTAACAGATTTATTTTCAAGATCGGCTGAAGCAGGTGAAAAAAACTGATTTTTATTTTGTATAGAACGGTTTCTTCCTATTTTCTTCTACAATTTTTATCATACTCAAGAATATTAGGTTTTCCGCTTTTTTCTATTAAATACCACATAATATTCATTTATTCAACAAAATAAAACCAAAAAAAGGGAAAAAAAAAAAAACTACCCGGCGGGTCTTCACACGATCCCAAGAGCAAAATTCCCCAGCACAGGCTGGACGGGACGATCGTGAAGAACACATTACAAGTTAAAAATCTGCACCGGCAGACTCCGTCTCCTGCCGTTGACGCCGAGAGCGGCGATCTCCAGAGATATGTCGATGCTGCGATGCACAACGGCCCGCCCAATGCTGATGCGGGCGCCGACCTTGAGCGCCGGGCACCTCTCCGTGCCGATCGGCGCTGCGCTGTCGTCACCGGCGTCGGAGGAAGCCAATGCAATCGGCTCACTGAATGTGAAGATCGTCTGGTACCAATGGGTCTTGGGGGAGTAGGGAGAGGTTGAGAGCGTGTACGGGGACTCCTTGCAGAATCTACTGCTGAACGGAGTGTCAAACCATAAGACGATCCCATAACACCAAGTGACTCCTGATGTCGGATCGAGCGAGTCCCCGGAGATGTCGGCCCTCTGCTGCAACTCAATGCTGGATGTGAAATCCATTTCTTCTCGCTTCATGGTCGCCAGATCAAAAGACTGGATCAGAGGAAACAGTAGAAGAATCAGGCTAGCAGTGTTCTACACTTGGAGAATAATATCTTGTAATGCATTTCAACAAAGTTTATGGGCGAATCATTAAAGAAGAAAAATAAGGAAATAAATCGTAAACAAGAAAGATGAATCTGATCAGTCTCCTCGTTTTCACTTTTACATGGTCAGAGATGCTTTCGATTCAACAGATTTTCCTTGATCTATGCGTAGAACTTAGACATCAAAACAAAAAGAGAGGCATCTAACTTAGACATTATTTATAAACCAACCCGATTTAAAATGGGAAAAAACAGTGCCCTTTACTCCAGACCCAAGCTCGACTGCTCCATACAGCATATTTTTTTGGCAATGTGTCACTAGCGAGGATAGAACAGAAGATAGCTCATACCAAGAGTACTTATACATCAAAATCATGTACGCTTATATTTTCAAACGTGGGTAATTATAAAGTTACTAACTTCTAAAAATGTCAATAAACTGATGTACCATCAGGTCCAGGTGAATGAGCCACTACTAGCAAGGTCAAAGTAAAAGGAAAACATGGACAAACCTTTAGACGAGCAGTTTCTGTCACAATATCACGACTGTCCACGACATCAACAATTGGAAGCTTTGCAGCATCGTCTACAACTTCTCTCCCAATGGTAGACATGTCAAAACCATAAACATTCTCCCAGAAGGGAAAACTTGTTGCACCTTTCCCAAATCCGGCGACGAACTAAAAGAGCGATTAGTAAATATTAGAACCCAACAAATAAAAAAAATCACTAGGTTTCAATGTCTGGTGTAAAGGACCTACAATGGTTGCAATGTCAGGAAGAATAGCACCACCAGGTTTCAACCAATGATCACGAGCATAAATAACAGAACTGAGCATTGACTCATACAAGAGGCAGTAGCCCATCCACTCGCTCACCAAGACATCAATGCTATTTGGTGGAACTTGTATAGCTGTATCAAGCTCTTCAATCATACCTTGGACCACACTGATTACTCCAGAACATTCATTGGAGTCTCCATTCTGCCTTCTTTCCAATAAAAGGCCATTGTCTCTCGCAATCTGAGGTGCATTCAGGACTTTGATAAGCTTATTAGAAAACAAAAAAGTCGGGGGATAAAAATAGTGGATCTATAAAGAGTATACCTGGGATGCCACAGTAGCCATCTTTTCACTTGCATCAACAGCAATTACCTTTGATGCTCCAGCTTGAGCAGCGAATAGACTGAAGGAAATGAGAACATCTGATTACGAAAATATAACATTGATCAACAAGATTGATAATGCATCTACAAAATAGTATGCAGCATGCTTGCTGAGAAATCTTACTGATTTCTAACAAAGACATTAATATGGACTAAGGAGAAATATTTCGCCATGGAAAATTCTTTTGAACGAGTGAACACATGGATGATGTTAACAAAATATTGAAAAGTAGACCTCGTGCAAAACCAGCTGCTTCCACATAAAAAATCATTCTACTTCAGTCTAACGCCACTTTTCGCCTCTTTCCTTGGGGAAGAGGGAAATCATAAGATACTGAGATGAAAAAATTAAATGGAGGGACAGCCATTTTACCTTAGAATTCCAGTGCCACAACCAACATCCAAAACTGTGGCACCATTCAGTAGAGACGGGTTATTCGTTAGTGCATTTCTGTAAGTCTCGGTTCTTACCTAGAAATTATGTAACAAAGGTGTCAATTTGGTAAACTATTTTGGTGAAAATTGTCAGTAAGAAAGCATTTTCAGTTTCAGCTTCTCATAGTTAAAAAAAAGTATACGCAAAGTGTTCTGGTGATGGGTATACCTTGTCGCTGATCATCTCTCTGTGAATGCCAAAAGAACCATATGATCCAAAGTAATCTTCATTGACACTTTTTATGTTCCTTGCAGAAGCATTACTAAAATGAACCCTAAGTCGCTTATCTTTACAAACTGTCTGAGATGTTCCAACATCTTGCTTCAAAGGTACACCATTAGCCGTTGTTGTTTGAACAAGATTATCCTGGTAACCATTTTCTATCGTTGCCTGACTTTGGTTCACTCCATCTATATTTAGAGAATCAACCTCAAAAGAGAGAGAATCCAGATCTCCATCAACGGTACAGATATCAGAGATATCATTTTCGCACATAAGCTCTTTAATCAGCTCTTCTTTATTGGCAATGGGTGAATATTCTTCTCCCTCATCATCAGAGGGCAAACTCCGCAAGAGAGCATCATCAGGCATGAAAGGTTTCAAGTAACTATCATCATCCCAGTTCCTCCTATCGTCCCAGCTCCGGCACCTATTCTTTGCAACCTGAAGAATAGAAAGATCCTCCGTAGTTTGTGGTTGTTTATAAATGAAAACATAAATTTCAACAATAAAAAATATTTCCAAAAAATAGAAGGTGCAAAAAAGACGCACACTGGTGTCATGGGTAATGCAATTCTAATGGGTAATACGAAAAACTTATGCATCAGACTACCGAACCTGAGCTCTCACGTAGTTGATGAGCTTGAAGCAACCGTAGAAATCTAGCTCCAGATCTCTCCTGATCGCATGGAAATCAAAAGAGTGTTCGGCGCGGCAGTGAGCGAAAAGGTCGTCACTGGAAACGAATCGCGCCTCGCAGAAGAGACAGAAGTAACTCGATTCTGATTCGTCTTCATCCGTCTCCCAATCATCCCACCCTTCAACCTGCTCCTCTTCGTCCTCCTCGTCTTGGAATTCTTCAACCGGTACCATCTCTTCTGAGTGTACCCTACTCTGAGCGCCGTCGGAGGCCCCCGCCGCCATAGCCATGGTATTCCAACGTCTAAACCCCTCAGCTGCCCTGGGGAAAAACCCTACCGTCAGAACTGGAACCAGGAAGACTGGAGGGAATGCTCTAAATGGGCCGGACTTCTTTGAGGCCCACTTCTCCAGATAAGTGGGCCCCAACGAGGTAAGGGTATGGAAGCACTAAAAGATACAGTTTACGACATATGGTATTAAATGTTTTACATTGGTATAAACGTTATAATTATAATTTAAAAGGATGTCTATGAAACAATCCGAAGAAGTAATAACGTCGTTCATCTCGCGGCGCCCGTTGGTTAAAGCTCAGTCCGCATTTGTAAACCTGATGCTCTTCTACCTGTCGAGCTGCAGTTACCGCCAGAGGCTCATCTCTTCGCTGATGGCCATGAGGCCTCCTCGTCTCCAACCCGGTAATCACACTCTCCCTCGTATCCCTAGAGTCTTCGATAGATCTCCGCCAAATGTAAGGGGCGTCCACTTCACGCCTTCTCAGTTTTCCTATTCGATTGCGTAGTCAGTGAATTGATTGGATCATTCTATGTTATAGCTCTCGAGAGCTCTTCCTTCCTAAGTTCCGCAAAGAAACCGAGGACCATGATGACGGTCTCTGCTGCTTCGGACTCTGCCATGAAAGAAGAGTTCGCCAAGCATGCGGAATACCTCAACGTCCTGGTTTGTCACCTTTGCTGCATTAATGTTGTTTTTTTTTCTCTATTATATAAATTCCGGGGAACCTATCGACCACTTTCTCTTTGTGCTTCCATCGCTCACTGAAATAATTCGGATTAGGGGGTGCTGAAGAGGCATGAAAAAACTTAAAAAATTACGGCGGCAGTGTAAATTATACGTGCTTCTTAAACAACAGTTGATATGATCGCGTCCCAGTTTCCGAATGGGGATTTTTTTCCATCCTCTCACGCGGCCTCATATTTGGGATATTTAAATCCTTTTTCTCCTAATCGGATTGCCTGGATTTTTGGCTTATAGCTGATACTAAAAATACTTTGTAAGATAGTTATTTGCCTGTGTATTCTTTCTCGCAGAACGACAAGCGGGAGAGGGTGGTCAAGGCCAGTCGGGATGTTACGATAAACAGCAAGAAAGTCATATTTCAGGTTCATAGGTAAGCAGATATTTTGTGATCTTCTCTTTTTCAATGATGGTTTTGTTTTTCTTGATTAATTTTAGAACGTACTGTTGTGGCATTTCAATCTTCTAATCACGCTTAATAATATAGTTTCAAGAAAATTATGCATAATTTCAAGCTTTTCCTTACTTATTCGTGAGTAGATGACACTTTAGGTTTCAAAATAGTTCGTCCGTTCTTTAATTTGTAAATACACTCTTTTGAAGGGCCACCAAAATCAATTCTGTGTTTGTCTACGATTGGTTACTTAGAATTCAGTTTGGTCTATCAACATGACTTGTCACTTCTATCCACTTGTATTCATTCTTTGCCGCATAAACTTTTTTATCGTTTGCTTGACTTTATCGAAGGAGAAAGTGACTAATTATATTACTTCTGCCTTTACCCTATAAATCTGCAATGGACTGATGGAAATTTGATGTAGCTGTGGATAGGCTTAATGCATTTTCCATTATAAAGGGCCAACAAACGTAAACATCATTGTCATATGTTTTTCCCTGACCATGAAGTTCATTTACAGTTACCTTATTATGCTCCTTACTTTTTCACTGTATAACCAAAGACAAGCTCGTGTGCATTCTTACGTGTTTTGGAACTTCCTCAACAGGATCACAAAAGAAAATAAAGAAGAAGTCGTGGAGAAAGCTGAAAAAGATTTGGCAGCTGTGACCGATCAGTACATGTCAAAACTTGTTAAAGAGCTGCATGGGACTGACTTTTGGAAGCTCAGAAGAGCATATTCTCCTGCTGTCAGATCTAACACAAAATTTAACTTATTCAAACTCACTGGCAATTCAACTTTCCTGATTGTGAATATCCGTTTTGTTCTTTGCCTACGCAGGTGCAGGAGTATGTTGAAGCTGCAACATTTTGTAGATTTTGCAAGGCCGGAACACTCATGAACCTTGATGAGATCAATGCTATCTTGCTATCACTAAGCCAACCATCCGTGGAACCTCTGCAGATTAATATCCTCGACTACTTATTGGGAGTAAAATTCTGGCACTTTCTGTTGTGTTAAACAGGCCATTTTGATCCCATGACCATCTGTGACAAAAAAATAAAGTGCGCAAAATATCCTGTTTAGGTTGCTGATCTGACAGGGGAACTGATGAGACTAGCCATTGGCCGAATATCGGAGGGTGAACTTGAATATGCTGAGAAGATTTGTGGGTTTGTTCGCAACACTTATAGAGAGCTGAGCCTTCTTGTTCCTGAGATAGACGACAACTCTGAGATGAAAAAGAAGATGGAAATAATGTTTCAGAGTATGACCAAAATTGAAAATGGTATGCTTCTTTTCATGTTCTTGGACCATGACTACATTAAGTTGTACTACGTATGTTTCCTTTCAACCGTTATCTGTGAGTTTTGGTCCTCAAACTGACGGGGATAAAATTTATTGGTATGTTTTTTATCTTAGCATCTTCAGTTCTCTTTTGCTTACACATAGACTATGAATACAAAGACAGATTTCTTCCCCACTTTGTAGGATGTTTGTCTAGGAAACTTCTTCTCCTGTCAACAGTCTTGGAAATTTGCTCCGATCTTGGAGCTTTGCCACTTGACCCCTTCTAGTTAGCACTTATGACTCTCCGAGGCATTGTGAATTATATCCAAGTTCCAGAGTCTACTTGAAGGGTATAGTGAAAGATCCCCGTGAAAGGCTCAATGGCAATGAAAATAATCCCAAGTTCAATGCAAAAATCCATTTCACAAGTGCAGGAAATGCAAGACATCAGGGTTCAGGATTGTATTTTATTTTTTTTTAGTCATTAAAATGAACAAAAAGTTCTATTACAATTGGAATCGGGTCCGAATAATGAGACCAGTATGTCAAGAGGAACATATAACTTCTACAACGAGTAGGTGTTGAGTGGGTTTTCAAAAGAACAAGTATCTGTTTCTTGTCATCCTTCTTTATTTTCCCCAATCATCTTTATGAAACGTGCGAATCAAAGGCCTTGTATGGCCTTGCATGCGTCGAATAAAGAGAAATGGTGCGAAAAAGCTCCGACACAACGCATCTATCTTTCAGTTGCTTAGCGGTTTGATGGGCCTTCACGTCAGAGGAATATAAACCAGAAGAAGAAAAAGGTGTTGAGTTAGGCCTAGACAATGCAGTTCCTACTTATTTCTACGTGGCCTAGGAATTTATGCTTCTTAGTGTTCTGGTTAATTTCTAGTATGGACAACTGATGGAACCTCATGGATCTGGGAAAGTTGATTGGTAAATTGATGACTAGTCTTTCCACATTCAGACTTGCAATTTCTATTATAAGGATGTTGATTTGAGACATTTTTCTTTTGGTTCGTTGGGGCAGTGACCTTAGAATAATTTTCCTCTGAAGAGTAGAAAGTCCGAAACCAGCAAATCCCATCCCTCCTACTCAGCCTTGGAGACCCAAGAAGATTCCAGCATACTACTACTTCATGCGGGCATTCATGAACCAGATGACATTCATGAATAAGCGCGTCAGAATAATAGCCGATGCACGATTTTTCATAGCAACCATGACTTGTGATGAGAAGAGAATGCTTGTCTACCATTTTGATCAGGTTTTATGTCTGTGAAAGTCATGGAGAAACCGTGAAAAGCAATAATTTAGCTATAAAATGGATCTAAGGCCCACGAGGGATGATAGAAACTCAACCCATATTGTTTTTATCATAATCTGGTTTAAGCTAGACTGTGGGAAGCATCTGTTTTATAGAGAGCGAGTCCCATCCTCATGAAGCTCGTTGAAAAATATATGATCATTAGCATGGCGTTGACCTCTGCTAATTGAGATTAATATCATTAACCATCTCTTGCTCAAATCATCTGCTGTTTTTTTCCCCTGTTTCGCCAGCTTTGTTCAGCGTCCATGTGAGAGGATCGGAGTACGTCCCACTACTCGGCTCTGATGATCAGAACTTCTCCTTCCTGAGCGTCGATGACTTCGAATCGTGACCCAGACCCTGCTCAGATCGGTGAGATCTCACTTTTTTTCGCCGGATCAGGCTGCTCTCCATTAATACCTCGATTGGAGGATCATCAGGCAGTTCGTCTGTAGATAATCTTCTCTAATAACCAGTCAAACCACGCAGTTCGTCATCACCGCGGAAGCCCGGATCGGCTTGTGGGTGGAGATCAGATGGCCGGATCGTCTCCCAGGTTCATCGATTCAGATCGAGAAAGCATCTTTATTTCCGACGGCAGTGTCCGTGGGTTGACCTCGTGGGAGCTCCAAAAAGAAGGAATAATCGGGCCGATTTTCGAATTAAATATATCCAAATATGTACTGTAGAACCGAATGTTGTTTCGAGGGTCATATCCATCATAGCGGCCAGATATTTTCTGGGCGCCCGCGAATCAAAGGCGTCCACGTGGGAGACCCCGCCACCCGATCATATCGGCGGGCAAGCCAGCTTTCGGATCCGACGATTGCGGTGCATTACCGGGTTCTTCGAACCGCTGACGACTTATCCGTGGTTGACTCTCGGATTTTGTTTCGAAACCCGATTCGTTATGCAACGTGGCAGCCGGTGAATGGTCAGTGCCTGCTGGTCGCGCTACTGAGACGGCGAGGAGTCGGGCCGTGGGGCCGTCGGGGCCCACACTGGTTAACCCAATTACCGATGGGGAAAAAGTTTAACAATGGGAAAAACAAAGTTGCCGTAATTCACGACAGGTGGACCCCACTCTCCGTCTCTCGCCATCCTCACCGGTTGGAACCTTTTGGGGAACTTGCGTCAGCCGTCTTGTAGCGGAGGGGAGGAGTTCGCAAGCCGATCACCCGCCCTCGCCCTCCTCTTCCATGTCCATGTAAGAATTACTGATTCTCTTGTCATTTTTTGGGGGAGAAGTGAAGGGAAATCCGGGTTTATTTCCTGTCCTTGCATGTCTTTACTTGTTGATTTTCGTCGGGTTTCTGTTTCGCTGAATGTGGGCTTTTTTGTCGATCAATCCTCCATCTGGTGGCGATGTCGCAGGTTGGAAGACGGGGAAGGAAATCTGATTGCCGGGGGCGGGGAAGATAAGCGTCTTTTTCTCCATGGATACGATAGATCAGGAAGACAGAGGTAGGGATTCCTTTATTTTCTACTCCCTCTCTGATGGTAGATCTCCTAAATTTCGTTTTAGGTCTTTGTTGATTCTTTCCGCAATATGCGTTAAACGATCGTTTCTGATAGTTTCCATGGAATTGTTTTTACTTTTCTCCCCTTCTTCTATAATTGGCTGGACTCTCTTACGTTCTGTCTCATGTCACTATAATCAGTTCTCCTCAATAAATTTTGATATTTGAGGCCTAATTTATGCGTCTGAAGATCGGGACAAGTATACCCAACTCTACACTGCCCTACCGACGCAGAAGTGCTACTTGATTTTATTTTTTTCTCTAAAGAATTTTAAGCGGTGGGGGACATAAGGGTTCTCTCTCTGTGCACGAGAAAGGCTATACTAATAGGACTGGCTGGAGATGCAATCGAACGGATCGACTAGACGTGGAGAGGTGGAGAAGATGAAGGTTGAGGACAGCCTTTGAAGAAGGGGCAAACCTCACAGAATGTTTTCATGGTCTCCCCGACGAGTCAAGGAGTACTTTCCCGCTAAAACCTGGAGGGAAACACTTTCATTCAAAACTTATAATATCATCAGAACGGCATGCCATGAGTTAGATCAGGAGTAAACATCTTTTCAGACATAATCACGCTTTTGTTTTCATCTGATGGATAATTATATTACTGTTCAACACAAGCTACTTTAATGGGAAGGTGGCTGTTGGCGGGCACAAGTATTTTTTAGTTACGCTTTTTTTATCTGGTACTTATCAATATTACTGTTTTTGCATAAAATTGTCTATTGGTAGGCATTATAGTAACAAGGGATAAAGCAATTGACTGTACCCAAAGCAATGACGTCACTCTGTTTTTGCAAAGTGTTCAGGAGTTATGCTTATTTCTTCGTGAATTGGATCTTTTTTTCTCTACAGACTTAGCAGCTCATGATCATTTGTCCCAGCTGAACTTGAACTTGCAGTTTTTCAGTAAGCTGAAACCAATGGTAGACGTTTGGACAATATATCATGTGTTCCCATAAATCTCCATTAATTATGCGTTCCGCACCGGAGACAGCAATGTGGGGAGAGAAATTCTTTGCACTGATAATGAAAGATATCATAACACCAACCAGACGTCAGATTTCACCCTAAGTCATGTGGCTCTGCTTTAGAAAAATAGGTCTCTTATTCCATACCGCTGTTTACCTGTAACGAATGGTTTGCCTGCTATCAATGAAATGTGAAGCAGAATTCTTGGACAGTTCTGGTGTAGATATCTTTCTTGAAATACATTTTGGTAGAAATAATGTTTATTCTCAATCCAAATAGATGACTGTCTAAAGGTCGCTTTTTTGGAGTAGTCCAATGTATTTCTTTAAGTCATGATATACCATCACAAAGACTAGTTTGGGTCTATGACAAGGAAAACATTTAGCGACCTAGCTTTTACAAATTGTGCTATCTCAAAGATCTAATGAAACTATAAAAACTGTGGCATAGAAGATACTCTGTATGTTCGGAGTTTTTTTTTTTTCTGTTTTTTGAGGCAGAGGTGGGGCTGTGCCGCTAAAGAATTACAAAATCAATCATGTGAACTTTCTTTAGCTTTAGAAACGAAAAGGACACAAGATAACCATTCTCCCACCTTAGAGTATCATCATCTCTGTCATGAGCTTACTTAGTTGCTTGAGCTGTTGTAATTTGGGATGCTATAAGGAATGAAATAGGTCTCTTTGACTATGAAGTGAAAGTGGAACCTATTCATATCTATTTAAGGTTGCTATTTCATGTCCTCTGTCCCGTACCTAGTAGGTTGTTCGTTATACCTTTTTTGGATCTCTAGTAAGCTGTGCTTAATGTTTTTTTCGATTACAGAAGCAATGCGAAGGGACCATGAGGCATCTCTGGGAGGCTTCAAGAGTAAAGCATTTCAGTATAATATACGAGATGCACAAAATAGCCTGAATACCATTGGAGTATTTCCTGAGCTGAAGTTTGCAATAGATATTCAACGATGTGGAACTCTGGAATATGACAATGCTCCACGAAGAGAGACTTCTGTGCCTCTGCATGAAGATTATAACAGGCAATTGTATCAACAAGATTTCTCTTTTTGGCCTACCTTCCATCCCGAGTTTCAAAAGGTTGAACAAAACCAGTGGACTACTGTTGAGAACCAATTTTACCCCGTGCCCCAGGGATACCCATGTCCTATAGAAAGCAGAGTTCAATATTTGCCATTCAGAACGTATTTTCCAGGTTATCCACAAGCGTTCCACGCCCAAGAATTTCAATATTTTGTGGTGGTCGACTTTGAAGCAACTTGTGACAAGGAAAAGAATCCTCACCCGCAAGAGATAATCGAGTTCCCTTCTGTGCTGGTAAATAGCATGACTGGGCAATTAGAAGCATCTTTTCAAACATATGTCCGGCCAGCATATCATCAAAATTTGACTGATTTTTGCAAGGAGCTTACTGGCATTCAGCAAATTCAGGTATAATGGATCATTTTTCCTGCTGCCACTATTGTTGTGAATGACTGTTGTTTGTAGTTCCTATACCAGAACCTGGTACAGAGATCTGGTACATGGTTTTCTCAGCATCGCAACCTATTTTGATGATATTCATCTCTCAATTCTCGTGTCTTTATTTTTGAACCGTTCTTAATCTATCCATTATTTTTTCTGGACTAAATCATTGTGTCCTTAAGGTATCTCATAGCCTCGAACCAATTGAAAAACTATTCTCCAGTTCTTCACAATATATCCTGTAATTTACTTCAATGTATAACAGCGTCTGCAAAGCAAAGATTTACCTTGACTAGTAGTCCAAAGAAATGGAGAGAGGCTATGCTATTGATTGTATACTCTTTGCGAGGACTAAGAACAGAAAGGATATTATTCTCCAATTATTTGTACTTATTTAGCCTCTTGTTTGGTGAGTAGAGAAGCTTTCCAAGGGATTGTTATTCTGTTTTCTTATTTTGTTGTTTGCTACAATATTGCTTTGTTTAAATTTTGACCGTCCAAACATGACTTTCTTTGACCTGTTAGAAAATCCTATTTGAGAATATCTGTCATCTCCCGGTTGAGATGTTTGGATGCTATTGGTAAATTATGGGTATGAATTTTCTTTTCATCGACAATTGTTATCAATGTATTTCTTAAAACACATTTTAAATATCTTCTTAAAAGCTGCTTATTCTCTGTTAGAATTGCTAATCAGATCTCTACCTAGAAACTCGATGTTAATTTGCACGTGTGTTCGACACTGATATTTTCTAAAATGTGATAAAAAGAAACTGCATACACGGGGTAAAATATAATCAACCGAATCGTGTATGTCACTGTGAGAAAAGATGGTTATCATTTTCTTTAGTGAAAGCTTAATCGTGCACTTGACATTTCCTCAAGCTGGATTTGTTTTTTACATTTTGGAATTTGCATAAAAATATATGCCCACAGCTAGATAAGTCATGTGTCAACAGATTGATATGCTTATTCAAAGGTATGACAGTGTTCAACTCACTCACTCTTAATATGCTAGTTTTGTTCCTACGTTGAGCTGTTGTGTCAGATTCGTGAATTCAAAAGCATCAGCGTTCAGGAAAGTGTCGCATAGTATTTTTTTCGTTTTAGGAGTTGACAGAACGAACTAGGAGTGAAGCTTCGTCTCTTTTTTCTTAGAAAATGCTGGAACTTCGTCCAATAAAAATAAGAGGGATGTACAGTATTTGCTTGGTCTCTGGGGATTTGCCAAATCTATTTTTGCAATAAATGGAGGATAACTTTTCTTGGCATCCCTGGTTCTCTGCTAATCTTCTTTCAATCTGGATTTACCGAAATCCTACTTTTACTGATTATGAGCACATAAAAAAAATGATTTTATTCTTTGTGAAAGAATTCAGTGAAATCTTATTTTGTTGGATTAATAGAATAGCAAAAAAGTGTTCATATCCTGGCTGATAAATTATTTGGATTTTTACATCTCCCTTTGTCCTGTTTCGCAATTGGAAATCTGTTCAATGATTGCTACCACGCAGAGCCATAGACGAAGATGCAGTTTGATGGTGGATTGGGTTTTCTATTTTAGGATGATTAAATCATATGGCTGACCCTTTGAGCCAAGGGTTATTGTGTTTTCATGAGTTAAACGGTTTTTTGGTCATCTTCTATTCGTGCACAAAGCAAAATTGGAATGATTGATCCATGGGCATGGAAGAACGAGTAATTTCCCCCTGTATTGTCCTCTTCATTAAGGGCCCATTGTCATTAAATGTAAAAGTTAATCCTTAATGCAATTCATCACGTGCATAAAGAGAATAGTCCCCAAATCTAAACCTGACTGCAAGTCTGAAATGCAAAGTTAGTCAGTCACTAAAGCAGTATTTGAGAATATCCAATCTCAAACAGGGTGTACTTGCAGATTTCCTTAGAAAAAGAGAGAGTTGGTTGTAGATTGCTGCTAGTGCTTGCAGATTGCTGCAATGAAGACGCCGGAGGCTTAGTCCTGAATTCGAGGATTCTTGGCATGACAGTAGCTTCTGTTCTCAGTGTGCTGGACATAAGCCTAGTGTCTATGGATGTGGGTGTAGTCGTTGGAATGGTAAACTGGCCCAGGTTGTGTTTAGCAAGTGGAATCTGACAAAAATACGAATATTTCACTTTCTGTCGCTGGACGTGGATGGTGAAAATGCCTATAGCCGTGGGGTTATAGGTTTTGGGTTTTCATGTCTAATTGAGGACAGAAATGAGAGCTAGTTTCCTTTCTCATGTCACCACGCATTGGGAATTTTATTCATCGGCGCTCTTACGTGCCAGATCTTTCATAACAGTTGTCTCTGATGGTTCTGGAAGAAATTGATTTATTCTAAACAAGGCAAGTTACCTCATTCTCCCTTGGGCATGCAATTTCTGATCTGTTTTGAAGAGATAAAGGGCGTTGACAGGGATTCTTGTTAAAACCTTACGGATCGGTAGTTGATGAAATGCTCATTCGAGTTCTAGTATGGATCTCTCAGATCCTGCTTCATCAAACTTACGCATCAACCTTCCTGTAAGATATGAAGCCGGGGCCTGACTGCATGCTGCAGAGCCTCTTTTACATACTGCAATTTCTTATAGGGTCAATGTTCAATCATTTGATTCAGATATTAATCATTGTTGTACTATCTCTAGGGAATCAAATACTTGTGTAAGTACACTTATTTAGATCTGTATGTGTGGAGATACATCCGTTGATGTACTACATTGTGACTCTAACATGACCGCCCTGAGTTGTTGCCGCTATGTAAACATTAGTGTATTTCTTAGAATTGGGCATCATCAGCATGCTGGGTTTACGGTCTAGGGCTACTTCTCTGCAGATACATCAAGTTTATATTTGTTAGTGGCTACTTGTCTGCATATAACATCAAGTCGCTACCTACCATCATACGTTTAAATTTGCACCGTTCCATTAAAAGCTGGTTATGCAGTGCTCTCCGTATGCACTGTGCATGTCAACGTGTATCCGTGCTTTATTAAGCTTGAGAGTCCTAAGTAAGAATGTCTTTAAGTGTTTTTGAAGTTTTCATATGGAAGATTCGTGGAATTAGTTCCATCAGGCGAGCAGATTCGTGTGCATCCTTCTCCTCAATTTGAGCAGTAAGAATGTCTGAGGACTCCCAAGTGGGAACATGTATATTCCTCTCAATTGTATTTGCCTCTCAATGACGAGTTTGGAGAGATTTTTTTTCATCCCTCGCACAATGCTAAGTGAAATCAAGAAGAGCATTCTCCCTGCGAGTCGCCATTGAATCCGAGGACAAGAAAGTCATGTCCAAAATGGAATTTTTAGTCATTCGTGGACTTGTAATGGTTGAAGTTGAAATGATAATCTTTTTCATAAGAATGTAAAAATGATCGAGAGTGCCAGAGAAATTCTTGCATAAACTCGATAACCTTAAGATCCAAAATTGTCTCTTTTGGAGAAGTCAGTTAAATTTTTGTTTGGGCTGTGTGAATGCAGGATACAAAATAACATTTTGAACGAAGAACAAAAATGGACGAAAACGACTGGTTTCCAGGTTATTTTACAGAAGGAAAAGAATATGTCAAATCATGTCCATTCTATGAAGAACTCTAAATATGCTATGCTACTTCTAGGATGAAGGATGGTTGATTTCTATGCATTGTAGCTCATTGGAAATAGTTGTGTTAAATGGGTTTTTTTTATTCGTAACTATATGCCTGGAAGAATTTTTTTGCAACTACGCAGATATATGGAGGATTCAACTGGTTAGGATCCACTAAAACCAGAGTAAAAGATTGAGTAGGAAACTTGATCATCTATTGTTTGGAGGCACTCCCAAATGTTCCAGTGGCTTCCATCTATGCTTATATTGGATTTGCCTAGTGCCTCTCCTCTTTATGAAGCTTCTTCTCACAGTAGAGCCCTCAGGATGTGTTGATCATGAGAAGAGGGGATCTTAACATCTGCGACGTTGTTGTCGAGATTATCAAACCCCGTCAGTGTTGAAAGCCCTGCCCGTATAAACAAACCAAGCATAAGATGTTTATTTTTTTTCGTATTCTAGTTTTTGGTAGTCAACGTAATATGCTGCTGTTGTGAAATGTTGATTTTTTTTCTTATTTTATTTCTTGCTGGTTGCTTTCATTCACGCTCTTCGTGAGAACAATGGAAGATCTTGGGATGCCACCACCTTGGTGGACGGACAGCTAGAACGGATTCCTGAAGGGATGATGTGGAGGGGGGAGATCAATTTACTCACCCAAGCTGTCTTCTTTCTCTCCCAGGTGGACCGCGGTGTTCCTCTGGGTGAAGCTCTGTTCATGCACGATAGGTGGCTGGAAGACAAGGGAATCAAGAACACAAATTTCGCCATCGTGACGTGGTCTAGCTGGGACTGCCGCGTGATGCTGGAGTCCGAGTGCAGGTACAAGAGGATCAGGAAGCCCCCCTACTTCAACCGGTGAGTCCACCCTCCTCAGCCCAATCTCGTCGGCTTTGCCTCTGCAACGGCGGGTGGCGTCACTCACCCCATTCCTTCTTCAGGTGGATCAACTTGAAGGTCCCCTTCCAGGAGGTCTTCGGCGGGGTCCGCTGCAACCTCAAGGAGGCGGTGCAGCTGGCAGGGCTCGTGTGGGAGGGCCGCGCGCACTGCGGCCTAGACGACGCGCGCAACACGGCACGCCTCCTCTCGCTGCTCATGCGCCGGGGCTTCAGGCTCTCCATCACGGACTCGCTCATGTGGCACGCCGGTGAGCGCCCCCCGGCGCGCCAGCAGCAACCGGAGCGAGCGGCCAACAGCAGCCCATTGCCGCCGGCGCCCACGCCGCCGCCGCAGCGGCTGAAGCAGCTGCTGGCGCAGGCCACACCGTTCCATCCCTGCCAGGAGTCCAGGGAGGCGTCGATGCGCTGCTTCTGCGGGGTGATGAGCTGCAAGCGCATGGTCCGGAAGCCGGGGCCCAAGCACGGGAGATTCTTCTTCGGATGCGGCAACTGGACGACCACTAGAGGCGCCGTCTGCCCCTACTTCGAGTGGGCATCCTCCTGAGCTCAGCTGGAGCAGGAGGCCAATAATTTAAATCTGTAGGACCTTGCTGGTGAGTAGATGGGTGGTGGGTCGTCGTGATATACAGCCTGTTTCGTGTTCTTGCTGGAGTTGACTTGTTAGATGTCGTTGGGGAGTGTCTAACCTTGAACAGCTGACTTCCTCGCGACAGAGGAGATGTGGGTTCGGATTGCAGCTTCAGGCACTTTGCTCAGACTCTCTCTCGGTTTTCGTACAATAATCTCTGTGATATAGGGACCTCCTTCCTTCTTCATGCTCTCTTTCTCTCTCGATCTCTCTCGACCTTGTTATTTCTGAATTTATAGCGTTACCTAGTGGTGATGGGGGGGGAGTCTGAGGATAGGTGCTGGTGGTAGGGGGCTAAAATGGCGATATTTGTGCAATAATCGGCGAAATTAGGTTTATTTAAGCAGGACTGAACGGGGAACGCTGGGGCACAGTTAACCCGTCTCCGTCTCTCGCTCTCTCGCAGCTTCCCCCCATGGCATCGGAACCAGGTTCCCGCTGGGCGCGGCGGAATCAGGCAGCCCTCGTTGTTCGTGCCTCTGTTTCCTTCTTTATAGTCCTCGCCGCACTGTTGCAGGCCAGCGACTCGCAGGAGACGCGTGGGGACCACGGAGTAAGCGCCTTCCGGCGTCTCATCTCTGACATCTCACTTCTCTGGGAATCGCCCGGTGCTAACGGGATCAGGGTGCGCTTTGGCAGTTCTGTGAAATCAGGTTCCAGGACGTGAATTCTAGGTTTTCGTCTCCGTCGAAGATCCTGATCAAGGGAGGCACCGTAGTGAACGCCCATCACAAGGAGGTTGCCGACGTCTATATCGAAGACGGAGTGATCGTTTCCGTGAGGCCTAACATCAAGGTAGGCGTTCTCCGTAATGAATATCAATGAATACCAAGATCAATCATACTAACGGAAGAAAAAAGAAATCCCAAGCCAACACATCCATCGTATTGGTGACTACATTAAGCTACCTTTGACGATTAGACTTCGTAATATCTTCGTTGATGAGATCCGTAATCTTGCTTGACTGGAAAATAAGGTGCGAGGGGCAAGCCGATTTCATCTCGCCTTCGAAATCACGAATCTCATAAATAAAAACGAAATTACGAAGATGTTGGATATTCTTTGTTGCGCCAACTCCTTCAGTGACCCCCGAGTCTCTGTTCTAAACACAACCATATCTCCACCCTGACGATCATCTGGCTGTAGTGATGGCCTCAAGAAATAATGGCCGTGTGTTGGGGGAAGGGTCGATGATTTTGATAATTAGCCTGTTTCTGGTCCATCAAACTCTTGCTTTCAGGTCGATTGTGATGTTACTGTACTCGATGCCAGTGGGAAGTACGTCATGCCAGGTACCCTGATCCAGAATCATCTCCATAATGGAGAACGTCCTCATTGATTCTTTGCTAAAGATATTTGACCACTTTGTGAACGGAACAGGTGGCATCGACCCTCACACACACCTGGCAATGGAATTCATGGGAACTGAAACTGTGGATGACTTCTTCAGTGGCCAGGCTGCCGCATTGGCAGGAGGAACAACCATGCACATTGACTTTGTTATACCTGTAAATGGAAGCCTGTCCGCAGGGTTTGACTCCTACGCTAAGAAAACAAGGAACTCAGTCATGGATTATGGCTTCCACATGGCCATCACAAAGTGGGATGAAGCTGTTTCAAAGGAGATGGAGCTCATGGTTAAGGAAAAAGGTTCCCACCCTCTAGATATTGATTTTGACGGCGAGAATTGAGTGTTTAATTTCCATCCTAATCCCATTTTTCCTGTCTTTCTGGCCATAGGGATCAACTCTTTCAAGTTTTTCATGGCCTACAAAGGGTCTCTTATGATTAGTGATGAGCTTCTCCTGCAAGGTTTGGAAAAATGCAAGTCTCTTGGCGCATTGGCCATGGTTCATGCAGAAAATGGAGATGCTGTCGCTGAGGGACAAAGGAAGATGATAGATCTTGGTATCACAGGCCCTGAAGGGCATGCTCTTTCAAGGCCTCCCTTGGTAAATGCTCAACAAGTAGCCTACTAGTACGTATTGGCTGAGAAATGTTGGAGTCATTGGGCCATCCGGCTCAGAACCAATTGGCGGTGGGAGGATTGGCTCATCTTTATTCTTTTCAAGTCTATGTTAATACCATTACGAAACTTTAAATCTTAGCATGCCCGTCCAATATGAAGCTGACTTTTTAGACTTTGTCTCGTGAAGACCACAAATGAGTTGCGTTCAATTCAAGAGAATGATGACCTCTAATTATGTTTTAGTTATTTGGCCATCCAAGTGGAAATCAATTGGCAATGTGTGACTGTCAAACCAAAATACCCAACAAACTCTAGGTCTCCCACCTGTATATCACAAGCTTAGTCTCTGTAATAATTATTAAAGAATTCTTCTTAACAACAAATGCTTGCTTGCCATGTATACTTGATAAATAGTTTAGGTCTATTCTATTAATACTAGTTGATATTTTCATCTGCTGATTTATATCATCATCTATTTGATTCTTACAGCTGGAAGGAGAGGCAACTGCTAGGGCTATCCGTTTGGCTAAATTTGTAAATACACCATTATATGTGGTTCATGTGATGAGCATCGATGCTATGGAGGAGATTGCAAATGCTAAGAAATCCGGTTGGAGTCCTCTTTTCCTTTCTTTTTTTCCCCTTTTTGTGGTCAATATTGCTAATGTCAAAAGATTAATGGCATTGAATTGCATTCATTGATAGTAATAATTTTTCATCAATGCTACCTGACTTCTCAGGCAAATTATTCAATAAATTTCTAGTGTACTGATTGCAAAAATAAACTAGCACTCACATTTTGATGTTCAATAGACCCCTATTTAATTCTGATAAATCACGCATACATCTAATTGATGATATTATTTTAAATTTTATTATCAGCGTGGGAGGTTCCGCATTTATTCTTACCTGCTAAATTATTTCGTAGCACTGCATTTCCAATATATTTCTGAAGGCCCTAAAATGAATTATTATGACACCTGTAAACCTGCAGGACAAAGAGTTATTGGAGAGCCAGTTGTTTCTGGTCTGATCCTTGACGATTCATGGTTGTGGGATCCCGACTTTACAACTGCAGCGAAGTAAAAATTATAATACTGTCTCTTGAGACCTTTTTTTTATTCTGCTATTTCTCAAATTTTTCGATCATGGACGCAAAAAATTATTTCCCCGTTCAGGTATGTGATGAGTCCTCCCATAAGGAAAGCTGGACATGATAAAGCTCTTCAAGCTGCCCTGTCATCAGGAGTATTGCAGGTTTTTTTTTTCATACATGGGCACCTTAAATAATGCATACTCCTCAACCATGTTAAAAAAAACATCACAAATCTTTTATAATGATAAATACTGGCAGAGTGCTTAACAGCGTCGGGGATTCTTTCTCGCCTGAGGTTTTTTTTTGTGGCGTCAGATGATCTTGTTGCCTCTGCTGTTTCACCGAGCAGATGAACCTAACCACTTCATAGCTTTTGTTTTGTTCCTGATATGCTTGTTAATATATAGATGATTTCTCAGCACAAGTTCACAGTCATCTTTCAGGGCACTAATTTTAAAACATCAAAGATAGGATCTGGGAAATCACGCTGCCATGGTTATGATAATGGTGTTTTTTTTCCATTGTATTATGCAGCTTGTAGGAACAGACCACTGTACATTCAACTCCACACAGAAAGCTTTTGGTATAGATGATTTCCGCAAGATTCCAAATGGTGTCAATGGTGCGCACTTATTTTCCATTTCCCATCATAATGGACAAATGCTATTTACTTTTAATGGTCTACATTTCCTCAACATAACCAGGAATTGAGGAGAGGATGCATCTGATTTGGGATCTGATGGTGGTGAGCTTCACTAGTTTTGACATTTGACGGCAAATGATTCAAAAACATCTTTTTCGGAGTTTAATGATTCCAGTTTAATGATGCAGGAGACGGGTCGAATCTCTGTTACCGACTATGTCCGAATCACAAGCACCGAATGGTACTTAAGCAGCATCCTCATGATTCTAGCTCATGCGTAAAACTGGACCTCACCCTTATTTTCTTGTTCCTTCTGTAGCGCTCGGATATTCAACATTTACCCAAGAAAAGGGGCGATACTAGCTGGATCTGATGCTGATATAATCGTGCTCAACCCCAATTCGACCTTTGAGATTTCAGCAGCTTCCCACCATTCAAGGTCCGACACAAATGTGTATGATGGGAGGAAGGGCAAGGTAATCTCCCTCAGGCTGCCGCCCGTCCGTCGACAAGACGCGGTTCTAACCTGTTTCTGACTCTCCAGGGGAAAGTAGAGATCACGATTTCACAGGGGCGGGTCGTGTGGCAAGATGGCGTGCTAAGAGCAGAGCGGGGCTCGGGGAGGTACATAGAAATGCCGCCATTTGGTTATCTCTTCGATGGTCTGGGGAAAACCGACGAGAACTATCTCTCTTCTCTTCGAGCTCCTGTCCGGCGCGCTAAATCTTCGGTGTAAGGTTCTGGAATCCCTGCGCCTCTCTCAATCTGATGTACAACAGAGGTAAATAATGCACATTGGTTGTGAGTTCACTTGCAAATATCCTCAATCCGTGGTTAGAATGATGAGATATCTGCATCGAGCGCCGGAATCCCTTGTTCTATTTCTGGGTCAGATCAAAAGTCCACAAGGCAATAAAATCGTAGGTGAATTGCAATCACAGATCGGAATTAGATGTATAGTGAGAAGACGAAGATATCACGGAGAAGGAATATGGGAGTGGGGAGAAGTTTGATTATTAATGGCAAGTGTTTGCTTCAGGATTCTATATACTGCACGTTATTTAGAAACCATCGGAGGTGATTAGCTTCATCCGAAGACAAATTTATTGGCAAACTAGTACGACATTAAATTAGATGAGCACTGGGAATTTTCACAAGAATATCTTAATTTTTCATCATAAATGCATGAGTGATCACCACCCCCCCCTTCCCCTTCTGCACCCCCAGCCTGACTATCTCCTTTGCTGAATTGTTGTTACATGAGCCCAGGGGATGAATGAAATCAGGACGCAGGGGGGGCTAGGTTGTCTCGATGGTCTGAGTCTCTTTGGGGCAACATGCCACTGCCATTGAGAAGGCAGAGGCTCAGCAGAACGGAGCAGATTGAGCACCCCGGGCCTCACTCTCGGGGCCGGGCCAACCAGAGCGAGCTAAGTGCCCGGAGCCGCGAGAAGTAGTCGTTGATCGCCAGGTGAGCACGCGCCGACTGCCGAATCGTCAGGGTGCGATGCATCTGCTGAAGGGTTTGCTGCCGCAGATTGTCTGCCTGGCAAGAAGAAACCTTGAAAGTAAGTAGAAAACAGATAACCAAATGATATATATATAGAGAGAGAGAGAGAGACAGAGAGACAGAGAGAGAGAGGATGTGTGAAGAATCAGAACAAGAATACCATCATTTCTTCTGGCAACATGGGAAAGGATGTGGTTATGATTTACATCGGCCTGTTTGGATGAGCAAGGTAGGGAAGGAAGATCTCCTGGTGTAAGGCGCTGAGGTGAGATTGGGGAACAGCAGAAGTACCTGGCGAAGGAAGTTCTCCAGCGTACCGAGCTTTCCCATCGCCATGGCCATCTGACCCATGTAGTTAGCAACATTTCCAGATGACCCGGCAGTGCCAAGGGACCCAGAAGCTAGAGTCTCGGACAAGGACTGCTGCAGCGCTTCCATCCCCTGAGACAGAGCGTCCTCCGCCTGAAGGGATGTCTGCTGCAGGTTGCAGATTCCGGCCATCTGCTGCTCCGTGAGAGGCTCCAGATGGCTCACGAGAAGCTGAGCCAACAAGAAGTGCTTTAATTAACACATAATTCGTCAAAAAACGGAACGTTTGTCTCAAATGCTTGTGATCCTCTCTCAGATGATCAGAATCCAAATTCATGGCCAAACCTTGAGGAGTTCAGAGGATCGGAAGCCGCCCAGCCACAGGAAACACCGCTCGGCGGGGGTCTTCCACATGCCCGACAGGATGTGGAAGACATCGGCCTTCGCGGCTATGCTCTTCAGCCTGAAAATGTCATCATAATGCGCCATGACGCTGTCGAGGATGCTGCGGAGATCGTTGTCGCTCGCATGGGCATTCACCGCCGTCCTCAGGTCACCAATCTGCCGGTTATGCTCCTCCAGCCACCGCGCATACTCTACGTCGAAGGTCAACGCCCCTGTAAATTCATAAAGAGGAGAAGATGAACGCCGGTTCTTGAAGCACCGGAGACGGTCGCTGATCTACGTCGGAATCCACATATAGATTCAAACACAGAATCAAAAACAAGTTATTTATGATCGTCTCGAGTAGGCCACCGTTTCCGTTCGATGGATGGGATTGGTCTCCTGAACTAGAAATAAAAATCCCCTGCGGAAGGAAAACCAATGAATCAAGAACTCGTCAAAAAAAGCAACCAAATCAGAGCGCCCATTAAAAGGAAGGGATGGTCATACCTGCTGGCGAGCCCTTTGCAGCTCCTGCTCGAGTTGGTTAAGCTTCAGCCTACTGCTCTCCAGCTGCTGGACGTATGCCTTTGGAGATGAAAACAAGTAAAGAGGACTTTCAGCCCATGAACTTTGGATTATCGAGATCATATTTAAACAATGCAAGAATACACGGCGATGAGCATGGTGATGCCAAGCAGTGCCATTTACCAAATTAGCTCAGATATTTTTCAGTAAATGTGATTAAGCTGTGTCAGAAGCACTGTCAATGGAACAACAAGATAGCCATTCAATAAATTAGCACCATACCTTCTTTCGTAAACGACTTTTTCTGGCGGCTTCACGATTCTGGGCAAGCCTACGGAGCGTCTGAAAAATGAAAAATACCCTGCAATTATATAACTCATTTGGAAAATAAAAAATAATCCGCAGAAATTTTTATAATCAAAAAAAGATATTAATTGTTAAGCCTCGTCCGCCACCTTTTGGTCCCCTGGTTTTTCCTTTGACCTGTCACTAGAATCTGAAACAGCTACCATGGCATTTTTCTGTCCAGTTTCAAACCCACAGACAAAAATATCAAGCATCAGTCAGAAATGAATTCATATGGACCCAAATCTTAGGCATGTTGATTGCATGCAAAATCATGTGGTTGATACAAGTAAACGTGCAGCAATATATGGTTTAAATACTAATCGAATATTAAGGACATCATTCTCATTGAAATAAACCAAGGTAAGCATCGAAAAGAAAACTGTATTCATTCCAACATTGCAAGAAGAATAGGTTACAAGAAATATATGACTTCATCCTCACAATAAAATGACACCGTTAGATGGATAACTCTCTGAATAAATCATCAGCTTTCTTTGACAGTCTCCTGGGCGACAGGAATTTCCTCACTCACCTGGCCTAAAATTGCAAGAATCAAACATATCACACCACTTACAACCACAGTCACAGAAACTGGCGTGAAACTGGAAGTAACGAGCAGAGACATATTCAGACGTCAGTATCCAGTCTAAAGTGTCTTATTAAGTTTATCTGCGTGGAGAACTTAGCAAATCATTGGGCCATTGGTATTAAAATAAATTATCCAAGAACCATTGTTTAAAAACGGAATAAATCTAGAAAGATTCATTCGGCACATTCTTCAAAAAAAAGAAAAATTGTGACTTCGTCAAACTTTGTGATCTTTACTCTGTAGATCATGAAAGACAACAAAGGAACACAAGAAGACAGCTAGATAAAGTACACTAAGACAAGTGACTCCGCATTGGAGATCATATTCCCACCTCCACACCGTACGACTACAGGTACCATTGATGAGAACAAAGAATCCAGACAAAAAGCTGTGAAAGAATTCAGACAAATGGCTATGTCGTCATATTTTCCTTTTAGAACTTTATAAGATGTTTGAAGATTTTTGTTCCACTCGCACAAAACACATGAAAATTATTCTCAGCTAAATTTCAAATTGAATATCATATTACTTACGACAACCAGAAACTGCTTTTCTCTGAATATTCAAACAGAGATAAGAACGCAGCATGGCACTCAGATGGATTACTCCAATATAATGGGTGTTATTCGGGAACCCAATCACCTTATCCTTTCTGCTGGAGAAAAATATTGTACACATCAGTGCATAAATGCCTCCAAATAGTAACTTTCACAAATTTGAGGCAGCACAATATTCGATCTCTATCACAGAGAAAACTATGGAAAACTTCCAAATGCCAGCGAATGAAACAAATCTCTAGACCTATCACTTGTGAGAAAAATATATTATCTAGCCGGCTTGCTACACAAAGGCAAAAAACAGTGAATTAAGGAGGCTCTACTCTCACCAAAGAAAAAAAACGATTTCCTATCACAAGCCGATCACATCCTACACATTTAAACCCCCACTCTGACCGACATCATACGAATAGCATCGCAATCAATTTCATCGAGAGGCTGATGTGTCATGATTATTCGCTAAAACGAAGAACTTCCAGTGGTAATAGGCAATTGAAATATCCATAAATCAACTCAGATAAGCAGCCCTACTTCCCTAGGGTTATGATCATGACATGTATGTAACAAGATGACCGGGTCACAGGAGCATCACCCCTTGACTCTTCTCATCAGTATCAACATCCGTCGAAGTATCAGTCCTTGGGCTTGTTTCAGCTGCCACGGCAGAATCTCCCCAGTTTTCAAAGTGACCACTAGGAAGGGATGGAAAATTCTGTGCCGCCTTTTGCTGTGAGGAGGGAAGAGATTCACTCCTGCTGTCTGAGGGAGTTGCATCAGGGGAAGATAATGCCTGCCCAACAAATAAAAACAGATTTTTTTTCTATTAAACCGAGAAAAATAAGCGATCATGTCATAATATTTACATTGTAGCCAAAACTCACTTTACCCACGGCATCATATCTGAGAGAATTAGAGGCAACCGTCTGTCCACTAAACTTTAAGTTGAAGATATCTGTGTCACCATGGAACAAGAAAATGCGCATAATGAGACCAAATCACAAGGAGCAATGCATATTATATTCAATCCACATAAACGAGTACTCCTAACTAGATTCCCTCATACTCGAATACGCTCAAATCCCAGTCTCATTATGAGTTCGCAAGCGCATATACAACAAGGAGACAGGGATAATAATGACAACGATCCACTGCCAAAGAGCAAACAGCAAATATTACATGCGTCGTGCTCTGATGATGAATAGTTTATTAACACAAGCTCCCTTGTGGACCTCCGGAGAAACTCAACAGAAAACGTTGTTCATATCATCAAAATTGAGGGTCAATCATGGAACGAGCTTTATGATGATGATGATGCATTTATTAGTCTCAAGCCAAAGTTAGCGACCAGAAGCAGACCTCTACTGAGGTTACCAGGATGTTGTAGGCCAAATCCTAGTGATCGTTCACGCGCTCCAAAATCAGGAACTTGGGAAGGGGGCATATTCTTTCCTTCTGCACCACTGTCAAGGCAAGAAAAATAATGGAGTTAAATATGATAAAATTCACAAAGCCCGAAGTCTAGATCAATGCAAGAAGAACACATCGCAGGTTAACATTTCAAGAAACCAGATTCCACACGTCAAAGATTCACCATGGTGAAGAGTATTAACATGAACTACAGGATACCCCCTTTGAGCTTTTCTACAGGATTTGGTGTGCCTCAGGTTATTTCGACATCCTTCCCAAGGTTGGTAGAGTTCCTCAATGAACCTCCAACTCTCAGAAGGATGATTAACCATCTCATTGTAAACAACTTAAAAGAAGAAAAAATACACATCTTCCAAAGTGATATTCTAACAAACTCAACAAATCTAGACAATACTTCGCATAGAAAAGACCGGCGTTAAAGAAGAAAAGACACTGGGTGACGATTGGTTTCTGCTTTGATCACACTGAGGGCAATCCCCAGCTATAATAAGTGGAAAAACACAATCTTTCCTAAAGTTAACGAACTTTCAAAGATTATCATGTTTCTTTCGAGTTTGGAACCAAAAATTATCACAAATCTTCATATAGGTCAAGTCGCCTACACAGCATATCCCACTGAGATGAAGGGTTCGGAGCTGATACGACAATGATCAACAAGGAAAAAGCCTATCACCCCCATCGGTCATCTAATAACTTAAGTTAAAAGATACTAGCATTTCAGGGATGCCTGCCTATGTAAGATCCATTTTCAAGTGTACAGTGGATTGCCATCCACCCAAGAAATGCTTGAATCTCACCTTCCTGAACCTATGATATTACAAAGGTTTTTGACAGTAAAACCAGCCCGTCAATAGGGTTGTTCAAAGGTTAAGAAGAAGATGGAAGAGATAGAGTTTTGCCTATTGGGAATCTGGGAACCTGGATTAATGTACACTGCAACCTGAGATGCAATTCTACAACTATCCATGCTTCGCTTCATGTGAAGAAAGACCTCATGCATCAGTTTGGCCGAGATTTCACCATAAGACCATGCGTCCATATTTCACATATCTTATTTGGGGAACAGAAAAGCATCTCCCTCGTGAACAACGTATCTCAGTCAAATCTTATACATCACAATGATCTGCAACTCGATAACTTTATTCAGAAACCAACCCCTGCTACCCATCTCATCTCATCTCATCTCATCATAGTCACCCTAACCCTAACCTCAATGTCAATGACCAAAATATCTATAAAAAATTCATCGAACGGTCTTGACATGAATACGAATCTAAGCACGGTTTTTTTAATATTTCCTTTCAAATTCAGCAACCATAGGCATTCTCTTTCACTTTCCGGCTTAAAACAACAACAACAAAAAATCAAGTAAGAGTGATTTTTTTTTTTTGTTTTCTAAAATATGCGAGAGCTAGAGCTGATCTGAATCCAAGGAACTGTCAATCACCAACATGGAACATTAAAAAAAGGAACTGTATACATTACATTATGAAACATGGACGATAGATGGGCAACTGATGAAGCATAGCTTTATAGGAGAAAAGCGAAAACAAAATGATTAAAGGGACAAGAACTGATTACGTTGCCGGCGAAACGGCCAGTGGAGGCACCAAGCTCGACATCCGGCTCGCCACTTCCCTATCATCCTGGACGCCAACCCCAGCTTTTCTACTTCCCATTGAATACCATCACCACGATGGCTCAATCTCTGCCGAGCGGGTCCAAGTATCTCAAACCTTGAAACGGATGAAGACAGCGAAGAACCCAGATCCCAGATTAATCTCCATGGAAAACCCAGATACAAAATAGAAACAAGGACCCAGATTCCAAACAAAGCGGACAAATTTTCCCGACGAACCGACCTCAGGTTTTAAAAAAAGTGTCAAACCCCCTTCCAGTAGAGGTCTTTGGAGAGCGAGACCCACCAACCCAAATGAAAGATAGAGCAGGGTGAGCTTTGATTGAGATCGGCAGCCTTCCAACAATCGACCTGACCTCTGTAGGCGCGGGATACAAATCTTCGAGGAGAGCAGCTGAAAGCTTGCGCAGAATTTCCGCCTTCAGCTTTCTCAACCACCCAAACGAGTCGGATAAAACCTAAACGAGAAAACAGATGTAGGAAAAACTCGGCAAAAGGGGAGGCTCGTTGGTCTCAGAAGTTTTCTGCTGCTCGAGAAGCGACCACAGCAACCATCAGCGCACGCGCTCAGACGAAGAGTGCCAATCCCCCCGGCTTTCTGCCTCCAGGACCACCACCACGGCGACGCTCGTGGGACGCCAGCCAACTAGCTCTCTCTCTCTCTCCCCCTTCTGTCTCTCTCTCTCTCTCTCATGACTTGATCTGATCGTCCCGCTCTTTCAGACTGTAGCTGTGTCAATTAACGTAATTTTTTTGTTCCGTTACTTAAAAAAAGGTCAACTCTGAAACCTTCCCTCGAACTGCTAGTTATTGTCCACAAAAAAAATACACGAATTTGGTCGAAAAGATGACGTTAAGCTGGACCAAAGCGTTGCGCTGTTCCTCCGCCGTCGCGATCCCGCCGCCCTCTCACCCCCTCGATTCTTTTGCAGAAAATATCAAAATTATCTCACGTCCAGGTAATGACAACGCCGACGTGGGGCGCTGAGGCGGCGCTATTTTCAACGCTCCTGAGTGCTTCCTCTTTGACCGTCTGACACCGCTTATTCTCCGTTCTACCATCTCCTCGGCCACGTGGCGATAGCCCAATCGAACTGGGCGAGGCCGATGAGCTGGTTTTACGTAATCGAAATCTGAAGTGGGGCCCACTATTGGCGCGTGGCACCAGGACATGAAGGCAACTTCGGTGGACGAATCAGAGCCGTTGGCGTGCCACGGCGATTCACGTGTGATGACAGGACAGGACGAGCGGATCTCGATCGGCTCGTTCGAGGTCTTCGCTGCTGTGATTCTCCAGGAATCAAAGAGCCCACCCCCGGCATCGAAAATCATGAAAAATAATTTCAGAAAAATGTTAAATTAAAAGTTTTGAGATGTGACGCCATCAGTTAAAACCCACCTGCCCCGTTAGCAACGCTTTAAAAAATATTTATATCGTGATTTGTTTAGTCAACGCGCTAGAAATAGTACTCCGGTGTAGAGGACGACGCTCGCAGTTTCCTGTTGACTTTCGTGCTGGAGCAGCCTCCCTTATCTCTCGTGGTGGGCCCAATATATCCAACCTTCGCATTTAAAGTCAAATTACTGAGCGAAAATAGGTTCTCGACCCCCCGGGAATCCACTTCCAAGGCTTTCTCGCCACGTGTTTACTTCCCTCCACGTGGCTGCTCTCCTGTTCTCTCTCTCTCTCTCTTTGATGGCAGAATTCAAAGGACGTGGGAAAACAAAATCCAGTATTGAGCGATTTTGTCCTCCAAACGTAAATTATGCGATTATAGGGTGTAATAAAAAAAGTCTAAATATGAAACAAACACGAATAAATATAATATATATATACATTAGAACTGTACTTCATGTTATTGTGCCTATACTTTTTTGTTTACCCAAGCCAGAGTGGTTTCTGTGCATTCAATCCAACGCGTGTCAAAACCACGTGATTGATGGTCGACCCCCCAACGACGGCGGCGACGGCGGCGGCAGGGGTAGGATGCAATTTTGGAGGTAGAAGGGCTTTGTCATAAAATTCATTATAAATAGGCATCAGGTATATTTAAAATATTCATCGATAATGTTAGCGATGATTAATCAGTCACGGTGGTCGATTTGATCGGTCGCATCCAGCTGGCAACGTTCGAAACGAAACGCGTCGCTTCGGATGCCACAACAGTCTACCCCATCACTAAATTTCCAGATATAGCAAACAAAGGTCCTCCAACGCCCCCCGCCGCCCGGTCAATGCCAGCCGGGTCCCAAGGACCAGCGCCGCGCTCAGACGAACACGTCGCGCCGCTTCTTAGGGTTGGCTTCAGGGTTCCCCTTCCTCATCATCGCCACGAACTCGTCGTAGTTGATCCTCCCGTCCTGCCGCCGCCATCAGGAGCACCATTAGAGGGGAGCTTTTCCGGGCCGACACACCAAAAATAGCAATCATCTTACATTGTCTGCGTCGACTTCGGACAGTATCTCCTTGATGTCTCTCCCATCGTGCATGCCGTATTCCTTCAGAGCCTGCTCAAGCTCCTCCGTCGTTATGTACCTGTGAAGAAGACGACCTGCTCAGTACTGGAAATCCCGCGTCTCACAGGGACGAAAGGAGCCGGCATTTTCACAGTACCCGCTGTTGTCTTTATCGAAGTATTGGAAAGCAGTGTAGAGGTGTTCCTCTCTGTCCATCCTGTTCATGTGCATGGTGGCGGCAATGAACTCGTCGTAGTCGATGGTCCCGTTGCCGTCGGCGTCGGCCTGGTCGAACCAGAGAAGAGGATTACGCGACGAATGTTATCTCATGGAGGGAGAAGAACGAGGGGCTTCTGCAAATGGTCCTGGGGAACCTACGGCTTCCATCAACTGCTTGACCTCGTACTCGGAAAGCTTCGTTCCCTGCTTGCAGAGCCCCTGCCGGAGCTCCTCCGTGGTTATGGTGCCGCTGTTGTCGGTGTCTATTCCCTTGAACATCTCCTTCAAGCCTCGTATCTCTTCTTCGGATAAACACCCGGCTATGACCTTGAAAAATCAAGGAGAATTTGTTCGTCAGAAAATATATGAACTTTTATGTAACAAAAGATGCCTCTTTTGAAATTACCCTGAGAGCGACTTTCTTGAATTTGTTCATCGCCCGGAACTGCTTCAGCCTGCTGAGAACGGCGTTGTCGAGAGGAGTGTCGGGCGCTTCTCCGTCCCTAATCCACGGGTGATCTGTGCCGGGGAGGAGATACCCATTTTACGATATACCGTGGGAAGGGAATAGATCCGAGCTTATGGCTAGGAGACGTTCACAACGCTCGGAATGGTAGAATCCCCCCGGGCTCGGTGATTCTGAGAATCGAACAGAATGGAGGTCTGGGTTATGCTTACTGAGAACTTGGAACGCCGTCAACCTCTGCTTGGGATCCGAATTGAGCATCTTCCTGACGAGGTCCTTGGCCCCGGACGAGATGTTCGGCCACGGATCGCTGGTGAAGTCGACGTGCCCTCTCAAGATCGCATTGAAAATCCCGTTCTCCGATTCTAAAACGCGAGATGATTCACATGTTCGATCATCCTTACTCCTAGTTTTCAACGCCGAGATGGAGATTTCATTCAGCTTCGTCTGGGGGATTCTTACCGGCCCAGAAGGGAGGGACTCCGCTCAGGAGAATGTAAAGCATCACACCGATGCTCCAGATATCAACCTCTGGACCATATTTTCTCTTCAGCACCTCCGGCGCTATGTAATATGCACTCCCGACGATGTCTCTGAACACTTCACCTGATCAAACACATACCAGAACGGCGTGTTATATACGTACATACATATAGCGAGAGAGAGAGAGAGGTCTACCTTGTTTGAAGAAGACGGAGAGTCCAAAGTCGGTGGCCTTGAGGGGGGCGTCCTCATCGCTGCTGAGGAGGAGGAAGTTCTCGGGCTTGAGGTCCCGGTGCATGACGCCCATTGAATGGCAGGTGTGCACGATCTGGACGATGGTTCTGAGCAGGGAGGCGGCGGCGCGCTCCGTGTAGTGGCCCCTGGCGATGATCCGGTCGAAGAGCTCCCCCCCGGCGCAGAGCTCCATGACGAGGTGCACCGACTGCTTGTCCTCGTAGGCCCCCTTGAGCTCCACAATGTTAGCCTGCCCTGTGAGGTGGTGCATGATCTGCACCTCCCTCCGCACGTCCTCAACGTCTTCCTTGTTCACCAACTTCCGCTTAGCGATGGTCTTGCAGGCGAACTGCTCTCCGGTGACGCGGTGTGTGCAGAGATGAGTCACCCCGAACTGGCCCCGCCCCAGCTCCTTCCCCATGTTGTATGTCTGCCTCACGTCCTCCATCGGCCGCCCGAGAACGGGCCCGACGGAGGAGGCCTTAGCGGGGGGATGCCGGAGGACGCCGGTGACGCCACCGTGGGGCTTGTACGGTGGCGCATTGGCGGCGGGTTTCTGAGCCGAGCGCGGGGACGGCTCGTCGGGGGGATCGGGCTTCTGGGCCTTGGAGGCTCTGCTGTGAGCGTTCTGGGAGAAGCAGTTGCCCATGGCGGAGGCGGCGGGCGGCGGTGGCGGAGGACGAAGGATGAATGGGGAGGGGCAGCGTATGAAGTCCGCAGAATGGTGACTATTAACAGCGGAGGGAACGGAAGAACAGACAGAACAGAAGAGAAACAACGAGGGGACGCGGAGGCGATATGAGTGGCGGGAGAGATTTTAGGGCGGAAGGAAGTCGTTGGAGAGGAAGGAGGAGGGGGGTTTTCCTTGGATCGCTCTTCCTTTCTCGTCCTTCTCTCTCTTGTTCTCCTCCCCGAGGGTGTCGATGGAATAGGGAGATCGAGAGGGATTCGCGGGGAAGGTGAAGAAAATATTTATTTCTAATGATTTTCTTTGATCTCGCCTCCCACGTCAGATGAACGTGGTCTAATTCTCCGCATCTCAACGGTCAACGATTTGCCTTCCCATAGCGGAGACGAGAGAAACATTTTCTGTGTGGGTCAACGTTTTCCTGGAATGGAATCTGTTCTAACCTACGAACACTCACCTCCGAGGTCAACCCTCGCCAAGGTTGTCCCTCCCATAAGAATGATCATCTCCTGGAAGACGTCAACGTCCCCTGCGAACGGGAATGACCATCCACCGTTACCCTCAGCGTGGCCACCTTTGCGAGAGGTCAACAATCTTCATTTGTGGAAATAGTCAGATAGTCAACGCACCCCTCGATCACCATTCATTTCTTTAAATGGGTAATATAATCAGACCGTTAATTACACTCATAAATGGAAAATTTGAGCGAGAGAAGAGCGAGAAAACGAGCCGATTAGTTTCAGTAGGTGGGGACAGACGGATCGGCCATCAGAGCATACGCATGGATCCCTCCCGCCACGTTGAAGATTCTCTTGAAACCCTGAAAAGGAAGGAAGAGGAAGAGAGCAGACCTCATGAAGCGTCGTCCCATATGAACCCAAGTGACGAAACCGAGAGAAAATAAAGAATAATCCGAGTAATTCTGTCTCTATCTTCTGTCGCCTTCTAGTTAAGGTCAGCAGCTTCAAGATGGGGAGACTACCTGCGTCTGCAACCACTGGGCGACTTGCAGCGACCTCACTCCATGGTGACACTACAGTTCATGCATAAAAGACCCATCAGCTATCAGCATAACAGTGTGTCTGTGTGTGTGTGAAGAGAGAGAGAAACGAGTATATACACAAGCAGTACAGGCGATGGAGGATTTAGACTCACGAGGACATACGTATCCTTCTGCGGATCAAAATCGTTGGTTATTTCTGATCCCCAAGTTCCGAATTGGCGGAGGGGGAGGACCTTGAAACCTGGGAGGGAAGCTATAGCTCTGCAATATGGAAAGAAAAAGGGAACCAATAATAACTGGCACAACAGAGATAAATAGAACAAGAACAAGTGGCATTTCCAATGGGAAATAAGAAACCGTAGATGAAAACAGATGGGTATATCAAGTTAGTGCATACACTTCATCTGGTTCTCTAACGTCTATCAACTGTGCTTCTTCAAAGAAATCGGGATCCTCCATTTTGGAATGGAGTTCTTCAGGCCCAATGTCTCTGAGGAGAGATCCATCCCTGAAATCCAAAAAAAAAAAAAAAAAGGTGGACGTGGGCATTTATGTATAATCATAGATAGGCATGGTCAATGCAGGCAGGCACGAGCCCTTGACCTTTCAGAGATCACTTGCACCAGATGCCATCCAAATTTTGTCTTACATCGTACCACTTTATTCGCAGGAGCGCTAAATACAACCTCTTCAAACTCTGGCACCTGACAACATTCCGCGAAACAATTCATCAAAAGAGATTGGGGATTAATTCCTTGTTCTCCCCAATAATTCAATGAAAATACAGCGGTCAGAATTTTGGATCCTTCAAGTATCATCTAGCAACGATCCTGTTGAGTTCATATGTAGGATTGAAGGAGCAATTTGATGCAATAAAAATAGGATATCCTTGAAGGATTAAGCTTCCCAAGCATTTCTCTAAGAAGCAAGGATTTAGCGCATGGAATTTCACATCTTCATGTGCTCTGTTCTTCCTATACAGACATTTACACCCGTACCAACCCTTGCTAAGGGTCTCGAAGTATTTTATTTGGCACTGTATAAAGTTCCGAAAAACGTCTGCAGATACATGCAAAACGAGAATCATCAGCATTATATGGTCAGAACTAACCAGGGATCTTCACACGTTGCTTTCTTACGTGCATCTTTGGAACTCTCCAAAGGAAGCAACATTGAAGAACAGCGGACTAGAACAGAGTCACAGACCCATAAAGGGTGGAAAAAAATTTAGTGATTACCATATACATGGGTATGTATCACCCCCAACAAATAAGATAGCGTGCATTAGACAGGAAAAGAAGTCGTAAACGGTTTGACCTTGAATTCCCACCGAAAGGTTAATCTAAGAGATAGGTTCATGAAGACGTAGTTACCATCTGTCCTCTGCGAACCCAACCGAGCATTCCCCCATTTTCTTTCGATGGACAGATCGAGTATTCAACAGCCAAATCGCTCAAGTCTATCCCTGAGAGAGTCCCCAACAGCATTAGGCCAGAAAGAAGACATCTCGTGGTGAGAATGGAAAGTGAAGCAAGCGGAAAAAGAGAGTTTTATTTGACATGGTGACCATTATGCTCATTAAAACTTCGATTAACTTTGGCTGTAAACACCGACTTTAAGCTCAGATGATTCCCTCTTGATCAAGGGGTGTGCCCAGCAAAGTAAAAAGGAGCCAATTCAGGTGTCATTTCCTTCAGCTCCATCACCCACTTTATATCTCAGATTTGAGTTATTACACGCATAAAATGGCAGGCAACCAAATACAGGAAGTGGGATTCAGATGGAAAAATGTCCACCAGCTGATCCTATTCAAAATGCTGAAGCTGAAGCGCGGTGTTTAGTCATATTAATAACTTACTGGACTGAAGGACGGGGGATTTGACATCAAAATTTATAATGATACATCAAACAGTCATTATTATCTAGCGCCTGTATATAATGAGTTTTTACTTCTAGTCTAGCAAATAAATGCCTGAATATGTTTGAACAGAGCTAGCTCACGGAGCAACATTTTTGACAAATCATGTCTCGGACGTGCTTCAGGCATTCATTTTATGCTGCAGAGAAATCATAGAATCAGTGATTCGTTCTTTTCTAGATGACATAGGAAGCAGAGAAACCTTCTGCAATCTTCTGCTGAAGCTCGACCAGAAGCTTAACGTCTGCTTCTCCGACGAGCAGGTGCTGAACCAATCTCTCCTTTCCGTTTCCATCGCTGCTCCCAGCACTGAAGCAAACTGTTCAAATCCAGAAACAGAAGACTATTTACGAGAAGGGAAAGAAAAAAAAAAATGTAAGAGCGCCAAAAAGATACCCTAATCCCAGGCGATAGAAGGGGCATTGATGAAAAGTAAAAATTCGATGGGACCAATGATACTTTCATCCGAGTATCGAGCCCCAACCAACGAAATCAAAAGAAGAGGAAGACCGGAAGAAAACCCCAACATTCTCCCGCAACAGAAATAAGTTCCCACCTCTTCCTCTGGACCGCGAAGGTTGCATCGTAATCGAGATTTGAGCAGTCCGCCCGAAGAGAGGGGAACGGGCGGCGGAAGAATGAGGGATGAACGAAGCGCAGAACCGGCGCAGAGAGACGGGCGACACTCGAGTGGACCGGGACGATGAGAGGGCCAGCGATGACAGGAGATGTAGGCGCCTCAGATTATGACAGAAGAAGGGAGGAGGAGAAGATGAGGAAAGGGCCGGGAGGTGGAACGACGCGCGAAGCATAGCTTCACGGTAGGGAGCGCCAATTCTCGCAGCCGACTTCCTTGCAGAGCTCGTTGCTCTCCTCCGCCTACAGCATCTCTCTCTCTCTCTCTCTCTCTCCCTCTCGTATCCCTGTATTTCTCTACTCAGGCATCTGTAACACGTAATCAAATAAATAAGCCCAGGAGAGACAGATTAGGCCCAACGGTCTTTACCCATGAGGTCGAGAGAAACGGGCCGAGCCCGTAACAAACCACTTGATGGACCCTACTTGGCCCGGTTGCAACAGAGCTCCAGATCATGTAAAACAGCGCGAGGAACACATTGGCTCCAATCCCCAGTTCACGGGTGGGTTATTTATTTATCTCGTCCTAGTTTTTTTTTTTTAGTCATGATCCCCAGATATTAAAAAAAAGATAGTAACGCATACACGTCGGACGGAGCTTGGTAGGCAGTATGGGCCGGCCCGTTAACCAGGCCAGGCCCGCTTGTTCTTTGATTTCTCCCGTGAGGGTTCATCGTGTGGGCCCCCACGTCTGGAGGGCAGCCAGTGAGCAGTCAACTCGGAGGGATCGTTCGCGGAGGGGACTGGAGGGACCGGGTCAGCCTTTGGGTGACGTGATTGGCACGCGGATCTTCTCGCGATTGTTTGGTGGACGGGAGATACAGTCCGCTATCTACTTACTCGCCTCCTTCCAATCCCGAGCCCCTCTCTCTCTCTCTCTCTCTCTCTCTCTCTCTCACTCACTCCCTATACACGACCGCAGCCCCCCTTCTCTCGTTCGTCTAGAGAGAGAGAGAGGTTGTGGAGATGGCCAACAGAAGGCGTCATACATGATTCATTCAGTGTGTGTGCCATGGAGAGCTACCCGATAGCAATTGGACAGGTGTTAGACAGCGAAAGACGGTAGCTGGACTGCCCATCTCTCTCTCTCTCTCTCTCTCTCTCGCTATCTCTATTTTTTGTGGAGCAGCGTGACCTCTGACTCCTACGGGATTTTGAATGGATCTGGGTTTGGCTCATAGGGAGAGTGCTCGGGTGTGGACTGGCAGCCAGGAAGAGAGAGGGAGAAGAAGCCTCCGTAGATACCGACAGATACAGGAGGCCCTCGGGTTCTCGTCTTAATCAGAGAGAGAGAGAAAGAGAGAGAGAGAGAGAGAGATTGTCATCTTAAATTTGGTCAGTTAGTAAACAAAAGTGAATACTCGCCATCTCGTTAGTCAGAAGGGGATATAAGAACCCATGCGATCACTTGTAGCTCAAATCTGCAGCGGCCAGCCTCTCCTAGAGTCAACGCCGGGAATTGAGCCATAGACTGAAGGAGGCCGGTTGACTGCCATCAGCTGCTCCATAGCCGGCCTCTCCATATGCAATAACGAAGTTTGAGATTTTTCAGGCAAGTTGGGCGACTGCACGAGGTGACCTCTGATATTTTTTCACACCACCAGCGTGTTCCTCGTGGACAAGATTCTTCGGGAAACGAGACATTCCCCCACCAAGAACCCGTGGAACTGTGCTCGAAATGGAACCACTGCGCCGCCCAGGGTTAGCCACGCCATTTTCCGAGACCCGTGCTCGAACGGTCCGATTCAACAACCACGTGCCATAACTGTTAATTGAATCGACATCTACCATAAGAATCCGAAGCCAAATTATTAGCTGTTTTTCGCAATTTTTTTACTTTTCTAAGTGGGGTTCTATGATATTAATATATATTTCTAAATGAACCACCATACTGTTTAATTTTTATCTTTTTGTATTCCCCTGTAGGAGCTGGTTGATTGCCTGCCGTCGATTCGAAGGGCGACCCCACAAATAAGTAGTTAATATTTATTAATATTATTTTCTGATTAAATAATGGGTAATTATAGTGGCGGACCGCGACAATGGCCTTCATGTTATCGTTTTGTTACGATGGTGTACATTGCTTGGGGAATTCGCAGTTTCCTTTTGCGGTAACGTCCTCCGCCGGAGCCCCGTACCCATCAACAGTGAGCGGAAGAGATGACGATCGACGACGGCCGCCGATGAGCGGATTCATATGATCGGACGGCTGCCGCGGGGCCGGAAACGGCTCCCCCACCTTTAAGACGCAGTTCAGCCACTGAGCCAGACGGGCCGACGTGGCCGATTGATTACGCCATGTGAGTGACGTCATACTAGCTGCGAGAGCATTGCAATCGTCGACACGTGGTAGGTGTTGTAATTCTCGGCGCTGAGGATTTATTATAATTGGTAAAGCTATTTTCTATATAGTAAGGGGAATACATGGCAGGGGATACCTGCCGGAGGGCACCCAGCTTTACTGACTCTCATCAGGCCTTCATCAGGCCTTTCGTAACTGGTCGGCTATTTCTTGTCCAAGACCCAGGCGCTGCAGTCTATATACTGTATCCGGAGCTCTCCTTCGGGAAACCCTATCGTTGCCCCCTCTCTCTGTTTGTACCTGGAGGGTTCTTCTTCTTCGGTACTCGGCAATGGACAAGCTGAGCGTCGTACATCAGGGGGGGCTGAAGCAGGCCAAGGCCAAGAAGAAGCCGATCAAGATCGTGCACATCTCCAACCCCATGAAGGTGACGACGACCACCTCCGAGTTCAAGGTCCTGGTCCAGGTGCTGACCGGGCAGGACTCCGACATGGCCCTCCTCTCAAAGTTTGCCGAGGCGGACGGCCCCCACGACCCCGCCGAATCGGCGGCACCGCCGCCGGCGCCCTACTGGCCCCCCCTCTCCGTCGATGACTACATTTCAGATGACTGAACCCAGCTCAAGGAATAGATAGAGATAGGCCCCTCAGGAGCTCCCGAAGACCACGGCTGGGTCTTCATCAGAGGGTGATCTCCGAAGAAAATGGTGGGATGCTGCCGTTCTTCCTTCGACCTCCCACTGGAAAACCTAGGGAAGATCTACGTTGTTTTTTAAAATTCTGTACGGTCAGAGGGCTAACAACGACCAGTACTCGTTTGAGATCCAGCGCAGCATTACATCTTTTCACTACAAGGGCGTCCCGGCGTCCGAGTTCCACAGTGATCACGGCTTCGAGATAACAGTTCGTCACATTCCAACTCTGAGTTTCCTTATCCGTCCGATCCCCTTGGAATAATGTGTTCCGGTACCTCTAAAACCTAGCTTTCGATTTATCTCCCTCGAGTGGAGATTGACCTGGTTCTAGTAGCAGGTTCCCCAGGGGAACATGGCAAAGACGCCCGATTTAACAGAAACAGTTCTCCCGGAGCGCGTTCAGGTTTTGCTCAGGGCGTCGGTCCTTCCACTAGATTTCTCTCAGTGGTTCAAACACATGGATTTCTCCCTTGACGATAAGAACTTGGTGTTGAAGCTTCTGACCTTATTTTTTTCGATGCATCTGCAAACGAGAATATAAAGTTTTGCTTTATATCATTTTGAAACAGATGAACAGCATTAGTAGGGAACTCTCTTTTTATACGCTATCATTCTTTTGTTATGAGATTGGGGCTGAGGAACCGAAGTAGATGGTAATCCTTTGTTGGTGGAGGAGGGTAAGGCTGTTGCCATAAAGCCATTCATCTCACCAGTACATTATAATGTTGATTGCCCAACAGCAGGCGTCGTGTGTCTCACTCATTATATCACAGCTTGTTAGGGTTTCATTGTCAATGCTCAGAAAACTGGAAAGGGTCCATGGTGAAAAGGAAGAAAAATACCCACTCTTTATGTTTTCTCTAAAGCGAAAATGACAGCTTGTTTGCCTCTCCTTCCCTCTCTTTGCCTCTATCAAAACGTCTTCCAAAGGTTGAAGATCCTCATTTGTGTGAGATATAGAGGTTATTCCATGCGAAGTAGCTTCGAATCTCTTCTTTCATACACTATTTTTTGCCCAAGGTTAAGTTATTATTTTGAGAAGAGGAACTTAGTATTGTATTTTTTTATAGTTGATAGCTGCTTTTTTCTTTCGATTTTTTTTCTCTCCATATCGCAAGGCCTTTTTTCCATGTAAGTCTCAGGGTTCATTATTTTTTATTTCTGATTACTTCATTTCTTTCTACAATGAGTCCAAGATTGATTGGTTTTTGTTGTGCATTAGCATTTTTGTTATCAAGAAATATTTATACACGAGTCGAATAGGGGTCACTGCAAACTTTTCAATTGGTATGAGAGATGTTACACTAGTTTAGTAAGACTAAAATTGAATGATAACAATTACTAATTTGAAAGTGAAAAATGGATGACAGCCTCCACTATAATGACTTGTATGAACCAATTGAGGGTGACAATAATAAATTTACATTTTTTTTTGAAAATGTTTGCATTAAATTTAACATGGAATGTACATGCACCATTTGACAATGGTTGGATGATAATGTACTTCACATCTCTTCTGAAAGTAGAATATATGAGTTTTGGAAAAAAAATAGTCCTTGATCTTTCACACAGTGACAAATTTTACAGAATAAAAAGGTATCTTTTAATAGAAAATAATGAACTTGAAGTTCAAGGAAGGCACAAATGTTACACTATAAGTGTAAAAACTCAGAAAATCAATTGTCCACAATGAAGATGATCCTTGAAAACCTATTTCAAGCTCTACTACTATTTGGGTCTTTTGAGATAACAAGGGGACTTTATTTATTTTTGTAAGTTATCCAACTCTTAATGGTGCTTTTGAGATAACACATTAAATGACTTTTTAAAGTCATTTAATGACAAAAAAAGATGAAAAAAGTAAATGGGTACAAATGATGAAGATATACTTATTATATAGAGAATAAGGGGATGAGAAAAAATAGACTGAATGGTCCCACTAGATACAAGGGAAGATCTATGTTTGTCACCTTTGTGGTAAACCTATAAAAGAAAGTTCAAACTTTTATTAAAGAAATGAAATAAAGTAAATAGGTCAAAGAAACATACTTATGAAGAAGTACTATATTTTTCATACACGAGTAAAGAGTCTATGGTTCTTTTATCTTAAAAAGAAGTGTTCTGATAATATTATTATTTGCATTGTACAAAGTGAGAGGTTTCCGCTATGTTAATTTGAGTATTATCATCAACTCAAAAATCATAAGAGTTATAGGCATGCTAGACAAATGCAGGATATGTAGTGACATTCAAAGATGTTCATTGTGCTCTAAACATGTGACTTATCTGATTTTTGGTATTATTTTAGGTTATACTTTAAAATTATTTTGAAATTGACGGGGATAACTTTAAAAGGTTCCCAAAAAGCTGCTGCTTTAAAAAATTGATTGAGCCAATTGTCTATAGCCTCAGCCATCAAACTCTAGATTCATTCCAGCTAGGCTTTGACCATGTCTCCCAAACAATTTCAGTACATATGGCCCAAAAAGTGGAAGCTCATTGACGGATCATTCATGATCATCATTATTGTTAGGATGTGACTTGTCGCACCATATACAAGACTAATAAAAACATCTATAAAAATTATATATATATATATAAATTGTAGAGGTCTCTTCTCCAAATTTATAGCAGAAAAGGCTTTGGACACAAAAGTGAGAAGGAGTTATATCTATTAAAAAAATAAATGTCTTAGTTTTTTAACTAAAATCATCCCCTTCAAGTCATATGATTATATTTTTTTCATACGCATCATAGGATTTATTTCAATAAGCCTTTATAAAGAAAGTGTCTTAATCTTGCTTGATGTTTTTTGTCCTTTTGAGGTGGACTCTCTTGGCAATAATGAGCATTTTGTTTAATTTTTTGATTATTTATCTAAAAGTTTATATGTTATGTTTACTTGTTGATGTTGAAAGTTGAAGTGCTTGATAACTTTCAACACTTTCATGCAATGATAGAAAGATTGAAAAAAGAATAGTTGAAACCTCTCAAAATGACTATGGAGACAATATAATTATAAAATGATGAAAGACTATCTATAAAGTCATGGCATAAGACATTAAATATATTATTTAGTATCACCTTTTAGAGTTCTTATAACTATTATATTGTCAAATTTACATTGAGCAGATACCTAAATGCCTACAATATATTATTGTAATCCTTGACATAGTCTGATGTTATTTTAAGACCATTTATAAATTATTTTGTATCTTATTATTTTCAAAGAGTCAACTCATGAATTGGCAGCTTTGGTAACAATTTTTTTACATTTTATGTGATATTTGGTAATTTTATATTGTTATTGTGTTGTGTGATTACTAATTTATTAAAAATACCCTCTATCCAATAACTATTAATGAAGTCCCTTGAGTACTTGGGATTAGTTGCTTGGAAAAAAATTATTCACTTTGCAAAAAGTAAGTATACTCACTTAGCATAGTGATGTTTAGTATGAGTATAAGTGAGTACAAGGTGTACTTAGGCTGACCTAGAGCTAGAATCTAAATAAATATTTTGACAGTAGTTATGCCTATCTAAGGTATGAATTTTGGAGGAGGTCGATTAAAGCCTTAATATTTAATGGATTGTAGTGACACATGTTCTTAGAACTTAGGTACTACCCTTAAAGAGTGGAGTAAGTTTATTTTAGCAAGTTATGTCTACTCATTAGTTAGCTCACTTCACTCATAAGTAGAAATCATGTAGAAGTCTGAAAAATATTAATTTATCTGTATATTGGTCCCTCTCTCATTAATTTATGATTAACACCTAGTGCACCACATCAGAATTGAGTGCTCGAAAGGACGAATCACCTAGTTGTAGAGATAGTTTGCCATATATTGATGATTGCTAAGTTACTAAAATTTTTCCAAGGTGTAAGGCCTTTGCTTGTATGTATCCAAAGAATCCAAAGAAAAAACTTAATAATAAAACCATATCATGCATCTTTCTAAGCTATAGAAATTGTAGATTTGGCTGCATATAGTGGGACCTAGAAAAGAAAGATCACCTAAAACATAAATGTTATACTATACAAGGACTAAAGAGATGCTTCAATGGCTAGGGCAGAAGGGTGATGATGTAAACATGGCTGCCCATATGTTGGTATCTTGTTCATATTAGGATAAGCACCCATCTTGTGGCACGTGGATAGCTAGTGTGTAGGCAAGTTAGGCAATATAGTAATGGGAATGGGTCTTAACTCACACTATTCTTGTTCAAAGGTATGTGGTGGGGACCATAAGGAGAAAAGAGTCGATGTGTCACACATTATGCAAGAAAGAGGATGGTCAAACTTTTAAGTTTCCAATGCTCACTTACATCAAAGGTAAGCCATGGAAGATGGCGACAACAAATAAGTGATGACATATGCCTCCTGATCATCTTGAGGAACAACTGGGTGAGGGGGGGGGGGGTCTTAATTTGAGGGGTTTAGTATATCAACAATGAATAGATCATGGTTGATGTATATTTTAGCACATTAATCATAATTTGATGTTCCACATTAAGATACAATGTCCCCTAACGTGGGCCTAAATCATTAGATATTTATAACATTATAGATCCTTGCGGAACAAATTCCATTGATAAGTCAAGAAATTACTTTGTAGGCAACTCAATGGTAGTCACTGTGTTAATATTAAATGGGTAAGGAGGAGGTCTTATACATGATCTTTCTAAGGGCTTTTGGCGTAATGGGTCTTCTCCAACATTGACTTGATAATGAAGTGTTGACCAAAAGAATTCGGAATTAATAATTGTGTGGAATGCCTTTTATTGTTCTTGATCAGATCACACGAGTCTTTCAATCTTAAACTCTTATCAAGCTAGTAACACATCTCAATTTATATATTTTTAATGGGAATATAATGTAGTATAAAGAGGATCATTTCATGGTTGTTGGGGCAACTTATGCCCAATTATTATACACTTTTTTTAACACGTGTAGCATTAATTTCGTCCGTATATATTGAAAACTTATTGCCGCAGTAGGCATGCGATGACGGTTTCTTGTAGACGACAACAACTCGTGAAAAGCCCATGTTTTGGACGTTATCATATTTTAACCTTTATCACCGCCCAAAAATGGGCCCGCAGATCTCTCCAACGTGAGAATTAGCCGTCAGTCCGACTGACAGAATCACAGCGAGAGAGAGAGAGAGAGAGAGAGAGAGGATAGTTAGTCCGCTGGCTACGTTCCACGTGTATGCTTGATTTGATGGGATATTGCACGTGAAGGACGATCTCTCTGCCGTCCTCCAGGGAGAAAAGGCCATAAACCCATGTGAAAGCATGGGATTTTATTGAATGCGATGGGGACTCTACTTCCACGTGTTCAGGTCCATACTTGCCCTATGGCCCACTTGTTCACGGATTTGGGCCTCGAATAAGGCCCATTACGTTAAGCCCATACCCGATAGTTTGGGGGACAGTTTCAAAGACCCGATAAGAATCCGGCGGTGGAAAGCTGGGGCCCCTCTGTTTATAGTGGAGCGGGTGGGGGTGCTGGTTTCGAGGTTTAGTTCTTTACAGGCTGTGGGGACCTCTTGTGCCTTCGCTTACCTCCCCATTCTCTCCCTCTCTCTCTCTCTCTCTCTCGCTCGCTCGCTCGCTCTCGCCAGAGATCGATCCTTGTACTCTTGCCGCTCCCTGTTCTTTCGGCTATCGGAGGATCCCTCTCGACCCGGAGGGCGGGAGCGAGAACCCTAGGCGAGGGCATCCAACTACCACGATGGTGGCTCTCCGCGTTGTCGCAACGTTCGGTGCCCTAATCCTTCTGTCGGTGGGCCTCGTTGTTCTACCTCAGGGCGCTGCTGCCAACTCGGAGGGGGACGCCCTCTTCGCGCTCCGGAGCAGCCTCTCCGACCCCGATAAGGTGCTGCAGAGCTGGGATCAGACGTTAGTCAATCCATGCACCTGGTTCCACATTACCTGCAACCAAGACAATCAAGTCACCCGTGTGTAAGACACCGCCTCCGTGGATCTCTTGATTCCTCGTTTTTACTAGTACTTGCACTTATAAAGGCACCCGGTTATCCCTTGTAGAAGTCGATAGGCTTTCTAATTTTTGTTCGCCTTATTTTTTGAATAACGAGCTAGTCTGTATCGTGTACTTTGATTCGAGGATTGATCTTGTTGCAATGTCATGTTAAAATGCACCGCTGTGCAAAATTTTCGAACTATTACTGTATTATTTTCGTCTCGGAAGATTGGACTCGTGAAATGTCGGCATTTTTATATAATTTTTCCATGTTTTTCGATCAAATTGAAGTTTTTTCGATATCTACATATTTTGTGTGTTTACGAGCCATCAGCTTATCTTTCTATTTCTAATTGTTTAGACTCTCGTTGGATAATTGAAAGAAAAAATAATAAAAGGTTCTTCGATCTGCAGTGATTTAGGAAATTCCAACTTGTCTGGACACTTGGTACCTGATCTTGGAAAGCTTGAACATCTTCAGTATCTGTAAGCCTATTCTCTTTTATCTTAGAATCTCCACTATAGATGTTTACCTTCTTATCATGCATTAATTTTAATTTCGTCTCTTGTGGTTTGGAGAGATGCTTGCACAATGTGTTGACATTTAGTCGTCTCCTTTAGATTTTTTGGCCCTTATTATGTATGGGAGTTGTCGAAGAAGTAAACATCACCAAAATAATTTTGCGTTATTTTTCAAACCTGTGTCTGTATCTTGACATCCCTGCCATTCCCAGTGAAACTATTGCAAGAGACTTCGGAGCAGATTATTTTATTTTATCTTATTTTTCTCTTGAAGAGAGGATTCATGGTATCATAGTTTACTGCAGTGTCTTATCATGCTTAGCAACATGATGCCAAAATCTTACAGAGTAGGAAAAATAAAAATTAAGTATTAGAGTCACTAATGTTTTACATTGTTTAATTTGACCCTCTGAAGTTGGCTTCTGCCTATTTTTAAGGTTGTTCTATGAAAAAGGTTACGCATAAAGTATGAGTTCCAGCCTTTATTCATGTTAGGATCTTATGATCAGAAGTCCGTCCGAGATTTGAAGGGAATGTGATGTCGGTGACCACTAGGGTAGATGGGGCAATGATATAAGTGGGAACGGTGATAAGCGACCCTGCACTTCCCAGGACAAAAATAATCTCATTTAGTTTGAGTCAGCTTCTTGTACAGACAACTTCTAGTCTCTTTTAGGCAATTTCTAGTCTCTTTTAGTTAAAGTCCTTGACAAACTCAAATGGAATCGGAAATAAATGATTTTAAGGGGCCAACATGTGAGTGCTAAGATTCAGGAACAACACGTTTCAAAAATTTCAGATTGGAATGATTAAAGTTTATAGAGAAAACGATGATAGTCTTACGTGCACATTTAGTCTTTTTTAATTTCGGATGGAGTTTATGGTTGCTTTGATTATAAAATGAATCCATGAAACGCATGCTACATGGATGGCTGATCAAGTTCTTGTTCCTTTTTCACGAGAGTATTCTCAGTCTAAAACTTCCTCAGTTCATGGATTTACTCTCCAATGCTCGAATTTGACTTCATGTGATCGTACCATCACACTTGTTCCATAGAAGGGTCTCATCACTTACTCCTTCAAAATTGGGGCTTTGCCTTGAAAATATGTCCAAGTTCCTCCTATCTCTTGAATAGAAGAAAGGAGACTGAAGAATAATATTTTTTGGAATTTTTGGAGATTGTGTAGTGTAAGGAGCTATGGGTATCTTTGAATGTGATGGTAAAGCTTTCTCACTGTTCACGCTGGATTACTTGTTTTCGGTTGAATCTTTTTCTGCATTTTTTTTAAATTATTTTATTTTATTGTTGTTTTTCCTTGGTGAATAAGGCTTGAGATTGAGTTTGCATACTAGTATTATTTCTTTTGCGATTCCTCATTTTATTTAAGGTTTTTATTGCTCGATATGAAAGGTAAGTGGCGTGTATCGTAGGGTTCCTCATGATTCCTTCTAGAGCCAGTCAATCTTGAGGAGTCAGTCTTTCTACAGAATCAATATACCTACTAATGTTGCATCAGGATCAATCAGTGATTAACTGAAGTAGTGTTATCGGTGTTGAAAGGCAGAGTATGGAAGAGCGTGGTGAGTTGTCAGTTTTCCTTTCTCATTCTCACATGGGAGGTGTAAATTTGATGGTTCTGTGAAAAGACTCAGATTGGATATCGAGGAAAATGATTGATTGTTTTGCTTCGGTCTGCTATGTTATAGGTCATATGAAAGTAAAGCAGTATGTAATTTGTTGAAAGATACAAGAAGTTCGCTGATATTAGAGAAAAGGCATTGGTAGCTATAGAGAACTAAACCGATCAAAGTACGCTAGTGGTAGGTGTTTACAGCTGATGCTTGATGTTAAAAGGCTGCAATCTTTCATATTTAGAGGATACAATTGTTGGTTCCAAATGGGATAGAATAAGTACCAAGATGCTGGAGGGGTTTGTGTGTGTTGTCGTTCCTTTCCTTCAAATTAGATCACCCAATAAAAGAGGCGAAAGAAGAGAAGCACTGACAGCCTCACAGTGCTTGTGATTTTTTATTGGCTGGACACAATCGTCCATGCCGACTCTCCAGGCCAAAACTCTGATGAGTTATCACTTTTGCTCGTGGTTTCATCAAAACCTTTGCAGACCTAAAGTCAACAACAGTATGTGCCGACCAATGATGGTCTATATTGGAATCATTCCAAGAATGTGATACATAGGGGAAGCAGTTTTAGAGGTTTTTCCAGTTGAAATTGGCCATACGGCCCGACCATTCGGGATTTTGTAATCATCATTTCAATCTCAGAATCGAATTACGGTATTTACATTATGCTAAGAATTTTGGACAGATTATTTCCCCCCCCCTGCATAATTTGGACCTATGACAGATGGGTGTCCATCATTAGGTGCTATTGAGCTCAAAGAGAAGTCATCACACATGTGGAATGTTCCATTTTCAGTGTTTTTGTATGATTTTTGTTTTTGCCCATAATGTACAGGCTAACCTCAAGAATTTCAAAATTAACTGTTGCCTAAGTTTAACATGACTAAGAGATAGTTTTGTGGAAGCAGACAGTTATAAGGTGTTTGATTCGAGAGTTCGTTTTAGGAGATACAGGTATCTCGATCAGTTTCGTTCAGCATAAAAGGCATGTTGGTACCAAATTCGTTGTGAATTTTATTGGAAATCACATTACGCGATCACCAAGGTTAATCATATGTACCATAAGTTCAAGGCAGTTCTTTAGGTCTAAAGAAGGAGAGCATTGCATAGGACAGAAAAAAATGGAATGGTCTCTCTTTGTTTCTTGCTTTCTCATATCCTTGTTCTTTCCCATGTTTCTACACTCCGAACCAGTTTTGTTTTTACCTGCTATTGCGTACTATGTTATTTGGAACATTAGATGAACAAGCAATATAAGAGAAACATTTATGGCTTCTATCTACACTTCTTCATCTATTTCCCTGATGTGGCTTCATGTTGTTTACCTTGTTTATTTTCTTGATCTTCAATCTTCATCCATGTTTTTCGGAGAACAAACTGAGGATACAGGATTCGCAAGGATTTAATTACCCGTATTATGCCTGTTTATTCCAATCAACAGCCAGCACTTTATCTTCTCTAGAAACAGGCATCAGAATATTCCCTTTTTGATATATTTTTTTTCCCTGAAGGTTTTATACGCGTTCTATTCAAGAAACAATCTATTCTGTCATTTGTTTGTTGTTATTTGCTTGACTTGTTTAACAGACCTCAATGCTGCTCTTTTCCAAAACACCGCCCCCTTAAAAAAAAATGGCATGGTTGTCCTCCCATTTTACAGTTCGAAAGGAACAGCAGTTATTAGTAGTCACTGGTTATGGATGTTGTGCATGTCATTCTTTTAAGTTGCAGATAGTGTCTATTTTTAGAAATCCTGTGCACCATAGGCCTTATGTCCTTATTCTTCTGGATCTTGTTGATAATTTATTCCCTGGGCGTTGCCTTCAAATTATTCTCTTCAATTTTAATTTTCTAGATTTTTTCGTGCAGGGAACTTTATAAAAACAATATTCAAGGGCCAATTCCATCTGAGTTGGGAAATTTGAAGAGCCTTATTAGCTTGGACCTGTATAACAACAATATTTCCGGCATTATTCCTCAATCGCTGGGCAATATAAAATCTTTGGTTTTCCTGTAAGTTTACTTCTTTTTCTTTTTGTCTCTTATCGATCTTAAACGCTGCTGTTAATATGTTTAGAATTCACATCAGAGTTAAGAAATTTACCTTCTATATAGCCCGAGTGATTGATTATAGATGCTCAGCAAGGTAGTAAATCTATGACCGCACATCGTTCCTTTTAAATGCTCGGTCAATTCTGATGGGTTTCTCCATCTCTCTAGACGGCTCAATGATAACAAGCTCACTGGGAGGATACCGAGGGAGCTCACCAAGATTTCGAGCCTCAAAGTTGTGTAAGTGGGAGGGGTTCGATTTTTCTGTGATTTCCTTATCCTTTCTAATAATTGTTTTGCACTTTTGACGCTACATTCGTGTACGGGTTTGCCAGAGACGTCTCAAATAATAATCTCTGTGGAACTATCCCCACTTCTGGACCCTTCCAGCACATACCCCTGAGCAAGTAAGTCTCTCTCTCGCTCTCTCTCTCTCTCCCTCTTCAGTGATTTTAATGTCCGAAAAATGATTCTCAGTACCTCCACTTCGGATTTTCATCAATAACTGCCATGTCTCCACCAAGATGAGCCCCGGATATTGATAGCCTCCTACCCCTCCCTGAAAACTTAAAAAGCCCATTTTTATTGTTCCATGAGTTGCCTCTCTCTCTCTCTCTCTCTCTCTCTCTCTCCCTCTCTCTGTGTTCCTGTGCAAAGGTTTCAAAGGGGTCGAAGGCCATTCATCCGCACCTGCTGATTTGATTCATCGGCCCCTGCCAAAAAGTTTCATTTTTGGCATGCATACGGAGGTGAAAACCCTACAGATTTCTGATCATCCTTTCTTGGTTGCAGCTTCGAGAACAACCCCCGTCTGGAAGGCCCCGAGTTAGAGGGCCTGGCGGTCTACGACACAAACTGCTGAACTGGAAGCGCCTCCCGGGGGATCCTATATCATTTAGGTTGTGAAAGTGACGATGATGATGTAAATCTATTCCATATGACTGCCAGAGAGAAGTCCCTCTCGGTTTGATTATGTAGATATGTGTCGGGGTGGATGGATCCCTTCATCTTGACGAGGAGCTCGCCAGCCATAAGGCTGCTCTCAACCCCTTATGCAGACTGTTTACAGACGGTTTTGCGATTATCTTTGCTTGTATTTTATATGCCCTTCCTCCCTATCTCTCTCTCGCTATCTCTGGCTGGGTGGCTGTTGCCGTGGCGAGGGAGAATGATGAGGGGAGCGATAGCGAAGCTAGGATGGGCGAGGGCCTGCGGCGGTGGGGCAAGAAGGTGGGGCGGATGCGTGCCGCGGCACGAGGGGGTGGCGAAGGAGACGGCGGACGCGGTGGTGATCGGCGCCGGCGTCGTGGGGATCGCCGTGGCGAGGGAGCTGGCCCTGAAAGGGCGGGACGTGCTGGTGCTCGAGTCCGCTCCCACATTCGGCACCGGGACCAGCTCCCGCAACAGTGAGGTCGTCCACGCCGGTATTTACTACCCCCGCGACTCTCTCAAGGTGAGAAACCCTTCAGCCGCCGATCCCGCCGGAGTAGAAAAACAGGAGCCGTAGGAGTAGATAACCATTTTTCTTCTTTTCTCGGTCGTTCGGCGCCCGACTGGCTCGTTCTAAGAAAAAATTCGGCGGAAGAACTACCAATGAGTGGGGAGCTTGAAACATTCCGTATCAAGGACGATCGATTTGCGAGAATCATCGGATTTTCGGAAAATAAAAGCATGATAACGCTCGCCCACGTTGAGCCATGAAATCTGTGATGCAGATTGCGTTCGGATCATTCCGTAGTCTGTGTTCCCTAGTTCTATTTGCATCCCTATATTTGATACCAGGGAATGAAAAAGTAAACGGAATTTTTTTCCTCCACCGACGAAGATTACCCATCTTCATCTCCCAGATCCCTGTTCTTCTTAAAAAACGTCTCAGCTGGCTGATCCTTGAAATCTTCGTTGAGTTTCTGAATCGAGCTGCTTCTCTCGTATGAACATATTTGGGGCGGGGGAGGGCAGAAAATTGAAGCAATTTTTTAAAAAATAATCTGACGACTCTTTAGCTTCTTCAGAGATTCCTGTGATTAGATTAAAGTTTCCTTCAAATGCTTTAACTTTGTTCATAAATCATCCTTTTTCTCTGTGAATAATTGGATCTGATATTACCATGTATGAAGAGAATATGGTCATCACTGGCCATCGCCAGACCAAAGAAGACCATCCTTTTTAGGTAATAAGCTACTTCTGAACATTATTTACGGTTTGAAAGACTGGAAGTTTCGGGGACAAATTCATCAGCCCATTTTATGCGCTGATGATCGTGCCTATTCCGTCTCCTCTTCCTTGATCACTTCGCACCTATGCATACAAGTGGTGATTTTTTTTTAATTTATGAGGGTTGAGAAAGCCGGAGAAAACGCAGAAAACACATCCATGGATTCTAATGTATTTATTTAACATGATCTGTTGTACCAGCGTGAATCATGATCTTCTCAATAATTTTTTTCTCAGGCAAAACTTTGCGTTAGGGGTCGGGAATTGCTCTACAGGTATTGCTCCGACCGGGAGATTCCTCATAGTCAGATCGGCAAGCTCATCGTTGCCACTGGGGCTGCAGAGATCCCAAATCTAGAATATCTCTTGAGACGAGGAGCAGAGAATGGTGTGGAGGGCTTGAGAATACTAGAGGGCTCAGAAGCCATGCGCTTGGAGCCTGAACTGCTATGCGTTAAAGCCTTGCTGTCAACTTGCTCTGGCATTGTGGATTCTCATTCTCTGATGGTCGCCTTGTTGGTAACTCTCTTAACTTCAAAAATCATCGTTCTGCAATGTTCTGATCCTTTTTGTATCATCCATGTATAACGCAGCTTTTAGCTTGTTTCTTGTTTATATGGATCTGGATGGTCCCTTTGATTTTATAGGTCTGCATAATGGAATAAAACATTAATGGGATTTAATCTGCGTTTAACTGTGAAAATTAGAACATGATTTTTTTATTAAAGTATTTTAGATGTTAAAGTATTTTTATTAAACTAGAGGAGAAAAGAGGAGAATGGTAAAATCCCATCTAAGGTCCACTCGTTTGGTCAATGGTGGAATTATAATTCTTTTTTTTTTCTTAAATTATTTTATATGTTAAAATGTTATGCTAGAGGAGAACATAGGAGAATAGTAAATCACATCTAAGGTCAACGCGCTTAGTTAATGCCCCCTTAACCATCACTTGACTTAGTCTGCTTGAGTTACTGACACCAAGACGAGTAGACCCATCTTTATATTAGCCCATCCATCTCAAAATCGATTGACAATGAATGAATTATACCATCTTTACGATCATAAGCCTATAAGTCATAGCTTTTCTATGTTGCACATCGTCTTAGATTTTTTCCATGTGACTAGGATATTCTAAAAAAAGGCCTAAATAGGCAATATCATCGCCTTTCAGCTGAACAATAACTCTTAATGCCATGCTAGAGTTATTGGGTCATACAACTCAAAACCAGTTGACCGAGAATTCTGGACTAAGCCCATCTTTATGATCATAGTTTTATCTCTATAATAATTCATACGGTACGATTCTTAACAGAGTTCTTTGCGGGATTTGATCTGTTGAATGGCTAGTCATGGACCTCTTGCATCTGATAAAGGTATTCTTAAAAAAATGTTACTATATATAATAATGCCGTCTCTCAGCTATGTTCTTACTTTTTCTTGCTGTGATATTGCTGTTATGCCGGACTCTGATTATGCAATGTGGACTCAGGGGGAAGCTGAGTGCCACCGAACAACAGTATCTTTCAACACTACTATCATAGGAGGCCATGTTGAAGATGGACGCCTTCATCTGCATATTTCTGAAACCAGAGATGTTGAGAGGGGGCTTGCTGATTCCCCTCTGACACCCGAACTTGTGGTGACTCCCAAGCTTACTATCAATGCTGCTGGGCTTGGTGCCGTCTCTTTGGCAAAAAGATTCCGTGGGTTACCCCCTGGAGTCACTCCACCCTCATATTATGCTCGGGGGTGCTACTTCACCTTGAGTGAGACCAAGGTTCCTCCTTTCAACCACTTGATCTATCCTATCCCAGAGAGTGGCGGCCTCGGGGTCCATGTCACCATAGATTTAGGCGGGCATGTCAAGTTTGGGCCAGACGTAGAATGGATTGATTCTCCAGACGAAACGTCAATCTTACTCAACAGGTATATGACTACAGCATTCAAGAGAAAAACTCTCAGTTTGTGCCCCTGGGTTTTTTTATGATCGAATTTCTCAAAGTGTTAATTTTCAGTTTGATTTTTTTTTCAACTAATATCCTTTATTGCATATTTATATTTAGAAATGTGAAAATGGCTGTGAATACGTAATCAGTTTTATGAATATATTCATGGTTCTGGCTTGGGAAGCTCTCAGTTCAAGTGTGCCTGGACATTTTTTAATGTTCGATGTTTAATTTGTTTAATTTTTCTTGTAACCCAAGTGCTTGAGTTTGTACTTTTTCTAGAAATATGAAAATGGGTATATATAATCATATATATATTTTTTTGTGGTTTCTTGCAAAAACTCAGTTCAAGTAAACTTTTTCAATGGCCTACTTTTTCAGTATAATTTATTTTGGATCCAATGTGCTTGGTTTGATATTGTAGAAAAATGAGACTGATTGTATATATATATACAAAACTTTTATGAATTCATTCGTGGTTCTTACGTAATAAAGATTGCAGAATTTCTGACAGACCAGCATCTTGATGCTGTTCATGATTCTAGTGTTCTGTACTATTAACTTTCATCCAAGTCAAGTTGTGTTGACCTCATGTGTTCTTCAGGTTTGACTACTCAGTTGAACCCAGTCGTTCGGACAGATTCTACTCTGAAATAAAAAAATACTACCCAAATCTCAAGGACGGATCTCTGGAGCCCGGATACGCTGGCATCCGAATCAAGCTTTCTGGCCCTGGGGATCCTCCCGCTGACTTTCTAATTCAGGTAACTTTTCTGGAAAAAATTTCATACTGTTCTCAGTTGATTAAGTAAAAATTAATTGATAATGCCACGATTGGTCATCCTGTAGTGAAAGGATCTTTATGATTTTTTAGTCTCTGAAATTGTGAGGAATCCCTTCATACGTAGAAATGCCGAACGTGACATAAACTTGATCATAATATCTTCCTTATTTATTTCGTAAAAAAGTCTAGAAAAATTAGATCCCAACCCATACTTCCACGAATCTTGGAGCTGCACCTACGTGGAGAAAAACTTTGACCGGGCTCTGAGCCCACCTTGTCCGTTGACGAACGACCCTCCTCTTAATTCCAATTCGGAGAATTCATTGCATAAGTTGTTCTTGTTCGTGAGCTGATGCTTCCCTTTACTTGAAAAAAAAAAAAAAACAGGGCGAGGAGACTCACGGGCTACCTGGGCTGGTGAATCTGTTCGGCTTCGAGTCACCTGGTCTAACATCGAGTTTGGCGATTGCAGAGTACGTTGCATCACAATATTCTAAGTGATCACATTCACGATGGTTGGGAATCCCTTGTGAGAGATTGGAGGAGAGATTCCTACGCCCGGTAAAAAAGAGATTTTTGGTTTGAGCATTCCAAAGGACTATCTTGTTTCAGATTACCGATCTTCTGTCAGTAGCCAGGAAGAGGATGATCAGCGCTTTCATATCTCACAGATCGCTGTGTTCCGGGGACGGTGTTCGAGAGAATGCCGCAAATGGGATACTCAAGAACGGAGAACACTCGGGTTAATTGAAAGAGGATGAGAGACGGGTTTCACTTCTGCCCCGCACGAGATTTGCAGGCGAGCTGGATTGCCACCCAGTAGGCGCAAGAAGGCGATTTGAATCCGCCGTCCCTGAAGAGTAGAGAGAGAGAGAGGAGCCGCGCGAAGGAAGGGAGCCTCAACAGGCGGGGGAACCGACCAAGAATATGGAGGACAGGCAAGAATGAGGGTCCTGTACATGCCGGGGGATCACACCGGCTTCGGCTGGATCTGCTCAAAGTCGAACACCTCGAACATCAGCCGCCGCACGTCGGGCTTCCCGTAGATGGCGTACGACAGCCCGTGGATCGCCTGCTGGACGGCGGTCGTGGCCGGGTTCCTCAGCCGCCGGTTGTGCTCGTAGGAGTCCTGCACGGGCTCCCCGTAGATAATGAACTTGTGGAGATGCTTGTCCCTCAGATAGCGCCCGCAGAACTTGTTCAGCAGCATGCGGCGGTGCTTCTGCTGCAGCCACAGGCCCGGCGCGTCCAAATGCTTCATGAGCAGCCTCTCCGCCATCACCAGATCCTGGAGAGAAGCAAGCACCATGCAGATCTTGGTCGGTTTCAATCAGAATAAATAGGGGAAGAAACTATGGGGAAGAAGGGCTACCTGGATCTTCTGGCCCAGATATTCTAGCCGTTCCAAGCAAAAGCGGGGGTGCTCGAACTTGTACTTGGACGGGTGAAGAAAGCAGAGCTGCCATTCAAGGAAAATAAGCATGAAAAATCGATATTTTCTTACTGAAATAGCAAGTTCAACGAAGACGAAGGTGTTTACTTCGTGAATAATAAAAAAAACAACGCCGGGTTCGTAACCCAGTTCCCAAAATCTTCTTCTCCGCAAGGAAAACTGCCCTCATCAAACCCAACCACCACCAAAATCCTCGTGAAGGTGAAGACGCAACCCACTAAAATCTTCCAGTTTTCCCAACTCACAGCTTACCATCTACCTGATCTCCCATTCCAAGAAACACTGACACATTCAGAGAGAGAGAGAGAGAGAGAACCTGAAGTCCGAGACCCAGTTCGATATTCCGGGCTTCGGTGATCTCTGGGATTCTGTCGTTCATCGGCAGCGGATAGCCCAGCGCTTGCATGACCCGGGGCCTGCACTCAAAATCCCAGATGTTCCCCCGGAAACGGTGCATCCCCGGGGGAACGCAGGCCCTGAAGAGCCTCGGGTGCGCGAAGAGAGCATCTTGGGGAGGCTGTAAAGGAGCAATTGGATCTCAATGTTGAAAGATAGAATACGACGAAAGTTGAGAGCTCATGAACTGAGCTTCAATGGGCGGAAGGGAGGCTTCTTGCCTTGTAGGCTGCGACGTCCTGCCAGCTGAGCTTTCTGTCCTCAAATTCGACGGAGACATGGTCTACGTCTTCCAGTTGTCGCCTCAGCTTGGGCTGGCAGCTCTCGTCCTCTGGGTCCATTCCGAACACTTCAAAGAGGACCCGGTAGACCTCCGGCACCCCGAAACATAGATAGATTGCTCCAAATAGTGCCCAAAACACAGACCTGAAGAAACAACCAAGAAGATATAGCAGACAGACGTGGAGAATAGCTACTATATATATATATATATATATATATATATAGATATAGATATATATATGCATGCAAGAGGGTAGTACGCCAGAAAGGTAAGCTGGATTCGCTGCTTTAGGAGAAAAAAAGAAGAAATGGTGGAGATGCCATCGAGCCTGACATTTTCGGATGATTTTCTAAAGAACATCTGGAAAACAATCCCATAAAGGCAAAATAGCATAAGTTGAGGGAAACTTGATAACCCGTATTGGAATTGGCGAACCCAGTAGTGTTTATGGACGACAAATAGGAAAAAAAAGGTGCACTCTGGAACTGGTCTGAGGAATCAAGTTTTTTTCTTGCTCCTACAATTTTCTTTTTCTCTATCAAATGCATCGCAGGGAATCTCTCACAGTGAGCTCGGATGGATGACTTCAAAGGGAAAGCATCTGCTTAGAGGCATGGTAGAAGATTCGCAGACAAATTTCTGATGAATAAAATGCAGAAAAAAGGGGGAAATTTTCAGTTAGAAAGGAGGGCTCACTTCACGGGGGGCTCTCTGTCCTTTCGGATCATTCTGTCCATATCTTCGAAGGGGAAGACCAGGTTCTGCAAGCTCGCTGCCTTAATCCACTTGGGCAAGAACCTCTTCCCAATCATTGAAAAGACCCTCTCCCTCATTGGCGCCGGGGACTCCCTCGGATATTTTTGCAGGAAAAACTCCGCAAATGCCAGTTCGAGCACGTATTGCCCCAAGAAGCAGAGCCGCGAGTGCCCGTTTCTGACGTGCCTCGCGTTGGTCCTCTCGCACGAAGGGTGCTGGAAAGCCAGGTAGAGCAAGGTGTCGAATTGCTTCGCTGGGTTATCGTCCCCGAGCTCCTCAGTGGGCTCTAATGGGTAACCCAGAGCTTGCTTCGCCTCTAGAAGATACTCTTCTATCCATGTTCTATCCGCATTATTCAACCGGGAGGAGGGCAAGCAAGAACTCAGAAGAGGAAAGGACTTCAGAGACAGCTGGGGGCTTTTCAGGAACCTATCGATCAATTTGGCATCGTCCATCGGAGGTTTCAGGATGAATCTCTTGGGAGGGACCCTCTTCTTCGGGAAGGCGGCCTTCTTACGCTCGGCGAGCTCCTTGAGGAGCCTCTGGGGGCTGTTCTGGGGTGTCTCCTGGTTGACGGCGACGGCATGTACTGGGGTTCTCTGTAAGGTGGTTTGCACGGATTTGGAAGACCTGAGGCGACTCCTGACGGGAAATGGGCTGAGAGAGGAGGAGAAGGAAAGCTCGGGCATGGGACTAGGCAGCAGGTTCCTGGCGAGGGAAGAGGCCTCCATTCCTGCGGCAACAGAGGAACCCAAGCTCTCCGAAGAAGAATTCGACGGCTCGCCGTGGGGCTTCCGCCCTCACGAATCGAGCTGGTTTCGCAGGGTTTTGGGTTCCTGCAGAGGAAAACAATCCCCCGGGAGGATAAGACGAGCGTTGGGGAAGAAGACGCCTAGATGTAGATATTCAACCTCAACGATGGAATCCACGCCGTTGATTCTACATCTGCTGGATGACAAAAGCCATAGACATTTTGAGTATATATAAAATTTAATTCTTAATCAGGTATCAAATATAAGAGCATCGTCTGAGATCTAAATGAAGTCCAGTCCAGTTCCGGCGTTTACCCTCGGTCAATCCGCATGGCGAATCCGAGGAGGGCCAGTGGTCTTCACCTCCAGAACTTCTCCGACGAGGAGACTCCCCTGCCCCAGCAACCCACGCCGCCCTCTCGGCTCTTGTCCATCGTGGTTTTCCTGAAAAGGCCCCACGCCTTCCCTTTCCTCCTCTCCTTCTTCGTCCTCCTCACTTGGGTCTCCCTCAGGTTCCATAATCCCCAACCTCGTTATAGCATCAATGGTTCGTCGTTTCCTACTGCTGCTTCTTCTCTATCTCAGCGGGAGTCGGCGGACAGGGATGCCAACCTGGTGCGGTTCAGTTCGGTGAAATTCCCTTCTCAGTTCCTCAAGGACAAGAGGGGATGGCTACTTAACCCTGTCACTGCTGCTCGAGATGCCGGCATCTCTGGTTCGTAGACTTTATTTGTTTTCTTTCTGTGCGTCTTTCCCTATTTTTGCATCCTATAATCTGTATCTTTGCCCGAGTAAAGCTTTTGGTTCTTCGTGGCTGTATTCCATCCGATGTTTCAATAGAGATTGTGATTTCGGAAAATTATGGATCTCCATGTGTATCAAATGAATGTTCGTTCGTTTAATTAATCGAAATAAATTCTATCGAATGCATTTCATGATCGGACAATGCGTTAATTTATTGTGCGTAAATGTAGTTTCTGATTGTTTCATTTTACGATCAGACGTGTGCATTTCCTTCCTTAGGGTTTCATGATGATTGTTTTTATGTTTTTCAAAGGGTTCCGGGTTTATGTGATCGAAGCATTTAGCTCTTATCGGTGGAAGCATCTAGACAGAAGCCCACTGTGCGGGAAACATGAAGATACCTACGTGCATTTCTCGTCTTTTTGTTTGATAAAAAAAATTAACCATTGGCCAAATATGGGTCCATACTGTCCGCTCTCCTTTGTTGACTCCGTGGTTGGATACTGATCAGTTAGAATGACTAATTAGGGTTCTCAATTCATACCTCACTAATTACACTTCACTAATGGCGTCTTTTTATCTTGTTCTCCTTGTGGTCTCTTTAACATTTAGGCTGGTTATTTCAATCTGCCTTCTCAGAAAAAAAACGAGATCCTGTTCGTAGATTGGCGTATTTTTTTTAGAAAAATTAATCAGTGACTAATTCCTTTGTCGCATTAACCTCATTCTATGCCTTATTTATGGATTTTGGAAGAAGGTTGGAGCTCAACGAAATTAATAGAATCCCGTCCAGTACAAGATTAAAATAACATTCATACAGCCGCCCACAAGAGATTCATCAATCTATATTTCTTCATTTTTGGGTAAATGAAGTAATATTTGGAAGAATGGGCCGAATCTGCATTGGTGAGAAGGGTCCGTCTTTCCCGCCAGCAGCTCCAGGATGTATGTATGTGCTCTGGAATAGTTGGAAGGTTGAACTGGGTTAGCTGACAATGGACGCTGCAAGCCATGTTCACTGCCTGAGATGCCTTGATGAAATCGGTTCCGTCATCTGGGATCAAGTTGTTGGCACAAGGCATGGCGTGATTCCATGAGAATGGCTCAATTCCGTGGAGATGTTGCACTGCTTTAGCCGTATCTGAGATTCTGCTGCTTTGGTATCAAAATTTTATGGGTTCTTCGCCTTAGACATTTTCCACCTGATAAGCTCGATCATGATTTGTAATTTTTAGGCAAGAGGAGAAGGAAGTGGTCATTTATCCGGGCACCCATTTCTCCTCAGATCTCGCATTTGCTTCCTACCCAACAAAACTTGGCTTCCCTTGTTAAAAGTCAGGCTATCCTTCACTACAGGCTGGAATATACTTTGCCATCTGTCTATCTTGATGCATAATTAATGTCAATAAATCTCAGTGGACTTCAGCTCAAGTTGAGAAAATAACTGAACTGACGTCCATCCAGCAGGGTTCGGTTATAGACGACTGCAAATCCCAAAGCCATCCAACAATTGAGTCGAATTCCTGTTGGGATTTTATATTTTATGATTTCTTTCGCATTTCTTCATAAACCGAAGCATCTCCAATATGTTATTCTCATGCCTACGCCCAGGAGCTTACGTTCTTGATTTATAAACAGTCTTCTTCTGATGTTTAAGCTTTGATTCCCCATGGCCATATCTTCCCTCTGAAGCTCCTATTACCTTAAGATCATCTTCTTACCCAGGAAAGTTTACCTGCAGGAGGAGCGATATCCTGTGCTTCAGTGCATGTGGGCGAGATCCGCCCCGGCGGGGTGAGGGGAAACCACAGGCACCGGGGCTGCAACGAGACGTTCATCCTCTGGGGCGCCGCCACAAAATTTAGGGTATTTTCTCGCTCTGTTGCTTGCGATTGGATTTTTTTTCCAAATACTGAAGCTTTAAACATGCGAGGATCATGCAGCTGGAGAACCCAAGCTTGGAAGGTGGCTACGCCGAAGCAACAATCGGCCGCGACGAGGTGGCAGTCGCGGCGAGCCCGAGCGGAAGAGCCCATGCCATAATCAACATCGATCCCCAACGAACAACCTTCCTCTTGGGCTGTCAGGATAGTTTGATCTTTTACAATGACTCGAGCACAGATTTCAACATTTGGAAGGGACTTTGATCCACGTCATCGTATACATTATGTAAATAACGTCGGATCTCGCTTTTATCTTCTTCAAGAAAGCATCGGATCGACACCCTTCCCAGAGTTTGATCGTGTACAGATCTTCAGGGTTGTTCTTCGGCAGTTTTGTTTGGTATGGGATTAAGATTGACTCTGAGGTCGTAATCAATGGGGAAGGCGATCTGACTTGTCGCTTGCCTTGTCCAGCTCCTCTGGGTGGGGGGCTTACCCTCCGGCGCATCTCTCGGAATCGTCCCTTCAAAGAAAAGACAACCGCTTCCGGGTTTTATAGCATAAATCGCCCTCGTATCAGCCCTCTACAGACAAGTTTCCTCCTTCCCTCTCTCTCTCTCTCTCTCTCGCTCTCCGCTTCTGTTTCTCTTTCTGTGTGGAGGCCATGGAGGGAGGGAAGAAGAGGCTGGCGACGCTGGTGGGGTGCGACTACGCCAACACGGCCAACGAGCTGCATGGGTGCATCAATGACGTGCGGACCATGCAGGAGCTGCTCATCCGCCGGTTCGGCTTCCACCCCCAGGACGTCGAAGTCATCACCGACGCGCCGGGCGCGGCGGTCCTCCCCACCGGCGCAACCATCCGCGCTGCCCTCTCCCGCATGGTTGACCGCGCCGCCGCCGGCGACGTCCTCTTTTTCCACTATAGCGGCCACGGCACCTGGTTCCCCTCCGGAAACCGCCGCGAGGAGGCCATCGTGCCCTGCGACTTCAACCTCATCACCGGTGCGACGACCCCAAAGACTAATCCATTCACCTCGTTTCTCTTGATCTTGCCGACAACAGCTGCTGAGTTTTAAGTATCCATGGGAGCGATTGCAGACGTTGACTTCCGCCAGTTGATCGCCCGCCTCCCGGCGGGGACGAGTTTCACCATCGTCTCCGACTCCTGCCACAGTGGCGGACTCATCGACAAGGAGAAAGAGCAGATAGGGTCGACTTCCGCCCGCAGCAGGGCGATCCCTTACGAGGCCATCCTCAGCCATCTGAGCTCGCTCTCGGGTATCCAGTCGCCCCACATCGGAGACCACCTCGCCGGAGTCTTCGGCGACACCGCGAGCCCAAACTTTCTGGGCTTCCACCGGGGCGGCCGAAGGAGACTGCCGGAGGCCGACGACGGGATCCTCCTGAGCGGCTGCCAGGCGAACGAGACTTCGGCGGACATCTCCGGCGGAGACGACCCGGCGGCGGCGGCCTACGGCGCGTTCAGCCACGCCATCCAGACAGTGCTGCGGGAGCACGAGGCGCCGCTCAGCAACCGGGAGCTCGTCGAGAAGACGAGGCTGCTGCTCGCCCAGCATCACTTCACGCAGCACCCTGGTCTCTACTGCAGCGACGAGAACGCCGCTGCCGCCTTCCTCCGGCAGGAGGAGGAAGAAGAGCCGCCAAGCTCGAAAGGAAGAATCCTCAACGATCTGTGAATAAAGAGCTTAAATGGGCTGCCGAACATAATGGTCCAATAAAATGGGTTAATAGATTATTTTGATATGGGTATTTATGGAAATGTACTTGCTTTGTCACCATTAGCGGTTCGTGCGGGTTGATGGGGGTAGGATGGTACTATGTAAAATGGCCTCTAAGAGGGAGGAGGGATCGTAGAGAAATCGACTACTTTTCTTTGTGACATCTTCCTCGGGGGACCATCGCGACAGATCTCCGTTCCGATCCGTTGTGGAGGGGGGATTTCTTTCAGGAGCAGCTTAACCATGGCGGGTCAGCTCACCGATGATCAGATCTCCGAATTCAAGGAGGCCTTCAGCCTGTTCGACAAGGATGGCGACGGTCAGATTCCTCGGGATTGGTTTCGGCGTGTCTCGCTAGCTCTTCGATTAAGATCTGATTGCATCTCGCTGGGTTTTCTGGAGCACCAAATCTTTGATCTAAAGTGTTCCTGGTTTTGTTTGTTAGCTTTTCATGCTTCCGAGCATTGCTTCGTGATTAAAGAATACGTTTCGGCTTGTAGATAACTTTGTCATTCTCGGGTCAGCTATTGTCCTCTGTGGAGAGATCTCTTACAGCTGAAACTATTATTGTAGACCGGGACTCTCTGTGTTGGACATGGAAATGATCTGATCGAGTCTGCGCCTATCAGTGTACTTTGTGGAAGAGGATTTACTTTGTTATATTTAGGGATAATAAATTATATGTTGCATACATGCCATATCTTAGAGTGATTTAATTGATTGCCTCATTTTTTTCTCTCAAGATTGAAACGTCTTCGGCCACTGTAATGAACAGGCTTAAGGGAGCTTTTGAGTGCGAGGCTATTGTTGTTGCAGAAGAAAGTGAGGATTTCGCTGCCAGATAGCTATGAAAACCAAAAATGCCTCTAAGAACAGGGGAGCCAGATGGCTGCTAGGACGACTGCTCGACAAGCATGACAGTCCTTGGTAATTCTGCGTTGAGGATTGGACCTTATATATGTAGTTTTTCCGAGGCTAAGAGAAGGGACTAAGGAGTGGGATGAATTGGGCTTTTTTAGAATATTGTAGAACTTCTATTTTCCTACTTAATCACCAGCGACCAAAAATGGGAACCAAAATTCTATTGCATCAACCTGAGAGCATTTGCTGTTCTGGTACTTCAATACACGTTCCCATGCACAATGTCTTTTTTGAGAATTCCGTTCCTCCCTGTGGTGTTTTTTGGGATACTAATGTGAGCTCTATGCAGTCACGGCATTCATATTGATCAGCAGATAATATGAACTCGGATGCTCGGTTATGTTTCTTTGTTAGACTACGATCTCGCCATCTGTTGATTTAGTTGGGAAGGTCTTCATATTTCCTCCCTTTTTTAGGAACGTCAGGCTTTACATGTTATCACCTTGATTTTTTCCTCTGATTATCCCTGACTGAGTGGATGAAGTTTAAGAAAAATCGGTAGTTACAAGATTCACAGATGGGCACTGGGTGAATTAGTAACATTGAGTGAAATATGTGGACAAGGAGTGTAGAAATTTCTCAGATGCATTTATTGTTCGCTGGTATTAATGCTGTGAGCACTAGAAGTCTTCATCTACTAATTTTTTGGACCATTAAAAATCGCTATGCTGTACCATTTGTATCACAGTTTGAAGAAATGATTCATGGTTGAATCGAGAGAACATTTCTTTCTATGACATAATATGGTTCTTGTGTGAAAATTGCAATTTCTATGTTCTTTTACCTAATTCCCTGCTTTTGTTTGGATTAGGTATCATTGAAGTGTCCATGGAACTTTATGGTCAACACGTACCTTGAGAAAGCAGACATTTGTTTACATCTTGATAGCAAATACATCAGATGGTTGATTGCTTTTGAAGATGCCATCTTGTCTCAGAATACAGATATTCAATGGTTTTTGAGGGGCCTATTAGATGAGGACCCCATCAAAACTTCTCTGAACACCGAAAATGTTGGATGTTTATGTCCTGCAATAGGTCAATGATTTTTTTTTTGGGCCAATCCGAAGCAATAGTTTCGCAGTCTTAGTCTTATCAGCGTCTTCTCTCTTATACGTATAATGTGTCCTCTACCAGCCTTTGACAACCATCACCCACCCTCCCCATGAAAAGGAAACTCAGCAGAAGAATGCCGAATGTGTCAGATTTCCTAGGACACTTTGCTTGAAGAACAATTTTGTCTTTGGAACACCCAGTACGCTGTCTCAACTACTTGCCACGGCTTACGTAGGCGTCACTTCAGTAGCTTCCATTCTTTAAGTCCTGAGTCGTTTTTTTATGATTATCTCAGGGCTAACTTTTGGATGGGGGCATATGGATTAGTTTTGGGTATTTAAAATTTGATGTTTTTCATTTTTTTCTATATTTATCTTGTACTATGAGTGCCCAGCCAATGTTTTGTCTTTCACTCGACTGTTTGATTACCCTTTTGAATTCTCTCTGCCTTCATAACTGTTTGATTTCGATAATCACCCTACAGGCTGCATCACCACCAAAGAACTGGGTACGGTCATGCGATCTCTGGGGCAGAACCCCACTGAGGCAGAGCTCCAAGACATGATCAATGAGGTGGATGCTGATGGGAATGGAACGATCGACTTCCCAGAGTTCCTCAATCTGATGGCCAGGAAGATGAAGGACACCGACTCCGAGGAGGAGCTGAAGGAAGCCTTCCGCGTCTTTGACAAGGACCAGAATGGCTTCATCTCAGCTGCAGAGCTTCGCCATGTCATGACCAACCTTGGTGAGAAGCTGACCGACGAGGAGGTCGATGAGATGATCCGAGAGGCTGATGTGGACGGCGATGGACAGATCAACTACGATGAATTTGTCAAGGTAATGATGGCCAAGTAGACAGGGGCGCCCACAGTTTGGTAGAAATGTTCTCAGGACTTGCCGTGGACCTGTGCCGCCCACAGTTTTCTCCCCCATTTTGCTACTAAACTCTATTTTCGTCAGTAATTTGGCTTTGTTGAATGAATCCTTCCCCTCCTCCCCCTTGGTCCAACGCTTGACTCATTCGTACGCTCTTTCGGTTCTAGTTGACCTTTGTTGAATCTATTACCCACTTAGCTGTCCTAAATAATCAAAGCTTGCATTCGGCCAGTCTGTCGCCATCTCCAAGAGCGTCTTCGCATACTCGGCTGTAAAAATTTCTTCAAGAGCAGGTATGTTTTTTCTTGCTCGGATTTCTTTTGGATTAAATTCTCACATTCATACTATATTTTTTCCTTAATTTTTCTTGCTCGGATTTCTTGAGGATTAAATTTTTCTTCCAAAAATTTTCTGACCCGGCAACGAAGAAAATGCATGGTAATAATTATCCTCTGCGTCCCGGCTGCATAATGAAAATGTGGCTAGCCCAAATAAATAAGCAGGCGATCACAATCTCTTCAGGCTTTTCTTCCTCGCATCCGCCTTCTTCTTGTTGTCCATCAGCGGCTTCGGCTTCCCGCTAACCGCCGGCGCTTTCTTCTCGACCCCGGCAGGCTCCGCAGCTTCATCCACCGCCGCCGCCCCCGGGGCAGCGGGCAGGGTGGCATTATCGGCGCCGTTCTGCTCCGGCCCGGCGGCGGCACCCGTCTGCTGCGCCGCCTTGGCGGCAGGGAGCTGGGCCGCCGCCACCGCCGCCGCGGCCGGAGAAGAGCCGGGGTCTACGTTCAAGGCGGTGGTGGACTCGGACATGGCAGGCGTCTTGACCTTGGGCTTCGGTTTGAGGGCATGTATCCCCGTGTACAGGCTGTAATTATCCCCGGTTTGAGGGCACTTGACCCATAAAAAATCGCCAACGATAAAAAAATCACCAACCCGATTTGACCGGAGGGACTTGAGACTTGATCAGCGGCACAGACCTGGCATGCCGAGCGTACTCTTGGTAGTTTTCAAGCAGCATCTTCCCGGCTTGTTCATTGAGGGCGGACTCCGGGAACGGCTCAATCAGGAGGCACCTCACAACCTGCACACGGCTCAGCGGCGGCACGCCAATTCAGCGACGTTCTACCCGAAAAGCCTCCGAATGCTTCTCGGAGAAACCACGGACACTACTACTCACAATCAAGACATGCCGCAGCCCGAGACTCGGATTCCAGTCCTTCTTCAGTGTGTTGACGCAGATCTCCCCGTTCGTCGCGATGTTGGGGTGGAATATCTTCGTCACAAAATACCCTAACAAGAACCCAAAAAGAAAAAAAAGGAAGAAGAAGAAGAAGAAGAAGAAGAGAGAGATCGCATAAATAATCATTGAAGACGGGAAGGGGCGTGCAGATCTCAACGAAGAGGGCGAGGAGAAGCATACCTTTGGGGGGCGATTGAGGGAAATCATGAGATAACAGCAGCTTCATGCGAAAAATGCCGTTTTCGTACGGAGTTCCAGCTGCAAGAAGCGAAGATTCGTCGTCATCCCTCGCGCAGATTCGATTAAAACAAAATGATACTCAAGTAGATCACCCACCAGGGCCCTCAATATCGGCAAATATCGTGGAGAAATCGTCGTCATTCACTGTCACCTTGATCCCCTCCGGGGGGGATTCATCGAGATGCTTCAATTCCTTCGCGAGCTGTCTGATCACATTGGGCGGCAGGTTTTCATTGGTTGCCTACAGATAAGCAGCAGCAAGAATGATGAGCAGAGAAACAAGGTGCAGAAAATTAATACATAAGATCCGGCGTACCGACCATGACTGCCGGAGACTAGACTGCTTCCTTTCTCCCTCTCCTGAGAAATCTGGAGGAGAAACCCACCAGCAGATGTTTCGCTGAAAGAAATCTGGAAGAAAAACCCAATCTTTCAGATATACGAGAAGCTGAAGGGACAAAATGGGTAATAATATTGATCAGGAACACAATGGTACTGAAACCCGGTTGATCTATGGAACAAAAACCAGCTTGATGGCTAAACCGACGCATACTGTTAAAGCAAACTGAATCAGATCTAATGCCGGTTATAAAGATTAGCAAACACCACGGCTTCTGAAGAGAAAGAAGAGAGTCTAAGACAGCCACCTGGTATTCTTTTTTATAAACTGCATCAAATATACACGCCGTAGAGGACGGAATCGAATCAAGATCCCGACAGAAGACGCCGTGTCGCAGAATCAAACCAATGAGTTGAACTGAAGCGGGGAAAGTGGGATTCTGCATATCGGCCGCCACCAGGGGTGGAAACCAAGCAAACAAGGCGGAATATGGAATCGATGGAGAGGAAAGCTTCCTTCAATCTGCACTCAAAAACCAGGACAAGCCCCGCATCACAGCAAGCCCCACCCACTCCTACCCACCCGCCCACGTAACCAAACCGCGAGCAAGATCTTTCAGACGCCGGATCGAAGGAGAAGACGAGGAATGTGGAATCAGAAACCCACCTCCTCGAGAAACCCCAACTCACAATCCGAAGAAGCAGCCGATAGAACGACGAAGCACTATGTTTCCGCTTCCGCTATTCTTGATCTCCCTCTTTAGGGAAAATTTCTGTGCCGAATCTTGAGAGAGAGAGAGAGAGAGAGAGAGAGAGAGAGAGAGAGAGAGGGAGTAGCAGCAGTATCTGAAGTAGGCAGCATATCTCTTTAAAGGAAATGGCGAAGAAACCCTGCCACGTGACATCTGAACCTTCGGAACTGGACGGCGCGATTGCCTTTATTCTAGAGGCACCACGGATGGACGAGGCGGATGAGCCCCGGCCCAGCCCGATTCTTCGGGGGGATGGTGGGGAGGAGAGAGCCTCCTCTTGTCGGATGCGCTGACAAGGTGGACCGAGACTTAGCCGTTGGGGAGAGGTGGCCGCCGACTGGGCTTAACCCAACCAGGGTTTAACCAAGGTATGCGCACCACCCCCTCCCCCAGAAGTGACCGTTGGTCGTCGCTGGGACTGGTTTCCGTTTCTGCCCGATTCAAATGCCGTAGCAGTCCTGGCCAATGGGTTAAACGAAGTCAAATGGGCCGTTTTACAGCTGTCGATTACATGGCCCAGTGGGCCTCGTCCTCAATAAAAGATGGTAGAATGAAGCTGCAGAATACCACAGCGACGATTTCTCCAAAAAAAATTCATCCTCTCTCTCTCTCTCTCCCTCTCTCTCTCAATCCCCTTATATTGTGAACTCGACGAACTGGAGACAGTTGTGAGAAGGAAGAGACAGAGAGCGAGAGCGAGAGAGAGAGAGGGGTGAGGGGGGAATTCTGCCTTGCGTGGGGGACCGTTGTGCGTAGATGAGAAGAGAGAAGTACTACCAGTAATCGCCGCAAGAACAGGAGCCATCGTTGAAGTGGTGAAAACGGGAGGGGTCCCTCAAGACGATCTGCCGACCGAGAATCCTCGACATCAACTTCACGGCGGAGTGGCAATCGCCGCAGACCCGGAGGTTCTTCATCACTCGGATCACGCTGCCCTCCACGGTGCTCAGAAGGGCGAAAGCAATTGCGAGCCTCTCGCTGTGAACACCAAGCGCCGCATCTTTCTGCTCGTCGTCCACATCGTGAAGCGCAGACCCTAGCTCGGGTTCGTAGCCGCACGTCTTCAGCTTTGCAGCCAGCCAGTCGAGCTTTTGATAGATCTCTTTAGCCATGGGGTGCGACCTCTCGCCGCAGGCGAAGACGTGCCGAGCTCCCTTCAGCATGATCCAACTGAAACCAGGCGTCTTCGCCGTTCCACTGCGTCTCATGGCCGTTCTGGTCTCTGAGACCTCGTTCCAGCGCCTGGCCGAAGCATATACATTCGACAGCAGAACATAGGCGGCGCTGTTCTGCGGATCAAGATCGAATATATGCTGCGCAGCCCGAATTGCAGTCTCCGTCTCAGAGTGAGCCCTGCAGGAACTGAGAAGAGCCAGCCAGACGGCGGCGTTGGGTTCCAGAGGCATGCTCTTTATGAGTTCCTCTGCTTCGCCGAAGTTCCCTGTCCTGCACAGGAGGTCCACCATGGAGACGTAGTGCTCGAGCTTGGGTTCCAATGAAGTGTCTTGGTTCAGCAAGCGGAAGAGGCGCCTTCCCTCCTCGAGCAACCCAGAGTGGCTGCAGGCGGTAAGCAGCCCCACGTATGTGATCTCGTCGGGGCGGACTTGGGCGGCCTGCATGTCTCTGTAAACCTCGAGAGCAGATCTTCCCCGGCCATTCTGCGAGTAGCCAGCAATGGCGGAATTCCAGGAGACGAGGTTTCTGTTGGGCATATTGTCGAACACCATCCGTGCGTCGTCGATCTCTCCGCATTTGGAGTACGCCACGATGAGAGAGTTCCCCACAAATACGTCCAAGTCCAATCCGACCTTGATGACACCGCCATGGACCACCTTCCCCTCGTCGAGAGCTTCGAGCTTGCAACATGAGTTCAGAGCGCTGGTGAACGTGGACTGGTTGGGCCTCATCCCGGCTAGCGTCATCCTCTTGAGAAGACGCAAGGCCTCGCGGTGCCTGCCATTGGAGCTATACCCTGTTAAGAGAGCAGTCCAGGTGACCACAGTCTTGCGCCCATTCTCGGAGAAAGCTCTCTGCGCATCGTCCACCTGGTTGCAGGCGGCGTAAAAGCTGATCAGAGAAGCAGAGACGTAGGCATCATGCGGGTACCCCAATTTCGCTGCCAGGCTATGGGCCTGCGCGCCGACGCTGGCGTTGGGCACATTAGAACAAGCTGTGAGCAGGGACGCGAACGTGCTTGATGTGGGCTTCTCCCCGGCGGCATGCATTTGCTGGAAGAGACGCAGGGCGGCTTCGCTCTGCCCGTTCAGGTCGAGCCCTCCGATCATGGCAGTCCAGGAAATTACGTTTCGGTTAGGCATGTTGTCGAACAGCGCGCAGGCTTCTGGGGCTCTCCCGTTCCTGCAGTATCCAAAGATCATGGAATTCCAGGCGACGATGTCCCGCTGCGGCATCTCCAGGAACAGCTCCTCCGCCTCTGCAATCCTTCCAGCCCGCGCGAGGCCGTCGAGCATGGTGGTCCAGGATATGGTGTTCCTTTCGGGCATTTGGTCAAACAGGTGGCGGGCCAGCGGCAGGTGCCCGCAGTTCAGGCAGCCCTTCATCATGGAATTCCAGCACGCCAGGTCGCGCGCCGCCGGCATCTCTGAGAACAGCCGCAGAGCTTCCCGGAGGCGGCCGGCGCGGGAGTACGCGTCGATCACGATGGTGTAGTGCTGAGCGTCGGCGAAGGGGAGGATCCCCTCGAGAACGCGGCGGGCTTCCTCTACGTTGTTGTTCCTTACCAGACGCAGCAGAACGGAGGACCATGGCGGCGATGGCGAAGGGGGAACCCCGTCCTTGCTGATCTTCCTGTTCCTCCCGTTCTTAATCGTATGCACGGTCCTACAGAAGGTCGCTCGATGAAGAAAGGAAGCCCTCGCGAATGATGTCCTATTCATCGCCACCCTCTCTCTCTCTCTCCTTCCCTCCTCTACCCTCGGCTGCTACCGCCCCCGCCATCGTCGCTGCGTTCCTCCTCACGCCTCCAAACTCTGTACCTTTCTACACGTCCATGGGTATATCTGCTGCGAGAACCTCTTGCTTCTGCCTTTGCCGTTCGTTGATGCTGCTACAGATAGCCTCCGCCTTCTGCAGAACGCCGTCACTATGGCGTTCACTGCCCGTCATCCTTCCGCGCCGTTGTGCGTAATCGCCGTCGATAACACCTTGCAATCGCCATTAGCAGTGTCGTCGACAACAGAGACGAAGGTACATCAATGGCCGGGAAGGAAGGACTCCGGCTACTCCTATTCGAAACAAATCTTAACCAGACTTAGCAGCGATTAATGGGAAGAAATCAGACCCCTGGCAGCGATAAATGTGGAGTGATTACTCTCGGAGACGATCAATTCCGAAGATATACGATCAATTTTAGCATGAAACTAAACTAGAGAATCGACGTCTGAAAAATCAGTTCTTTAGCTATAGAGATGGATGGATGTGCTCCAAATACTCGGCCGTCTCGGTGTAAATTGAAGAAAAGACGATAAAACCCTAGAGAATGGCACGTCAGCGATCAAGGCCACATTCAAAAGGACGGGGATATATCTGTCATTCTAGATGCATATTCTCATGGCTAAATTCAAATTTTCTCTGAAACCAGTCTATGGCCGATGAAATATTACTGTAAGAAATTAAGCTGTAATTTTTATATCGTTATCGATAATTTTACTATTTTTCAGGGACCAGAAAGACGGAAAAAAACATAAAAATTAGCTTTTTTTGTCTTCGAATTGACGAACAATGGAAGGTAAAAGATAATTAATATGGTTAATTTTGTTTCGTGTCCCACTGGAAATAGAATATTTGGAAATAACCTAAAGCCACTTTTTTTTAAGAAAATTGTTTTCTCTTTGCAACACCCCGCGCCTTGGTGGAAGGGAGTCGCGGCGGCGGCGGGGGCGACGGCCAGAGAGCTCGGGTGGCGGCTTTGTCGGTCGATGGAAGGGGAGATGAGGGAGTTTTAGTTTTCCCTAGCTTGCCTCTGCTCTTCAATCCCTCGCTCCTTCTGATACGGCGCCTACCTTCTCCACTCCCCTGCCAGCCGCCAGTATTTGGGCCAGTCTCAGTGGCGTAGTCGAGGCCTCGCATCGCCTCACCAGCGAGAAGAAGGGGAAAACTTCTGTGACTGTGTCGGTGGTTGCGGGGATGAGGTGCTCTGTCGGGGTATGGAACTAGACACCATTTCTCCTATTGAAGGTATGGATTCAGAGGCCGATCCTGGGCCTGGTTATATGCTCGTCCCCTGGTCCAGCTGGGACCAGTGGAACTTCGTCAGGGAGTCCCTCTTCTCTCCTTCACACGACTCCGTCACAGCTGCACTCAGAAGAGTAAGATGGCCTAATCACGAATGTTCATAGAAATGTTATCTCCGATTGATTGGAGACGACGGGATATAATCTGGGAATCTGTTTTTTATTTGGTTCAGATAACTGCGTGGAAGAGTAGAGGATGTCTTCCTGTTGCGGTCGAAGTAACAGCGAGAATTGTTGAGATCCAACATATGGATCCATTTTTCTTCGGGTACCAAAGCCTTACATAGTTATGGGGCTTGATTATATGCGATAATTTTCATTCTAAATAGTTATAAGGTAACACGTCAGTTCATTGACCGAATTGGATATATGATGAATTATTCTTGGTGTAGGAAGGAGGTTGCGAGCCAGACTATGAACTCCGAGGACATTCTCGCTTTGCTTTACAGTATCACACTCACAAGGTAAGTAGAAGAAGCTCTCAGCTCAGCTGTGGTAGAGCGCATATTGTGTCTACAGAATCGTCAGAATGGTTATTTGCACACTCCTGCACCATTCTTCTCCGAGACGAAATTACTCGGCAGACTGTTTATTTGCACACCCGTTCTTCCTATAGACGAAATTACTCTCAGCTCAGAATGGTTCTGCAGACTGTTCTAGTTTTGTGCATAGATTATAGTACAATTGAGAATGGCTCCATGAGACCCTGGTGGGATCTCACTGGTATGTTCTTTAGACGATATCTAATTTTTTTTTGGAATAAAGCCATATGAATGTTGAGAAATGTCCAAAAAGGAAAATTTTCACCGGTTTTCACAGCTTTTCTGATAAAAAATTCCCGTTACACGTTCCCCCATCTGTGCCCTTTTCAATGTTTCTAATAGATAGAAATAGCTTCATGATGTACATTATGATGGTGCTTAGCCATTGGACATCTATTCTTATTCAAGGCAATGAGTTTAAGGTGCAGATCTTCTCTACTCTTTTTTGATATGGGATATGACTAGCATAATTTTCCAATTATTTGATACCACCCTGGTTTGAATTTTGATCTGGTTAAGGAATATGCAAAATGCCCTAGTTAAAGTAATGAGTTTTTTAAACATCTCTGTGCAGGCTTGTGAATGGTTTTACTGAGAAGGTGAGCTATTTTGATGATCATGCTCAGAAGCATGGGAAGAAAAAGCATTCCATTTCAAACCTAGCTGATGCAATTGGTTTGCCACGAATGGTGGTTGACATCCGTCATGGTACGAGTCTTTCTCTCCAGTCATTTTATGTTTAAATGCCTGAACAAGTCTTTGAGACTGATGATGCCTTTTCCTACATTCCTATTTTCCAGAGAGTTCCCACAATGATGTGCCTTCACTTCCATTGGTTCGTCTTGCAAGTATAAGGGTAATTTTTTTTTTCCTATCGTGGTACATATGGCCTTCATCACATTATCTTCCCGAGGAGAAAGTAACCTAATCTGAAAATATTTCCCTTATTGTGGAAGACTGTTAAATTTCGTTTCTGGCAAGTGGCTGGGCATGCATTCATTGACCAAAGCTGAATAGTGGAATGCAATGTGAAACGTTTTCATAAAACGTTTTTTATGATTTCATGTCATCTTCACTGCATGTTTTTAATAAGTTTGAGTAAACCCTGTTTTAATATCTTTAAAATTTTGCATATATGTAGTGATAGAAATAACCCTTGCTCTCCTTGTTTTTGTTGGCAATGATTTCTTTGTAAATCTTGAGGTGCAGTATCACAGGTTTGATTGAGCTCTTGCAACATTATCACTCTCTGCTTCTTGTACTTAGAAATTTATGACTGTGATGTTACATGATCTGATAATTTCATTACAATAACCTCCTGTTGATAAGTCCTTTCTTATAAGTTGCTCATCCCCCTTAAGTGAAGTGTAAACCCATTTTCAATTATGTTACATATATTTTGGGAAGTTTTTTCTTTCTTCTCAACTTGGAATGATGAGTCTTGCACGTTTGTTGGTAGATTTGTAGTCCTAACTTGGTATTGCCACATGGTTTTGTCGCCATGGGCAGCAAAAGAGGAAAGGTATACAATCTAGCGATCTGCCAATGACTTTAATGCCACTTTGAATCCAACATTGATTCATTTTCTGGCAATAAAGTCAATCGTTAGTGGTTTTTTTCTCAGATGACCCTATTTATTAGGAGAGAAGAATGTAGATCATTGATTCTTGTATTCATAGAGGACGAAAATATTATTTCAATAAATTTCAATGTACTCTATTCGTGGGATTGCAATGCATACTTTTTGAATGATGTGGGCTATTAGCCTAACTTGTTGAACTCTGTTGATTAATAACTGCATTATGGAATATCAGATTTCCCTGCATGGAACGTGCATTTGGTCTCTTGGCTTTTGGCTAAAACCCTCTTTTCAAAGTGAATGCCAATCTTGATTTTCTGTCCATTTCTGAACCTTTCATTTAGTCTAGCTGGAAGAGGTTGATGTGATAAGGCCTGCAAGATTTCATGATATGTATAAATGAGAAATTGGACGTCAATGCCATTACATATTTCATGATAAAAGTTATTATGCAAGCAGAGGTGAGAATGCCATGTTTCTATGTCTCTGGTGAAGATAGTTTTTTATACGAAACGACTGTGAGCCTAGGGGCTGGGCTACACCTCAGACAATGTCTTCTTTGAAAACAGAGATGTTATTATTATTATTATTATTATTATTATTACTGGTGAACTCTTACATATTTTCTCATCTGGATGAAGATCTCTACTTTGCCGACATCATTCATATTATATTACTTGTCTGGATTTTGGTCGCAGGCTCTTGATTGGCTCAAGTCTCATTACTGGGAGCCTCAAAGCCGTGCAATACCTGATGTTCGGAAGCAAATCAGAATGAGACTGCATCAGATGAGTTACAGTATGAAGGCTAAGCAGGCTGAAAACAAAAATCGTTCACAAATCAAAGAAAGAGGTACGTGTAAATAATCCGAGCATCTTTGCTATCGACCTTGACTTCTTCTTCTTCACATTTAGGTACCATAACCTCGGCTCCCAGAAAATGTGAGCTGCAAATTTCCAGTGGCTTAGTTCAGAATCATCTATACTTTGCTATACTCTATTTTGTATCAAAATTTTATTTTATTTAGTTATTTTTTGTTCATACATAAGGTTTGGTCCTAGGTAATCTCTAGATGATCAAATCTCAGGAATCTGGCATCTGACTTGGGCCTATATTATATGAGTTGGATCGATTGATAGCAGTTCTCTAACCTCCACCTGCCATATATTCCATTTACCACGCTAAATGAACATCATATTTACATCAACGATCAACATTCAATATGCTTCGATGGTGAATGGTAAACCCTCTAAGACTTCAAATCTCGTGTTAAACACGCTTCAAAGGGATTGGGTGCTAAAAGGTCATGAGCTCAGAGGGATGACTTACTTTTTTGCTATCTCTGTATCGCCTGTCATACTGTGATTATGCCGGACTACTTTTAGCTTGAGGATAACTACTTTTTAGGATGTCATTCTTGATTAGAATGGCCTTCCTGGAGGTGGCTTCATTTTCACCTAGAGTTGACATGCTGAACTTGAAAACGATGATGATCCTGTGAAACCAGCAGAACTTCGAATTATGCTCTTCGATCTTGTGTCTCCCATTTTATGTATTAAAATCCGCAGAGCTCAGCGTTTCTTTAATCTGATAGGTTCTATGCGGTGACTCTAACCTGATATGTTGGTTTTTTTTGTTCTTGTCCAACCTTGTAGGAGAGAGACTGTCAACTGTGCTCAGGATGAACAATAAACTCTCTTCTCAGATGACCGGGAAACTCTTATCCTCAAAAAACAAAGGTACCTTTCTTGTTCATACTGAATATTCGTATAAATGCAGTAGATGTTCCTCCTGTTTTTCCTCCCTTTTCCCCCTTTTTTCTGAAACGTGTATGAAGAAAATCTGGTCATTTTGATCTTTCTTGATGCTCAAGTTTCCTTTTCGGGTTGTTGGTTGATATTTTAAAATACTTAGGTAGAAATTCAGGAGAGGAAGAGGTTTCTTCTGCATGTACAATCATCAGGCCTTCCTTCATCAACCTAGGACATGGAAGAAAGTATCCGATACCACATAAAAATCGGGCCACTGTCAGATCCGATACCAGCTGATCCATAGAAAAATGGCTCTGAGAAAACCCTATGCAAAGTTTTTGTTTAAGATATTATTTAAAAGGGCTATCATCTATCATCGCTAAAATAGGAGACATTCAGCTTACCATTTGTGTCTGCTATCAGTGTGCTTCTGTGAGGAGATGACAGTAATTCGGCATTAAAAAAAATATAAAGTAAAATTAATTGCTAGAAAATCAGAGATATAGAATGGTCGGACAGTCGCCCACTTTCTAATAGAAACGCATTCTTATTTCCTTTGCCAATCTATTGATATTTTTATGAATCTGCTGGGTTTGGCAGATGGTGATTGGAATATTATATTGTTAAATAATCTGAAATAATAAGGGATTTCTAACCAAGAGGAAAGTGAGACGTTGTGCTGATAGAAATTATCAGATGTTCCTTACCGCCGATCCTTCTGCTTCTTTCATTTCAGGTCCCTCCACGCAGTTGTCCAAGATTTCAAAGACCATTGCTGAACTTTACTCTGTGTACCCTTATGAAGTCGCCTCTGTGCTGCTGGAGGCACTCCAGTCCCAGGGGTCGGCTCTTTCTGACAGCATCGCCGTTGACTGTAACTCTCTCAGCAGCCCAGATCCACGTGTCAGATGCATAACTGAATCAAAGGACATAATTCGCAAGTTGTCTAGAAAAAGGCCCGGATTGCTGCTCACAATGCTCAAGGAAGTCCTTGGAATTATAGAGGCCGAGGAAACCACACGGTCTGAAAAAGGCGAGATCCTTTTTGTCCTCTTATTTGGTCAACGTCCCTTCTTTCCTGAAGATCCTTTTGGAAATCTTCTGACCTGCGTGTGGGTCTTCTGATGAATCTCTTCCTTGCTTCCAGTGACCCAGGAGGAGACTTCCCAAGTCGAACTTCTCTCTCCTCTGGTTCAGTGGCTGTCCTCGACTCTGAAGGATTTGAGCAGCTCTGGCCACGTCTCTCTCTCTGACGAACAATGGGCCTTCTCGAGCGGCCAGAAGTCCATCCCCAAGACCTCGGTGAAGGAGCTCCTCCGCAAGTGCCTGGTTCTCTCATCCTCCGGGAACAAGCACCTCCTCGACTCATCCGTCCTTCTCGCCGAGATGGTCGCAGATGGCCTGGTCGTCAAGAGAGTGAAGGAGCTTCCGTCACTGGCGGGCTTACAGAAGTTCAAAGCCAGACCAGACAACTGCTCGTCTTCCTCTCCAGACACCGAAATCTTCTTCGAAGAAGAATCGATCAGGCAGGCATCTGCGAAGATCGACCTCCTGAAATCAAAGCGGAAGACAGGTGGCGATGGACCGGCAAAAGCGGATGCGGAGACGAAGAAGAGGAGAAGTTGGGCGGTGGCCGAGAGGTGGACTCCCTGTCCAATCGGCACGCTACCGTGCCCTCTCAGTTCCACCTATTCCGTTCCTGTTCTCGACGGGCCCGCCGTCGGCCCCCCTGCCACCGTCGCCGCCGCCGCCACCGTGGGAGATCGAGAAGCCGTAGGGCTTCCGCATTGCCCGCCGTCTGCCGAGAAGCTGGAGGCCAAGGAAAATGGCGCGATGGAGGGCGTAAGGGAGCGCGCCACTTCACCCACGGAAGGTCTGCTGCTGATCGATGGCGTCTGGAGAGCAGTCGGGAAGGAGGAGCTGCTCGCCGTCCAGTCCGCCGTTAGGATCATGGTGTAGCCCGCTCGAACTGGCAACTTTCTCCTGAAGAGGCTGCTGTTAATGTTTCTTCGGTAGTCGATTATTTATGCCTCCTTGGGTGACCAATTTTGAGTAATTAATCCGTCCTCTCCTATGATTATTCCGCCTTACCTCCTGTTAATCTGCCTGATCAATCTTTCCAAACAATAATTAGTAGCGTGCTACTAATGAGCTTGAACTGACATGGTGTACGGATATAGTAGTGCGGGATGGGCCCCACTCAGGCCGTTACGGGCCGTTACCGTCTGTTACGGACTCTTACGGACTGCCGACTGCTTCCCGCCTTGTATAAATATGAGAAACACGGAGAGAGAGGAAGACGTACCACTCTACGAGAGAAGTTTTCATGGCGATCGCTCACTTCGGAAGGAGAGCCTGTCCTCGTCTCAACAACCGTGGGACTTCGGAATGGAAGATCCATCCAGGTGTCCGGGAGGAAGCCTCTCCTCCGACAGCGTATCGCCGCCGGTGACCGCTGCGGCGCTTCTGTTAGCTGACATCTCGGGTGAGCATCTTTCGTATCCTCTCCCCGAGGCTTTGGAGAGGATGCCACGGAAAGAGGGACGATGATGTAGGAAGATTTGTGGACGAACAAGTGAAGACTGACGTGGAACTGTGAATAGGTTCCGCGGGCGTCAGATGATGGACACTGCTCTGTAAGAGCAGTTGGGATCTGGTTTGAGACTGTTGAATAGAAGTTTGCATTTCTTCTTCCTGTCTGTTCTTTAAGAGCTCAGGTGCTCACACGGGCGAGCGATTCTTTTCACGTTCCCCGACTTTGTCATAACGGTTTTGTTTACTCTCTGTGCTGTTAAGTGCCACGGATCGAATAGTATTTGATGTTTCCTTCTTCTCAGTTTCCTCCAAGGTTATTCGGTGGAAAAGGTTGCAGAGAGTTTAATCTGATCAGAGCATTGGATTTGCCGTCACCAAAATGAAGGGACCAGGGGAAGGGGATGATGCTCACGATCTCCGCTCCGCTGTCGGAGCTTCCAGGGACTTGTCCAGCCTGGAGGATGACGGTAAGTCTGCTTCTCCGGGTGGCGACATGGATTCTTCGGTGCCAATGTGTTCGCCGAATGTTCCGGTGCCACGGTTCAGTCCCACATTTTTTGATCGCCACCCCCTGGTCTGTGATGCGTTGAAAGCGTTGGAGAATTCTATAATTTACTTCCGAGGGAAAATGGTGGGCATCCCTGCTGCATTGGATCATTCATCAGGCGCACTTAACTACGACCAGGTGCTCTATCGTGTGTGCTCGGCATTTTCGCTGTCTTATTTTTCTTTGTGGAAATCTTGTTAGTTGAACCTTCTTGCTTATCAATTGGGAACATACTTGCCGGTATTTTTGACGCATGACCTTCTCGCTAATGTATCACCAAACTCTTTCGTCCATGCAAGTATCAAATGTCACATAGACTATGGATTCCGTGAACTCAGAAGACACGATAGGGAATTTTTTTTCCGAATTCTTGATCAACTTGATGATTTGGAAAAGATTGCCAATGGGTCCAGAACGACATGATCTAGATTCACAGTTAATCTAAGTTACTAATAATAGGTGCCTATGCTTTTCCCAGTATTCGTTAATCCTCTGCTGGACCTCAATAGTTGGTAGTCTTATTCCTTACCAATCACCATAATTCTCTGTTGTTCGAGCTAAAAGTTAGTTTGCATCATCGCTTTTACTTCAGTTGGTGTTCAAACAAGTTTTCCACTTTACTTTTTGGCATCTCCGTCTTTCTGCCCCACAATGTCCTAAATAGATTCAATCATACACATTTTGAGTAAAAGAACTACAGTGTTGGAATCTTGGATATTACTGTGCACGTGTCCATCTTGGATATACAAACGTAGCTTCCACCTTTCTCTTCTTCTGTGCCTGTCCAAACGCTGAATCACATACTTTTCGATATTTTTAATAATAAGGAAAGCATTTGGGGCTATTTATTAGTAAACATATCATATGAATATTCATCCTTTAATGGGACCCATATTTGGATTCTAATCAGTCATGCCATAATGCCGTGTAACCGAGTTTTGACTCACATAATATTTACATTTTGTATAGGTCTTTGTCAGGGACTTTTTTCCAAGCGCTTTGGCATTCTTGATGACAGAAAAACCTGAAATAGTAAAAAAAATTCTTTTGAGAACCTTTCGACTTCAAGCGTCAGAAAAGAGAGTGGATTGCTTCACTCTTGGTCAATGTGTTATGCCAGCAAGTTTCAAGGTGTTGCACAATCCTGTAACAGGCTCTGAGAAATTGAGTACAGATTTTGGTGGATCTGCTATTGGTAGGGTCGTTCCAATAGATTTTAGCTTCTGGTGGATCATTTTACTGCGCGCTTACACCAAGGCAATTGGGAATTGTGATCTTTCACAGAGAGAGGATTGCCAGAGAGGAATGAAGTTGATATTGAGCCTCTGTCTTTCTGAGGGTTTTGATACCTTTCCAACACTTTTGTGTGCAAATGGTTGCTGCATGATTGATCGCAGAATGGTGAAATTCTATTCTAAGTCACGATCTGAAAAATCAAATCTCATTTGATATCTCGTAAACGCTGTTTTGGTTTGCGTCTTTTAACGGACAAGTTGTTGACGGCGAATATTAGTAGTTGATGGACGCTTTTTTCCCGTTTTCGGCGACGAGTAGTATATGCATATCTCATTATATATTCACATGAGCATATGGCGGATGATTGAATTATTTTCCCGTTTTCGACAAGCTTGTAACCAATTGGGCTTTCCGTGCTTTCTTTTGGTGTCATGTTGCTGGTCATGAACATTCAAAATCCATGGACTCTCTATTGGGTATCAATAAACCATGCTTGTGGAGATCAATAATCCAGTGTTGCCTGGTTTAAATGTTATTGCAGATCCAATCACATAGGTATTAATATTTGACTCTCCTTTGATTTTTGAACACTTCTTAAATTCCTCATCGTAACTCTTTAAAAATTAATGAGCTGACATCTCTTCAGGTGAGAAATTCACAAATCTGTACTTAAATTTCATAATTTTTTAATTCGTTTTTTTACCCTGCGTATTAAAAATAACATTCTTGTCTAATGCCACCTAACATCTTGTTTCAGGGAACATATGGTTACCCCATTGAAATTCAAGCTTTATTTTTCATGGCATTGAAATGCGCTCGTGACCTCCTCAAGGCCGATGGAGACTGGAAGATTTACATTGCACTGATCGAAAAAAGATTGCCCGCTCTTACCTACCATATGCGGAGTCATTTCTGGCTCAACCACGAGCAACTTAACGACATCTACCGATTTAAGACGGAGGAATATTTGTATACTGTAGTCAACAAATTCAACGTCATCCCTGAATCAATCCCAGACTGGCTATTTGATTTCATGCCCAGGAAAGGCGGCTACTTCATAGGAAATGTCAGCCCCGGCAGAATGGACTTCCGATGGTTTGCAGCCGGCAACTGTATTTCCATCTTATCATCACTGACCACTCGAGAACGGTCTCTGGCCATCATGGATCTTATCGAAGAGAAGTGGCAAGATCTAGTGGGAGAGATGCCCATGAAAGCAGTTTTCCCTGCTCTAGAGTCTCACGAATGGAGGATAGTGACTGGCTGTGACCCTAAGAATAACCCATGGAGCTACCACAATGGTGGTTCTTGGCCAGGTGAAGACCAACCAGTCCATCTCCGTTATTCTCTTCAATGTCCTGGCATAATTCTAACTAAAATTCTGTGGCTGTCTGTGCAGTTCTTCTGTGGCTACTCACGGCGGCTTCCGTCAAGACTGGGAGACCTCGGATGGTTAAGATTGCCCTCGAGCTGGCAGAGCGCCGGATGGGGAAAGACGAATGGCCGGAGTACTATGATGGGAGGGACGGGTGCTACATAGGGAAGCAATCACGGAAGATGCAGACCTGGTCGATGTCCGGCTACGTGGTAGCGAGGATGATTGCAGAAGACCCTTCTCTCCTTGGGCTCATCTCTCTTGATGAGGGCAAGGATATGAATCCCACGCTGTCCCGAGCGACGTCCCTACCTTCCAGGTTATTTCCCGACCCTCCACGTTACACCCCTGCGGATAACCCTACTTCTCTTACTTCCATTTGCGCTTCAATGGTGAGGAAGAGGTTCCGTCCATTTTTGGCCCTCTTTCGAATGAGGAAACATTTCAGATGCCTTACAAGAGTCAACCTACTCGGTATTCGATTATTCTTCACAACAATAAAATGTACCTCAACGGGCTACTCTCTTTCCTTCTCCCCCCGGTTTTGAAAAGTCATTTTGAGGAAAATCACATCGTGGGGCTCTCAGTAAACGAGCCGCGGCTCGAATTCAGCGAAATCTACAGATCCGGACTCGACGGGGGGCATAAGATAAGCAGCCACGATCTCGGAGACCAGCGCCGCCACCAGGGGAATCTTCTTGAAGTTCTTCACCAGAGGGATATCCTGGCTCTCCCCGACCGCAATCAGCTTCTCGTTGATCTCCACCATGCGATCCAGCTTCCTTTTGAATTCTGGGTTCTCCACGTCCAGAACCGCGGGGAAGATCCTCGCCGACGTCCGATTGGTCTGCAACAACATCAGGGCACACCAGCGGTGAGTACCGCTTCTCCCTCCCCTCCTAGAGAGAGAATCTCCGGAGCACTACTCCTCATTCCTCCTCACCTCGATAATGACATGCATGTCGAACTCCTTGGTGTTGAGCCCGATGCCTTCGTAGAAAGCCGTCCTCTGGCAGTCGTTCAGGTACATCGTCACGTACACCTGCCAGAGAAGAAGCACCAGAGGGGAGGCCAGGTGAGCCCTCTGTCCCCCGAGGAAAAAGAACAAGTGTAAAGGGGAAGAGGATGAAGAGGGTGGGGGATTACAGAGAGGCAGAAGAAGCGTGACCAGAGCTTGGCCTTCCAGTCGTTGAGGAACTGGGGCTGGGCCTTGAGCAGAGCAGAGAAGAAGTCCCCATGGCGGTTCTCGTCCTGGCACCAGTTCTCGAAGTACTTGAAGATGGGATAGACTTGGAACTCCGGGTTGGCCTTCAGGTGCCTGTAGATGGTGATGTACCTCCAGTACCCAATCTTCTCCGACAGGTAGGTGGCGTAGAAGATGAACTTGGGCTTGAAGAAGGTGTACTTCCGAGCCTTCGTCAGAAAACCCAGGTCCAGCGCCAGGTTGAAATCAGAGAGCCCCTTGTTCAGAAACCTGGCAGGTCAAATCATATGACAGAGGAGATGAGACATTTGGGTTCTCAGGGTAGGGAATGCTCCGACTTTCTGGACACTAGAAATTACTCACCCGGCATGCCTGGCCTCGTCCCTGGACATGAGGGAGAAGATCTCCGCCACCACGGGGTTGGTTTTCTGCGGTCAGAAGAACAGGGTCAGAGATTGTGGAGGAAAAAGGAAGAAGGAAATAGTGAAGCTGATGTTAGGTTAGGTTATTGCCTTGAGGCGGCGGCCGAGCTCCTTGTAGAGGAGGAAGCCGGAGAACTCGGCGGTGCAGGAGCGCTCGAGGAACTCGACGAAGATCTGGCGGAGGGGCCCCTGCAACTTGTCGGCGGCCTCCTTGAAGGCCGGGTTGCGGACGAAGTGGGTCTGGTTGTAGTCAGTCTTGAACTCCTGGAGCAGCGCCTCGAACTCCTTCTCGTTCAGGTTCTTGTTCATCTCCGTGTTGAACAGGGACTCCATCTCGTCGAAGTCCGTCGTGTAGAACCTCGGCGTCAGCAGCGTCTCCTTTATCTCCGTCGTCTTGGGGGACTTCTTCGGGAGCGCCGTGGTGGCGCCTGCGGCTGGGGGAGGAGACCCCACCGCCATCCTCACGACGGAGGGCGGCCGCCGCCCGCCGAGCCTCGGTGCCGCCCCGGCGCCGAACCTGGACAGCCGGTTGATGGGCTTAACGAGGGCCAGCTCCGCCGTCGCCATCTCTGCCTCTGCCTGCCTCCGCGACCTCTTCGCTTGATCGCTACCGAGGAGTCGCAGATAACCGGGAAGGGATGATATGAAGGGCGCTCCCCTCATCCAGTGAAATCCGCGGCTTTAAATGACGTTTTGACAAGTGTACGCCACGCGGGCCCACTTTCATCCACGCCGGAAATCTGGACGACTGGCCCTGCGTGCTCCACGTATCCTCCCCCCCTCCCTTCCTGGGCGGCAGGGTGTACTCCCTCCATGGCCTCGAGGTGGCCTCGAGGTGGACCACAGAAAATCGTCAACCAGAAAGTCAGATTTTTTTCTTTCTTTCGGAGAAAAATCTCTTCTCACGGGCCGATATTCTCTGCTGTGACGGTTTTTTCCTCTTTTTTTTTAATCGAGGGGAAAATAGAGAAGATCGTTGACCTCAAGGTCCACTCGGGTTTCTTTCTCTTAATCGAATCTATTAGCCGGCTACAAACATTGATAACTGAATGTGTAACCCTTCTGCCCTCTGATTATAACCAGAAATGAATCAAAGCGTTTCAATTCCTATACGCCGGAATGGAAAAAGTCCAATTGTTCCTAGTTGACTTCTACGGTACGCGCAGTCACTCCAGGTCAACCGGGAAGTTCACCGAAGCTAAACTCGCTATGAACGGTATTCACTTCGTCTTTCACAGGCAAGAATAAAATAAAATAAATCTGTTCTTAGAATATAAGACTTGGGCGTAAAGAGTATGCTATCAAGCTCAATAAATCTCCACATTAGCATCATGGGACACCCGATTCCATGGCGTGTCTGGTTCAGACAAGGTAAATCGATCTTAGTTCTTTTTCCGGATGCTTTTCTCGGGCTCGCTGTCATGATCTTCTGTCACTGACAAGGAAAGTTCACTGCGCTTATTAGCCCATCGATCATAGGAACGTGTCTCCGACTGTTGTGGACGCATAAAAAATATATAATCAGCGTTGACTCTCATCCCCGGGGAGAGAGACAACGATAGCATCAAGGTCACTGCTTCTTGAGGCCCGGGGCCCGGCCAGTGACCACTCCTTCAGTGAACGGTTCTTGGAGGGTGGGAAATTGCAATAGATCCCTGTCGTGCCTGTTCTTCTTCAGATCATCACTGAAACCTCCGAAATCCGGGTCAGGTGTGATGCTGCCGATTGAGACCTTGTTCCCCATTTCCATGTCGATCTTTTCTATATGGCTGGTGATATCCGTTCCGACCTTTGGAGTCAATGGCACAGCTTCTGCTGATTCCGTGGGTACCCAGGACCGGAAATTGTTCATCGACGGAGGGATCCTTGAGAAAAATAAAGACTTGAAGTTTCTAAAGATCCCCTTGTCGTATGGGTTCACCTTCGTCTCATATCGGTACCGGAAGTTCTCGTAAGTTGTCTGCACAAGAGGGAAAATGGCACCGAGAATCAAAAGGATGCACAGAAGAGGGATTGATGCCGATGGCTCTGTTCAGAAAAGTTATCTATATCGGTCTAACCAAGCAGGCTTTGATCAGAATGGTGAAATAGGGTTTAGCAGCGTTCAGAACAGAATGCCAGAATAATGTTGGTCTGTAGATATAATTTGGAATATAGTTCGGACATTGTAGTGATTTCTTGATTCTATATTGGCAGGGTATCTATAAGGAGGACTCACCTGATTGGTGCAGATCAGATATGTGTGGAAAATTGTGAGCCCACCGACGAACCAAACGGCTATGAATGTGTAAGTGATCAAGAAAAGAGATAGGATTTCTCCCCACATCAACTTCCAAATTGAGCCATAATGCCCCTTTCTTCCAATAATATTCAGCCACGAAAATGTGAACACGTAAATGCATAGGAAAGTCGACGATGATATAAACAAGTAGAAGAATCGGTAGTTGCGCTGCAATGAGACAAATGAAGGAATGTTAGCTTCACTGAAACAATAAAATCTTAAAACTTATATGAATGCTGACGAGAATCGAAATGCCCCATTTCATATCCATCCATTAGATCGAGAGCTCACGAGTCATATTCATAGCCATGTGCTTTTCATCATTAAAAAAAGATGAAATGATTAATATGAAATATGACATCTTACCTTGCGCACGAGCTAAATTTGAAAAGTTAATAAATATAAATTTTTGATATTTCATGTCATAACCGTCGCAATATTTGGTTAATGCTTGAAACAAAATAATGAAACTAAAAAAGAACGATGGCCATAGAAAACTAAGTAAATTGAATTTAATCCCTTGACAATATGACTTACTAATCCGATGCACTGGCCCACCCATGGGCAGTGATGGTCAAATCTCTGGACACAATTGTTGCAGATTGAACAATGAGAAGCGCGGGGCGGACGATAAAGCAAGCAAGTGTCACAGAACTTTACTTTCACAGAAAAGCCATTTACAGTGAGTTCTTTAGTACGGGGAAGCTGTACATGATGGGTTATCCCGTTCACCCACTCCATGGATTGTGCAGTTCTGTCAAACGCTTCCTCTAAATCAGGTGGTTGGGTATTTCTCGGTATGATACCTGGATCTCTACTGGATGTCAGGAAGAGGAAGATCAAGTCCTGCATTTTACAGAATGCGAAGGTGAAACGTAGCGGGAGAGAAAAATTTAACTCTCTGAAATTCTTGAAAGTTGGACAGATCTGATCAGGATAATTCAAAGAGCTCACCAACACAGTAATCGCTATGGCCACGATCAGAGCAGGAAATCCAAGGATGTGAGCCTGATCTCTGTCCCTCCAGGAACCGTTCTTCCCAGAAGTACTTATTTTCGAGATCACTTGAGAGCAAAAAGCGACTGATGGCCCTGCTATTAGGAGCGCTGATATGAGTAGTGATGCCACATCCGGACCAAATATCAGCTTCCCACCACAGAAAAACCTCTGAGACGTTAAAGGGTTCCACCATCATGAGTCTGCATCATATACATTAACATGTTGACTCTAGAATGCGCCGTCATATATATTTTACCAGAATCACTGGACAAATCACTCAAATTAAATCCATACTGGATCAGGAAGTGACTTGGAAATGAAACAAGTAATTAAAGCAGGCAGAGAGATATCAGCGATTTTATCAAAACCATCATAAGCAGAACATGGCAGAGAAGTCACATTCTTAGTAAGAATTTATGTCGCACAATATTTGGCCTCGGATGTATATGAAATCAAATCAATTGGTCGCAGATATCGACCATGTGGTTAAGCAAATGAAAGGAATCGGCCTGCTCTCGTTCCTCTGAGAAATTAATTAGTTAGAGTGGAAAAATAGGAAATTTCCGCCAAATGAAGGGGAATATAGCTTCAAACAACCTCCCTCGCAGAAGTCGACCAATCTCGCCCTACAGGTATTCACGCCATCGCGTTCCAAAGGCTTAACAAATGCAATGAAAAGAATAATCGGAGAGAACTGTGAGGAGATATGTATGATGCATGCAGGCGTTCGATATTCGAGTAAAATAAAATAGGAAAACTGATCGGTATAGATGAAGTTACATCCGGAGAATTGAAGACAATCCCAATCAACATAAAACCTGAGGTAGATTGGAATTCCGTTCAACACGGCAAATCTGAGATAACGATTCTTTAAGAAAAGCAATGGCAGTGAAACAATCTGGGAACTACGCGTACGCATTGATTGTGTGGGACCAATATCGAAAGGAACATTCCAATTAAAAAATCATTAGCAAGAATCATTCGCAAATTCGTGGTGACGGACTAGTTCGAGACCGTACATTGCTTCCTTTCCAAACTTGATACAGTCGCCTTGGCTGTGTCGCGTCCATCGATCCGCTCGCGTACGTCCAGTCAGAAATGACAAAAAATCGAAATTCAATCTGTGATCCTATCAATGTCCAGCTCCCGGTATCCTTCTCAGCGGGTTCTTCGCACGGATACACAGAGACGTCCCGAATAAAGCCATGAACAGCGAGGAAGCAAGGCAAGAGAGACGGATAGGGACAACGACGACGAATAAACAGGGGCCGCCGGCGTCGAGGCGGGGGAAGCGGAGGCGAGGAGGTGGTTCTCTCCGTGTTCTTTCTTCAGTTTACCGGTGGATCAAAATCCAGCTTCCCCCGCTCCCCCTCTCCCTCCCCCCGGTCGTTCCCCCGGATCAAGCGAGGGACCGTCATCTGCCCGGAAAGTCTTATTTTAGTTATTAGAAATTATTAAATTCCAACTTTCAACACGACTCCATGGCCCAATGGATAAGGCGCTGGTCTACGGAACCAGAGATTCTGGGTTCGATCCCCAGTGGAGTCGCCAGTCTCTCTTTTTCTTTTTCCGGCTGAAATAAATCAGAAATTCTTTCTAAAACCCTCTTTGAACCGAAATAGCGGAGTGGGGTTTTAGTAGGGAATCCAAGAAGACCCCGGGAACTAGGGGTTTAACAGGCTGCCCGACGGAGCGGCGTCGGGGCTGCTCCAGAGGGAGGCCGCCGGAGAATCAATCTCCTGCTTGCTGTAGGTAGATTTGGTATTCCGATGAATCTCAGAAGCAGAGATCCACTGCGCCCTCTCTTTTTCCCTGCCCTGTGCCGCTTCGATCCACTGTAGGCTGTAAGAAGAGCGGCATCATATGGTTCGTCTCCCTTTGCTTGCCGTCGAGTGGTGGTTCTTCTTCCAGCTGCTTTCCAAAACTCGCCGCTGGATGCATGTGCACCTCGATGTGTTCAGGTCCGTTCTGTGGCGTTGCCGTCTTGCGCTTGCAGAGTTCGTTGTCTGCGGTTGTAGGTCGGATTCTGTTTCGGTCTTACCTGGGGTGCGAATTTTCGTTTTCTTTTTTGGTTCTTAGGATCCTTTTATTAGACAAGGCCGCCTTCTGGAAAAGGGGGGGATTCGTGTCCCAGGGTTTCACTGATGAACTGGCCTCCCTGTAGAATGGGCAGGGGTCGACGTTACTCACCGTCGTTCTTCGTCCTTCCATTCTTGCCTGCTGTAGTTTTTGGTTTTCATGAGGGTTTTCCGGAAACTGTGCCCCATTTCTCGTAGGAACGACGTGTTCAACATCCTCCTATCCAGGCGCTTGGCTCTCCCTTGTACATTTATATCTGACACCGATTCATCAACCTCTGATGATTCTTCCTACGACTCTGTGTCGGTCTCTCAACCCTCGGTCACCATTGCCCGACGTTGCGCTTGTTCCTTTGGTACTACGACAGGTGCTCGTGATGTTTGCTTACCCAACAGAAGGAAGTATTCCTTTTCGCGGTGTTGGTACAGTAAAGAGGAGATGCTGAGCAGGGTATCCCTTGTCCTCAGTGAGCGAGGGTGGGATTGCGGCTACCTGAATGGACCCAAGATTCAATTGGACGCGTCGCATGTGTCCTTGATCATGAACGCGCTTTTTGATGGAACCTCAGATGCCGCCCTTGCTTTCTTTTTCTTCAGATGGTCTCAGAGACGCAATGGGTCCAACCATGAAACCCATGCAGTGTGCACAATGATCCACATTTCAGTGTTGGGGAATATGAACCACATTGCAATGAAATTTCTTCGTGACCTTGTCAGATGTAGGAGAGGAGGATCCCATGATTCTCTCTTCCACGTCCTTAAGGAAACCAGTAAGGACAGAAAGGCTACGGAAACTGTGTACAGTATGCTCCTTAGTTGTTATTTAGATCAGGACATGTTAGATGTTGCTCTTAAATTATTAGATGCCATGAAAGTCCTTGGCATGTACCCGGCTGCTGGAGTCTGTATAGCCCTTATCAAGAGATTGTTGAAATCAAAGAACTTGGAGTTAACTTTCTCGGTATTTGCAGAGGCTCTGTACCATGGAAGGGATTTAATTAACCAGACTCTAAGCTTACTTATTCATCACTGTTGTGTTCGAGGTAATCTTGCAGATGCTTTTAAGTTGTTCTCTGAAATGTATAAATATGGATGCCAGCCTGATGTTGTCTCGTACACCATCATAATTGATTCTCTCTGCAAAAGTGGTTATCTTAAAGAGGCCACGTCTCTGTTACACAAGCTGGGTCAGGAGGGTATATCTCCCGACTCCCTTTTGACTTCCTCAATCGTCGATGGCTATTGTAAGGCTGGAAGATTAACAGAGGCAGTGAGCGTTCTGAAGGTTTTAGATTGTGCGCCTGATGAATTTATCTATAATAGCTTCGTTCATAGACTATGTGATGAGGGGAATATGCTGGAAGCTACTGAACTGGTCAATGAAATGTCTGAATCTGGTGCATTTCCTGATTGTTGCAACTGGACTACGGTTATTTATGGGTACAGTCGAGCAAACCAGGTCGGTCAGGCTCTGAAAATTTTTGGTGGAATGTTGAAGAGAGGAATTAAGCCTGCGCTGTTGACTTACACAGTTTTGATTGACTGCTACTGCAAGCTAGGCGACGTGCGGGAAGCTGAGTCTTTGATTAACGTAATGGAGAAAAGTGGATTGAGACCAGATCTCGTTGCATATAACGTGTTGATTTATGGCCACAGCATGAAGGGAGAGATGCAGAAGGCTTTCAAGGTGTTGAATGTGATGAAGGCAGGCGGCATTTATCCTAATCTTGTGACTTATAATATTCTTATCCATGGTTTTGTCAAGAAAGGTTCTCTGATGGAAGCTAGAGAAGTTTTGACTGAACTCTCTGGTAGAGGTTATTCCCCTGACCGGTTTACATACACAATCTTGATGAACGGTTTCTTTGAGGCTGGCAATTTCCAAGAAACATTTCATATATGGTCTCACATGAGTAAGAGTGGCAACAGACCTGACGTTATTAGTTGCAGTGTTCTTTTAAGTGGTTTCTGCAAGGCACAACGCATGCAGGAGGCTCATGCTTTCTTTCGTAAGATGCTGGAAGATGGTTTATCCCCTGATTTGGCACTGTACAATATTCTTCTTTTTGGTTTCTGCAGAGAAGGTGATTTGCTGGAAGCCTTTCGGTTACTAAACATGATGGCTGAAAATAATATCATTCCAAATTATATTACTTATTCGGCTCTCGTTCATGGTCTTAAGAAAAACAACGTCCATGATTCCAAGGAAGTTGCTGCCATCAGAATACAGCAGGCACTTGCGAAAAATAATATTTTTGTTGACAACTCCACATATGTGGCTCCGTGTGCCTAAAAAATAAAAAACCAGAGATTCATACTCACGCCACCGCCTCATCTGCAGGGGTTCCTTTTGTATGGAGATGATGGATGCCGGGTGGAATACTCACGCCATTGGAAAGATGAATTCTTTGCAATGCACTGGTGTTGAAAACACTAAAGGAAGTGCCCATCTGAATGGTTATATGGGCAGATGACTTGAACAATCCACGGACTTCACATGCTGGAATTGTAAAGAAGCAATTTAATCTGGCGAAGATGTACCATAAAGGCATCATGCATTTGAAGAATTATGGGACTTGTTACGGGTTAAGCAAACATATTTTGCTGCGGCAACTGAGGTACAACAACAAAGATTTCTATTACTATTTTAGTCTTGAACTGGACATGTGCTTGTAAATTCGTAAATGAAAAATTATCTTGCGACTGATGATCATACTGTCTTTCTGCAGTTACTAAAGTTCTGATTAAATTATCAATTTTCTGGAACCGCTGAACAATCCTTGCCCTGTAATTTTTTTCTCATGGTTATTCACTTACTAATGCGTTTGGTAGGGTTTACTTTTGGAGGTCCTGAATATTGATGTCTGTAAATGCTATGATTGGCCATAATTTCTGCCGAAAAAAATCTCTTTACAAAAACTGCGCTTGACGTCAAGATTTTCTAAATATTAGTGACCCCCAAGCTCTCCAAAACAGAAGACCGAATTACTTTTCCCGAATAGCAGTGCTGACCCACTTCCTCACAGATAATGTTGGCCCATTCTATTATCCTTTCCAATTTCCTTGGGAACTGTTTCCCCCCTATTTGACCTCTGTGGCGTTTATTTAGATGGAATAGAGTCCATTGTAATTATCATCCTGTCCATGTTGTATCATTCCACAGACTTTCTTTCACGTAAAACCATCCTTTTTTTAAAGCTTTCTACAGTCCACAATTTGTTGCGATTTTGGACTCGTTCTTTCATTATTGCCAATTCTCCTTCTTAATTCACGTCAATTATCGTTCGCCCACCTACGTCAACCGCTAGACAACTTATCCGCTATGTTCTTCTTGAGGATTTATGGTTCTTTTTTATCTCCTTGTTACACATTCTATTTTTGGTCTCATGGCTCCTCTGTCAGGCTACCACTGGCCGTCGTTAACGACAGTGCCCATGTCATTTGGTAATCCCATTCTCCATTTCCGCAGTTTTCAAGGCTAACAGAGAAAGATTCCATGATTCCTGCACCTGCAGCTACTTTTGGAGAGAAGAACTGCTGAGCCTCCTGTCCCTCAGAATAAACGAGGATGAAGCCCAAACACAAACCGCAAGGGAGGTGTATTCTCCTTAAGGGCTGATGGCTTCCCAGAAGAAAAATCACAGCGCAAAATTAGTCTCGAAGTTGAAGGGAATCCCCTTTGATGCGAAGGAATTGCCAGATTCCTAGTGTCACATCTTTCATAGGCTCCCCCTAACAAGAGCAAGGATCATTGCAATGGATCCATATGCTTCCCTCTGCCTATCATCCACTAAAACAATGAAAGGAGTCTAGCAGCTTTGTTCATAATCTTCATCGAGATTGAAGAACAATATATTTCTGTGTGAAGTTGAGTCTTCTATGAAGCGGAAAAGATGAGTCGGGGCTCTCAAAGACAGTCTGCTGCCTAGAAAATTCTTTTATAGGACAGCAAATCGAAAGAGGCTCAATTTACAAAGGGGGCACATCTATGGACCGGAAACATGAGAAGATGACTTCTTTGAGAGGGGGGCTGTCGACATTTCAGACCTGCTCTTCATTCCTGAGGATGCTGTACTTACAGAGGGGGCATATAGCATTTATGCGGAGCCATTTAGTAATGCACCCTGAATGGAAGTAGTGGTTGCAAGGCAGAGAGCAGAGCTCTGCCCCATCTTCATATCGACAGAGGCAGATGCAGCAGTCCTGCAACAACAGCGACAACATCTCGACCTCATTAGCCTTCTCTCTACTCATTGCTGCCATTCTTTGCCCACTTTGTGAAACCAAGAGGACCAGATTTGCAGGGAAGCGAGACCAGTACTAATATAAGTGAATCATTTGGAGTGAGCATGGCTTACAGAATCCTCTGGCGAATGAGAGAGATCACTCATGGTGTTGCGGGTATCCGTGACATTTGTAGGAACTTCATGGTCTCCTGCCTCCATTGCCTCTGGTTGGTTCGCCATGCGGAACCTAAACCTGGGAAGAGAGTCTAGGTGGGCATCCGATGCACCTTCCTGACCCGTCACAGTGTACAGGATGGCAATGATGCATGGCAAGCAGCAGCAGAGGGCGACTCCGATGATGCACGCCAGGACGATGCAGAATATGGCAAAAAATACATCGAATGCGAGAAATACCACTGTCAGCCTGTGGTTCATTGACATGCAACAGAATTTCGGTGACAGGTTAGAATAATGGCTCAAATAAGGCGATCGAGCGTATTAAAATGTTTTTGGAGAATGCTAGGACACAGTGCTATCTCGCTGCTGATTTCATCGTTTAATTCTGAATGTTTGCTTCCTTTTTTTTTGTGTCAATGATTTATTTGCCATGTATACATCTATGTATGCATAAATGCACACACATATATATATATACAGAAATGATAGGTTCAGTCGATGTTCTTATTTTTTGAATGCTGTTTGGATTATAACTGATATAGAGAGTTGTCCTCAAGAGTTTCACTGTATACTTGGAAACAAAATGAAGGGTACAAGCGAAATTTCTTTACCAATATAGCCGAGGAGCATCTTGCAATAATGTCTGACCGCCAACGACGATCCAGTAGAGCCCAAGCATCCACCAGAAGAACGAAATCACCGCATTAGTAGACTCCAACTTCTTCATTACCCTGCATAAGAAACTGATTAGGTAAATTTCCGTTATTTGTGACCAGATTCTTACTACCAGCTAAAACCGAATCATTCCCTTTGGTTCAGTCCTCGGTATAAAGTCGCATAGATTTGGCCGGAAGCTAGTCAAATGCCCTCGGAAAATTTACAGCTTACCTTGCAATGCTTACAGGGTACAATGTTGTTTAGACACCCACAACCATAGTTGACGGGTCCATACAAGTTTAATCTTATAAATAAATTCAGGAAAACATGAAAAGTGTGGTCAAAGCAAGAAGAGAGTTGATAGAACCCAAGAAAGAACTGAATAGGGAAAACGGCTACAAGTGGAAGAGAAATATCACTAGTTTCGAGTAAAAGACTTGCCTGATAACAAAATCAGGCTCGGATTATTTTCTTCTGGTATTATGGGTTTTCTGACCTCAAAACCGATATCATAATAGCCCAATCGAGCTCTCTATCTTCCAACCTCCCCCGGCAGAATATCCAATTTCTCAAGTTATATCAAGGAAAGGCAAGCTTCTCTGAAAGACCCTTAAGAACTGTTTCTGCTGCACCCAGGAGAACCAGCGGATCACCCTTCTTCCTCACATGGAGGGAAATCCTCCGCGCTCGTTCCTTGCAACATCTCCCCCGCTGAGTCCCATAAGTTAGAGGGCAATAAGCACATCAAATTTGGTTTCCATCTTGTCGAATTACCATGGATTATCTGGAGTCTTGAGTGAAGTTAGACAAGTTTCCTTCAAAGTCAATGGAGATTGCAGGTAGGATGCGGCCGGGAGTAATGGAGAGAAAGAGTTTTGCAGCATTAGATGCCATTGGACAGCACATTCCACAGAAAAATGAAGGATCAGAAGTGAGGAGGAAGGTGAACCCCAGGGAGGAAGATACTGACTATCTTGTTGAGGATGAAGTCAAAGAGACGAAGCCACATTTTTTTCATTTCAGTGTCTAATATTTTCTCAAATCTTGATATGGGTGATGCTCATAAATCAGGAGACGACTATCCCAAACCTCTGATCTGCAATTTTCGTGTTGGGTGAAGTTTGAATCTCCATAAATTATTTTTATGAAATAAATTAAGATAAATCAGCTTTAACAACACCTGAATAGAGGACAAAAATCTGAGAATTAGAGTAGAAGAGAGCAGTAGATAACATGAACAGTCCGATACTAATAGAAATTAATCCCCGCAATGCACATGGATTCCAGTTCTTGTCCACATCTTCATTAAAAGGAGAAGGATAGTTCCTGAAAGAGGAGTGAGAAAAGGGGAAGAACGAAGCCCAGTACCGTCACCAATCTTTCCTCATAGAAGAACACTTGGTAAGGCAGCTGGCCGGAAGGCAGAGATATAAATATATACGCGTATGTAAGTATGCCAGCGAGCGAGAGAGAGAGAGAGAGAGAGAGAGAGAGAGAGAGAGAGAGAGAGAGATCTATAGGAGCAGCATACAATAAATAAAACAAGCAGTGAATAAGACAAAAAAAAGAGAGTCAACTCCCGTTTGGTCAGTAATCATCAAATTTTGGGCGTGGACTTACCTGCTTGGTCGGCTCTCCTCCGATCCCTCTTCCTCCTCTCCAGCCTCAACCTCTGCCCAACGATCGCTCGCTCTCCTCGTCCTGTGACTCCTCCGATACTCGAAACAGACGAAGCACACATGCACCAGACAATGCAGGGCGTACCCGAGAATCCAGATCCTGATGGGCGTGGGGGGCCGCTCGCGCACCGTAGCAAGGAGCACGGAACACGACACGAGGACGAAGGCGATGCTCCAGATGAGGTCCAACGCGACAAGGGGCCGCGAGTACCCCCATTCTCTCTGGCGCTCCTCAAGCCGCAGAGCCGACGCCTCCCTCATGGCCATGGACGGCGACCTCATGAGCCGGCGGCTGGCGCGCTCGATGAGGAAGGGGATGCTCCTACCCCCTCCGTCTCCTCCGCCTCCTCCCCTCGATGCGCCGGCGGGCGGCTGTCGGAGAAGACGGTGGTGGCGGAGGAGAGGAGTCGAATCGAACCACCGGTCTCTCCCTCCCCCCCCTCCGCTGTCTCCCCATCCGCCTTCTCCGCCCCCAAAGGAGGAGAGCTGGGCTCCCTCCATTTCTGGAGGAATGCTAGTCTTCTCCACGAGGCTCCACGAGGACAGGAGAGAGAGAGAGAGAGAGAGAGAGAAAGAGAGAGAGAGAGAGAAAGAGAGAGAGGGAGGGCTCTGTCTTCCTCTCCCCCCTCTCTCGATCTATCTACCTTCTTGCTACTCTGTTATTTTCCACTTTTTCTAATTTCGTTCCCTGCTGACAAAAACAAACAGATTACCCCACGAGAGAGAGAGGGAGAGAGAGAGAGAACATTCCTCAATGGCAGAACATAGTAACTAGCGAAACATGCGTAGCCAGTGAGTTCGCGGGGCCCACTTCTCTTCGCATCATATGCCAATGGCGCCACCTACTCGCCAGACAAGATGGGCTGGCGGGTCCCAATCGAGCTGCCACCTGCCGTGTTCCTACCCCCCCCCCCCCCCCCCCGAGTTGACCAGGCCGGGTAACGGCGTCAGACGCCCTTATTTTTCAATATTTTCCATAATTCATAATTACGCATCAATGCGCTGAAACCGAATATTTTCCGTTTTATGAGAGGAATCTTCTTTTATTGATATATTTTTTCATACTTTTGGCTATCTTCCTTCGATTCCACAACACCTGGGATGCATCACCAGCTGGACACCAGCGGCGCCAGGGAGAGATCGAAGGAACTGATGGAGTGGGCGGGGGCCACCATCGCCATATCCGTCCCTGCGCTCTCCAGCCTCGTCTTCTCCGGAAACACCTGCACTCAATATGTGGATAAGCCCATCGATTATTCCGATCATATAAAAATTACTTTTTTACGTGCTTTTAATGCCGAAGAAGAAAAACCCATCTCCATTGCAGGGCTCAGACTGCTGAATGATGCTATTTATGGGAAAGAACAGGGAATCCGAGGAGCGAATCCAGAGAGAGATGAAGGGGGGGGGGAAGGAAGGGAGCTACCTTGTTTGGTGCGCTGAAGGAGTTCTCATCCATCACATTAGCAGACGTCAGGACGACCTTGGTCGATCTGAGTGAGTTTATAGAGTTCTCCAGCCCGTTCACAGACACCGACAGATTCAATGGATCGCTCCCAAAGTTGACAACCTGCAAAACAGTTTTTTTTCTTTCTTTGATGGCCTTTTATAGGAATAGGGATTTTTTTCTACTTTTTAAATTTATATTTTTCACCAAGAAAGATGGCACCTTTTTTTTCATTGCTACATGTTGGGAAAAATAAATAAATAAATGAATAAAATCCCAGTAGCTCATCATCTGTTGGGTATCATAGCCAATGGCTCTCCTCCCAAGTATTGTAAAATTGGATAAGATGGGCGAATAGATTTTTTTATTTTTTTTAAAAAGAATCCAATAATTTCAACAGGGTGAGATGAATGTACTCTGCTGAAGAGGGAGATGAGGGGGTGTGTACCTTTATTTTTAAGTAATTATCGTTCCCTTCTGCACTCTGCCACTTAATAGCCGAGGCAATCAGAGAAGTTGCCGAATTGGACTGAACCTTCACGGGGAACACGGTGGCGCCGCTTGATTCCTTGAAGAACTGCTGCATCCAGTAGCTCGGAGTTCCGAAGCTCTGCCACGAGTTGAAGACAATGGCATCTGGGTTCCACCTGTATCATTAAAAGAAAACATTTTTATCGAATAAATTTTGTGGGTAAGCCCAGAAGGGCTGGTGTGATCATCAGCTTCCTTCTAAAATTAACTCTAGCCGCTGTTCTTTTATTGCCGACTCCCATTTCGTTTGAAAGCTCGATTTCCACGAAAATATGGAATTAGTAAAAGAAAGATTTGGGTACCGTCGATCGTTGGCGTTGACCAGAAGCGGAGCGTAACTTGCCATCTCAACAACATCACTGCATTAAACAATAGAAACTAATTATCTCAAGCATCGATCAACATGAATTAACACGAAACATAGCCATCCGCATCATCATGGGATGTAGAAAACGGTCAACCAGTGGAGCTTGGTCACCAGAAAAAGTTATGGAAAAGAAGCGTGCTCATAAATCATCATGATTTTCCTTTTTTTTTTTTTACTATATTAGATGCCAACACTATTAGCAAGAAACCTGTTTGTCTCTAAACCGATGAGGAAGCCAGCTTCTGCAAGTGCTGCAAGGAGGCTTCCGGTACCAGCATCCTTCCCGGTCACAGCATACTCACTGACAAAGGCCTGGAGCATGTTCCCCTATTTCTCATCAAGCCTCAGAAAAAATCAAAGTCTAAGCTTGGTGTTAGTTAGAAAACAGAACACCGTACCTTTGGGCCCACACGCGAGGTGTGATCAAATTGATGAGCCATTGAAAACATGTTGTTTGCAGAGGTATAGATCTAGGAAAAATAAATTAAAAGGGTTTAAAATGCGCTTCTATAGACACTAAAGGAGTTTCAATAATAGCTACGATATGTTGAAACTAGATTAAAATTTTACTAAATAAAAATATAATTTTTGGGATAGCGGGATTTTCTCTCTTACATGAAAATCATACATGTCGGCGGGATGATCCAATGGGTGGGAAGAGCCATCGCAATTGCTGATGATTTGAATGTCGGGGTAGGCGGCTTTTATTAATGAATAGAACTTGAGGTAGTTGCCTGATTAAAGTAATGAGTAAAAATAATTAAGTACGGTATTACTGTGATATCCTCCATAGACCGCATGATGTTCAAGCACAAAGACAGAGCATACCGAGATAGTTTTTCTTTCCACAATCTTCATTGCCGATCGCCACATATCTCAAGTCAAAGGGCTCTGGATGCCCCATTGCTGCCCGAACAGAGCCCCAGGTCGAATTGGAAGGCCCTCTGGCAAACTCAATGCTGTCGAGAACATCCTGCATCAGGAGCATACTCAGCAGAAAGCCTCATCGTACTGATCTCAAGACCTTGAGCAATCTCATAAAGGTATATTATCTAAGCAGCCAAAAAGTAGTAGAACGTCTACTATGAAGGTAAAGATAAGGCATATAAGGAATCTGCATACCCTCACAAAAGGAAGCACAACGGAGGTAGAAACCTGATCATTGTGGCTAATCCCTAGAACAAGGAGTAAATAAATTAATGGATCAAATCCCATTACTCAATACAGTAATAAAAACAAAATTTATGGAAAACACCATATTTTTCTCGTGGTGTAGTAGAGAAAAGTACCGTTGTTAAACACCCATATGGGTGCCGCACCAAGATCTTCTGCAAGCTATAATGAATCGACAGGAACATAGAATTAAGAGAGGCTCATCTTCCTGGAAGAGATTGGTTAAAAAGAAGGGCTGCACAAGCAAGGGAACAAGAAAAAAAAAAAAAAAAAGAAGTTTGCAAGCACATACTTGCAGAAACTCCAGGTATCCTAGCCCATCATCTGTCCAGTACATCCAAACATCACCAAAATGCCCAGGCCTTTCTTCCCATGGACCAATCGTTTCCCTCCAACGAAACGCATTTCTCATCCACTCACCTTCGACAAAACAGCCACCTGAAAAGAAGACAAAAAAAATACACGGCCTTTTTATAGGTGCATTATTAACACCAACTGAGTTAAGAATATTGGTCAGTTCATCGTATGCAAACTGGAGTTTAATCATGCTGATACTGTTCTCAACAGTGATAGCTCTCATGACAATCTTCTCTCGACTACGATATAAGCCTCGCAATGTTGCTAAATAGGCATATTATAAATGCCATAGAAAGCTATTTTGGAAGCCAATTGGCTTTGTCAGGATCCTATCGGACTAAAATTATAAGCTAGGAAATTTTATATGAACATTAAATACGAGAATCATAAGATAAATACTCTTCTGTAGGATGCTTCACAGTAAAATGCTCGTTATGACCAGCATACCTTAACCCTAAGACTACATGTACTCTACAAGTAATTCTTAAAAAAAAAATTGACTCTCTGCTCCGAGTTTTTATATATGACTAAAGAACCCAAAGATACCTGGAAATCGTATAAACCGGGGCTTTAATTCGGCTAACATTTCAAAGAGATCCTTCCTAAAGCCATGCCCCTGTACCAGCGGAAAACATTAAGAGTTGTAGATGAATGACGTATTAATATGAATATGGAGACAGTAAAGTTTACTACACCAATGCCATAAAATTAGGCTGGTGAGGGAATGATTTGATAGAAGCTATCACTATATGATCTTAGAACCAAGATCAGATCTTCGACCTACGCCGGCTGGATGAAAAATTCAAATGGAACTGCGATTACATCAACGGGAAAGTATGATCATACAAGAAAATAACCAGGACAAAAAGTTTTACCCAAGATACCACACTAATCCATAGTACCGTTGAAGTGTAGCGGGCATTTAGAAGGGTAGAGAGTGCATAGACAATAAAGCATGTTTATCCACAGAATGTCTCGTCGTCTTTCAGAACCCTCCAATCTCCTACCCCAACTCAAAATTGACCAAAGGCCAGGACATGGAAAAGGCTCCAAATAATAAAGGATTTATGCCCTTTAAATTCCTCAGTATCTTTCTTTACAGCCGAATGCACTAATAAAAAAAACATGCTCTTTTCATTTAGGGGGAGGAAATTATTTTCGTTCAGAAATTATTATTTGTAACTTATCCTTAATGTCTTAGAAACCATCATAATATTAGTGTCTAGCTCTAAAACCGAATTAACAAAAAATCAGCTTGTTGACGTGCCATAAGTTTTTGAAAATGTTAAATTACCTCTCTCTCTCTCTTTCTCTCTCTCTCTCTCGATTGATAGAAAAACTGTGCTAAGTTGAGAGAGGGAGGAAAAGGTTCCCCTTTTCTCACTTTGGCCCCTTCTCTAGTAAATTATCATTTCCTGATGCAATGCATTGGAATTTCCAGTCATCAGCTTTTCATCAATCAGTGTTAGGTGGCGAGAAAACGGCAGCAAACAAGTGGACGTAAGTGATTTCAAGTGATTATTCTTCTCTTTCTTAGCGAGACGAAGGTACTCTTCAGAATGGACAGATGGATACCTTATATGTGTCCAACGGCATGACTGATACTTGATCGAACCAAATTATTCCTCTCTTGGTCGTCGTCAATTGCAGTCTAGAATTATGGTTTGTCCCCTGCGATTCCAAAGTGAGCTCTATCTTCTTCCAATCTGATATATCAGAGGCTTCCTCTCTGTACCAAGAGTTACATCAGTTATGTATACAATGACTTCATGTGAACACTACTCACTGCTAAAGGACAGTTTTCCTTATCACCAGTAAATGCTTACATAATATTGGATGAAGCTAACTTCTGCAACCCATCAGAGCCCGTCAGTGACACCGATATGTTCACCGACCCCGATGATCTCACATGCAGGACTACCCTGTAGGCCTTCCCTTGTTCAATATTCTGCAAAATTAACAACCAGGAAGAGCCCGAGTGATTGTGTTCAGTAAGAAGAGCTTCTTCAATGGAGATAGACAAAAATAATAATCGAAGCACCGAAATTTCGATGAAAGTTGAAGCAATAGTGCGAAAAAGATAATTTTTTGAGTTCAGAATCGCGTACCATGCCCCAAAAACCAGGATTATAGATCCCAACGCCATCATCTGGGCAGGTATTAGCTCCATCCTTGTCACATATGACCTCCATCCTAAGCGAGATCTTGTTGCGCTCAAAACATGATGAGCGGTCGGTCGATGTTGTAATGAACGACTCGTTCCCAATGACAGACCAGGGGTCAATATTTGATGGGGTGTTTGGCCCCCCAGCTTCGAAACCTGAGGGCAATGCAGGATGTGTATCAACATAGAAATACAATATCTAATTCAAGAAAAAGCGAAATTCGTTCAAGAGAATGCTGGATTAGCTAGTACCCATTTGATATTTCAATTCAAGTTTATGAAAAATAACATGTTCAGAAATGGAAAGTATTTTAGACAGCCCGATGTAGTAAGAATTGAATTCCGGAAGAAATAAAATAAAATTAACCACCTCTGTTACTCACGAGCTCTGCCCATAATCCACCGGCCCCCGCATGGTTGATCTCCTGCAGATAATATACCATAAAGTTTATTATTTTTCTAAAGGAGATACCGCGAAAAAGGAATGGAAACCCCAATCTCACCGTCACAACTTACTTCAAAGAATACGCCGAACAGTGCTTCGGGTATCACTCTCCCAGACTGCGGTGAAGCATCCACGAGCAAACTCACCGTCTGATTGGTCTCAAGTTCAAATGCAGAGGTCTGGTGTAGAGTGCACAGCAGAAGCAGCGCGGGGAGCAGGACACTCGAAGATGGTCCACAGAAACCCATACCTCGACACCGCATACGAACCCGGACACTAGAGGGGCAGCATGAACGCTCGGGTGGGTACAAAATCGTCAGTCCAGAGGCAGTTCAAACAAAATAACAGGAAGATGAGCCAGTCGGGCAGATCAAAGAAGCGGAAAGGAAACCACGGGATAAAGGCAAAAAATAAAATGGAAACTGATCGGCACAGATTGTCAACCCGGAAACGACTACTCGTGAAGCCAAAAATCATCACACGAAGCCATGGGTACGCGGAGAAATCCGAGCAGCGGTATAAAAGAAATCCGCCGATAGGGAGGAAGTGGGTAGGAGGAAAATCGCAAAGTCAGCGGCAAGCCTATCCTGAAGAGGCTACACGACATCGTGGAGGAGAGACCAGAACATGCGGTAGAGTGCGAGATTCATTGACTAATTGCAGAAATACCTTCAATTGCGGCGACCTGAAGAACTGGACTTCCCTGATTCAAGTGACCATTGAGGGTGGGAATCGGTGAGTTCAGCTACTAGTTGCAGTGGAAGTGCGGGATCAGCATGCCTTTAATACAAGCCCAGGTTGGTGGAGAACAGATTGCTTCTAAGGGATAATAGCGGGAGAGACACGCCGGAAATCGGGAGAAGAACAAGAACAAGAACAAAAAGAAGACAGCTGTCCCCCCACGAGCGCCCAGGATAGACCTGAGCCGTCGGATATCAATCCCGTGGGCTCTGCAAGGGAAGCCTTGGAATGGTTTGCTTGCCGGAGGAGACGTCACCAACTGCCACGCGAGTTGGCTGCGCCGAGTTGATCGCCACGTGGGCACCGGCTTATCAGTGCCTTCGAAAAAACCGTAAAAACCGTCCTATCTTACTTACTGTTTGCTGTCCAAAAGCTGACGTCAGTGATCCCTAGCACACCATCAGCCATCCCTCAAATGCGGCCGCCAATCTTATCCAGATGTCGCCGTCAATTGGGAACCTCGACCCTCTCATGAGATAACGGCGAGGAGTGGGCGACCTTCCCTTCCCAATTGGAGTAACCTCTCCGCCAATCCTCCTTGAGGCGCGTCGATGATTGCGACGTGAGGAAGGGAAATTCAGAGAGGATTTGGGGGGCGGAGACTTCAAGGGGAGGATTTGAGAAAGAGGTTTGGATGTTGAAACGTACGGTGAGCCGAAAAAAGTCAGAGTATAATCAAGAGAGTGAGACAAAGAGTTGATGAATACGGGAGATGACTTCGAAAGAGAGGAAAGAGAGAATTATCTGAACCTTTCAATAATCTACAGAGAGAGAGAGAGAGAGAGAGAGAGAGAATAAATAAATAAATAAATAAATAAATAAATAAAGGAGAGGTGAGAGAGAAGTCAAAGGGAAGAGGAACAATGTACAAGAGAACTATCGTCCGTTTTGACAAGAATTTGCCAAACAATGTTCGTTTATACAATTTACTCAACGGTTATTTATTCTTTGATCAACATCTAGCAGGCATGCTCAGATTTCTCCTACTTGCATCACACTCGCTGCAGATAGCTGTCTTGGAGAGATGGGCAAGAAGCTTTCGGGGGTGGACGTAAATTAAACACCTTTTTACCTTAAAATCCAATTTTTTTCTTTAAGCTGATCTCATAACACTCGGGTACTAGTTAATACACATTCTTTACCCAGTTTAACAGAAGTTGGGGAAGAGATTAAGCCTTGAATTCGCAAGAATCAAGCCCCATCGCAAGGAGAGGTTCACCATGATGGGGGGTAATGTACCTTCATTCTTTCCGGAACGGAAAGAATGAAAACCCAAAATCCACTCTGGTTTTTCAACCGTCCGGATCCTATCAAGCTTCGTGCTCATCAAAAATTCTTAAATCTATTAAGATTGGTAAAAAAAAAAAAAAAATTGACGATTTCTTCCTTGAGGATCGAAATTAAAGTTCCTCAAATCCGCAACGAAAACAAGATATATAACAATAAATGGTTCCAAATCGGAAAACCATCTTTTGTTGCAGAACTTCTCTCCTTAAATGGGAGAGAATTAATTATAGGTCTCTTGCAGTACTTGACTCAAGAAGCCACATGAATGCTCAAAGAGAGGGAAGTGAGAGATGCACACCCAAGTATTGTCCGACTTTACTCTTCTTTCAAAGAACTGTTAGCTTTCTAATAGTAGCTGTGAGTGGGAGTCCACTTCGAGTGGCTGATGGAGAGAAGGTTTATAGCAGTGTTCACTGGGGATGGTGACGGTGGGCAATGGATAGTAGACTTTTTAAAACGGCCGTGATGGGTCATGGAGAAGGGCAAGGATTGTGGTAGGTTGTGGAGAAGAGTTCATTGATTATTACGATCGATCGTCAGGTCATCCCAACCCAAAGCAGGTGACCCATCTGCTCCGCGTGATCAGACATATTATTGCGTGGGTAGGTGAACGAGACCCATGCATCTCGTATGGATCCCTCCCACTTATTATTACTAAAGCGTGTCCGTCTAGCCAAAGATGATAAAGATCTCTTCTTTTATTTTCCTCCCCATGCATGAAGTCTACGGCGCAAAGAGGATTCTCAGTAGGAGAATTTCAGGGTTGGCCGGACACTCCGACCAGATCAAACCCGTTTCGTCCACGGGTGAGGAAACGAGGAAGATGGCCATGTCGGTAACAGTTGTTCTGACCGGCGTTTGCAAAAGTCAACCTGAAGACCGTTTCTTTAAAAGAAACTATTGAAAAAATGGAATTAGACAAGACAATATAGTTCATTATCTACCTCTATTAGGAATATTCTACGAATGGGCTGCTTTCTTCCGGATGGCGAGTGGGTTCGGCCAAACCCGCCGTACCCGCCGTCGCGGGCTTACCAAAGCCTTCATATACTGGCCGTGATCGCAACGCCGCCTAGGAAAGTCGGACGGATGGGACGGGCGCTGACACCGCCGAACCCAATCCCAATACGTCGCCGGTCGCCGTTTGTAGTTTCGTCTAAGCAAACAGCCAGCGCCAACGAACCCTTCGCAGTGGCCCTCCGTATGGGCATGCCCATCGTATGGAAATCATCTACTTCCTCCTGTGGCACTCCGATAAAGACCGCATCTTGGTGCAATACGGGCGGCGCGAGGGAGGAGGGGGCGGGACGATCTCGTCACTGTCCCCAACGGCAACTACCGACGGAGACCGTCTTTAGGCCTACCACGCTCTCTCTCTCTCTCTCGCATGGCGTCCCCTCGTCAAACGATACGTCTCCGGCTCTTGGGATCCTCTTCCTGCTCTTTAGGGGCGATCACTTGCGCCTTTCCTTTTCCGCACACCCTCTCCATCGGCGGCAGGCCCTTTACAGTTCGACCTCTACTTTCCCTCATATGCGCATCGAGCACTTGTCTACATTAGCCTTCCCCAGCGAAGATATCTTCATCCCCACTCCCTCTGCTCTTCCCCGGCGAAGGAAAGGGGAGCCCGCAGATTCGCCGAGATGAAGGAATTCGAGTACGGCGAGATCGAATCTGGGACGGGGGGCTTCGCGGCGGGTATGGTGATCGGGAAGGGAAGCCACGGCCGTGTCTACAGTGGCGTCCTCAGGGGAGGGCGGCGTGTGGCGGTGAAGGTGCCGCCCCCGGGAGACGGCGGGACCAAACTGAACAACGAGATCGAGGTGCTGGCGTCCGTTCGCGGTCCCCACCTGGTCAACCTGGTCGGCGTCAGCCGCAGCCCCGCCCACGGCTGCAAGCTCCTGGTCATGGAGTTCATGCCCAACGGCTCCCTCTACGGCCTCCTCCACGCGGCGGCGGCGCCACCGCCGTGGCGCCGGCGGGCGCTGGTGGCGCTGCAGATCGCGACCGCCGTGCGGTCGTTGCACGAGGCCACGCCGCCTGTCATACACCGCGACGTCAAGTCCGGGAACATCCTGTTCGACGCCGCATGGAACGCCCGGCTGGCTGATTTCAGCCTCGCCGTGCGATGGGCGCCGTGCGCCGCTGGTGCCGTGGGAGCGCAGCCGGCAGGCACCATCGGCTACATGGACCCCTGCTACACGGGGCCGGGGAAGCTGGGGCCAGAGAACGACGTCTTCAGCTTCGGCGTGGTGCTGCTCGAGCTGATCAGCTGCAGGCTGGCGATGGACGCCGCCTGCGGGCTCACCTCCATCGTCGCGTGGGCGCTCCCGCTGATCAGGGACGGCCGGTTGCTGGAGATCTGCGACTCGAGGGTGCCGCTGTCGCACAACATGGAGCGAGCTGTCGGCCGCCTGCTCGGGATAGCCGCCCGCTGCGTGTCCTCGGACCAGGACGGGAGGCCCTCCATGGCGGAGGTCGTAGCCGAGCTCCAGGGCGTGGTCGAGCGGGCTCTCTGCCCCGGTCGGCGCCTCCTGCGGCTCCTCCTCTCCGGGAGGATGAGGACAAAGAAGATCATGTGCAGGAATCACCAGGTCGACGCAGAGTGCGAGAAGTTACCCATTGCCGGTTCTTCCGCTGATCCGATCCCCGTCGAACCGGGCCGGGGATAACTCCGACAGGGTAAAGCTGGAGATTCCGCCGAAGCATCAATCCAAGGAGGAGACGGACGGGAGCAGGTGGATATGCTGCTGCTGCTGGCTCCGCCGCTGTCTTTCTCTCGCCTCGATCCACGGCGGAGTTGGGTTCCATCCCGGACGAAGCTGTAATGGGAGGATAACTGCATGACAATTGGGGGGAAGTTGTTAATCTTCATCTTACTTTAACAACGACGTACTTACCAAGAAAGACTTACCAAGAAAGAAAGCAGAAAGAAGAAACAAGTCTCAGATGATTCTCCCACCCATTTGCCGTAAAAGCGGGACCTGTGACTTCGGGCATGGCACCTGCGTCACAATTTATGGCTAAGGAAGAGATTTTTCGAAGTCGACGACAGAAGAAGCTAAAATCGCATCTGATCCTCACTATTTATTGTTCGAGATCATTCAATTGAAGTTTGCGCGAAGATGAGGAAACTCGAAAGACCTGCCCAGCAGTGGGTTGCTGAGGATGCCCTCAAAAAGCTGGCCGAGGAAGAACTACGCTGTGAGAAATGCAACAAGGTTACTGGCCCATGGTACATGGCAAAGGAAACTCTGCAATCTGGAAATAAATGACTAGGGATGGCTGCTGCACATTTTTTAGTTGACGTTACAACGGTGCATCTCTTATACAGCATGCTGAAAACTTTACTCGAATCCTGATCTTAGTTAGAGTACGCAAAATCCAGATTTGAAAGACGGATAACAGTTTTACGCAGGTATACGTCTTCAAGAGAAGGCTTCTTTCTTGTTGAAGAAGGATTTGACAGCAAGGAAATGAATTCTGTTTTAATCATACAAATAAAATACATCGGCGTATCGACCAGAGGAATAGGAAAATGAGCAACATCTGTGTGAGATGTTGATCGGTTAAAATGGATTTCATTAAAATTTTAAAAAATTCTGAGAAAGACTTTAGGGAAAGAAGGGATAACACCTTGCGAAATCTTTTCCTCAAGTCCTAGAACTGCTTTCTGAGCACTGTATGAAAGTTGTCCCTCTAATCCCATAATCTTCCAGGTAACTTGAAAAAAAAATCCGATATTGAATTTTTTGGCCAAGAAGATTTCTGGAGCTATTTAAAAGCGTAAGGACTATTGATCGCTCGATTCACAAAGCACTTGTGCATCTCGGAAGATGCGTGAGATTCGGATCTTAATTGTTCCAAGAAGGCTGTTCAGGTTACTGATGTTGTAGAACGGAGGTTCGATAATTCAACACTGAACACCGCGGAGATGGAACAGAATGTAGATCTATACAAGTTTTTCAATACCCCGCCGTGACATCAGGAACTCGATAGGGAATCCAGTTTAGTTCATTCGAAACTTTCGGTCGGGAGGCAAGATCCTCGACTCTAGAACGCAGACGGCCGACAACGAGTCTCAAGAGAATCACGACATGGTCATCGTCCGCAAAGCATACCTTTCGAAGCGACAGAAGCACACTGTGGAATCAACTACTGCTGCTCTCCTTCTCACTAAAACATCTGTAGTACGAACATTTGGCAAGGAAACCGGTACAAGAGGATGCAGCAATTCGGGAAAGGAGACGACCACCAATAATCACTCGGATTCTCCAGAAGCTGACCAGAGGCGATGAATTCCGACGCTCCGCCTGCTCCTCTGAACCAGATTTCCATCTCAGAAGAAGCAGAGGAGGGAAATAAATGGGAGCAAGAAGGAATGCTCCCCAGTTCAATCCAAACCGTCCGATCGTGATCCATCGGGGAAACAGATGGCGCGAAACGATTTTAACAGGTGGCCGGGTCGGCTCGTCCGATTCCGCCCAATGACAAACCGCCCGGTCCAGTCCGGTTCAATGAGAACAGATTCCCCAAAGGCAGATGTGAAGAGAATTACACGAAATGCCACTAGCCCAAGGAGGGCTGTTCCCTCCCCCGGCCACATGAAGAGAGGGCTGGATATTTCCCCTCATTCGTCGGATAACAAAACCAGGGACCTGACCAGCGAAGGCTGCACGCCTCAACTTCTCCAGCTGGGGTTGCAGTAGCGCTCTCGGATGGCCGTGGCCATGGGAAGCTCTGCTCCGCCTCCAGCTCTGGCACTGTCGGAGTGTCCCGGGCTCGGCCGGTTCCGGGGTGGTAGCGGATGGAGCAACAATCGATTCGCTAGCCCTTTTCCTGTGAGATGTTCAGGTGACCTCCAGAGCCACGCACAATATGAATTTTCCATTTTACACTATTTCTGGGGGGTTTAACTGCTGTCCGGAAGCCTGCGTGTGGTCACTGGTCGATTCCATGTCCAATAGGTGATGATGCTCACGCCCTTGTGGCTGGGTGTGAGCTCTGAGAAGGGATTCTGAGGATCTTCTTTATTGAGCTTGGTTTATTTCTGATCCCACGGAAGCCTGATTCGGGCTCGTTTCGATGGTAGGAGCAATGATGCCTCAGACTGGTATCCCGTTCCGGCGATGATTATGCGCCTGTCTCTGTCAAAATCCTGAACATGAAAGCAGCACCACGAACAGGAAGATTGTTCTTGTGGTTTAATGAAAAATGGTTTTACTGTTCGAAGATTGTTCTAGTTGTTTTTCGTGAACTCAATTTCTTTCTTTCTCTATAATAGCATGGTGGTGGAACTGGGACAGAAGGCTGGACTTGGATATACTCAAATAATATTTTACATTGTATTTATTGAATAAAATTTCGGCGGATTATAGTTGGCATTAACTTTGGTGTTAACACATGATCATCTCTATCATGCTGACCTTTTCCGTACCCTCCCTCCTTCCTCTACAGGCAGCCAAAGTGGTCAAAAACTCGGTAGAACCGGCAATTCATCCCTCTCAGGACGAGATATCACTGGCTTGAGGATGCAGAGACGTTTCTTGGGGGTCCCTGGTTGCACAGGTTCAACTGGAAATCAGCAGGAATCGTCATCTCCTTCTGAGCAGTCATCAAAGGCATGCACTAGAGAAAGATCCCCTATCTACTTTTAAGTAATTTATGCTCATGATATCTTTAAATTCGAAAAAGTATTTGTTTTAATGTCCATCTCAATACCTCAGTCCATATCTGTTTTAATAGTTCGTGATTTTTCTCATCTTATTTAGAAAAAAAATCCTTGATTTTCTTCGTTGATAACTTTATTCCATCTCTTGTTTTTATATATATTGATGCCGTCGATTGGTTCATCAAATCTACCCGAAATTGTGGATTCTGGATGCAATCAAGAACTATATCATATGTCATGGTCGCGTGTCTTTCTAAATCTGTTGTGGGTTTTTTTTTTCAGACAAACGAAAGCATCTATGTAATCAGTGAAATTATTTTTCCTTTTTTGTGGAGTATGAATCCTGTTCTTGCCATCTGCACATCTTCTCATGTACTTGTGCTAAGGGCACAGGTACCCTTTGGCTACACAAGGAAGGACGTGTTACTAATCGGTATAGGGACGACTGTGTTAGGTGTTGGTTTGAAGAGCGGTCTAGAGGTATTTTCTCTACTACAGTTTCTGTCTGCTCCCATTCTATGTTACCTAGGAATAACTTCGTTCCCCTCTGCTCATCTTTTCAACTGCAGTATTTTGGGGTTGATCCTCTGCGGGCAGGTAATTTCGTTCAATTGTTTGTAGTGCTGGGGATGACGGTTGGTTGGATCTCGACATATATGTTTAGAGTAGCAAACAAGGATATGACCTATGCGCAGCAGCTGAAGGATTATGAGAAGAAAGTCATGGAGGTCTGCCACTTCACCTCATTTTAGCGATAATCTCAGCTGCTTTTTATTGATTATTCTTCGTAGAATAGTCCCAAAATCAGAAAAATAAAGATAAAAATCACGTCGTTATATATATGGGTTTGCTCAGTCCATTGTTGGTTGACTTTGAGCCGTATGCCTCAATGGTTGACTTTGTTTTAATGCAGTTATATTCATGTAGCTGCTGCTTTTTAATTTGCTGACGCAATAATTGCGTAAATTTATTTTCTTGATTTCCTCCCTGATATAGATCCAGGAGGGGATAAGAACACTTTCGTTACAAGATTTAGCCCTTCCTGTTACCAAAAGAAAATAAAATTCATATGTGTGGAAACACTGAACCATAAGAATATGATTCATATGAATCATATTCTTCCCTTTTGCAGAAGAGGCTGGACAGCTTAACGGAAGCTGAACTGGAAGCGTTGATGGAGCAAGTGGAGGAAGAAAAGAGGCAGGTTGCCAGAGGCAAGCAGGCTAAATGAGGTTCCCGAATCCCATATGTACAGTTAATTCGTCATATCACAGCAGTATTTCATTAATGCTCGGATTTTGAGATGATATTCCTTGTTAATTGAATATTCAATGACCTGCATGATGGGAATTACAGAGAACTTTATTATATACTGTTCCTCAGAAAGGGGGGAGACGTTTTTTTTTTTTTTTTCCTTAGTTCTTATTACCCAGCGGGATTCAAATGTGAGACAATGCCTTTGATGCTTAATCTTAGTAACTGGGTATCAGAGGGGACAGAGGGACGGCGGATGAACATTGCATGAACTGATTATACATACAGAGTTTCCAAGAGAAGATTAAAGGGTAGCCAAAATAAAAATAAAAAATCTATGGGAATTATAAAAAATGAAGTATTTTGTACCGGATAATCTCCAGCAAGAACATGAACTCCCATTCACAAGCTCTCAGGAAATCGCGGTCGCGGAGCCCAGCCTAGGGCTTGTATCTCTGAAGGCTGTGGCTGGGGGTCCCCTTGGAGCTTCGCGGTGTGTTCCTCGGCGCCTGAAGCTCTTCAATGGCGGCCAGGACCTCTGCCATGGACGGCCTGCTCTTGGGGTCCGCGTGGAGGCACTCCTCAGCCACCGAGGCTAGCGTCTGAGCCGCCTTCTTCACGTACTGGCCCTCCAGCCGCGTGTCCATTATCCTCACCATCTTCCTCTGGTTGCCGAGGAAGGGCTTCGCCCAGTCGACCAGCGCCTCCTCCATGCCGCCTCTGTCTTCGTCCAGTGACCGCTTCCCCGACATCAGTTCCAGCAAGACCACCCCAAAGCTGTAGACGTCGCTCTTCACCGTCAGATGCCCTGCACCGACGAATCATCGATTTCACTATTTCGTACGACGGCTTCGTGCTGTGATTTCGAGAACAGAGTACGCTTTTTGGTGGAGGAACTCACCGGTGGCGATATACTCCGGCGCGGCGTAGCCTCTGGTGCCGACGATCCTCGTCGAGACGTGGGTTTTGTCGCCGGTGGGCCCGTTCCTCGCCAGCCCGAAGTCGGAGAGCTTCGCAGTGAAGTCCTGCGGAGGAAAAAGGGGAAAATTCGATGATCTTCCGCGGTGAGAGAGAGAGAGAGAAGGGAGGATGAATCTGATGGAACCGGCGGGGAATGTACCGAGACGAGAAGAACGTTGGACGCCTTGAGGTCCCTGTAGATCACTGGCGGTTCCAAGCTGTGCAGGAAGGAGAGACCTCGAGCGACGTCAATGGCGACGTTGACTCTCGTTGCCCATGAAATCGGCTGGACCCCTCCTGGGGAAACAAGAACGCGGAGAGTCAACGGCGAGGACCCAGATGAAGGTCTGAGGAAGAAACGGGGTAGGTGAATACTCTTGAAAAGGTGATTCTCCAAGCTGCCTCTGGGCATGTACTCGTAGACTAGAAGTTTCTTATCGGCTTCGGAGCAGTATCCGATGAGTTTCACCAGATTCTCATGGTGGAATTGACCTAAGTAAGTCACCTCCGCCTGTTGACCGAAGAAAAAAAGGATCCCGGATCAGTAAAAGGGGAAGAAAAATGACATTTTGATCATCGGGGCCGGCGAGGTGGGAACAGGAGGATACAGACCAGCCATTCCTTGTGCCCTTGGATGCTCTCTTGCTTGAGTTTCTTGATGGCGACAACAATGCCGACGCCCGGCTTCGTGGGCGCGTGGGTGTTCTCGTCGATCCATCCTTTGTAAACACACCCGAATCCTCCTTCCCCGAGATAACTGTCCGAGCGGAAGTTCTTCGTGGCGGCCTTGAGATCATTCAGAGTGAACGCTTTTAGAGCGGCGATGGGGATCGGATGGCTCGTTGATTGGTGGGAGCTGAGGGTGCTGACCGATGACCCATTGCTCGAAGAGTTGAAATCGGAGGAATCGTTCGATTTTAAGACGACCTCTGCGGAGGAATTAACCAGACCGATCAGCAGAAATCCAAGAGATTACAAAAAACAGAGGAAGAAGCCCGTTGACCCAATAGAACAGGAGGAGAACGGGACCGGGTTCTCGATCGAATTATGTTAGAATCCCCCTAGGAGTTTCCTCAGAAATCATCCAGAGAGAGACGGAGAATCCGAAGCTAGGGCGCAATCGAACGGCGGAGATAAAGCTCGGCGGAACCCCGTGGAAAAGGGAAAAGGTAGAGAGAGAGTGCGGGGGGCGGGAGGGAGAAAGACCCACTGGAGGGGATCGAAGAGGAAGCGCTGGCCAACTCGACGGGCTTGCCTAGGCAGAGGTTCCCCATTAGAGCAGAGACGGTGGCAGCTGTCGAGTCCTCCCTCAACGCTTCTTCAGTGGCTCATGAGCACTTCCCTTGCGGCCCTCTCTTCCAGACAAGGAAACCGTCTCTCCCAAACTGTGTGGGCTACAGGAACCCGAAACTGCAAGATCGCAGGATCTAAGATCAGTCTAAATAGGGGAGGCACCTTCTTGGACCCGAAGAGATCCTTCCCCTTCCCCGAGTCAAAGTTGATATTGGTCAACTCACCAATGAATCCTCCTCTCTCTAATATAGAGTGCGAGAGAAACAGAGCAACTTTGACCCGTGGTTTTTGGGAATAGAAAACTGCCCGTCATCGTGACTTGACGTTGTCAACGGGATAGGCTTAGGAGCCTAAACCTCTTTTACAAAGCCCTGACGTTGGCCGGGCCTGTGGAAAAATACGAGAGATGAGACTTGGGCTAATACTCCTTGAACCCCATGATGGGCCCGCCATGAAGGTTCCGGCGGGCTGTACTCGCTCCGAAGAGACGGCCATTAAACGAAGAGCCGGCCATGAGGCCTGGTGTTAGAGAGAGAGAGAGAGAGATAACAGGATCTCCGGGCGGTCGGGCTTTGACCGTAACCAAAGGGAATAAAGAAATATGTGGCCCGTAAAAATCTGGCCGGCCCGAAGAGCCATTTTGTGGTGGTCGCCTGTCATTTGCTTTCAGGATTTATTTACAAGAAGGCGGCAGCCTATTCCCCGACAGATTTATCTCATGATGAGAGATTTATACACGTTATGGAATGGGTGGCGTGGCCTACGAGCCGTCAGAATCATCTCCCCAGCAAGTTACTATTTTAAGCTTAACTTGATCCTAAAAATAGAAATAGTCCCATCATGAAGAAATAAATATGATATCTAGAGCTCACTCGCCACCTCAGACGTAAGTGGTGACCGTTCCATTGCTATTTAAATCCATCACAAATTATGCGCACCATTTATTTCTAACAAGAGAAGCTTCATTGTTGACCTTGACGAGACCCGGGAGCCCAATTATTAATAGAGAGAGAGAGAGAGAGAGAGAGCAGAATGGATGGCAAAGGGGGGAGAGACGGAGAGAATGTGAAACCGTTGTATGAAACCAAAGCCAAAGGGAGTGATCGGATAGTAGCCTCCTCCGCGCCATTACGCCCCGCGGTTGATCGGCCGCCGTCAAAAAGGTTGGCGGTGGGGTTGACAACGGTGGAAGTATGGGGCGAAGGAGCTCCGCTGCCGCGTGGAGAAGATGGACTCGGTTGGGGCGGTCCAATTCCTCCCTCGATCGAGAGTAAAACCAGAAAAACATGATGGGTTCCAAGCGGTCGCTGGTCTGCCAAGAATCGTATCATATTTCAGATCACTAAATATCCTCGCGACGCTGAGCGAACATCTTCGGTGTTACGTCGATGGAACATAAAAATAATATATCCGAAGTGATGAAGCATAGCATAGTTGACTCTGGGTCATGGCTTTGGAGAGAGAGAGAGAGAAGGCGGTATTTGGACCGAACGAGGGCTGACCGAGAGTTTTGACAGAGATGGCGGTGTATAAAAGAGGAGGTTGCTGAAAATTAGGGTTGAATAGGTGGGGAGACGTCATGGACGACGGTCGCCGTTTGGTATATTGTCTTCCACCTGACTACTCCCCTTCCACCTGACGAATGGCGCGGAGATCTTGGATCGCAGTCTGAGCTCGGCCACTGAAGAGCGCCGTGGTAACGCAGTCCAAAGCAAGGAATAAAGGAGAAAGAGAGAGAGAGAAAAGAGAGAGAACCCACATGGGCTTCTTCCCAGGTGCAACGCGTACAGGGGATCCCTTGTTTGCCAAGTCTTTGGCCGGCAAAGTCTCGTATAGGTCGGGAACACGTCTGCCGGGATCGATGGCTATGATTTGTAATCATCAGCTTATGGAAGATAAAGGGAGAAAACTAAAGAAGACGGAAGATGTTTTTAGGAAGTGGAGGAGAGAGAGAGAGAGAGAGAGAGAGAGAGAATGGCCGAGGAGAAACCGGAAAAGCCTCCCATCATATACATCCGATTCAGATAACTCCATATTATACTTAAAGACGATCCTACTTCACGTGAACAGAAGCCCCCCTCAGCCGTGAAAGCCAGCTCGTACTCGACCTACAAAAGGAGCCATCTTGGAAAACCATGCATCGGCCCTCCTCCATCTTCTTTCAACACCACGAGCAGCTCCTCTCTCAGGTGCCGACTCTGGCGAGCAGGATGCTTCGGGGCCCTTCCATGGTGTGGCTCCTACCGCTTCTTTCCTTCGCTCTCGCTTCCCTCGCGACCAGCGCCATCTCTAAGCAAACTCCAGGGGTACAGAAGAAATCGATCATGTTAACGTGCCTCAGTTGAACTTTCGCCTGCGTTGAATTATAAACTGTTCGAACCTGCAGCCATATGTCGTCTACATGGGGAGCTCTACGGACGGAGCTAGAGAGAGAAACCCGGGGAGCTCGCTCTCATCTCACTTGGAGATGCTGGCCACTGTTATTCCCAGGTACCCATCTCAACTCCCCGCTCGAACTCGCCCGCGTAGAAGACGGCACAACCACTCGTGACGTTTGCAGGGAGGAGGGAGAGCGAGTCTTCGTCGGCCACAGCTATCACAAAACCTTTAGGGGGTTCTCAGCCGTGCTTACCGAGGCAGAAGCCAGAAGATTATCTGGTAAAGAATAGATCTTGTTCCCTTCTAATGGCTCCATCACCTTGCTTGCATGGAAATTAAGAAAAACAATAATGTACGGGCTTCTCGTGTCGGGCGCAGGGCATCCGGGTGTCGTCTCGGTCTTCCCGGACCGTGTTCTTCAGCTCCACACCACCCGATCTTGGGCCTTCTTGGAGGCGGAGGCGGGCCCGGGGACGAGGCGGATCCGCCGTCGAGCTTCAGACGACGTCATCATCGGCATCGTCGACACTGGTCGAAGGCTAATCCGCCGACTAACTACTGTTTATTTCCTTCTCTCCGGGGAGAGCTTCTTCTGCCCCGCTGACAACGCTGCTTCCTCCGCAGGAATCTGGCCGGAGTCACCGAGTTTCAGTGACGCCGGCATCGGAGCGGTTCCGTCTAGATGGAGAGGAGCCTGCATCGAGGGACCCGATTTCAAGAAATCTCACTGCAACAGGTCTGCAACATGGCGGCAAATAAACACTGAATTTGACGATGAGATTCTAAGAATTAGGCCTGGTTCCCACCGCAGGAAGCTGATCGGAGCAAGGTACTACACCAGCCTGGGGGAACCCCTCCGACCCACCGGCAACGCTAGCCGTTTCCGGGCGGACGGCGCCGGATCGCCGAGGGACACCGTGGGGCACGGCACACACACTGCCTCAACGGCGGCGGGTGCCGTCGTCTTCAACGCCAGCTATTACGGCCTCGCGCGAGGAGTGGCGAAGGGCGGCTCGCCGTCGAGCAGGTTGGCCGTGTACAAGGCCTGCTCGGCGGGGGGCTGCGCAAGCTCCAACATACTCAAGGCCATCGACGATGCCGTCGACGATGGGGTCGACATCATCTCCATCTCCATTGGGATAAGCTCCATCTTCCAGTCTGATTTCCTCAGCGACCCCATTGCCATCGGCGCCTTCCACGCGTATCAGAAGGGGGTTCTCGTGGTCTGCTCCGGTGGGAACGATGGGCCCGATCCCTACACAGTGATAAACTCGGCTCCTTGGATACTGACCGTCGCTGCTTCCAGCATCGACAGGACCTTCCAGTCCAGCATCGTCCTCGGCAATGGGAATCGCCTCAAGGTGATTTGTTTCCCCGGGATCCCAGCTGGGTTTTCTCTAACACTCTATGATGAATGGATTATCATACTGAACGAAGTCGATTTCGTCTCTCAGGGCAATGCCATTAATTTCTCCAATCAAACTGGGTCGAGATTGCACCCGCTCATCTTCGGTGGAGACGCTGCCTCAGACTTCACTCCAGTCTTTGAGGCGAGGTTGACGAAACTTCCCCATTTTCCCAGAAATCCGTTTCCTAATTCATAACTTTTAGCTACAGGTGATAATCTTAAACTCTGTATCGGGGTACTCAGTGATCTCTCTCTCTCTATCTCCGGGATGCAGCAATTGCTATCCTGGTTCTCTAGACTCCGAGAAGGCAGCGGGGAAAATTGTCGTGTGCGTCGAAAGCGACCCGACCGTAACGAGGCGGGTGAAGAAACTGGTCGCCGAGGGCGCCGGCGCTAGCGGACTCATCGTCATCGATAACGTTGAAAAAGGCGTCTCCTTCGACTCCGGAACCTTCCCCTTCTCGGAGGTCGGCAAGCGGGCTGGAACTCAGATTCTCAGATACATAAACTCCACCAGGTGAGAACATCTCGATTCGGCGAAAAGAGAAACACCCATAAAATTCTCCCTCTCCTTTGAAAATCCCCTGGCTGCGTGAGCTCCATCACCCTCATCGTGGCAGATCTCCGAGGGCCAGCATTCTTCCCAGCACGGACGTGGACCTGTTCAAGCCGGCCCCCGTGGTCGCCTACTTCTCCTCGCGGGGCCCCGGCAGTCTCACCGAATCCATCCTCAAGGTAAAGGCCTTCTTCCTCCACGCAGAAAACCCATCCTCTTATCTTCCTCTTCCTCCGGTCCTTGAGAAATAAAGCTTTTCGCATTGCAGCCGGATATCATGGCGCCGGGGGTCGGCATTCTGGCGGCCTCAGTCCCGCCGGCGGACGGCGGGCCTGCCGTCCCGCGGGGGAGGAAACCCTCCAACTTCGCCATCAAGTCGGGGACCTCCATGGCCTGCCCGCACGTCGCCGGCACCGCCGCCTTCCTCAAGTCCGTCCGACCCAGATGGACCCCCTCCATGCTGAAGTCGGCCCTCATGACGACAGGTGACTTTAGGACTCGACCTGTTCAAAGCTTGAATCAATCTAACCTGGTTTTTTTTCCTTCTCTTCTTCGCGCAGCCACCACGAAGAACAACGTGGGGAGGACCATAACCAGCGTCTTCGGGGAGAGGGCGAGCTACCACGAGATGGGCGCTGGCGAGATCGGCCCGCTGAGGGCCGTCAACCCGGGCATTGTCTACGAGACCGCCGCCAGTGACTACCTGCTCTTCCTCTGCTACCATGGCTACAAGCAGCAGCTCATAAGCGCCGTCGCCGGCGGCAACTTTACCTGCCCGGCGAACTCCTCCGATGAGCTCATCTCCGGGATCAACTACCCGTCCATCTCCGTCGCCAAGCTCGACCCACGGCGCCCGCCACGGGCGGTGACCCGCACCGTCACCAACGTGGGACCGGTCAACGCCACATACGCGGCCACCGTGGAGGCGCCGGCGGGGCTGGTGGTGGAGGTCTCTCCCCCCAGGCTCTCCTTCTCGGGTAGGTCCCGGCGGGCCGCCTACGAGGTCTCCTTCGACGGGAGCGCCGCCGGCAAGGGATACCACTTCGGGCACATCACCTGGTCCGACGGCGTTCGCTCTGCTCGCTCCGTGTTCGCAGTCAACGTCATCTAGACCCAGGAATCTCTCTCTCTCTATCTATCTATCTATCTATCTATCAGTAGCCAGACTGGGCCCTGCCGGACTTTTCTCCGAGGCCAGACTGGGCCCAAAATTCACAGAAGCAGGCCACGAGATTCAGTACTTCATGGTCAACACTCATGGTAATAAATACAAATAAATAAATAAATAAGCCGAGAAATGGATCTTTCAAGCCGCCGGGTATTCCTCTGATCCAATATCATCACGAGAGTAGCCACAAGAACGAGCAGAAGAAGGACGGGGAAAAAGGCTGCATTTTTACACCTACCGTGTGAAGGGCAGCGCAGGCGCCGCCGCCGTGTTGTTGCCAAGCCTGCATTCGCACGTGCATAGCCTCCTCGATTCGTTGACCACACGCTGTGATCGCCTGGTGTGCAGCTTGATGTTGACCAATTTGCCAGCAATCTTTCATGCCCAAAGGAAAAAAAATAGAAAGAAAGAAATGGGTATTAATGGAAATGTGCAGAAAAGGCTTCCCTAATCACGAGAGATCATCTCCAATGGCTTCTGGAGATTACTACTGTTAGCATAATCGAGAGAGGATCAGAGAACTGACCATCCTCCAAGTAAGATCCTCCGGACCAAGGGGTTGAGAGGGACTTGAAAACAGAAAATGCCTCGAGAACTACAGACACAGAAGCGGAAACTGTTATCAGAAACAGATGGCAGCTTATGGCATCCACATCGTTGACTGGGTCCAATCACCTTCGCAAGGTTGACCTGCATCTCCTTGATCTTTCTGGGGTCAACGCCCTTGAGGAACGAGACAAGCCAGCCAGGGGCTATCGCATCACTTGAAGAAACAAACAGAGCTATCTGCAAGTAGGAGGATAATTGAGGCAGCCAGGAATGGGGACCATAAGTTATAAAAAAGCTGTTCATCTGAGAGAGAATTGAGCGGTTCTCCCACGCCATCAAGCGTTGACCTGGCTTACATCCTACCCAATCATCGTTGTAGAATGATGAAAATGGTAATATGATGAATATTATTACCACCGTTGAGACATCAATGCCGCAAAGAAAAAAACACACTAGAAACCAATATGATCAAAGTTCACTTCCAATGAGCAGATCAAATCCCATACCTTTCTGTAATCTAGAATTCCTTCAAAGGGGAGCTCCAGCTCGTCACTAACTATTACAGGAATACATCCACTGACAATTGCGTCAAAGAGTCTGGCAGATGATGGGGTGTCCCCTGCGGGGCTCAAGCAAAAGATGGATCTAAAACCAAAGAAAAAATTGAAGTTAGATCCCCCAAGAGTATTACATATATACAGCAGTTAGGCAAAGGATTGCGTGGCGTTATCTACCTGCGCATTCCATTCTGGGCAGCTGCCTTCCCAGCTTCTCCTGCACTCCCCTCTTCTACTACAACACCCTCGGCACCAGTAAGTCCCGCCCCAAGTTTGCTGCGGATCTTCCCTCCCTGAACAGGAAATAAATCACACTAAGCATACAAAAATCTAACAAGTCAAAGTTTCTCGGAAGAATGATGCAAAAGAACATTCTTACAGCGTTCCTTTTAAGTCTCCCCCTGAAGAACAGAAAGATACTTCTTTGAGATTGGCTGTCTAATAAACACTGCGCATCACAAACTTCAACGTTCGGCACATATGGAAGAATAACGTCTTTCTCGAGCCACACTTCTCCAGGCTTGTACCTGCACATTTTAGAGTCTGTCAATCATGCACTATTTGCTACGAGGCTTGTGCTCACAGAGAGATGAAAGCTATATTCAATGATTGTCAAAAAAAGCACGACCAATTTCCAGTGGAGTCCATATCGGGAAGAAGCCAAATCGCCTTCTTCATGAATCTGCGGACAGACTTGAAAGACCAAGGATGATGAACTGGAAGTATGTGATCCCTTCCCCCTGACCTTTTCCAGGCAGGTTGATCAGTAACCCACTGCAAAGCCTCCTGTTTCGCAGAAGTTCAACAATAAGATCCATAGAATGTCATCCTTATCCATCCATGCTAACTACAACAACATACTAGGAAGCCATAAATAACAAAATAATGCAACCAGGACTGAATAATTTCTGCAGTAGCCAAGGTTTCAGATGCGCCAGAATAATAGAACCAAGTCGATGAAATTGTATCATTGGGAAGGAGCAAGTCGGAAGTTCAGAAAAAGCAATTCTGCAGCATTTTACTTGCCACATCTCCTTAGCTGTGTCAACCGATCAATGGAAAGTCAAAGGAAAACAGTTTGACCAGATTTTGCTAGTAACACATTTCTCAGTGGTCAACATCACTGTCCAGACAACATTTCCTTTTAGCCTAAACAACATTCAAAGCTAATCATTATTGATGTCCTGATTCCTGGAAGACAGAAAGGACAAACTGAATAACATCTTCACCTCATATTTTGTCTGGATGTGGGTGGTCTCAGCTTTCTAAATAGTTGGGGAATCAGTTTAAGTTTAGACATGAACAGAAATATCACTAAGGACACATGTGGGGAGAACATACTTCCAAAAAGATTTGGCAAATCACAGTACACATGTGTGGTACAAAAATCAGAAGTTCACTGTTTAAAACCTACGAGAGAAAACAGCAACCCCCTCAAAATTCAGGGTAAGCTCCAGTTTTACATTTTAAGGGAAGCTAAACCGCATGAAATTCCTTGTTTACTCCTGAATATGTAGGTTCACGAATCTAAATTGGATACCAGTGATAGAGTGGCATGCATGGCATTTGGCATTTTGACTGAATAATCTCCTCAAGCAATGTTTCGTGTTCCATACGCGCAATGCATGTGTGACAACTCTATTAGCTTACAGACACCACTAAGATTTGAAGGTTAAATTGGCATAAATAATCTTAAGAAAATAATGGCTTGTACACATCTCAAGTAAAAGAAAACGACTAGTCCTAGACGATGCATTAAGCTAGCATCAGCATTCGATGTCCACAGTTTAATCAAACCATTTCATGTCTACCTCATGGAATCAGTAGATACACATGAAATGATTTATATCAGTAGATATATTGACTACAAGTCGAAAAAAAAAGCGGCTAAATTAAAATAAATAAATAAATAAAGATAAACTGAGATGTAGAGCACTATTTTTTTCCTCCTGCGGAACATTTTACATGTTTCTCTCAGATCAACAAATTCTTGTCAAACATGGATGAGGTCAATATCATCTAAAATTTAAACCTTGGGGTTGCTCCCGCACCCTGTAAAGTGCCTTGCATTCCTTTCTTTCAAGCAAGAAATAGCTGATTGTTGTGAAAAATGGTATGTAGAACAGGTCAGCCTCCTCTTGCTGATGAACGCGTACAACACTTTTTAGTAGCCTCCTGGACGCTGGAGAGATCAAATCTGCCCATAGCCAGTAGTCAACAGAATGCTGAAAAATACAAGTAAGAAGCTCATTGAGAAGCCCGCATCCCAAACCAGGACACGAAAAGAAAATCAAAATGACCAAGAATAACAGGCGTGCAAATTACAGGAATGGGATGGAAATCTGTACCTTTCAATAAAAATCCAGTGACAACAAATTATTAAGTTGGCGTGCTTATCCAGTAGAATAGAGTTTAGGTTAGGTTGATACGCTTAGTTACCGCAGTAGATTTGTGATTACAGTGGAAATCGTAAGACAAGGATGCTCTAAAAAAAAGGCCAGCTTAAGATGCTCATATGATAGCATTCGGCCATATTCCATCAATTCATGAGGTACGGTTGATACGATAGAACGGAGGTCACCTGTTCGATCAGGCGGTGGACAGGGCTTCCGTTGGACGTGAGGTTCACCGTCTCCTTATACGTACTTTGAAAAAGCCTCAACAGGTCGTAGGTGAACTTGGCCGGCATCTCATATACATAGACCCTAACCACCGACAATGCAGACCAATGCCCCAAGGGATCCCCCCCATACATTTTTCCAGCATCTCTCGACCAGATCGCGTCATCCAGAGCCTCCTCCGAAGCAGCTCCCCCTCCCTCGCGGCTCAGATCTAGGGAACCCCCATATGCCTCGGGACCAGATGCGAGAAATTTCTCGAGCGAGGCCACAAATGAGTACACTGGAGGAGTATCCCCAGGGATCTCGACACTAGAGCCGCGAGCCACCGGGAATGGAACTTCGAAAGGGTTCCCATGGTTCAGATCAGGCGAACAGCGGGAGGACGAGGACGCGAAGGGGAAGAAGAAGAAGCAGAGGGAAGAGACGGCGAGCACGACAAAGAAGGCGAGGACTTTCGCCATTGGAATGGAGGATGCAGCACGGGGGTACCGGATCGAGAAGACGGAGGAGGAGGACGCCTGCTGCTTCCCGCCTCCCGCCATTCTCAGCACCCGAGAAGAACAGGAGAGCGATCGAAGGGCCTAAATCGTATGTATATTTAGTACTTTATAAATAAATGCCTGCTTATAATTCCAGTTGATGAAATAAATTAATATAATTTTAATACTGTTCCCTCTAAGACCTATACATTATAATATAAACCCATATATTTTAAAAACCGATTTATTCTTGGAGATCAGTCCCTATAGATCGCACTGCTCCTCTGGGAGACGCGGCGGCCCTAAAGCCCAGTAAACCCGATTAAAGATGGTCGTCGAAATGGGCTCATATTGGATGGAAAATGGGCCCAATACTAGCTCCGAAACGTGCTCAGTCTCCCTACGTAGTAGCTCCTCCATCTTTCCGCCGCCGCCGCCGCCGCCGCCGCCGCCGCCGCCGCCGCTAACCTCGTCTATCTCTCTCCGCCGTGGGGCCAAGATCCCAAGAGGAATGCTGGGGACAAAAGGCAAGAGGACAAAGGAGAACCAGGCTCTGTCGTCACCAACCTTCCTTCTCCCCCTCCCCCCTTCTCTCGCGCCGCCCAGCTGCTGAGTCGAAGCGCTGACGTCGCCCACAATCATGGCTCCGGCGACGGGGTTGCGGGCGGCGGCGTACCAGTGGGCGGTAGAGACAAATCGAAGCTTGAATGAAGACGGGAGGCGTATAGGAGACTTATTTCATGCCGTCACGGGAAGCCCGCGGCGGTGACGGGAAAGGGTGGAGAAAACGGAGGGGGTCCTCTCCTTCCTCGGCCATCCCGTCCCTCCCACGCCACCACTCCCTTCAACCGCCATGGAGAGAGATAGATAGAGAGAGAGCTTGATAGACGCTTCCTGTGGATAGAACATCGCCACCACCGCCACCAGCCGCTTGTCTTCTTCCCTTCTTCCCCCCCCCCGGATCTGACATGACAGGCTCGAGAAGGAAGGGCTCATCAGTTTCCCATCGTCTTCATCGCAAAATCCCACCCCGCCAATGGAGAACTGGTCCTCCTTCCCGTCGTATTCGCCGCCGTATATTTGGAACTCCGCCGGCGCCGCCGCCGCGTGCCGGCTTCGGACCGTGGAGGGAGAGAGAGAGAGAGGGAAGTGCGCAGGATGCATGAGCTTCCCATTTTTCTTAATCATAAAATCGGGAGTGAAGATGATACTTTTACCGTTTTCTCGCGAGATAGAATGCAAATGATGTTAGAGAAGAAGAGGATAGACAATATTAACGTCAGCACGCGATTTGGTCACCGAACGCGGCCCGTGAGGCCCTGCCATCTCCGGCGATGGTCCCCGGCGGGGAGTCGCCGGCGACGCACGTGCACGCTGCCGGAAACACGAGACGTCGCTACCGACGGACGGTGACGGATTTCGGAAATCCTTTCGGAGGAGGATTGGGGATCGGAGTCTCCCTCCTCACTGGATCTCCATCCTGCTTCCTCCGCCGCTAGATTTCTGCAGGTGGACGGAGCTTCCGAGGAAGACGGAGGCGGCCTCCACCTTCTGCGCAACGGTATTTGCTCATGTGCGCGGATAATAAGGAACGGCGGGCGATCTCTTCGGCATTGAGCAATTCGCGCGTCCTCCGCCGCCGGCGCCCGAGCGAAGCGGCTGGACTGGCTGCTGTTCCTGCGGGTGGGATCAGAAGACCTGGCTGCTGTTCTAGAAGGGCCTTTCTTCTGCAGTCTCTGTTCCCGCCAAGCGGAGCGAGCTCATACAGTTTGAAATCCCAACTCAACCGGATTTCTACCGATCAACAGCGAAAACAGCGCTCAGCCAGTAGTAAGAGAGAGAGAGAGAGAGAGAGAGGGAGAGATCTTCCACCTGGTTTAATCTCGTTGATTATGAGGCGGCTGTAACTTTTACCTGTTCCGCAAAATCAGTATTCTATAATATCTGGGAAACGACCGGGCGAGGGACGGAGTTCGCTTTCATCGGGTGGCTCTCTCTCTCTCTCTCCTCCTCTCCTCTCCACCTCTCCCGGGTTTTTTAAGAGCGTCCCCGGGCGGGTGCGGGTGCACCTGGCTCTGCTTCACAACTCTCTACTTCCTGCTCTCCTCTTCCCGCTTGCGGCACTGCATCAGTGGCAAATCCTCTAGCAGAAGCAGGATTCCTCTTGGAACCCGTTCTCCGCGAGGGCTCTCTCTCTCGCTCGCTCGCGCGCTCGCGTTGCCTCCGATTCCCGCTGTGGTTCTGGGCTTTCTGCAGTAGTGGGAAGCGGGATCTCGACTGGATCCAGTGGTGCTCTTGTGGTCGAGATTTGTGGTACGTTCCCGCTATAGAGTTCTCTCCCTCCTTCTCCATCTCTCTCTCTCTCTCTCTCTCTCTCTCTCTCTCTCTCTCTCTCTCTCTCTCCCCTCTCTCTCTCTCTCTCCCCTCTCTCTCTCTCTCCCCGCTCTCTCTCTCCCCTCTCTCTCGCTCTCCCTCCCCCTCTCTTCATCCATTCTACCATCTCCTTCGCTTCTCCGCTTGCTCCGGCTCCATCTCCCTTCGTTCACCTCTGTCTTATGATCAAGTTCATCCCGTAGCGTTGGACAGTGGATTCAGCTGGTCAGGCGCGCGTCTTCCCTCTTACTGATGCTTTGCCGGAATTGCTGCTAGGGTTGCATAGCCATCAAGCTTCGTTTCTGAGGTTAGAGGGATCGATCCAGAGGAATGTGAGGAAAACCATTGGATCTCTGGGGGCAGCGGTGTCTGATTCGTCGGCCAACCTCCAAAGCCAGCTGAGATTTGATTCTGGTAAGCCCGTTCGATCTATCTCTCTCCTATAATTCTGTCATTCCACTTCCGTCTTCTACCTTACAGCAAGCTCGTTTACTTTGAGTCTGCCATTGTTACCACCTTGAATGGTTCTATGATCCCTGGTGAATTGGCGTCTCTCTTTCTCGCATCATTTGTCCGAGAGTGCAAGGGACCTCAATTAATCTAGCCCTGATTTCATCCTCATTGAACGCGCTTCTTCACCAAAATCCTCTGCCAGACAGTTTCCCTCTTCTTCTATGTGAAATCTGAATATCTCGTCCTTCTTTAAGAGTTCTTCCTGTTCTTCCTGTTCTTCCACCTCTCGAAGGGTTTGTGTTATTTGCTCTCGATCTCTGAGTGCAGCACAAGTCTCTGCGGGTCTTCAGTGTCTTCCTCTGCTGTCCGCCTTGCTAAGGTCTAGCAGACCATTTACATAAAATTGCTCCTTAATATCTCCTTGCGAGATTCCTTCGCGATATTTTTTATCCATTAATCATGATCACGGGTCTTCTTGTTTACATGTGGCCAGAAAATGAGCCAGACCTCACACGGGAGCGACAGTTCCAGCAGGATTGTTCAGAATGATCATGTCGAGTCTTCATCAGTTGATGAAGAAAGCTCTGAAGTGCCTGCTTCGGGAACACGGCCAATGAAGAAGGGCCCCTGGACGGCTGCAGAGGATGCAGTTCTGAAAGACTACGTCAAGAAGCATGGGAGAGGAAACTGGAATGCTGTTCAAAAGAAAACGAGACTAGCAAGGTGCGGCAAAAGCTGCCGGCTGAGATGGTCCAATCATCTGAGGGCCAATCTGAAGAAAGGTGCGTTTACCCCAGAAGAAGAGCGGACGATCATCAGGCTCCAATCTAAATTGGGCAACAAATGGGCCAAGATTTCTGAACATGTATGTGCCTTCTCCTCTTTGCATCTTTCATGCTAATTTCTTATCTTTGAAGCATAATATTTCTTTGAAAAAAAAATTAAAATTGATAATCCCGCTGCCTGTGAAATCTACTAATAGCGCATTTCTTAATTGCCTTGTGAGTTCAATGTTTGCTTCTGTTTTCTTCACCATCTGCAATGTACAATCCGAGCATCAACAGTGTTTTATGCAATCTTTTTCATTGTGACAACAGTGGTTCTTATCATCCATCTCAGATCAGAGGTACATCGATGAATCTAGAGGACATCCGTCATGAATATCACTCATTCACCAATAATCTTTCTTTTTTTTAATTCCCGTTCATTTTTACGATATCATAAAGAATGATTTGAACAAAAGCTCTCTGCTCTAGTATAACATTTTTTATCTGAAAATTTCGACTTTATCTATTTTTCTTTCTAATTATTGCATGTATGGTGATCATGATCTCAACGTTGATATCTGGCTAGTTGACCTTTGTAGATCATATCACCTGTCGGATGCATATTCATAGGGTCCAAAAAATTCCCTTCTCCCTGGAATGAAGAACGGGTCAATGATGATAGATAATATCGGTGTTCAATCGACTTTCTTGATGATACTAGATATCATTTTCTTTTGCGAGATATAATCTCACATTATTCCGACAGACCATGGAAAAGGAAGTTCATGTGCATGATCAAAGGTTCCCTATAAAGAAACCGATCTGGGTTGATGTTTGCAGCAGAGATTTAGATGAACTCCCGTCTGTTAGTGAAATTGTCTGTCATCTCGCACACAACAGCCTTTTCACGCCCTGGCTTCTTCTCCAGCTAGAAGGGCGGACTGATAATGAGATCAAGAACTACTGGAACACGCGGATAAAGAGGTGCCATCGGACCGGTGCACCCCTCTACCCTCCAGATGTTGTTCCCCAGGGCACCGCTGACAACCCGAATGGCGGGAAAGACGACCGAGCCCAACCTGTCAGGAGGCAGAGCAACGAGGACGTGGAGTCAACGGGGTCGGATATTCCTCCCGTGTTTTTCGAAAACTTAAGACGCCGTTCTCATCCCTTCCACTTTCAGTCCCTCTTCAGCATCCCTTTAGCCGACCTGCTGGGTAAAAGCCCGGGCTCATATGGCTTCAACATCCCTCGGCCGCCATCGGACTGCCCCAGGCCGTTTCCAGCGCCGGAGACCACCAGCACTGGAATGCCCAGCTGCAGCCAGCTCTTGCCTTCGCCGAGGATTGACTTGCCTATGGGCGTTAACATTCCATACGATCCTGAACCTCCAGACGGCTACTTCCCTGCCTCTCAAGCTCCTCCGGAGGCTATGAAGCCGGAGCTCCCTTCACTCCAATATTCCGTCCTTGATCTGGGCGACTCCCTCGACTGCTCTCCTCCGCCGCCTACCCATGTGGCAACGAACACGTGCTTTGAATCTCCTCTGGAAGCCCGGGATCAGATCATACCGGACCATTATTTTCCTCCCCGGAACGATGGCCTACTGGAATCAGTGGTCTATGAGGCTCGCGCGTTGGCCACGGCGCGGTACAGGTCAACGGAGTTGATCTCAGAGACTCCGGCGGCGGCCACTACAGATGCTCCAATTCAGCATACAGCTTGCCCCAACTTGGGCGCCCCCTATTCCGTTCTGGGTCATTCCGCTCCTCCGGCGCCTGATCTTCACAAGACTCCGGCGGCGGCCACTACAGATGCTCCAATTCAACATACAGCTTGCCCCAACTTGGGCGCCCCCTATTCCGTGCTGGGTCATTCCGCTCCTCCTGCGCCTGATCGCCACAAGACTCCGGCGGCGGCCACTACAGATGCTCCAATTCAACATACAGCTTGCTCTAACTTGGGCGCCCCCTATTCCTTGCTGGGTCATTCCGCTCCTCCGGCGATGGCATCGACCGGTGAGTTGACTTCTGCACTTCATTCATGCCGAGGATTTTGATCGTGATTGAGCAGTGATTTGACGTCTGATCCTCAGATTTGGACGTGATCATGTCGGACCCTGTGGTTGGAGACGCGGGGAGATCTCAGCTGGAAGACTTGCTGCCGTCGGACTGGCCCGATGGGGATCTCGGAATCCCGGACATCTTCCGCTGTGAGTTCACCGAGAATCCTGACATTGACGTAACTACGGTGGACTTCTCCATGCTGAACCGGGAACTGGATGCAATCGTCGGCATCCCGTGGGACGACGATATCTTCGAGAAGTCCAAGTATCCCTGAGATCATTCGTCTTCTTTGCTTGGAAGAGTTCCACCTGTTCTCGCAGATTATTGACTCATCTGACGGCGGCTGAGGGCTGGCGGGAGACTGTACCATCGTACCACGCTTCTTTACTCGATTTTAATGAACTGCGCTTCGTATTCACTCCTTCCTCATCTTTTTCATTATCGTTTCACACTGTTTGTGCCTCTCTAACCCTGATGACATCATGCTTACGGTTTGGAGACGTAAGCGAGAGCAGCGGATGCCATGTCGTTCTCAGCCTACCCCCCCCCCCCCAGGGTCAAATGCGAAAGTCGTCGACAATTTTATCGATTAGACAAAGAGAGAGAGAGACAGACAGAACCAGAGATAGAGAGAGAGGGAGAGGGAGAGGGAGAGATAGGGAGAGAGAGAGAGAGAGAGTGGGGAGGGTGAGAATATTATTGGCAGGGAGTTCAAGGGTGGCAAGCTGGGGCTGTGATGTGGCTGAAGACAAGGCTGGAATTTGACTCCAGGTGTCAGCATTTTGGCAGACTTCATCTCAGAGTCAAACAGCCGCGTCATGACGGAAACTGAAGGGCCATCCTAAACGCATCCCACCCCTCTAAGCCTGAAGAAGATGATGGCGTACGGAGCAGCCGCTATTGTTGACCAGCGTCGTCGGGGCAGCCCCCTCGCCGGAGTTTCTCCATCTCCGGCGATCCACCGGCGGAAAAGAGAGTTCGCCTTGAGAAATGTAAAAGAAAAACGAGAGACCAAGAGGAAATCTCGAGGAAACAGCTGACTGCAGGATAAAAAGTACAGAAATCGCGGTGGCCGGGTTCTGCAGCTACAGATGGATGCTACAGGGAAGACTAGGGGAAGCTAGCTCTTCAGGAAGAAGCTCATCTGATGTGATCCTCGTCAATCATCAGGCTACTCGGAGAAGTTGCAGATGAGAGGAGTTTTTACATGACGCGCCATGATTCCAGTGTAGGGAAGTACGGGAAGGAGCGCGGCTCGAGGTCGAAGGCGGGGCCGCCGCCGTCCAGGGCCGGGGACCCGAAGCTGGAACCCGTCGATGGCGGGCTCGCGACCGCGCTCTCCAGCAGGAAGGACGATGTGTCCAGCGTCGGCAGGCGCCCCCCCTGCAGCGCCCCCAGGCCGCCGCCGGCGGACATCTGCGGCTCCGGCTTGTATACCACATCCTCCAGCTCCGGCGACCCACCGCCGAACCGGATCCCGGTGACCTGCTGCACCATCTCCCGGAAGTTGGCGGGGTCAGCGGTGATGTAGGTAGTCGTCGACCGCTTCGTGGCCCGGGACTTGCGCTTGGAAATCTTCTTGCCGGTGGGGGATATCGCCGGCGAGCCCCAGCTCGGCTTCGGCGGCGCCTCCGCGTCGGAGGCGGAGAAGGGGGCCGTCGGTTCGGACTTCAGGAACGACGATGAGATGCCGTCGCCGGCGATCGCCGCCAGGATGTCGGCGTCGGAGGAGAAAGACATCTGCAGGGCCCTGGAAAAGGACATCTCCATTTCGTCGCCGCCGCCGCCGGCGTCCGAGTTGCCGGCGAAGCCCGAGGGGAAGGACCACGCCCCGAGGCCGAAGCAGTCGTTGGCCATCTCCGCCGCTCCTCACCGGTGCACGCCTTGCTCTCTCCCGTCTCCCCCCTTCCCGTCTATTATGCACCGTCCAGATGCTGCAACTAGCGCATTTCTTGAGAGCCCAAATCGTCAGAAGCTGACCGACGGGATATCTGTGGAGGATCTGGGGAAGGAAACGACCGTGCGAGACTGGAGAGGAACAGCTGCTCGCCCGCCCCTTATTCTCCCACCTCCTCGCTAGTGAGAGAAAGAGAGAGATAGAGAGAGAGAGAGAGAGAACGGAGGAAAGCTATCATCGGCTGCTGGGTATTTAAAGAGGGTAGAAAACGCGTCCCTTGGGCCCACGTGCTCATCTCTCCCTAACCAAGAGCTCGGGTTCCCGGCCGCTGACTCCCAGTCTACCTACATAAACAACGCGACAGCTAGGTACGGAAAATGACGGAGAGTGGATTGCCGCCGTTAAAAACCCGTTTACCTCCCGCGGGAGGGACGGTGCATAAGATCCTGCCGAAGGGGGCCAGGAGGAGCCAGAGCAGCTCTCTCTCTCTCTCACCCTGACGGCGTTCCCCCGCGCTTCGCAGTCACCGCGAGAATCAAAGTTATCATTTTTTAACTCCCCCGTCATTCCGTCGGAGGGAGAGGGACGTCGCACAAGTTGAAGAAGAAGCCGCGTCGGCGGACCACCTGTCCTCCACCGTCGCTGCTAAGCTTCGAATCCTGCGGTCTCTCTCATCGCCGCCACCACTCCGCCGCGAGAGAAGGGAATCAAAGCCCACCCCCCACTCCGCCGCAGAGGAAGAAGCTCTCCCACCTTCTCCGCCGTTGACCTGCTGGTAAGCGTGGGTGGGGCGAGATTGAATCAGACGGTGATCACGTGAAGAAAATGGATAAAAATAAACGTCTCCGTCGGGCTTTACACGGGCCATCTGAATTCAATATGTTCTTGCTTCGATCGGACAAATGACGGAGAGGATTAGGTTATTGCACGGATTACGTTGGCGGCGGGATGATCGCGACGCTTTGGATTGGTCCTCCGACGGGGTGAAAACCAGGGGCTCTGGTCAGCCGTCGGCTGGTAGTCCGGAGATCAGTCGACGGGTAAATGTGACGAGTGACGACGACCATGTCGTCATGGTCGGCGACACCAAGTTCCGGGCCGGGCCCGAGACCTTATAAAAGGCCGAAAACGGGATTTTCTGCCAGACCCTAAATGACGTAAGTCCTAGCTTCACCCGCCGTATGGATCCGTCTTAGCGAGAGAGAGAGAGAGAAAGAAGAGGAAAGAGGTGGACCCAAATAAATAGGTAGCAGGCTTGGTTTTGACTATTTTTTTATATTTTGTGATTTGACTTTGAAGTCAAAGTGTAGAAAAAACAAGTTCGGTTTGACGCCAGGGGCGATATCTCATCTCCAATGCAGATGTACTATTGAACAGAGAGAGAGAGAGAGAGAGAGAGAGAGAGAGAGAGAACCTAACCAAAGTGAGTTATTGTGAATTTCAAGAAAGTTTATGTAGAATTCTAACCAAAGCCTGTTCATTTCAATATTTATTCGAACCTGTACTACACGATAATCGCCCATCAACGACACGTGCGCCGCCGTTGACTTATTTTATTGACACGAACACCTCTTGCTTGGGTTTTACCGTGGCTGGTCAAAGGGAACCCCGATTTGTTTATCATCTGCGGCCCCGACATCGGCCCTTTAATTCCCCTCATCAATGAAGGAACGAAACAGGTTGCGCCCATGTGGTTGCGCGCGAAGTACGTACAGTCAACCATGTCGAATGAGGAGGGGACCCAATTGACCAATATCGGATCCCTCTGATATCGACGACGTGGCACCGCGTTGACTGTCGGCTATCTCACATGCGCACCACTTTGACTTTGACCCACCCCACCCACCCCCTCGGCTCGTCTTCTTCCCCAGCATTCCCATTAACCACGTGGCGTAGATGTAATGAAGCTGATGGGTTTTGACCAGAGCCTGAAGATTTCGACGGCCGGACGATCACCGCGAATGTCTCTTAGTCGTCGGCATGTGTAATTTTCCACTAATTCCCCTGGACTTTATCCACTGCATTAATTAGCAGATTGCCTATAATTCCCACTGTTAGACGGCCAACACACATTCTCTCTCTTTCCCTCTATCTCTTCCTTTCTCTCTCTCTCTCTCTTCCTCTCTTTTGCTACCTATTTCTTCCTCCTTCCCTCTCTATTGCTATCTATATATCTATTTCTTCCTCTCTCTCTTTCTCTCCCTGTCAGTAGTACAGGGCATCCGAGGAGGCGTAGCTGAACTTGAGAAGATGAGGGTATTTTTGACCATTTGCATAGCGGTCAAACGGCGACCTGTCAACGTCAAAGATGACGGTGGTGTGTCTACGCTTCATCAGCCGAGGGCGTCGACTTCAATGTTCGTGCAGTCCAGAAAGAGACGATAATGAACCATGGAAATTGGTCGTCTGATAAAAAAATGTATGGTGGGAAACGCTACGCGCATCCATACGATCACGGGGACCGCGATGCAATTGGTGGGAAACTGCTCTCTACGCCGAACGACCTCATCGAAAGCTTGATAAATGGGCCGGTGCGAGAGAGAGAGAGAGAGAGAGAGAGACGTTGTTCTTGGCCCAAAGTCGCAACCTAGATGGATAATGGGCCAGTGTGAGGGGCAAGGTCCAGGTGGTTGTAATTAAAGAGATTTAGACTGCAAATCAAAATCAGTCAAGAGAGAGAGGGAGGATAGAGGGAGAGAGGGGGGGGGGGAGGGGAGAGAGAGAGAGAGAGAGAGAGGGGAGAGAGGGAGAGAGAATGTGAGAGAGGAGGGAGTTGTTCTAGGCCTCAAGCCGCAACCTAGATGGATAATGGGCCAGGGGCAAGGTCCAGGTGATTGGTAACTAAAGAGAGAGTTAGACTCCAAATCAACGACCTGATGGCTAAACTTTAGGAAATGGCAGCTAATTATGGCTTCATGTCCTCTTCAGATGAAAATTAGTTTTTTTTATCGCAAAAATGATTCCGAAAAATGATAATTTGGGGGCCCCTGCGGCAAAATCCCCGCTTTCCTCTTACAGATCGGGTCACTCCCCCCCCCCTCCCCCATTCTGCCTTAAACACTCCTCTCCCCCCCTTTCTCTTCCACGTTCCGAATTTCAGAACTTGGCGCGCTCCCAGTCCGGGCTTTACCCGACGGTTCGCCTCCTCCGCGCGGGGACCTCTCGCGTCCTTCCCCGTCGATCTGAACCTCGGTAAGTCTCCGCCGTCTCATCTCTCTTCCTGGTCGGATTCCTGGTTTTTTCGGGATCATGATTTGGGTCACATTGCTAGGGTTTTCGACGTCGCGTTGCATTGAGTTCGGATTTCGCCGGCTCTAGGGGTCGGCCCGTCGCTCCTCTTCCTTCTATCTAGGGTTACTTGCCCGATTTTCTCTGATTCGCCGTAGGATTCACAGGCACTGATATCGATTTCATTGGTGTTTCTTCGCTCTTTCAATCCAGGCTTCGTGGCGGCAGATCGCATTTTCTTCCCCTAATCTTCTTGAAGTTCCAAGGGTTTCGATCCCTGTATCGGAAAGCACTCGCTCAGGGTCTAAGGGAGCGTCTGCTTCCACCATGGCAGCAACAGATCCGGCGGCGAATAACAACACATCTTCGGCCCTGGACTCGGACTCGAGGTCGGATGCCCGGAGAAGACATGCTGTTGTTGCAAGGAAGAAATCGGCCACTGATGTGGTTCCCAACGGGGGAAATTCGGGCGTGGGCAGTGATCAGGTCGTCGCCACTGGGAATAATCCAAGCCGCGCCGTAAGAGCAGAATCCACCGCCGTTCTTGAGAGGCCGCGAGAATTACCCCACGCCAAGAAAGTTGCAGTTGCAGCGTCTACAGTCTCTCCACGGCGCAGAAGGTCGACCTCGAGGCCCGAGAAGCCCCGGTGGCTGACTGTGCTCAGTATCCTCACGAAGAACTGCTTCCTCCTGATGGGGCTGTTCATCGTGGCCCGAGTGACCTGGAAATGGTCCGGCCAATTTAACGGGAACACCCACATGCCATTTGCGGCGCTCGATCTCGAGGATCAAATCTCCGACCTCAAGTCCTCCTTGAAGAAGACGGCAAAGATGATGCAGGTCCAGTTGGAGGTTGTGGACCAGAAGATTGGCAGCGAGTCTGGGAACGTCAGGCTGGAGATGTCCAGGAAGATCGAAGAGAGAAGCGCCTCCCTTGAGAAGGAGCTGAAGAAGCTGGAGGCGCGGAGTGACAACCTGGAGAATTCCTTGTCTGAACTGAAGGGTACGGGCTTCTTCTCCAAAGAAGAGTTTCAGAAATTTTACAGCGACTTCAAGAACAGACAGAGCCGCCCAGAGAGAGACGAAGAGCTCTTCACTCTCGACGAGCTTAGGAACTACGCGAGGGAAGTCGTCGAGAAGGAGATGGAGAAGCACGTAGCCGATGGGCTCGGAAGGGTTGACTTTGCTCTGGCATCCGGCGGGGCCAGGGTGGTTCGGCACTCGGAGCCATACCTGGGGAAAAGCCTCTGGCTTCTGGTCAAAGGCCGCGGTGGAGTTGACCCCAACGCCCATAAAATGCTGCAACCAAGCTTCGGAGAGCCTGGTCAGTGCTTCCCCCTGCTGGGTGACGCAGGGTTTGTCGAAATCAAGCTAACAACGGCAATAATTCCTGATTCCATCACACTGGAACACGTCGCAAAGGTACTCAGACTTCTTCTCTCCGTAGAGGGTATGACTGATCTTTCTGTTTGGCTTCCTCCCCATGCGGGTCGTCGGAATCACATCTCGGGTCTTAGGCGAGTGTGTGGGTTTCTCCTGCTCGATCGCTGGTTTCTGCTCATTCTCTTGCCAGGATTACGATCTCCGTAGTCCGTCTTTATAAGCTGCCTTTTTTCTCTTCCTTTTTTTTTTTTTCTTAAAGTGGCCGTTTGATTCTCATCGTCGTTGACAAACCTGGGATGGGGGGTTGGTGCAGAGCGTGGCCTACGACAGGCTCAGCGCCCCGAAGGACTGCCGGGTCTCGGCGTGGCTGGAAGGGACGAGCAACGACGGCGGCGCCGAGAAGATGCGGACACTGGTGGAGTTCAGCTACGACCTGGAGGGGAGCAACGCGCAGAGCTTCAAGGTAGAGCCTGGCGGCGCTTGCAACATGGTCCGGTTTGACTTCAGCTCCAACCACGGCAGCTCCTCCCACACCTGCATCTACCGCCTGCGGGTCCACGGATGGGAACGGCCCCGCTCCACCTGAGGGGGGGCCCCATTCTTCGCCTCTGTTTTCTTTTCTCTCATATATATTTTTCTTCTCTCTCTAGGTCCCGGTAAAAATCTCACGCCTCCCCGCTCGTTTTGATTTTCTGGTGGAGGGGGGGGGGTCGGCAGGGTAGAGAGAGAGAGCTGCTGGGCGGTGTGGACCGCTGACATGAATCCACTGTGCCGGGTGAAGAGGGTAGGACAGGATTCCAGCCTGGCTATGTACGCCGATGGAGAGCTAGAGAGAGAAGAATCCAATGAAGTGAGCATTTTGCTCGCTGCCGTTTGGATCGGGTTACGACCCTTTACTTCACCTTCTCTCTCCACCTTGGACGAGAATCGCCTCTCACTCTTCTTCTCTTCTCTCACTGAACCAACAGGATCTATCAGCAGTGTCGCCGCAGCTCTGAGAAGTAGACGATCCGGGTTCTGATTTCGCACGTGCGATACATGCTTTGGGTCCGTTAAACACGTGGATTAAAGACGAGAGTGTTGTTTTCTCTCACAACTGTAGAAACTGCCTGGGGGGATGGATCACGAGAGAGAGAGAGAACGGGGGATATATTTACTAATATTTTATAACATAGGGTCTATCGATTATTTGAAGAGGAGTAATTTTTTCTAGGAAACGGGCGGAATCCCGTATTTAGTAGATTTTACCAAAATGGTGCACGATTAATATGCTATTTATTACATTTATCGTAAGATAAAAAATGCAAAACCTTTCCGTTGCCGGGATTTGAACCCGGGTCGCCTGGGTGAAAGCCAGATATCCTAACCGGACTAGACGACAACGGAAGTGTAAGCAAGTAAATATAGTTTCTAAATATTCCTAAAATACTTTTCCCCCCTGATGAGCTCCTCGCGCTGACAGTCAAGGTGCGTCCTGGAAAGGCTGGTCTCATCACTTCCTCCCCTTCTACCGTTCCTACAGAGGAAAAGCTCCGGTCTTTGCCCGCGTTCGGCCTCGCCCTCGCCCCCCGCCCGGACTGACTCACAGTCTTCCCTTTTCTGGCCCCGCTTTCGCGCCGCCGGTGGTCTCGGGAATCCTGACACTCGGATCTCGGTTGGGTTCTGTATCCGTTTCTCCTAGCTCACCTACTCCTATCGTCGACGTACTCACTGCAGGGCTAACCAGTGAGGGAAGTTGGTGGGCGGGGTTGCCGCTGAATTTGTTTAGATCGCCTTCTGATCTCTCTGTTCCTTCGTTGCGGTCGGCTTCGTCGTGTATGCTTCATTGGACGTGCATTGTATGAGGGGAGAATTTTCCCATTCCTTGTTTCGGCTTTGTTCGTCGTCTGAACCAGCCCGTGTCTATGGTCGATTTCTTTCTGTTGTTTTCGCAGCATTTTTTCTCCTCTTCCAGGAATTCGGCTTCAGCTCAGTTTTTGGTCTCTCTATCACATTATCCTCTTTCCTGTCGCTCGATATCTTCCCCTGATTTGCCTTATGATTTCAGTTCCGATTCCTCGCTCCGCTGGGTTTCAGTTCTCGCAACTGAGCTCAAGTAGGGCCCTTCGATCTCTATAAGACAGACAGGCGGAGGAGGGTCGTCGCTGGCTAGAGAGAGGAAATGCAGATCGTCATTGTGATGATTCTCCTGTTTGTGGGTAGCACAGACGGGAAGTCCGACTTCGAGGCTCTCTTGGAGTTCAAGAACGGGATCAAGGAAGGTCCTCCGGGGCGCCTCGTCAGCTCTTGGAACACCGAGAGTCTGCCGGAATCTGGGGGTTGCCCTTCCAGCTGGTACGGGATCCAGTGCTCAGGTGGCCGCATTATCTCTATCACTCTGAGCGGTATGAATCTGGTAGGGGAAGTCAACCTGTCTGCTCTGACTGGAATGGAGATGCTCGTCAATCTCTCTCTCTCTCATAATCATCTGTCGGGAATCCTCCTCCCGGAAGCGGGATCCTTCAAGTCTCTCGAGTTTCTGGATCTCTCTGACAACTCATTCGTGGGTGGGATTCCGGCGGCGCTGACCGAAATCGAGAGCTTAGTCTACCTCAACTTGTCGTTAAACAACTTCAGCGGGAGGCTGCCCGCCGGTTTCAGAAACCTTTGGAAGCTTGCTTACTTAGACTTGCGGTCGAATGGTATCTCCGGCGACGTGGAAAGATCCCTTCTTGAGCTGCAGGTCTCAGTCCGGGTAGACTTCAGCCGTAACGCATTCACCGGGTCGCTCAGATCAGTCCCAGAGAATTCCTCCCTTCTGGGTTCAATCCAGTATCTGAACATCAGCCACAATAAGCTCTCGGGAGAGCTGTTCCCCGATGTCATGCCTCTGTTCGACAGCTTGGAGGTGTTCGATGCCAGCCACAACCAGCTCGAAGGCCAGGTCCCTGCCTTCAACTTCATCGTCTCTCTTCGTGTTCTACGGCTGCGGAATAATCGCTTCTCTGGGTCCTTGCCGGAAACCTTTCTGGAGGAAAGCTCAATGACCCTGGGTGATCTTGATCTCAGCAACAACCAGCTCGAAGGTAATGAATTTTTCTTTTCTTTTTTTTCTTTGTTTTCTCTGATGGGAGCAAAGAGAATATAATTCCCATCTCTATCTTAATTTTCTTATGGTTTTCTTCACGCAAATCATACTGTTGCAAGATCTACCTTTGACCCCGGAGATATTTTGGTCATGAACTTAGTCATTCATATTTTGATAGATAATGATATTTTGATAGATAATGATAGAAACTACATCCTCTTTTGGTACAGGACCTGTCAAGAGCATTACATCCGGAACTCTGATAAGTCTCAATCTTTCCTTTAATAAGTTGTCGGGCTCCTTGCCTCTGAGAGTTGGGAGCTGCGCATCCATTGATCTGAGCAGCAACATGCTCTCTGGGAACCTATCCAGAGTAAGGGACTGGGGAAACTATGTGGAAGCCATCGATCTGAGTTCAAACTCGTTGGAAGGCATGCTGCCCAACGAGACTTCTCTCTTTCTGAGGTTGGCCTCCTTCAAGGTCTCGAATAACTCGTTGCACGGGGAGCTACCCTTCGTGTTGGGGACGTACCCTGAGTTGCAGGCCATCGATTTTAGCCTCAACAAGCTGTATGGGTCTCTCCCGTCGAGTCTTTTCACTTCTTTGCGGTTATCGGAGGTGAAGCTTTCTGGGAACAGCTTCACTGGTTCAGTCCCGCTACCGAGCTCTCAAGTGGGGGCTCCCATGGCGGCGAGTGCTCCTTCTGCATATGCTGTCCAAAATTATAGCTTGACGCATCTAGATCTCTCAGACAATTCTCTCAGTGGCTCCTTGCCTGCGGTAATCGGTGCTCTGAAGGGTCTGAAATTGCTGAATGTCAGTAGAAACAACTTCTCGGGGATAATCCCGCCGACAATCAGCAACCTCCACAGCTTGCAATCTCTGGATCTCTCCGGCAACAATCTGGTAGGCGGCATTCCCAGTGGTATCTCTGAAGAGCTTGTGGCATTCAATGTTTCATACAACAATCTTTCCGGCATTGTTCCCCACAATCTGCTGCGATTTCCTAATTCCTCATTTCATCCGGGAAATCCTCTCTTGATCCTTCCGCGTGACTTTTCATTGAATGGGCCCAATCTGGGTGATGAGAGGAGGCGTGAGCATCATCATATGAAGCCCTTGATCAGGAACATGATGATCGTGGGCTTCGTCGGCGCCATCTTTGTGATGATACTCTTGTCATTGCTGATCTATTATAGGACTTCTCTGGTCAGAGAAAGGGGAAAAAATGCTGATCAGAGCAAGTTCCCTGGCAACAAATCTCTTGTAACCCAAGGAGGTGCAGACCCTCCACCTTCGGGCTTGCCAGCTGACCATGGTGTCATTTTGTCAACGGATAAGCCCTCTGTGAACAACGGTAAGCTAGAGTCAACTATGGACTTTCCCCAACCTGATCAGATCAAAAGTGGGCAGCAGTCTCCTTTGTCCCTCTTTGCGTCCTCGCCTTATTCAAGAGATGAGAATTCATCAGAGCAGCCCTCTATTTTCAAGGTGCGTTCACCGGATAAGCTCGCGGGTGATCTCCATCTACTGGACAGTTCATTCGTATTCACTGCAGAGGAGCTTTCTCGGGCTCCTGCGGAAATTATTGGCAGGAGCTGCCACGGGACAACTTACAGAGCTACTCTTGATGGGGGGCATGTGTTGGCTGTGAAGTGGCTCAGAGAAGGCATCACAAAAGGCAGGAAGGAATTCTCCAGGGAGGTCAAGAAGCTCGGGAATATTAGGCATCCCAACATCATCTCCTTGCGAGGTTACTATTGGGGTCCTAAAGACCACGAGAAGCTGATCATTTCAGATTATTTCAACGCAGAATGCTTGACTCTTCATCTCTGCGGTACGGCTTTTCCCTTTCCACTATTTATTAGATATTAATCCGCTAATGCTGTATATAAATGCTGTTTTGTCTTGAATCACTTTTGTCATGATCCAGGAACCTTTGTCTGGTTAGGCATTGTGTTTCATAGACTTGGATCTCTGTGAAACACAACACCAGTTTATCTACACCCATATGCAGATGGCATGATAAAAACGAATTTTGTTCCTATAAATTGTTTGAGAAACGACTGATTGTGGAGAGCATTTATCAGGAACAGTTTCCCTAAAAATATGAGTCATAATCATCATCGGTCTTGCCAGATCTCTGATTCATTATTTGATCCGTTTTCTTTGGAAGTGTTCTCCGTGATGGGTAAGCATTTGTCTTAGTCAATCCTTCCTGTATCAGTAATATTTGGAGATTCAATCTTGGGTGAAAGATGTGAGATATGTATATTACTAGCCTCTGAACTAGTTAGGATTTGGCAGCTGATTGGGTCTAGTACTGATGAAGTTTTCCAATTGGCAGTAAGGTTTGCAGTAATGGTGTTGAGGATCATTCCTGGGCTGGGACAGAGTAACCCAGCTTCGGGCTTCTTCTCAGAAATTTAATCGTTCTCCTCTTAACAATGATCACCAGGTTGACCTGATCAAATTGCTAAATTGGTATGGAATCATCTCTGACTGGTAGATTAGATTTCCCATCTTGCATGTGTTGACTTGCAGATGCTAGAACTCCATTATTATGGAGTTGTGTAAGTGGGATAAAAGAGGTGTGGTGTCTCATCAAAGCATTCATTCGAAGCATTTTCTGCCAATTGGCACCACCCACCACCTTTTTGCGCCACCATACTCACGGCAGGTCACAGCGGGCTCACCTCCTGCTGTCGTATTAATAGAGCTGAGAAGTCTCAGGCTCCATCCAGCTTCGATTAGCAGAGTTTAAAACGGTTTCAAGCTCCATTTCGTTGACTTCTTCAGCTCTGTTACTCTTATCCTCGTTTCCAATCGCTCTTCAAGTACTCATATCTGAAAAGAGAAAAAGAAAAAACACTTTTTTTGGCCTAAAAGCAAGAATCATGAACTGGGTCGCCGGTTCCTGATGAGACATGGAACGGTTGGATTTGAATGGAGGAGACATGGACGTTGTGCAGGGCACTCTTATGTTTCTCTCCCTTTAAAAGAAGCGATTTTTAACGCCTGACATTTGTGCTGTTGCTTGCCTCTGTGCAGAGTTCGAACCCAGAAAGCTCGAGCCCCTGTCTCCGACCCAGCGGCTCGGCATCGCCATCGACGTCGCGCGCGGCCTGAATTATCTCCACAACCAGAGGGCCATTCCTCATGGCAACCTCAAATCCACGAACATCATCATCATCACCCAGCAGGCCCCCGCTCTGAACGCCCTGCTCTCGGACTACAGCCTCCACCGGATAATGAACCCCGCAGGCATGGCGGAGCAGGTCCTCAACGCTGGGGCGCTCGGGTACAGGCCGCCGGAGTTCGCCTGCACCAGCAAGCCCTGCCCTTCTCTCAAGAGCGACGTCTATGCCTTCGGAGTGATCTTGCTGGAGCTTCTTACCGGGAAGAACGCCGGCGAGATCGTCTCCGGCAACCCGAGCCTCGTGGACCTCACCGACTGGGTGAAGCTGCTGGCGAGCGAGCACCGCTCGGCGGAGTGCTTCGACAAGGTGATCCTCGAGGCCGGGGGCGACGCCGCCGCCGAGGGCACGGCGGCGGCGATGGAGGGGATGCTGCAGGTGGCCCTCCGCTGCATCCGACCTGCCTCGGAGAGGCCCGAGATGGGGACTGTTTTCGAGGATCTTCGCGCTCTGGCGGCGGCTCCGCCTGCTCCCACCCTGTACATGACGCCGCCGCCGAGCTGACAGGTTATTGGAGGGGCGAGAACTAACCCCATTGGTTTCGCTTCTCCCATTCGATTGATCACGCGTCTCATATTTTTTCTTCTCCTCCCTTCTGAACTGGGTCTGAGAATAATGTATCGCATTGTTCCCAACATCGATTTTTTTGAAGAAAATAAATATTCTTAGGCGTTCCTCTCTCTCTCTCTCTCTCTCTCTCTCTAGCTAGCTCAGATGGCTCAGCTCGAGGGATCAAGGGAATTGGAAGACTACCCGGTGCTGCCGGATAGATCGCCGGAGAAGGCGCTGCCGGCGGAGACCGATCCGGTCTGAGAAGAAGTGACACCCCGGGCTCTCTGGATCTGCCGGATTCTGAACATGTCCTGAGGAAGAGGGCGGCTCTGCACCGTCTTGGTGTCGTCATCGTCTTGCCCTGCAGAGACTCGGAATGCAGGAGATTTAGGGTTTTGCCCAGGGAACTTGTAATCACAAAAGCCGCAGAAATCAGAGCAACTCCCCATGAAACTACCCACAAAAAATTTCATTCAATCGCTTGGTCGCAGGGGTTTATGGTATAATTTCATTCAATACGGGAGGTGCGAGAGAGAGAGAGAGAGAGAGGGGGGGGGGGGGGGGGGGGGGCTTACTATCGGGTTCTTTCCTCTTTCCGGGTGGTCCTTCTCTGCGCAGCCTGAGTGATGAGGCGCTGGCAGTGGGGTGAGTCTTGCTGGAGCCAGAGAGATCGCTCGTACTAGGACCAGCTGCTCCGCGCTGAAATGGCTGCGACGACGAGGCTGGTTTACTGGGATGAGTAGACGGGATGTTTCCCTGCAGCAGGATGGACAGCACGACGTCCACATTTGGGGAGGGGCCTGCGGGTTACAGAGAAAGTCAGAGCCCAACTACTGCATGCGGTGAAGAAAATATCATGCAATAAATGGGCAAGTTTCTTCATCCAAGAATGATATCTGGGCGAGCGCATCGTGGGCAAGCTTTTAGTTTAATTACAGACAAGTTAGTGTAACTCGTAAAGTTTCCCAAAAAGGTAAAAAAATGGACTTTCAGTAAAAAAAAAAAGGAAGAAAAAAGCAAATGCAATGAACATTCTGAGAACCAAATCGGCGTAATTATTTATAAAAAAACCAAGGTCCTTCCTACTAAGAGCAGCCAAGATCCCCCCTTTGATGGGATGACCGCCTTTTCACAGGTGGAATGAGAGCCCAGATTAGGCAGGGAAACCAGAGGGTCAGTCATTAGCGGGGGGGGGGGGGGGCAACCTTTACAAGGGTTGACTCTTGCAACTCTACCAAGGGGTTTGACTATCAAGCCGGTCAACTACCTACAGTCACATAGTAGCATAGCTTCGCATAAAAGACAGGTCCTGAAGCAGTTGTGAAATAACTAAATCTGATCACTGTCATGGGGAGAGAGAAACAATGAGCCAGAAACAGGGGATTAAGGTCAACGTCACCATTTATGCCCAGAAACCATGGAAGCATTTTCTCAAAAAAGCGCAAGAAATAAGTGGGCAATACCTTCCACAACGGGTAGTTGCGATATGAATGTGGCCAGAGTTGATGGAATCGTTTTCATGATCTCTTCCAGAGTCTTCCTTGCACCACTGCTGACTGAAGCAATGCTAGAAGAAACAGCACCGGAAACTGCTGGAAGCTCTTTCACATTGACGCTCGGAAGAAACGCCGAATCTGCAGAGATTGTCAGATTTTGAGCCTTCAGTCTGCTCCATGAACATTTGATAAATAAATTAAATTTATTTTTCAAACATAAATATGACCTGTCTACCAAAGAATCTTACAGAAACTCACCATACAGTAACCTTGCGCCATCTATGCCTTCATACAAGTATAAAAGGAAGGAAGGATAGCTCGTTGAAGGGACAAAGGCTAATATGCTCCATCTACGAACATGAATGATAAGAAGACGGCATGGACAAATCCGAAGGCATCAAATTTGAGAGGCTTTTTTCATATGTTCTAGGAGAATTAATTCTCATTACTCAGTATTCCGAGAGTTTCACGGCGTTCAATGCGATGTGATGATCTGATCTTGTACACCGAAAGGGCAAAACAATTGAAAACAGCTGCTACTATATCTGACTACCATCGGGTAATTAGAAACAACAGTTTGATGATATACGCACCCCTGGAATCAACAAAGGGAAGAAAAAGGCTCTGCTGATCTCAAGAAAAAAAGGGGTTTTCCTTTTCAAAGTTTAGAAAGAAATGAAGTTCAGTGCCATATAAAATGAGCTAAAGAATATATAACCGCTGGACCTTACTGGGTAAAGTCTTTACCTTGCGCTTGCATGGGATCGTAAATGACCATCCGAGAGGTATCCGGGTAGACAATTTTGGTTGACGACGCGGCAGACAGCTTCGAATCTGGAAGTCCAGCAGCACCTTTATTTTGGAAGAAAAATTATAAATCTTACAGGGGGCAAAAAAAAAAAAAATGAAGCGCAAGAGAGGGTGAACTAGATAATGTTACCTACGGAACCAGTTCCTTGTGCCAGAGATGACTTCTCTGCCTTCTTATCACCATTTCTTTCAATCCACTGACATTGAAACGTACAAAAGGCTTAGTACCAAAATGATGTAAGTCGTGCCCATAGTCACACATTTCAAAATAGAATCATGGAAAGTCAAACCTATCATCATAAGGACAAATTACTTAACCTTGAAAATGCTTTATATTATTCTTATTACGAGATGCATATTTAACTAGGCATATAGTGTCGATTTTTGTTTTTTACTGACAAATCAACTCGCAAGATCACTTACATTCAGCTGAAAAGCAAAAGAAATAAACAGATCCAACATATGAATATCACGAAATCTAAAACATTAGTTGCATGAAGATTTTAGCCAGAATCTAATTATAAGAGATCAATCAATCACAAACATATTCCAGGCAAAGCATTTTCTAACTGATTCAAGGGAAGTAAAGACCTGATCAACGATATAGTACCTCTTGTCGGGACAAATGATCTAAATCCTTGGATGAGCAAGGCCAGAGATCCATATAACTATAACGTGATATCACGTCATACAAAGAAGCATCCAACGCAGATGAACCCTCTTCAGTTGTCCCAACAAGGGCTTCTTTTTTTCTCTTCTCAACCTGAATCAAGAAATAAAGACAAGGACAAGCAGTGGTCCTCAGAATATACAAACAAATAACTCTTTCATGCACAAAAGCTGTCCACAAATCTCGGGAATACTGTCAATGGTCATTCCATTTTGGCAACCAATAGTTGATCCGTGTCAAGTGATATATTTCATATATATCATTCGCAGAAAAAAAAAAAAAGATGAAAGAAGCTCAGGGAAACAGTCTATAAGAAACATTGCCTACATTCATTCTCAAGAGAAAAAAAACCGCAAAAAGTGAACTCAGTTGTCTTTGATATCAAGAGTTCAGATAATCCAAAAGGTTCTAAGCTAATAGCCAATCCCAATGTCATGACCATCTTTAAGCAGAACAAAAGACAGCAAAAACTTTCCTAGGAACATAGAGCACATTTTATTACTGCAGATGAACTTGACATAAAATTTTAAACTATGTAAAGGTTATAATGTCCGGGGGACACAATGCGAGAAAACAATGCTTTGAAGCTAGAATAGAAATCGAATAGTTAGGTAATTGGTACCGATTTCGTATTGCTCAAGTTTTTAAAATCTAGATGAAAATGGGGGGGAAAAAGGACAAAACCTATACCTTAAAAACCAGTGCTCCATTTAGCCTAGTTTGGTTTTTGAAATATCGTGGCTGACTTTTGGATAAGCAAATTAAGGAACAGGTGGGAAGAAAATAACTAGGTAAGGAAACGAATGAAGGAATAATTGATCAATCATTTGGATTCTCTCAACCAGAAAACAAAAATCTCCGCAGTTGGACATTCAAATTTGAAAATCAAATGAGCTTTGAGATCATGGGATTAATAACAATCTCACCACCATAAAATTCCTGACAAATGTACCAAAAAGAGATACGTCATTACTAATTAGAAAAAATGTAACGTATTTAAATGTAGCACGCACTGTTGACGAACCTAAGTGCATTTGTCTCTTGGGTGTTTATGTCAAGCAAGCCCATCTTGGCAATACAACAAAGAAGAACTACAAAAGACAGATTTATGAGCACAACCAGAAACATTCACATTTGAGAGGTTTGAACTCACCCCTTCATTAATCAACTGCCTCAAATGCTCCTAAAGATATCATAAGGCTATACAGCTATCGAATAATTACAGAAAGGAACCTCCATAGTCAATTAAAAGATTACAAAACCATTAGCTTTAAGAAGTTAGAACATTAAAAAGACGATAAAAATCCAAGTTTCGATTTCCATGATTACGAAATTCCACATTAGATTAAAGCTCAGGTAAGAATTTTGAAGGATTCAAGATGGTGAAAGAACTTTAAAATCCAACGCAGTGCCTCGGTTTTTTAGACCTAAAAATTTGAGAGAATGGAGGAAGAAAGTCTAGTACAGAAAGTACTTTAGGGGCATTTTATAATCCAAAACGGAACTCAGAAAATTTCCTCTCTTTACAAATAAATTTAAGAGTCACCCTTTCTAATAGCAAGAAAATTTAGAGTGCAGTTAGTAATTGCGATAGTTTAGCTTCTACACACTCCAGAACTCGACATCAAACATATATCTGGTCAAATGCATACCATGTGTATAACCAAGGCAGCCTTCTATATCATCCATCCTTTCTCATCCCATGAACCATGATACATTATAATTATCATCCTCTTGCTGAGCAATATTTTACTCTCAAAAAGAATTTTTTTTGACAAAACCATAAAGAGAAAAAAGAAATAAGGATAATATTCTTAAACATAACATTAGCATCTTCACAATCTTTCCAGATAATATTGCAGGAAAAAGAATCGAATCAGCTTGCATATTTCAGAAAACTGGAGTGGCGTCATCAAATATAGGCTAAACAAATTAGGTTCAATAGTCAATTAAAACAATAATAAAGTTAAATGTCGAATCATTAGGAAACCATACCTTCAGGATGCTTGCCAAATCTCCATATGCTTGTTCAAATTGAAGAAACCGTTTCCAAACCTACATAGAAATATGAATCGTAAATTACAGCAAAAAGGCATTCTAGATTTGGATAAGGAGATGAAAGGCCAGAGTACCCGCATTAAACTGTCACAGATAATTCATCATTAGAAAATTAAGATTCAATACAGGCAAAGAAAAACCCGGAGATATTGTCAGTGAAAAAATCAAGAAAACAACCATAATAACTCATAGGGAATAGTAGGAAATACAATTACAAGAATATGTATTCTCTCCCAAAACAGGAATAAAAATTTACTCTTGAGAGGGCTGAAAATGATACAATAAAAAGACTGCACCTCAAAAATATGTGGATTAAAAAACTACTACTAAGGAAGAGAAAAGATTCACAATCGTATTACATCAGCTTTCATCTAAAAATTGAAATTCAAGAAGGAATGAGTTAGAAGCATCGATGCTATAACTACGATTCATGTAATATGAACAATTTTTTTAAGAATCAGTTTTAGTCGTAAATCTGAAGCAGAGGAACTATTTGACACAGTCATGAGAAGTGAATTACATAACAAGGAAATCAACATAAAGTAAAGCTTAACAGTTTTTCTTACAGACATAACCATGCTCACATGTTCAATCACCATGAGAAGAAATAGAATAAGGGACCGAACAGATAATGGGGCCCGATCAGGCATACCTCTGCAGATTCTTCTGGAGAAAGAGAGCTCAGAGCTCTTTCAAATAAAGCACGCACGTTTCTGTCATCATTTAGACGGCACAAGAAATCTGCATATCTGTGAATATAAGTTAGAACATCCATAGTAATGTCCTTAAATAAAATTGTAATAAATGGAAAAGGTTTACTTAATAGGTTGAGCTGTGAATGGACACTGCTAATTAATAGAAAGACTGGAGGAAGATCAATACTCCAGAATATATCTCGGCTCATGCATAAATTTCTTTAACCCAATCTCGAAAACATTATTTGCAACCTGCAAAAATACAAAGCCATTACTTAATGGACGGCCCAGAATGCTTCATGATAATTGATTTAGAGATTGAATAGCAAGTATATTGGTTCTTAACATCACAAACTTTCAACAAAATTTGATTGCGTAATGCAAGTAAACATATCCTTAAAATCATGCTATTGAATTCACATATAATGCATATTGTGTGAAGAGCCCGAGCAAAAGTTTGATCCGCGAAGTTCGCCCCAGAAGACCATTAGACAAAGTAAACTCCTACCCCTCATGAAAAAGCTTCAGGAAGCCTCAAATCGGTTCAGAAAACTAGAAAAATTTCGGAATCATGAGCCAAGTAACAGGTTTTGAAAAGAATCGCTAATTTCCGGACGGTAAATTCGTCTCCAATCAATGTTATACTTCTGACCTGATAGCTTAAATTAATTTAAACACGGGTCGTGACTAGCCTGAGAGCAATTAACATTATATACAAAAGATTTGGAAGAAGTGAAGAAAAACAGGGAAGCAAACTTCTCATGTCATTTTAGCCCCTCAGCTGCCTCCATCGTTGACCATAGCAACAAGACACCATTGGTCGTTGCAGATTGTTTCCTTTTTTCAAATCCCTGACCTGATTCCCTCCAAATTCTTTCCCATATCCTGCAAGGAATAGTCAAGTTGGTTGAAATATAATAATTTCCACTCCACATTAGGTCCCCAATTGGTAATAGTCACCATCTCATAGTCAATTCCAGATTCTCGCAGAGTGGTGCACATTCTCCTCACCAGTTTTACATAAGAGTTGTCCCTGGATTCTGTACTTTACCAATCGACCACCAGACTACTAATGTCTTTTACGGTTCAAAATGGCATACCACACAACCCGTCCTCCTTTATCAATGCATGTTTTAATACAGAACATTAATGATGCACCATTTTCTAAGCATTATTTCCGGGCCCAATGACTAAGCAAACAGAAAATACAAATGCCAATCCTAGAAATAACACCAAAATGAAACAGACATTTTTCATTTTGGATCACCACAGGCTACAAAACTAGTGACTTTCTTAGGTGCATCTGGTCTATCCTATGATTCGACAAATGGTTCACCTCGTTAGCAACATAAATATCATTTTCTTCTGATGGAAACTTCTCTTTGATAAGTGGAATAAGAATGACGGATTTCACTAGCTGGCTAGATTTTTCATCAGACTCAGAGTTCAACAGTGAAACACAAGAAAATGGCGTACACTAATTCGATTGGGACTATAACATCTCAGTCCAAGAGTAAAACTTATAATTAGCAAAATCTGTTAGTAAATGAATGTCAGAGTACAGAAAGGGATAAGATAGCAAAAACGTAATTCCTGTTCGCGAGATTATTTCTGTATCAATTCAATCATTCTATTATAGACTTGTACAAGTTAAATGACAAATCGAAGGCCCGGTAACGAGGGAGCAAATATCTCTCAATGATCAACTTCTACACAGTTCAAATCAGTAGCTAACATCCTACTGACGTGGAAAATGTCTTTCAACGACATTTCCTTAAAATTTCCAACCCAACAAGATACACCTCTACTAGAAGGTACGCGACAAAGTACAAGAGCCCTTGGACAATGACTTCTCAAAGAATGATAAAATAAATCTTCCAGTGTTTTCCATATTCTTGAGCATTTTAGGAATGCCAAAATTTCATACCTATAACATGGGTACATAATAAAGGAAAAAGATCACACAAATCATTACACCAACCTTAGAATCTTTGTTTAAACAGAACTCCATCATCGCATAAGCAACGTACACATGATAAGTGCAATTGGGTGATTTTCGAACTTCTATAAAATATTTTCGAGCAGCCTCAACACCTTCTGTTCTTCTTAAAAAACGAATGAACTGCAATGACAATCAACTTACAAGGTAAAACCAGATAAATTGATGGAGTGAAGGACATTAAGTGCAAAGGCCGAATGCAGAGTTTACTTGAATTGGGGCTAGCATTGCCGAATCAGTCTTAGAAGCCAAAAGATTTTCATAAATTTTCTTGGCTGACTGCAGGTTAAATTTTTATGCCGTCAAAAGGGGATAGTAGCACACGATGGTTAAGGGACGTAAAACATAAACAATCACTAAAAACCTGCACAGCACCACGAGATTCCTCCAACTCCGCATAGCCATATCTCAATGAATCCGACTCTAGAAATAGCATAAGAAGAAATTTTATTGCAGATTGAAAAGTGAGACACTGAAAATAGAGAGTATAAATCTGATACTACTGAAAGACTAAAAAACATATTAATGAAAATGATAGGAGCAAATTTACAGGTACTATTAACAAAGCGGCAATTATTATTCATAGAAAACAAAGACAAACGTAAAACTGAAGGTAGCTAATATCATTTAATCTAATCCACAAGGTATTGAAAGAAAAAAATGGAATAATATATTAAATACCAGGGAGTGCCTTCAGAGCCCTCTGAAACACCTTGACAGCGGAATCAACAGAGCCACTTTTCGAATGCCATGTGGCATAATCATACCATATATCAGGGTAATGATAGAGGTACATAAGGCACTGAAATTTCACAACAGCATGCTGGTGAGCTATCTAAAGAGTAATGATCATTGACAAGAAAAAAGTCATATGCGTCTCCAAAAAATGCCAAAGGAACGAATATAACACAGAATTGAATAAAAAGCTAAGACACTTGTAATTCCTGCATGCATCCATTTCGTCAACAAACTGTGTATCCACATATTTCGATGACATTGAGCAAAGACATGGATCTTTCGTTCCTCTTTTTTTTGCAAGGTCTCTGTCTTGGATGCATTGGCTGGTTACAATTTTGCATTTGGGAGGGGGCAGCATTTATATACATATGCGTTTTTTGCGTTCTCATGAATTAAGAATGCACATGAAAGAAATCACAGCCATCTCTTTTGACAATAAATGTGAGATCATACATAATATAATAATATTACAGCTAAAACCAAGAGACAGATCCTGTCACACCCCCACATATTGTCTAAGAGGGAAACATTATAGGATATTAAATTAAAAAGAAAAACCTGCTCATAAGTAAAAGTAATGCGCTTCATCGAAGAAGCACTGTCAATTCTCTGTGGGTTCCCTCTGAAAAAAAAAAACGAAAAAAACACTGTCAAAAGTTTGCATATTTCTAATAAATCAATGGAATACGTTCCAATAGAAGTTAACCATGTGAAATTTCATGTTATATTATCTTTCAGAAATTCAGCAAATCAATGCAACAAATAGGCAGCATTTACTTTAAGCTTATATATAGGAGCCTCCAAGATAAATTTAGAAAGTTCCCAATGCTCAATGCAAAATATCCTCTTTCACACTGTATCTACTAACCGACTTACTTTTCAAATGCTAACAACCGTTTCCATGCCATATACTGTTGTTCTTCCTGCACAAAGAAATATAAGATAAACTTTCTTTCCCTTATCACTACGAGAAAAAAATATCAGACACATGAGAAATATAAGCAACACTGAGAAAGGAAAAAGGGGGTTACAGGATCAATAAAGGGTCCAGATTAAGATGTCTTATTATGGGCTACGTTTATTCTATGGATACACGTCCTTCAATGGCTGTCAAATCTTTTATATGCTCACAAAATGTTGTGAATTACTGAAATGAACTGGAGATCGCCTAGCATCATCAAGGAAGGAGAACATTGGAATAAGAAATGTAATTCATCGACGAAAATATACTTTAATATTCATCAACGGACAGAGCACAGTTTTTTACTAATTGAACACCAAACTTGATAAGTAAATGGAAAGGGAAAGAGAAGAAAAAATGGAAATGAAAATTATCAAGGTAAGTTCGTCCACGAATTTCCAGTTTTATAGATTTCAGGTTCTTACCCTTTCAAGTTTCCTAGGAATCAACTTCCACCAGTCTGCAGCATAGAAAACAATTTATCTAAATTGTAAAAGGATTTTAAACGAGATAGCCGTGAAGGACAAGCAAACAGTAGTTTTTTAGTACCAAGTACAGACTTTAACGCAAGATAGAAATGATAGAAAGATTCCATATGCAATTGGAAGAAATGCTGAGAACACTATGTAAAAAAACATAAGAAAGTCAGGCCATCAAGATTCCACCATAAACCAAAAAAGACGGTACAGGTTATATGTATCAAGTAATCATACAGGGAAAACATTTTTTAAAATCTTAGGTATCAAAGAAATGTGAAACTTGCCTTATAGGAACCAGTGGGTGGAGTAGCAAGCATATTCCAATCAATTTCATCTATATATTTCTTCCGCTCCCTGTAGACAGCCTTGGCACTGTTGAACTTCGGCTGATATTCTGATAACAAGCCTTTGGCCTATAAATTATTATGATAAAACAGTAATGATTGTCAATGCTCACTTTCATGACGATAAAAATATGGCAAAATAAATAAATAACAGAAATATCGCACATGATGGAACTATAGGCAACTATTTTTTTACGGCAATTCATAATTGAGATTTTAGAAACTCTTGAAAAGAAATCATTCTGATCATAGACAGCATTGGAGAAGACATAAACCTGGATTCATTTACCACATGGTTGTTGAAATAAGAATCATTCATTGTGATTTGTTACATCATAACTGAAATAAAAGCTCATTTAAAGATTAAAATTCAATGTGATCCGTTACCAGAGGGCGGCTAACAGAGTTCTCAAAGCTTTCATAATCCTTCCAGAGTTGTTCAACATGATGGGTAGGGGTCACTATCGCTCGTTGGTATACTTTCCGCACAGAAGTCATCCGTTGTGATTCTTCTTGAGCAGTTACAGCCTACATAAAAAAAATTATATATTGTGAAAACAATAAAGCATTACAGACTGCAATAAAAGGGTTAGAAATATGACGTAATGTTGAGCAGAAACAGACATACAGGCAATGACTTCAAGAAGCCAATGTACTCCATCCACACAGGTCCGCATGAAATGTCAGTGCCTGATAACAATTTTGGATTCGCTGGTCACCAAGTGAATAAATATGGAAAAGTGAACTATTGAATGCATTATTATGGATGGATATACAATCATAAATTTTTAGCAAAAATGGAACACATTGAGAGCCTAGCGTAACTGGACCCATGGAAGGTTTTTATAAGGTGAAAGACAAGTCCAAATGTCGGTGAATTTTAGATTTCATCATGGTTATCTTGTCATCAGAGTTTTCATTATACGATCTTGGGACAGTTTTACAAAAAAACAGAAAAATGGTTACAAAAATGACAAATATAAGAGTTTTCATTTTACGAGTGAAGCCCCCCATCTCATCGAAAAAGGTAAGTACAGCGAAGCAAAGAAGACTGAAAGTACTTGGTGCAGCCCAAATAGCCATATTTTAGGAGGGCAAAGCCAAAGGAACATTTTCCACCACTTGTTGATTTTGGACCCCACTACAATGGTGGGTGTTGTATTTCATTCTAGGGTAATGGGCTAAGGTTGATTTATATTCGGGATAAACTTTAAAGAGAAAGTGATTATCAACTCAGAGATCCACATGGTCCACTTGCATAAAGATCATTGCTGATATACTTCATTTCGTTTGAACCACCAGAATGAAAAGGATATGTAAGGCTAGCAGATACTATCTTTTGAGACGAGACATTTAAAGGAGCATCAGACAAGCAAATAGCTCTTATCATGACTAGATCGTTATAGGCTAACCTACCTATAGGAGTATGGGTGATCACAGTTTTACTATTTTCCCGTTTTCCTCCTCTTCACAGCCTGAAATATTTTTTCATTGTCCAAATATATTTGAAGAAGATCTCCGTGGCCTACCAACCTAGAATTAATTGAGTGAGTTTATTAGGTTCTATTCTGCCCCTCAGCCCACTCCCTCCCCCCCAAAAAACACACACACACACACACACACACACACACACACACACACGGCTGTGGTTTAAGAAAAAGTGGATAACGATCAGAATGTTTGCAGAAGGATAGTGATAAGGCTCCACGCACCCTTTTTTGATCTGGGTTCTTATCAGATAGGAATGAGAAATACATAAAATCACCACAGTACTAGCACATACCAACATAGTTCACCATGAAATCAAAAGCCTTCCTCGTTTCCTCCTGGCCCTCAGCACCCTTTTTTTCATTCACTTTCTTTATAAAGCGTATGTAGCACTGCCTACAGGAGAAGAATTATAAATATCAATCTACAAAGAACTCATGATCATGGGTATGATAAAGTGTCAGAAAGAAAATCCTATTTATCTTCAATAAAAAAATCAAGGAAATATAGCACACACATAAACATGAATTTCTATTAAAGCAAACCTCGCACTGAAGGCAAATGTTGATGGATTCAACGAGAGTAATGGTTGAGTTCATAAAATAAATAAGGTGAATCTTTAGAATTTAACGCAAACTGAAAACTGAAATTACGATGAATTAATATGAATTGGTAAGTTGGGTTAAGAGATTGTTCAACAGTGTCTAATGCTGAAACGTTATTTCTTCAAGCCTAAAGCAGATGATGATTCACAGATTGAAGAAAAGATGGACGACTAAAGAGCTGAGAGGGACGAGACAATAGATTGGATTAAAGAGGGAAAGCTTGTCCGGCAGTAAGGATCATTGTTAATTGAAGTAGGAAGAGACCCGGAAAAAAATTTCAATGATCAAATTTTGTCGCCTCCCAAAGGACAGAAATATGTATAAACGGATTCAGAGAGACTTCGAAATCAAATGGGTTGAGACCTTCCTCGTCATCTGTCTCCTATTAGACTCATCTTGGGACTTTGTGAATAAGTTCCTCACAGGCCATTGATATGAATGCCGACCTCGTTAGCACCTACAATCAAAAAATGATCTTTTGGTATCCACTGAAGTGTTCCTTTTCCTTTTTTTAATTCTGGGGCGACGCTTGCATGATATTGAGCACCCAGAACAGAAATCGGTCTTCATATTCATCAGTCTTAGGTAGTGATCAACAATAGGGGCCTTCTAGCGTTTCCACCTTTGTATTGTCTCATATGATCCACATTAATGTCATAGTCCCTTAGTACTCTCGTTGTTTCAAAGAATTCAATCAGAAAATTTATGGTTGCAGATAAAGGAATACTAAGAGCCCCATAACAGGTGCCAACCTCAATGCGGGATTAACGTGTGACGGCAAGATTCAGAGAAAATAACTTACCAGAGAGAAATATGAAGGCAGTTCAACAAACAACGACTGAATATTTGCTTTACCGAATCGTCGTTGTTCACAGCCATGTGCGCTTCCACATATTGCTTCCAATATTTTGCCTACAGCAAAGCGAAATGAGCAGTCGGATCACAATGTCGCAGACGCTGAGGTGCGACCAAAGCTACATGTCGACACGGAGAGAAGCTTACAGCGGTTGGGAATGCCGCGATAAGCCGCTCGTAGATTGGCACCGCCTCCGCAACAGCCATGTTCTATACCGTTGAAATGGAGCAAGCAAAAACAATTAGCACAACACGAATTACAAAGTGGATCCCCACTCGAGACCCTGTTTTCACTCATCGACGAGGAACATTTACTCACTCGCGCCTCATTGGCGAGAACTTCCGCTGCCTCGACGTCGTACTTGTCCGCAGAGCTGCCATCGTCGTCCTTCTGATGTCATTGCCCGAGAGGAGCGCGATAAGACAGCCGATTCGAATCCAGGGTAGCACCGAAAAATTCGACAGAAAGATAAATCGATAGCCATTGCCGACCTTCGATTCCTCGCCCTTTTTTACATCAGTTTCCTTCTTCATCCCGCATCCAAGCGATCATCAGCCCAGCCGTTCGCCTACGATCCTTCCTCAGACACTTCACTCCTTCGGCCAACCTAACACTCCAGTCTCACCTAGGTCACGAATCTTCTGTAGCCCGTTGGCGCCGGAGGCGGGACCGATCACACATAAAAAATAGAGAGAGAGAGAGAGAGAGAGAGGTAATTACACATATTTAAATAGGCCAACGGCAATTAGGCGACTTTGGGGTACGTGTACGCGTGTGCGCGGCGGGTTATCGAGGCGACACGTTAAGTAACTCTGACATCGTCGTGGCCGATATTTTCGCGCGTTGCTCTAAAAAATAAAATTTATTTGACAAAAAATAGCGTGAGGAGTAAAACATTATTTAAAAGAGTCGGGAAAATATATTAGCTGCTTTTAATTCATCGCTCGCAGTGGTCGCCACCTAACTTTATAACTATTTAAATAAGTCCGTGTTATTGTCGGAATACACTCGAGTAACGGGTGATTGACCCCACCTCTTCTTGTCTTGACCTGGACGCGCCTTCGCCAGCGCGCGCCGGCGCGCGAGTTTCTCTGCACAACGATGCCCGCGTGCCATGGCCTGGCATCCACCGAGTCAATAAGATGAGTGCTGCTGAGATAGCGAGAGATCGAGAGAGAGACCTGGGCTCGCAGGGGTGCATCATTTCGCGTTGTCCTGTTCGCACCTTCGTCAGCCTCTCTCTCTCTCCTGTGGACCGCTTCCGCTGTGCCGTCACTTCATAAGCTTCCCTCCATTAGCGGGCTCTCCTTGCTTCTCCTTCCCCTTCACGCTAACCGCAGCTGGTTCCCTCCTCGTCATATCTCCTCTTCCCCTCCACGCAGAGCGACGAGCCTCCTCTATCTCTCTGCGCACTTCTCTCTTGCTCCTCTGCCGGCAGGAGCCGTCGGCCGCAGAGCAGAGAGAATGGGCGATCGCGTGCACCCGAGATGCGACACGCCGCCGCACCCGGGGGCGGTAATTCCAGCTGCGCACTCGAAGGCACAGCCTCTGCCGGAGCCCGCTCCGAGTTCGTACGTGATCAAGGTTCCCAAGGAGCAGATACTCCGCGTCCCCACGCCGGAGACGGAGCGCAAGTTCAAGGAGTACACTCGCCGCAGCCGCAGAAGGGGGCGCTCCTGCTGCCGCCGCTGCCTCTGCTGGTTCACCGGCGTCGTCCTCCTCCTGTCTCTCGCCCTCGCCGCAACCGCCGGCATCCTGTACCTCGTCTACCGCCCCAAGCTCCCCAAGTACTCCGTCGAGGGCCTCTCCATCAAAGGGTTCACTCTGAAGCCGGAAGAGAACGCCTCGCCGGAGTTCGTCGTCACCGTCCGAGCGGAGAATCCCAACAAGAAGATTAGTATCGACTACCGCGGCGGCAGCTCCGTCGAGGTCTCCTACTCCGGCGCGGGACTCGCCGCCGGCTCGTGGCCGACGTTCTTTCAAGGTCCCCGGAGGGTGGATGTATTCCAGTCGGCGTTGAAGGGCTCCGATGTCCGCCTCTCCAGCCCCATTTACAGCGAACTGGAGGCGCAGCAGCGCGGCCGGCAGGTGCCGCTGCTGATCAGGACCAAGGTTCCCGTCAGGATCAAGTTCGGCGTCTTCACGACGTGGACGATCACCGCGAAGGTCCGCTGCACCGTCGTCGTCGACGGGCTGACGGAGAACTCGAAGATCGTCTCGTCGTCTTGCCGAGGTCGAGTGAAGATCTGGTGAGAAGAGAGACACGCCCACCTTCTACCTCTGAGTTCTTTTCTGTGTAATGAAGAAAACACTGGTTTCTGCGTGTAAAGTCGTCGTCACTTGTTGAATCCATGGTCTCGCCCTGTGGGATTTGTTTCTTCCCGACGAAGAGGAGGAAGAAGATGAAGGTGAAGCAGCCAATTCCTTCAATGGAAGGGAATCGGTCTCTTGTCCGCACGCAGGTAGACGTTGTCCACGCGGTTCCTCGGGGGCTGACATTTTCCACAGTTTCTCACAGCCCCATATCCACCGACAGGGATGTCTGAACAACCGACGAGTTGACCTTCGTTCCCCCCCCCTCCCCCCCGGCAACGCGACGGCGACGACTCCAAAGAATCACAACCTATTTTTTTCTAGGCCTGACGTGGGGGTGCGACTTGCTTTGCCTTCGATGAATCAAGTAGTCAACGCGGATCCAATCCAAGGACTGGGCGCGTAAATCGATCAGATAAATAAGTCCATTTCATTAGCAAATATGGATGGGCCTTTAAAGTATATCTGATATAGAGTGAGTTAATGAGGTCGAATTGCAAAATCCTACAGGGTTGAGGGGTAGGTAAAAGTATCCTCACGTGGTCTTGGACAGGATCGCACGCTGCGAGGTTAGGCGGTCTGTAGGGGCGGTATGCTTACCGAAAGACCATCAGATCATTCATTCCTCCACCAGACTCTTCCCACGCCCCCCCCCATCTGCTGAACCCTGTTTTCTTCGTCCATCCCTTGTGCCATGGCGCTGTACGCGACGCTCGTCGAGGCGATCAACTCCTACACGGGGCTGACGCCTGCTGCGTTCTTCACGATTTTGGCTCTCATGGTGGGAGTCTACCGCCTTGTCTCCGGGATGTTCGTGGCGCCCGAGACGGAGGCCGCGCGGGCAGTTCCGGCGGAGCCCTTCACCCCTGCCAAACCAGTGCAGATGGGGGACGTGACGCTGGAGGAGCTGAAGGCCTACGACGGTTCTGATCCGAAGAAGCCGCTGTTGATGGCGATCAAGGGCCAGATCTACGACGTTTCTATGTCCAGGTATGCCTCATCTTCCCGCGTTTTCTTCCCCAGTTTTCGTGTTCCTTTTCGTCGCCGGATCGTATGATCCAGCGGAGCCGATACAGGGTTTCTGATTCTAAGTCGGAACTAACCCTGAGGCAGTGAGACGGGAGAACTCCTTCGTTTCATTGAGATTTTCATGGTTCATTGATCGTATAAAGGTGAAGTTCTTCGCGTAGGGACGGCCGTTACGGCGTTTGCAGTGATCTCTGACGAATTTATTGCACGTATTGTTCTATAAATAGGCAAATAACAAAGTTCTGTGGCTCCTGCCCGGGCACAGCTTAATTGCAGCAGCGGGATGAACTCTTCTGCCGGAGGGGAGGAACGATTTATAAATTTCTCATTTCTGTGAGCACAAAGCGAGCACTTTAGGGCACAAAATCTAAGCAAATATGCACATCTAAGCATCGTCAGTCTGGCGGAAACCAGCCATCTAATAGCTCATCGGATGTGATCCAAACGACACAGCAGGTCACCCTGCTTATGCAGCAGGTGAGGAAGACGAAGGAACTAACAGTGTCTGCATATATCCCGTTCCATTAGGAACAGATGCCCAACTTTTGCAGCACACATCATTGGGGAAACATAATTTTCTGCCGATTTAATCAGTGCTGGAAATTTAGGTGAATCACTCGACAGCTTAGACTTATCTCTCATGGTGTTAACCCTGTTCAGGAGAAGGGAAATCTGAATCCGAGGCATGCAGGATATTGAACATATAGTAAGTGCTAAAGACCCTCATCAGAAAGCAAAGCTTGGATGATAAATGTATTTTTTTTAATTTTTTTTAATCTTGTTTCTTCTGATCAAGCTCTGCCTGAGAAGCCGTGAAACCAGTTCATAGGGTAAAGAAAGCTATTATGGAAGAAGAATGGCCGTCTGGCAGCTGTCCATGGTCAGCTGACCTCTTGTCTGGCCTTCACCCGGGGTGTTGTTCTAGCCCACAGAAGAAAGCTTTCTTGCGAGTGATGGAAATATGAACAAGGACCAATTTTTTTTTTTGATCTGAGTAGAAAGGACAGTGGAAAATTTTAAATGGATCCAATGTCTACAATAGTCATTGTATTTATTTTCCAGAGATGGTTCTTATTTCTCTACTGTTAGGAAGACTCAGCGAGAGAGAGAGAGAGAGAGAGAGAGAGAGAGAGAGAGAGAGAGTAAATCAGTTCACTGGCATTGTGTTGGGCTGTGGTTACGGTTGTTGCTTGCCAAAGGGGATTCCCGGAAGGGAAAAAAAATAGCAAGGTCGCACATTCAATCCTCCAATGAGAGAACAGGATAATTTTCGTTGCTATCCAACATTAACATGACTTCCAGTGCATGCAGATTCCTCGTGCCTCCTGCTCTCCCCTCGTCCATGCTGAGGTACAGGTGGGAGAAGTAGCAATGATTGGCTGGCCATCATAAGTTTGAGAACTACGAAAAACTGATCGTTGACTTTGGCTTGTTGGTTCAGATTGGATTAATTGTAGATTACCATCTAGGGCTCTGTGTTTTCTATAAGAGGATACATCTCTAACAAGTCAACCTTCGTCGAGTCAACCAAATGATCCTTGTTCAGAAAAATATCTGATGAGCCAAAGTTATTGGGTCATCCCACTCGACCATGATGAAGTAGAAGAACCTTTATTACTCATCAGAATTGTGTTCTATCTCAGATAACTGACTTGCACCTAGAAGTCAGCGTGCGATTAGTGATTTGAGGGGTGGGAAACCATGGCAGATGTGTTCATTATCGTTCGTCACGACCGCTTTTCTTACCTGATTTCTGCTGATAATTCGTAAATTCTCAGAACATTGATGCGAGAGATGTGGCCGTTGACCCCCTATTTGCAGGATGTTCTACGGACCTGGAGGCCCTTACGCGCTCTTCGCCGGGAGGGACGCCAGCCGGGCCTTGGCTCTCATGTCCTTTGACCAGAACGACCTCACCGGGGACCTGGAAGGTCTCAGCGCCGCCGAACTCGACGTCCTGGAGGACTGGGAATTGAAGTTCATAGAGAAGTACGCGAAGGTGGGTCAACTCGTCCCCGTGAAACCCGCCGAGTCCGCCGAGTCCGCCGGGTCAGGGGAAGACGACGGCAGTGCCCCCCAAAAGTCAGCGGTCGCGTAGCCTGCGTCCTCATGTGCATTTCGGTTCCGGTGTTCGAAGAAAGTCAACCCTTCGAAGCTTTTATTCTCTGAGTTAGGCAAATCGTCGAACACCTTGAAAAAGGCCCAACTTGGGACACAACCCGGCCGCCGCCCACCAGGCCGACCAGGAGGGTGCAACTAACCCACCGGCGCGTCCCCGGTCGACCCTCCATCAGACGGTGAGAACGCGAGGGGCGGTAGATATTTTACCGAACGGTGACGTGGCGACGCCACCTGACAGCGTCTGTCCTTTTCCTGACAGACGGCGTCGGTGTCTGCCGGCTGCCCTCTCCACTGAGGGGCGCCGACGTGTCACGTTTAACGGGAGCGCCTTGTCTTCTGACGACGGTGACGAAGAGGGAGAGCACTTCCGAACCTTATATTTTCTTCTTCCGGGAACCTTCTTCAAGCTACGCGACTTCTGCACCGCCGGAATCCTTCGTCGTCGTCCTGTGCTGAGGACTTCCCCGTCTGTGGGCTGTGGTGGATTGGAAGCCGCCGCGGATTTTCGTGGCTGCTCTGTTTCTGTGGATTGTTTGGGGCTCGATAACCCTTCAGGATGGGGGTTCCTCTGCCCACGGAGCTCTCTCAGTTCTTGGGAAATGTTGCCCGACGGAAAGATTCGGGGGAGAGATGCTTGATCTGATCTGTAGGTGCGTATGCGTATAGTGATCGATCTGCTGCTGTTCTATCTCTTGATGGCTAGGGTTCCGATAGTTGGGATCATCTTTTCTGCCTGTTCGCTATTTGTTTTTTTTATTCGGAATTCCGCAATTTATTGTGTGGAATCCCTTCCGATGTTTCGTTCCTCGAAGATGATCCGAGGCTCGCCCCCAGTTTTAGAACATCTTGTTGAGGTTGGTTGGTTTTGCAGTTGGTTTTCCTCGCGTAGATGTGAAAATTCCCCAAACGGGGAAGAACATTTATGTGGCTGATGATGAATTCTTCATCGGGTTCCTCGCTGCCCTAGAAAATCTATTTCCTAATTATGCACTTATTTTGCTGGTTATTCACTCAGATCATCAGCTGGTTCCATCTGGTTTGGGAGGCGACATTCACCATCAATCGAGAACTATCGAGCTCCTCGGAGCTTCCGTCACGGTGGCAGTCTCAGGAGAATCGCCATTGGAAGCCCCGCGGAGGAAGGAAACATGCCCTCCAAAGTGCAGATCCATGCCGTAGACCAGACTCCCTTCCCCGATCAGTTTGACCGGCTGCCTGATTCTCTCGTGCTCCTCATCCTCAACAAAGTCTCCGACGTCCGTTCCCTCGGCCACTGCTGCGCCGTCTCTAAGCGCTTCAGCTCGCTCGTCCCCTTCGTCCAGGACATTTACCTGAAGATCGACCGGGTTGTCGCTGGCGACGGCGACGGTGACGAGGGGCTAAACCCCTCCTCCGTGAAGCCCTCCAACTTCTTCTGCAACTTCCTCAAGTACGTCATCTTCGCCATCCTCAGGCCGCTCCATCATCTCCGCAGCGCCGCCTGCGGGTACAGGCCCCTCCTTCCCCAGCTCAGCCACCACTCCCCCGCCCGCGTGCTCAAGAACTTCGGGCACGTCCGCAACCTGCGAATCGAGCTCCCGGCCGGCGACGTGGGTACGGAGGAAGGGGTGCTCCTGAAGTGGAGGGCCGAGTTCGGGAGCACCCTGCAGAACTGCGTCATTCTCGGAGGCACGCGCATGGATCGCAGGGCGAGTGAGTCACCGTCGCCGGCACCGGCGCCGGAGGACAACGGGAGCATCCCCGAAGCGTTCTACACCGACGGCGGGCTGAAGCTGCGCGTGGTCTGGACCATCAGCTCTCTGATCGCCGCCTCCACGAGGCACTACCTTCTGCGGCAGATCATCAAGGATCACCCAACTCTGCGGAGCCTGATATTGACGGATGCAGACGGGCAGGGAACCCTGAGCATGGGGCAGGAGCAGCTGAAGGAGTTCAGAGAGAAGCCGCTGGCGGCGTCGGCCTCGTCGAACCGAACCCAGGTGCCGGCCTCCCTCTTGAAACTACGGTACGCTTCCCATTTGCTGCTCCCCGACGGCATCAGCATGCAAGGCGCCACGCTGGTGGCCATCAGGCCTTCGCCGGAGAGCGGCGGCGGTGCTGCCCCCGGGAGGAAGGAAGCTGATTCCTTCCTCTCCGGGGCCTTCGAGGAGCCATTCGGCGCCGCAGTGAAAGCCCTCTTCAAGAGGCGCATCTACCTCCTGGAGATGAACAGCTTCTGATGAACACCATCGCCCTGGTTTTCTCCTCTCTCTCTCCTGATGATCTAAAGATTCGTGTACAGCCGTCTGAATGGCTAATTATCTCACCCATATGTGACTATGTAGTAAGCAGCATGCATTTTGCAAATGATCCATCGGAACGATCTTTCAGAGCAGCGGGATTTTGACCCGCTGCTGAAGAAGTTATTTCAAAACTTTGTGCATTGCTTCCTTCTTTCTGCTTTTCCGGTACAACCTTGAAACTGGGAAGGAAGAGGGCAGCAAGTCAGCGACCCGAACGGATGGTCCTCAGCCCTCCTCTCTGCGCACCTTCGCCTTCTCGAGCGACTCCATGGCCTCTTCGAAGGATTTCTGTAAACCATTCGACTGCCCGTTAGCGTGCATACGGCCCCGACCGCTGGCTCTGGCCTTAGATTTCGCACGTGCCAGCATACATTGAAGGTAGAGAGAGAAAGAAAGAGAGTGGGCATCAGATGCCGGATCCAGTAAACGTGGAGTCGTCCCCCACAGTGTCCTTTTGCTTATTCCGTATGGTTCCTCTGTTTCTGACGGCCACCGAGCGAGAGAGTAGGGCTCTGCGGAGATGGACCATCTTTCTCTGACGCTTCCATCAAAAGTGTGGAGCTTTTTCATCCACTCCATGCTTTCTTATAATGGGCAATCAAGATCTCAAAAGGGAGTGGTTTGACGTCGCCTGAATCGGTGTCAGAGGACCCAAGGCTCAGCTCTGCTGATTGGATCGTACTCTCTGGTTGTTCTTCCATTCTGAGGGAATTAATGGCTAGTGGAGGAGCTCTTGGCCGTCAGATTAATGGAGGAAGCAGGGAGTCGATATGTGGGTGAGTAATTTTTCTTGATGCGATTTGTCTCGGTTGGGGAAGAACTCCTGCTGAGATCGTGCGAATGGGGGAGGGGAGATGCAGCTGTCGACGAACTGGGTCCTCTGTTGCAGGTGTTTCTTCTGTCGTTCGTTCTACGGAAGAATCTGGACGAGAAAGTCAACTGGGCAGGGGAGACAGAAAGAGAGTAGGCGAGCTTCGTACCCCGGAGTTGTTCATCCTCCAGATCGCATCTCCGCTTCTTTCGACGACGACCGCCCCGCCGAGCAGCGCACTGGAGATGGAAGGACCGACGAACATCAGCAGGGTGGGTTCCGAAAGAAAGATCAAGCATTTTTGCAGGAGTTTTGGGTGTGAATCGGAATCGATGGTTGCCGCCGGTTGGAGATTTAGCAGAATTCGTCCCATCGAGAGGTTCGCAGAGCGAAGATTATCAGCGGAGATGGATTACCTCGCGAGGGCAACGTTGAGGAGGAACCTCCGGCTGGTTAGATACCGGAACAGGAACTCCCAATCGAACGCCGGCCGTGAATTCCTAGCGGCGCCGCCGTAGCCGTAACCCCGGTGGGCGGAGGTGTGGGCGGCGCGCCGCCCTCCGAAGCCCTCGGGCCTCCTCCCTCCGGCGAAGTCATACTCGGCCCGGCGGCGGTCGTCAATGAGGATCTCGTAGGCCTCGGAGACCTGCTTGAAGCTGAGGACCGCCTGGTCCCTGACCGCCGGAGGGGAGAGCGAGTGCCTGTCCGGGTGGAACTTGAGGGCGCACCGCCGGAAGGCCTCTTTGATCTCCTTCTTGGTGGCGCTCCGCCGCAGCCCTAGCGTCTGGTAGTGATCCATGGCGATGCCGAGAACGAACCCCCCCCCCAGCTCATCGACCACCGGGTGCCCTCTCTCTCTCTCTCTTCCTGCGGTTGCCGCGGGGAGGACGACGCAATAAAACGTGGCCCACCCGAGACCATGTATCCCCCTCTCCTGCTCTCTCTCTTCATGGGTCCCTCTCCCTCTCTCTCTCTCTCTCTCGCTCCACCCCTCTAGGCACAGATATTCATCAAGAACATAATGAATGGAGGCCGATTACTGTGTGTGTGTGTGTGAGAGAGAGAGAGAGGACCCAGAAACAGCAGAAACAGCAGAAACAGAGGTTTTACAATCGTGAAGGGGGAGGGAGGGAGGAGGAAGCACAAACTTCTTCATCTTCGAGGGGGGACGATAAAATCCAAGTTCTACAGATTCGGGAGCGGGCTCCAGGCGGGTAATCTTTACACAGTAGATATCACTCCCCATTAACAAGGGGCTCGCTTTGGCCGGAGCAAGCTCGTCCCCCTGGTGTCGCAGTTCGCCGGCGGCAAAAGCCTGCTTATTCTCTCTCCCGACCCTTTACACGGGCTCGCTCAGCAGGCCTCCAATCGAAGAGCTAAATGGAACAATCCGATGGACGCTGATCCGCCGCCTTCTGCGCCTCGTACCTCCTCCGAGCCTCGTCGATGGCGCTCCCCAGCCTTTTGTACATCTCCTGCGACTCGCCGGAGAAGCCCTTCAAGTGACCCAGCAGATCCACAAGACATCTCTGCAGCGTCTCCAAGCACGAGCCCCAATCGATCGTCTCCTCCCTGCCGATAACTTCCTGGTGGTTGTTGCTGTTCTTCTTCTTCTTCTCCTCGCGAGGAAGAACCCGCGAAGTCTCCATAGCCAACCTTCTGATGGAGTCGGATGTGGCTTTGTCAGGGAGCTTCTCCAGCTCGGCGAGCCATTCCCTGCAGGCGACGTAGATCGGAGGGCCAACGGCTCTCGGCGGTGGGAATACGTTGTTCTTCCTCCTACCGACTTGCTCGACCCGTTTGAGGCACTTGAGGAGCCAGTTGTTTAAGGCCCGTAAGTAGTCCCTATGGGCAGCGATCCACTTGTTGAAGCTCGAATTCAGCCCGTTCAGCTCGCTCTGGAGGGCGGCGGCGGCCAGGCGGAGGTACTCCGACCGGGGAGTGACCTTGGGGTTGGCAGTGTTGCTCGCCTCCCGTATGATCTCATACTGCAGCTTGTGGCATTCAAGCATCGTCCCCCACATCCGAGTTAACCTGCAATGGGTGGCCACAAGATCAGCCCTTTAGATAAGTAACGTTGGGCCCAGGTCGATGAGACGCATGGAGAAAGAAGAAAGCTCGACTTATATATCCTCAGATTACTAGAAAAAACAATCCCTGTTGCTTAGAACTTTTCAAAGAAGGATCAGGAATGATCATATGAAAAATAAAAAAAATAAAAAAAAGACAATTTTTTTCTGCCCGTCATTAGCATAAATGGCATTAATCACAGCGCATTCATCAGCTTGCTATCATAATATCTCATTGAGCATCCCCTGACCAGGTGAGAGATTAGTATCATGCATGATTAATCCAGGCTCATATTAATCCATGAGAAATATAAAAATAGTAAATGGGTTAGTAGAAAGAAAGGATATTAAGTGATATCAACAAGCATGCCGACAAGTCCACATATAGACCTCGAGAATGTAATAGTTTAAAAACTAAAGCATACATACCCTCCGATCAGTTCTTCGAGCTGAGGCTGGAGCTCTTTATCCCTGATTTCCTCAATCTTCCTGGATATGGAGTCGATTCTATGGATCGCAATGCATATACTTGAATGCAAGTCCTTAACATGAGCTCGCGTCTTGTCAACCCTGTAGGGCTTTTCGTCTTTCAAATCTTGATCTCTAAGCAGTCTGCACTTGATGTCATATTTCCTACATAGGACACCATTTGCCTGATGGTCGCAGAAACATCGAGCTTCAGTGGCTACTCAACAACATCCACAGGGGAAGGAAATATAACATATCTGAACATCATAGCATAGTTTTCATTTAAGCTATCAGAGTGATGATTCTTAATATGCTGCAACAGAGTATGATATATATCTTCATTTTTATTTTTTTTTTCTATAGAAGGCGTTGTATGACAAAGTCGGACTGAAAATGAAAAAAGTGGACTAGGAAAATAATCTCACCCGGAAAAATGAGATGTCGACTGAAAAATAAAAATAAATTAAAAAAGGCTGAAGGACAACTAGAAAATATGCCAACTTAATCCAGAAAAACTTCTAAAAAAATTTGACTGAACACTCCTCTCTAAATCCCACAACTGAAGGACAATTGTTAAGCTTCCAAGTTAACAAAAATAGCTCAATCAAAAGATGAGGCAGCTCTTGAATGTGCCTGTAAATACTCAAAAAATTTCTCAGTACGCCCATTGGAGCCTGACCACAAAGGCCACAGATATCAACAAATCTTCCAAAAAACGTGGAGAATTCGACGACTGGTAGAGGTACGTATGATTGATTGTTTACGGGTCTACTCAGACCTGTCAGCTGTTTAAAGCCTTGTATGAGTCATTTTTCTAGGAAAATTAAATCTGAGTTGATGAGAAAAGTAGCATCCCAAAAAATTTGTTTCGGTCAATTCTATAACCTCTATAAAGTCCATTCCCAAATTTTCTGTCCTTTGCAGAGATGCCCATGTTGGATGCGACACAGAAGCCATTGTGCAGCCACAAACTGTTGCTCTTAATGTAGAAGCCCTAGCATTGACCATAAGACCGGGGAATCGACCGATAAATGAACTTACATTTATTTCAGGATTACGGAGAGAAATTGGAAAATTCTCAGATAATCGTGGACAAAAGCAAAGATGAAAACAAACCGGGATAACTAGTCGAGTAGGGCAACTAATTTCATTTTTACCAAACATGAGTTCCCAGATACACCTGTACATAACAATTAGTAACCCCCACTAGCATTCAACTCTCTCTCTCTCTCTCTCTCTCTCTAAATTATAAAAAAAAAAAAAAAAAAAAAAAAAAAAACTGAGCCCTACTACCTGCCACAAATATGTATCACCATTTCCATATTAATATTGAAATTTGAAGTATAGGCTTTAAGACAAAGGCTTCAAAGCAACACTTTTTTAAAATAACAAGAAGATTGGCGCGCACTTTTTTAATTACCGTGGAGTATTAAACAACCGAGTTCTTAGAAACCAGTAACAAGGTTGCTGCTGTTCAACCGAGCCACGAGATCAAAGAGACCATGAAACATCAGTCACAAAGAAATTCCCAACTTACCTTGACCTCATCATAGAGCTTACTCTCCCATGCATACAGCCTATCGAGTGTTGACGCATGGCTGCCTGAATTCATGCACGTACTGCTCAAAAGGGTATTGCTCGACGGCTCAACAACACTTTTCACGGCCGCAACAATGGGGCTTCTTGAAGATGAAGAAAGTGAAGAAACCGATCGATGCCATGTCAAATGCTTCATCTCAGTTGTAACCGGGTCTGCATTGATATTCATAAAATTTTAGCCAGCTTCTCAGTCATCATGTGATACCCAACTCAATCCAATCTATCATACAATATTTCTCCGCAGGCAAAAATAAATCTTTTAAAATCAATAGGATACCATAACATTGAACGGTTTGGTTTATAGTCAGCGAGAATGACGTCCGTTAGATAAAATTTTAAATTCACGAGAAAAGGAGCTATTTTTGCGAAATGAAACTTTTTTAATTTATGGAAAACTAGGGGGGACCAAAAAAAAAAGAAGCCCGGGGAGAAATAGTGCACATATTACTCGACTTCATGGCACTAAAATCTTCGAGGCATAAATGCATAAATCAATATTTTACCGTACTGAATACCACCGGTGGGCAGAAAGCAAGGAGAAATTTAAAAAAAAAGAAGAAGAAAGAATTCATAAATGCTGTAACTAAAAGTGGAAGGACCTTCATCAACTGGACTATTTTTTTTATATAATTTCCCTCTTCTGTCTGAAGTAGATAGTACAATAATTGCATTAATTATTAAAAAACGCTCCATACGAGCATCTCTCTCATTGAGACTGAGATGGTGAAACCTATGGTGCAGCTCCAACCATCTCAACTGGGAGTACTGTCCTTCCTTACACGAAGTTCTAACTGCTATTTCTAACATTTAATAATTTCCCAGCTTTTATATAAAAATGTCAAATTTCAGTGGAAAATGAATTCCAGAAGTTGCTTACCTTGAGTAATATGAATTTCTTTCCTGCAGCAAATAAAAAGAGCAGCGAGGAGTGTTGATGCCTTTGATCTGGATGCTGCATTGGACAAGTCACGTTAGACACTATTGGTGAAAATCTGGTAAAACCAAATGATGATCAGAGAGGACGAATGAGTTAAGTTAAACGGAAACTAACAATCACTTTACTAGTCGACCAGATAACATAAATTCGGTTAAATTTTGAGTTAATCATAAAACAAAAATAAGATGCAGGGCAAAAAGGGGAAATTGTTTATATCAGTCCATCTTTTTGGATGCACTGGATGCGACAGGGCCTTTCGTCTTGGATTCAATCCACCTAGAAATGGGCCTCCTCGAAGAGTATTAGGGTGGAGTTGCCCAGATACTGATTCAGACAAGGACCGAAACACGGTTAAAATGATTACAAAATTGACCCTTTTTTTTTTAACAGTTCTTCTAAGTTATCCATTAACAATGGCAATTACCGCGAGATGAAAAGGTTTAGCTTGAGTACTTTATGAAAGAATGTAAAAAAACGACTGTAATTCACCTGCTCCGTCAGGGGAAAGAGGACTGAAATTCACTTTATTCGCTTCCAGCATCCTCGGAACTTCTATACCAGCTTCAGAAGCCCTGACAAAGAGCAACTCAATTTCCTTTACACTCATAAAAAGATCCTTCATTTCAGCTTTATTCTCCGAGCTATTCTCTCTCTTGCCCTCTTTCTTTCCACTTGTGAGGGGAGTGACTGGTGTAGGTGCAGCCCGGCCTGGCGTCGGATCAGGAACTGCATGAGCTTCACGTATACCATCTCGACAAGCAGTCTTCTCCCCAATTTTCTGTTCACTTGCCTGAGGCGGGTTCTCCACATCCGGGCTAAAAGAGCCATTTGTTAGATGAGAATCAATTACTTGGCTCCGGTTCCTGAAGATTCTCACCAAGGGTTCAGAGGTAGTCTTCTCAAACTCGTCTTCTGAGTCAACACCCTCGGACCGCCCGCGTGATGAGTGTTTTTCCTCTTCTAATTCTGGAATCCCCTCCTCTTCTCTAAGTCGACGGATATCATTAGGACTCTTAGTACCGTTGTTCAGCTCATTACCATCATGGAACGAAAATTGATCGTCGATTGAATGGAAGATACCAAAATAGTCCCATCCTCGTGTTTCAGTAATAGGAGCTGAAGGATCCTCAAAGATGGAAAATTCGTCAGAGTTTGGCGCTTCTTCTTTTGGAGAATCATCAGAGGATGAGCGCACTCTTCCTGTCAATGCAAGTGGTGGCCTCTCCTCAACTGTTTTAGAGAACCCTCCACTCGATTTCATGTTAAACGCCTGAAATCTGCCAGAGTAAGTAGAAGAGGAAGAAGGGGAGATGGAATCTACTCCTTCCGCATGCTGTGATAACGATGGAGATGAGCTTGAGAACTGAGAAGTGGACTTGTCTGTCAGAGCAAGAGGCTCGGGCGTCGCAGAGGTCGAAGTGCCCAACGAAGACTCTACAAACGGTTCAGCCTCCACGAGTTTTCTGATGGCAATTCCAGTGTTCTTAAGGGACTGAATGTAAGAGACGTGTGCTTCAGCCAGAGCAATTCTCTCATCCAGAGCTTGCCTCACAAAATTCTTCCTCTCTCGACAGACTATGAGGGCATTGCTGTCCTCTGTCCTAGAACCAGTTGCACCCATCACAATGGAGTTGCTAAAACCCAAAACCATCCTACTGGGAGAAATTTAGCTGCTTATAGAAAGATTTAATCTTTTTTTTTTTCTTTCAAGCAGTTCGATACCAGCAAGGATAGCTGAGAGGACTGAAATATGCAGCGAAATTCCGAATGCTCACCAGTCTGAGACCTTAAATCACCAAGATACAGCACAGCTGCAGCCAGAGATTCCATTTAGAAAATCATTCATGGGAAGTAAAATAAATATCACTGCTTTAAAATAAAAATAAAAAAAGACGTGAGAATATTATGAGACATTGGGAAGGTAATTTACTTCAATAAATAGTCAGGACGAGATAGATGAGTGACATCTCTAAAATTTCTGTTATCATCAGCACATGCAGACCATGATCATACATAAACTTGGAATAGATTTAATAAAAATAATGAATTGTGTAGAATTCAAGCAAAAGGTAGTTTCTGAATGGCTATGAATATTCCAGAAAACGGAACATTATAAGCAAAGTCCATTGGCTTCCAAATTTTTCTCCTCAGAAATATCCCAAGAAAGAACTCAAGATTCAATCAGAAGGCAGCTTCTGAATGGCTATGAATATTCCGGAAAACAGAACATTAAAAGCAAAGATCCATGGCTTCGATTTTTTTCTCCTCAGAAATATCCCAAGAAAGAACTCAAGATTACAAAAATGGGGTCGAGAAAAAACTTTTCCCAGATGAACATTCTACAACAAGATAATCTGGGGGCAAAGATGAAAGTGGCAACTGGGTTTCCACAGAACACCTGCGCTCGAGAATATATTCGAAGAGAGCCGCAGTAAAATAAATCCCACTGGTCCAGATAAACGGGAAGTGGGTTGATTTTTTCTCCACGGCATGTAAATAAACAGAGATCTACGCCAGAAACGTATCGCACGACTATCCGGCGTTCTCCGAACAACGAGGCCTTCTATTCGAATTCCGGGGATGGTCAAAGGCATAACCCTCAATAGGCTACCAGGATCTAAGTTCCGAATGGATTGAGACTCCGGAGCAGCAGAACCATAACACTCAGAGGTGATATTCGCCCATGCTTCTAACTCGATAAAGGTAGCCCACGACTAGTTCTTGATCCTGCGCACTGATCGTGGAAGAACGCAACTATAGTAATTGAGATGAGAAACGTCCAGATTTCACCGACCCAGTGATCTCCGTGGAGAGGAGTCAAAGATTGCATAAAGCGACTCCCTCGGGATCTCCACAGAGAAATCCTTACAGCAAGTAAATCTCCACCCGTGGAAGAACTTGAGCAGCGAAACGGGGGGAGGCGGAACTCACAGAAATCATAAAATCAACCGGCGAAAAAAAATAAAGAAATATCGAAACGACGCCGCCGACAGCAGATGTGGCAGGATTCTCATCCAAGTGCTCGGGTGAATTTACCTCAGCCTTCCAGCGGAACGCTGGCTTCTCGTGGCTTTCACCGCCCCAGAGGACGAACGATGAAGCAGGTCCTCAAGAGAGGAACATGATGGGTGAGGAAGAAATCGACCGAGAGTCCTGTGGCCGAACAATTTCCGAATCGGAGATTCCTCGCAGAAAACAGGCACTGTCATATACAGTCAGAGAGAGAGAGAGACAACCAGAGAGAGAGGATAGAGGGGAGGTGGTGGAGCCCCAAGTAGCACTCCCCGTAGAATGCTTGCATGACTCCTGGCCGAAGCCTCTGGATTCCATGCCGTCAAAAAGGAAACGGCTTTGCCCAACAACGCACAGTAGGTCCGCTGTCATTTCGACGCGATGTCATAAAATTCGCCTCGGGAAATTATACAAATAATTATCGAAATCCCATTGCAGCAACTCCTTTTCCCACCTAAATAATAACAATATATATGTATATATATTTATTTATTAAAAAGTAATGATAAACTATTGCCGTCATTTTCTGATCTCGATGGCTGGCCTAGCTTTTGACTCGGTAGGAGACTTCTCCCTCCCAACGACCTCAGCATCTTCAACGCACCTCGCAATCCGCTGCATGGTTACAAGAAAATTGGAAAGAAGTAAAATAAGTATTTAAATAACCAGCTTGGGGAATATAATAAAAAAATTCGGCAAATATTATTTTAATCGTTGGACGGCAGACGAAACGGCTGCCGCCAGTAACCACTCGCGTCCCCCCATTCCGAATTAACTTTCATCCCATTAATAGGAAATAAATCCGCGGTGTTACTCTCTTTGGACCGTCCATTGCGTCACAAGTCAAACCCCCCCCTCCTGAATATTATGATGCGCCGTCAGATGAGCGTTAACGAGCCTGCTGAGGCCTGAAATTCGTCAAACACCACGTAAAAACGCCGATCTGAGTTAGTGACGGGACGCCGAATGATTACAACAAGCCCGAATACTGTTTTCTGGCCGGGCCGACTTTCATTTGCTGGCTGGCTCGGTGACGGCGGCCTACCCCCGACAAAGGAGGCATCGTCAGCTGTACGCCGCCTCAGTCTCCGTGAGATGCGACCGGCGGCGGGAGGAGGGACCCCCCCGGGACACGTGGAAAGCTGACAGCGGTCACTTCCAGCGCTTCTTCGAATTCACGTCGAGACAGCAGGTGGGCTAATGGCCTCGGAGTTCCTTCCCTCCCCCTCTTCCTTCCTCATCACGACAGCGTAAAAAGACGAGCTGTCCCTCTTGGCACGTGCAGAGACAGATTTAGAGAGAGAAAGAGAGAATGGGGGCCGGGCAAGAGAACTGTGGAGAATTTAGAATCCGACGTGGGTTAGTCGGCCGCACGTGGATTGCCGCAGCCCACTGCAAGTAAAAGGGTATCACGGATGACAGAGAAAGTAACGAGATTGGGAGAGAGAGAGAAAGAAAGAAAGAAAGAAAGAGGTGGTTCCCACGGTAATGAAGCCATCGGTAAGAAAGAACTCCTTTCTTTTATCTTAGCCATAGTGGGCCGGCTCACTTTAGTATCTTTCCCCCTTTTTCGCACAGGAATATCTCCCCTTGCACGGAGGATCTCCACTGATGGGGCCCCCATCGCCGTCATCTCCTGAAATCAGTTGGCCCATTAAAATAACGGCCCCAGGCCAGAAATGGGCCCGTCCATGGCCTTCTTCCCAGTCCAGCCCATTTAATATACATTTAGCGAGAGAGAGAGAGAGAGAGAGAGCGGAGGTGGCGGCACGTAGAGAAAGGGCTCTGTAACGTCCACCACGCGTCGGCGTCTCCGCTTCTCACGTGGTGGGCAGACTCGGCCCGCTAAAACCGTCGCCGCGAGGGGAGAGCGACCCATAGGAAGAAGAAGCAGAAGAAGCAGAAGAGGCAGAAGAAGCAGAAGAAGAAGAAGAAGGAAGAAGGAAGAAGGAAGAAGGAAGGAGAAGATGAGGAATGGCGGGCCTCTCTGCCCATCAACGACGCACTGCGCATCCATTGGGCTGGGGCTGGTCAGCGTTCTCAGCTGGGGAGTTGCAGAAGTCCCCCAGATCATCACCAACTACAGGGAGAAATCAACGGAGGGCCTGTCCATCGCCTTCCTCTCGACGTGGATTCTCGGGTGGGCACATCACATCAGTTTCTCCACTCCAATCCTCCATCTCTGAACCCACATTGCACCCCTTCTGATTCCTCTCCTCCACCTCGCAGGGACCTCTTCAACCTCGCTGGATGCTGGCTCGAGCCCGCCACCGTAAGCTCTCTCCGGTGCCAGGTTGACTCACCTTCCCTCTCCTTTGACTTGTTCTTCTCTGTTGCAGCTGCCCACGCAATTCTACATGGCCCTGGTAAGAATGTCAACGCAGGCCGGGTATGCGCTGACTTTGTGTGATGAATGAATGAATGAATGCTTCCTCTTCTACTGAACGGCAGCTATATACGGCAACCACGTTGGTCCTGACAGGGCAGACGGTGTACTATGGGCACGTCTACCGATGGCTGAAGACAGAAAAGGTATGGAGCACGGTCATACATCTGGATCATATGAAGCACTGACATATGGGTGCAGGGGGAGAGACACTGCGAAAGCGGTGAGACAAGGAAGACGAACAGGGCAGAGGAGGGAGATGAACCGGGCTTCTCCAAGAACAGAGATGATCTCGGAGAAGGAGACGGATCACTGATGCCCAGCTCGCCTATAGCATTGGATCCTACTCGCAGTTCTGGTGGGAGCATATATATTGTGTAAGTCAACGGTGTTTTCTCAACTATTTTAGGAAAACTATGAGAAATAGTTTTAGAAACTCTGAAACTCTGAGCCCGGCAGGTCAGCTAGATCTTTATCGGGCAGCCCAAAGCCCATATCAAGATACTTCTTGGGTCGTCCCGTTGACTCTGGGCAGTCAGCAAGAGAGCCATTGCTTGGTGACCCTGCCTTCTCCCAGTCTGCACCACCTCTCAACACTAAGAGCATGCTCTCGGTGGTATGCCAACCTAGTTCAGTCCTACTTCTAGGTTATCTGGTGTGGCAAAAAATAAAGTCACACCCACCATTTTACCTTCTATTTTCAGGCAATGTCAACTGTTTTGTGTCTCGGTGGGCTAAGTCTTCGCCATTCCAGGGGTGAGGGAGCTAATAAGCCATCCACCAGCAAGGTCATTCTAGTGGGCAGGAAGATCCTACAGGTAGCATTTTGACCACAATGTTCGCATGTTGATGGCACAAAATCTGGGGAGATGTTGACCATCTTGGGTTTTGTCTACTGCCTTCAGCAACATATGAGTGTGCCTTCATCGGCAGAAAAGGCTGGAAGCAGTGGGGTCGGAACCTTCCTCGGCTGGGCAATGGCAGTCATCTATATGGGGGGGAGGCTTCCCCAAATTTGTCTGAATGTAAGAGATATTCATAGAATTGTCCCAGAGTGATCACTTAAAATATAATGCATCTAATCAAATATAAGTTGATTATTTTTTTTTCCCTTGTGTTTTGGATCATCATCTTTCTAATAATTCGTGAACTATTTTCATGCAGATGAGAAGAGGAACTGTCGAGGTAAGCTTTCTTTGGACGTCGAGCACTGCTAATCTAAAAGAAAAATTAATACCCCAGGAGAGAAAGAGGACCATTCTTTAATCCAAAACGATGTGAGATCTCATAAGGATCAAGAATCCATGGAGCTAGAAACTAAATGTGGAAAGCATTTTGGATAGTATTTCTAGATGTGGAAAGCATTCTGGAGAGTATTACTAAATGTGGAAGGCATTCTGGATGGTATTTTCAGAGCCAAAATATTCCTACCAAAGAGAAAATTGACGTTCTCAAGATATTTATTTTCTGCAGGGCCTGAGTTCATTAATGTTTGGTTTTGCTCTTGTGGGAAATGCAACATATGTAGCCAGGTGAAACACATGATTCTTGATCGCATCTCTAGCCATATTGATGAAGAATAGGAGATATTCCGTCTCTATGGAGCTAACTGCGGGCATTTTCTTGTGTAGCATATTGGTCAGCAGTTTGGATTGGTCTAGAATAAGTCCCAACCTGCCGTGGCTGGTGGATGCTGGGGGATGTGTACTTCTGGACTCTTTCGTATCCTTTTCTTATGTTTTCTTCACAAAGTTCATGCAAGATCGACAACAGGGCCTGTCGATACTCTGTTCTACTTCTTTCCCTCTTCCTCTCCAGCCCCCCATTGCTCTTACAGTTTTCTAATTCATCAGTCGCCGCCATATGATAATCTGAGTTTTGGGTGCTCTTATGAGGCTTTTCTTATTCATCTCTAAGTCCTCTCTGTGCTTATTTGTGAAGAAAACATCCATAACAATTTTTCAGATCTTGATTCAGTTTCTATACTTCCAGTGCCACTCAGACAAGTCTGATGAAACCACACATGAAGATGATTGAATTCTTGTTTCAGCCACTGTGAAGAAGAGGATCGATCCTGCAGTGTTCAATCCGCTGCACAGTTGCATGACCATGACGTCCCAAGCGCCTCCCTGGTTTTCATGCCTGATGTCCGTTAGATTCAGTTATCTGCCGGCTGGTTGTGTTAGAGCAGTGTGCTGAAAGCCTATGCTGCCTTTTTTTTTTTTCTTCTTGAAGAAATGGACAAGAATCACCTTAATTTCTAGATTAAACCGCCTGATTTTTCCAACTGGTGCAGCCAATGGTTTTTTATGAGATGAAAGCAGGAGGAGGGCTTGTCACAGGGGGCGGCCCATTCCTATTCCAATCTGCCCATATCTCTGGAGCTTCAAAACGCCCTCCTTAAAGGCCAGATAGACAAAGATGTTTATCCGCTCCTGATTCTATTCAAGTCTGTTGTCTAAGTTTTGAAAGTATAACTAATGAGGTTTCTTAGGGTCGAGCATCTTCCCTAGGTTTTACAAACCCAAATCATTTTTTGTTCGGGTGTAGTTGACCTGATCTGATGTGAGATCCTGAGTACCAGGTACATTAACATTTGTGCTAGGAAGAGACCATGTTAAAATCAAAACTTAGGAAGCGATTAAGTGAGCAATGTGCAGGAAACTCTATCCAGACTGAACTAAAAGAGAGATGACAACAGAATGTAATCAGAGATCGAAAGGAAGAGAGACCTTTTTTTTACACCCGTCTGGATTTCCTGCCCATCCGAGCTTCAGGAGGATGCCTAGGCTCTGGATTAGGTTCGGATTCGAGGGCATCAGGAGCTGCTTCTACTTTGTGGCTTCTAAGTCTTCTTAAAACCGTGTGATCAGCAGTCTCTTGTCGTCGATTCTGAGCAGCTTCCACCGCTTCTGCTTTGCAGACTTGATGCTTTCTCCTTTCGCGAAGACCATCTGAAGGTGCTTCACTTGGAGCATCGTCATTACATTCATCATTTTCCCAGTCTAGGTCGGAGAAGTGCCAGGGAGTCCCACAAACAGGGCACACACTAGAAACCTGCGGATGAAAAAATAATCGAGCAATTTCCTAATATATAATTGAGAGTGTTGGCATCAATCCAACCTAGGGCGGAGAAAAAATCTTGTGACAAAAGAAATGGCACCTTCCGATAAAATTTCTTCTTCAGACAGTAACTGTGGATACGGACGTTACAACCTTCACCACTACACATGTCTGCCTGTCACCAAGCACCGATCATAAGATTAAAAGGGTTGTATATAAAGAGGAGTCATCGACCTTAATGGATCTTGATTCTCTCTCTCTCTCTCTCTCTCTCTCTCTCTCTCTTCCAGATATTTAAGGGTAAATAACTTCAGCTCTTTCAAGGGAATTTTGATGGGAAAGATACGTCAGTCAATTTTGTACCATTAACAGAGAAACCGAGAGTAGAAGGAATATACCTTTATCCCTGCTTCATTGCAGACATCACATGAAGGAAAATCATTATTCCGGAACCAACCCCTGAGATCAAGAAATGATCTGACACCAAGACCGATATTTCCATCTGAAGAAGAGGATAGCCACTGATCCTGTATAAGTTCATTGAGAGTTTTTTCCTTTTGAGCTAAAGAAAAGCTCTTGAAAGCAGTGGGTACACAGGCCGCCCCATCTTGCGACGCCTGGCCTGTCTGCATTAGAAACCAGTTGACGTTATTAACAATCCAAAGATAACTCGAATAAAAAGAGTCCTCGTTCAACAAAAAATTACCCCACGACCTTAATGAAATGCAGTATTTGGGCATTTTTTAGAAAGCAATTAGAACTTAAGCATGTATAGGATGGATAAAATGAAAAACGTCACATTATCATTATGATCCGCCTTGATGTTCTTACTCAGCATACTTTAAACAGCAGGTCCTTTTCAGGATAGCTTTGATCTTACAAATTACCATGTAGACAAAAAAGGCAGTAACTTAAAAAACTTTTCTCGTCATCCTTAAAATCATCCATGGTAGATGCCGACGCATCAAGTAGCTAATTGCTAGATATGCCACAAAATGGAACAAAACTAAACATATTAAATATTTTCGTGCGATTCTTTTTGTACCATTACTGTGACAACAAAGGAAGCAGCATGTCCTATACAGTAAATTAGCTCATTCTTTTCACTTAAGAATTTACTCCATTTTACATAGAGAAAGAAGGATCCCCAGTAATTCCATCTAGAATGAGAATGCCAACTTTTTTACATAGAGAAAAAAGGTTTGGATCTTCTCCAATTCTCTTTTATCCGAAACGGATCCCTAGTAATCCTCGCACAACCAGAGTTTTCCATCAAAACTGGAATTTTGTGAGGTGACTTGATCTCACAGAGTGATGAGCCAAGGGAGAAATAACTTGACTTTTCGAAGAAAAAATTAGCAGAATTTTAAAAAAGCATTGAGAGGAAGAGCAACTAAATATTTGGAGCTAAGGACACCACGGAGAGAAAGAGGAATTTGAAGCCAACCAAGGTAGATAGCACAGTACGGATTATCCCTTCAAACCTGACTATCAAGGCGGATATTGAGGGCATCTATGTTAGATATGCAACCATGAGCAGTCGTATCATGGATGATAGCGTCCAGCTGTAAAAATCGATAAAAAAATGTCAGTACACAAACCACTAACTCAAAAGTTATTGAATAAAAGAGATTTCCATATTCATTCATTCCTCTCCATTTTGAATAATTATCATGAATAGACATAATGTTCCCGACAAAGTTCTAACGTTGACACCAATACAAATCACAGATACAAAGCAGCATTATCTTGCAGATATTTGGGTCGAATAGAGATCAAGATGTCCCCGAAATATAATGGAATCCATAATACAGCCGGAATTATTTTTCCCCTATTTGGTCATGTTTACCACTTGATTGAGAAGAGTTGGGGTCTAATTGGTCAAAACCCACTTAGAACTAAAACTAGTTTTCAAAACCACTGAACAAACTCTGCACATAGAATAATGAAAAAAAGGTTACAAAAAACACCCCAATTTATGAAAAAGTTTAATGGAGGTAGAACTTGAAGTTTCATACATTCTGCTTCGGCATGAAAATAAACCAGAAACACCAAATCATGGACCCATTTTTTCAGGAGATTATAGAATGATCGCAATGTAGAAGACAACTTGCATATCAGCCCATTCTATGTTAGGTCAATAGAAAATCCTCTAAAGAGAAAAATGTGCACATCATCTTACAATGGCCCTGTAGAATGCAATCTGCGGAATTGAGTATTTTGTCCCAAGCTTAGACTGTTCATCAGCAACAGTATTGACAACACCATAGTAGACTTTGCCATCATATTGATTTCTACATCCACGCAGTTCAAATTTCACATACGCCAGTTCCTTGTTAATCTTGAGGAGGACATCATCAAAAATCTTCTTATGGATATCTGTCATACGGCAAAGACAAACAGTTTCACCCAGTTATCATATTATTTTAGAGAGAGAGAGAGAGAGAGAGAGAGAGAGAGAGAGAGAGAGAGAGAGAGAGAGAGGACCGATGCCAAGCATAGTGAAAACAAGAACACAGGCCGAGAAACTTGTATGCATCGCCTCCACAAAAGTAAAGAACACAAGGTTGTCGCCCACATAAATCTGGGAGCATGCTCATTCTCAATTCAATAAAACAAGGTGGAGAGATCGATACCTAGATGATCCCTTCACTTTTTAGATTTATCCACTAAAAAATTGAAATCGCAATTCACGCTCTCATCCAGAACATCAAAACATACATTTGATCCATTATGAAAAAAAACTGTTTTGTCCACTTAATTATTTTGCGAGTCATTCTCTCCTTTCTCTGTGAAAGAATAACAGGTTTCCGGATCGAAAACCGAGCATAGTGTCATGAAACAACTTGCGTCGCACTCTCTCTCATGGATTCTATCGCATCCGAACAACACGAGAGCACAAATAACCATATCTCTCGTACTCTCTCATTGTTTGTACTCTGCACTAGTTCCGTTTGAAGTCCATTATATGGTGTACTGTCAGGCCTCATTCAAAAGGGATGCCCCCCTGCAACTCTTCGCGAAATCAGTCATGCCTAGCACCTAGAAGGAGTGAAATTCACAAATGCACAACCATTGATGTGCATGTGACCATTCCGTCCCAGAGCTTATAGGTATAAGATTAAACATTATATTACGCCCTAAAATTCTGCGAAATTCCTTGAGACAAAAATCTATCTAGAGTCAAGGAAAGAGAAACCTGGATTTTTTCCGCTGACGCCCGAGAATATATCATGAAACTCTTTCTCCTCCAGTGGACCACGGGATAGCAAGGCCTGTATGAGCGTGTGGTGCATCCAATTCAACGGTGCCATCCCCGAAAACCTCCTTGCGGCATCAAAATCCCAGGTATCAATCACATCAGATGCTACAGAAAACCAAACCCTAGTTTGTAGATCAATGCACTCTGTTGCATCGTCGTTCCAACAAACAAAAAAAACCAGAACAATCCAGCCGTCCCAACGATGAACTACTATCAGAAAGAGCCACAGAAGTTAGAAGCGGTATCTTGGGGCTGAGATCTCGAGATGGAGGGAGAGAACCTTTCTCTTTCTGGCGGGAAACGAGATGCAGGAGGGGAGACTGCGAGCTTTTTAAACGCCACCACTCTCCGGTAAGTTACGAAGCCCTCGAATTTACACCCCTACCCCCTCAACGTCTGATTAATGGCCTTTGGAAGGACCACTGGAGCCAAAAGATCAAATCCCCTTCGAGGAATATTCACTGGACGGCTCTGATCAAATCATCTTGCTATAGCTCGCCGTAGAAGCTCCATCAAGTCGCCACCTGGAGAGAGAGAGAGAGAGAGAGAGAGGAAGAAATGGCGGGAATGGCGGCTGCCTGGTTCTCCTCTCGCACAGTTCCGCTTCTCCAGCTGCCCTTCGTTTCCTCTCCGACAGCTGCACTGAGCCACTCCCAATCCTCTCAGCCAATTCACCGTGCTTGCTCACCGTCTTCTTCGTCGTTCTCGTCGCGGCGCTGCGTTGCCTGGAGGGGCGGCTTCCGCCTGGGCTACAGGTTCTCTACAGAGGAGTCGTCGGATGACGAGGAGTCCGATGGCGAGGAGCAGGGCTTCGATCAAGCCGTTTCTCTGTTCAACAGCGGTGATTATCATCGATGCCACGACTTCCTGGAAGAGCTGTGGTATGAAGCAGAGGAGCCGACCCGAACCCTAATTCACGGAATTCTGCAGTGCGCGGTGGGATTTCACCATCTCTTCAACCAGGTAAGCCGTCCGGGAAGGGGAAATCGATCCCCTTGGCCGGTGTTGGCGGAATTCTTGTTTCTTTAAAGAGATTCTGTCAATGTCTGAGCAGAACCATCGCGGGGCTATGATGGAGTTGGGCGAGGGGCTCTGCAAGCTGCGGAAGATGGACTTCGACGACGGACCATTCTTTCGATTCGAGAGGGAGATCTCGGTAGCTTTGGAATTCATTTACCAGACCCAAAAGGAGCTCGCTGCATGTGAGTTTTCCCTGAAATCATTCGGCTATTTGTATATTTCTAGAACAATAATCACAAACTTAGATCAAAACCACCCAACTATGGCTGATTTGCTATTCGCCATGTCTGAGCTCAAATAGCATCTTGACTATAGGAAGATAGGAAACCTTCCTTTGGACAACGCCTTGATGAGATAACAATCAAAGTCATATGTGGGAAGATCCCTGGAACTCGTGCTCGATTGTCTCCTTTGGCAATGAATTCCATATGGATTCACTGAAGCTGATGACAAGAAGATCAAGGATCTATGCATTTCTCTGAAGCCATTTCAAATGAGAAGCCCATGAGGATGAACAGGACCAGCTAGATGCTGGTTGTGACTCTTCTTTTGGAAATCTTCTTCTGGTTTTAATGCTCAATATTTTGTCTATACGGGTACATGATTTTGTCAAGGATCTATGCATTGCTCTGAACCCATTTCATATGAGAAGCCCATGAGGATGAACAGGGCCAGCTAGATGCTGGGTGTGCGGAGCCGACTGTACCATCATGGGCTTCTCATATGTTGGATAATTCACAATTTCTCATATGTTATTTTCATCCTCATGGGCTTCTCATTTGAAATGGCTTCAGAGAAATGCACAGAACCTTGACAAAATCATGTATCAAAAAAAAAAAAAAAAAAAAAATGGTGCTTTTTTTTTTGGTGGGTATGAAAATAAAAATATAAATACTGGGAAATGTATGGAACTGATCGATTGGGTATCTCTCGTTGTCACAGGTACAAATGATCTCTGCCTGGCAATGGACGGATCAGAGAGATCATACCAGCTCTTGGGCTCCTTCGCAGCTGGACAGCGCCTGTACTCCTTGGAGACAGACCCCTGTGGAAGTTCTTACATTGCTTTCGACCCGGAGGGCCATTACATTGTTCAAAAGCCCGAAAGGGTCAAGATTCCCACTCTTCAGGCCACGGAAGAGCACCTGAAAGCCTGTGAAAACCTGTATTGACTCGAAGCGAAGCTCTCCTCCATGTGATCTCCCAACCCATGTCATAGGTCAATGTCTCCAGATGCGCAGAACAGTGGGGAATGAGCATTAATGTCTGCTTCATACACTCACAAACGCGAGCTTGAGATTAAGCTGAGTACAGAAATAGCAGGAACAGCCGCATGTTGGCATTAGATAGATACGTAGATATATAATTATATATGTATCCTCGTGTTCGGAATTCTATGCTGCGACTGTTCGTGGCTTCACTCCGATCTTCTTCCAGGAGACGCTGGGCATGATCTGGGCAGTGTCCACTCTATCTCTGAACCTGACTGCAAAGTTGAGCAATGAATCCAGGAGAGAATCGGAGAGGAGGTGGGGCTGGAGGCCCAGTTCCATGAGCTTGGTGTGCTTGGCGTTGTAGTAGTGCTCCTCTGCTTCCACACGCGGATTGGGGACCGACAAGGCCTGGACCTCAAGGCCAAGCTTTGCGCCGGCTTTGGTGACGAGGCTGGCCAGATCGTTCACGGAGAACTGCTCGGTGAACTGGTTGAACACCCTGAACTCGCCGGGCTTGGCCGGGTTGGCGATGGCGAGCTCGACGCACTGGACTGTGTCCCTGATGTCCAGATACCCACGCGTCTGCACAGAAGAAAGAAACAGACATGTGATCAGCAGAGCGACTAACCGCATAGCCGAGGAGGAAGGGTCTGCAAATTTCATGGTACCTGGCCTCCTTTACCGTATACAGTGAGGGGGTGGCCGACGGCGGCCTGGACGCAGAACCTGTTCAGCGCCGTCCCGAACACACCGTCGTAGTCGAACCTGTTGCAGAGCTCGTCGTGCATCTCGGTCTCATCTGTCCTCACCCCGTAGACCACCCCCTGGTTCAGATCCGTTGCCCGGATCCCCCAGGCCTTGCAGGTGAATGCGATGTTGTTGGAGTCGTGGACCTTGCTCAGGTGGTAGAAGGAGCTCGCCTGCTTGGGGTACGGCAGGGTGTCGGTCCTCCCGTTGTGGGTAATGGTGATGTAGCCTTCCTCAATGTCGATGTTGGGGGTTCCGTACTCCCCCATCGTCCCCAGCTTCACCAGGTGGCACTCCTCGGCGAACTCTTTAATGGCGAAGAGGACGTTGAGGGTCCCGATGACGTTGTTGTGCTGCGTGAAGACTGCCCTCGACCGGTCGATCATAGAGTAGGGAGCAGACCGCTGCTCGCCGAAGTGCACCACCGAGTTAGGCTCGTATGATATGAAGGCTTCGGCCAGGAATTCGAAGTCGCAGACGTCGCCGATGAACAGATCGATCGATTTCCCCGTCAAGGACTTCCAGCGGCGGATGCGGTCGTGGATGGAGGATATGGGTGTGAGAGAGCTGAGGCCGAGCTGGTGGTCGAAGAGGCGGCGGACGAGGTTGTCGACGATGGCCACCTCGTAGCCCTTGCTGGAGAGGTGAAGCGCCGTGGCCCAGCCGCAGTAGCCGTCGCCGCCAATGACCATGACCTTCTTCGACTTGGAGGAGGATTCGACGGGAAATTGCTTGGATCCTGAAGCGGCCTGGTCATCGATCTCCCGGCTGACTGGTGCCGCAGTGGCGTAGACGGTGCGCTGCCTCGTCGGCGGCCGCGACCTACGGGAGATTAGGGCCTTGAGAGGGAACTTGCAGGTCAGATCGGCGGCGGATTTGAGACGGAGCGTCCAAGCGTTCCTCGGCCTGTAGAGCTCCGTGATGGAGTGAAGAGGTCTTCCTGTGTGACAAGAGGACAGCAGATCTGCCATTTTCCACGGCTTCGCAAGACGCGGTAGGGCTTCCTCAACTCCCTGCTCTTCTTCTCGCCGGACTAAGAACCTGAAAAGCCACGCAGCGGATAGAGGGCGAAAGAGAGGTTCTCTCAGTCAACTGGAGCAATCTCACTACCATAATGCATCACCGAAGCAAGAAATTGTTGAGAACAGGCGATCGAATTGGAGAATATCAAAGGTTGCATTCACCAAAGAGGAGCAGATCTTAACCTAACAGCGGCGACCGACCCTCAGCTTCCCGGCGGGAGCCAGTAAAGCACCTCCGGCGACTCTCTCCGACCCGTTTCTGTAATCCTCCCTCTCCGAGACGATGAAATCAGAACGACGGAGAGAAGAAGAAGAAGCAGCAGAAGCGATTGAACGGGAGGATGAGAGACCGACAAGAACAGAGGGAATTATCCATCTCTCTCTCTCTCCAGGCGCGGAGGGTTTTAGGAATCGAAGCTGGGGAGTGGTGAGAATATTCCTTCAATCCTCCGCGACCTCTCTCTTCTCTGGGTCGGGTAAAGACCCACTGGGCCCTACGTGCTTTTAGTGGGCCTAGCCCAATTAAATTAAGCCTGCCTTTTAACTAGAGTTATCAGAAAATCATGATACTAATGTCTATGAAATGTTCCCAAGAACAACCCACAATATCTTATTAATAGGAGAAAACCACGTTTCATAGGATAAAAGAGATATGTAGAACTAAAGGACGGATTTTTCTGTAATATGTCTGTGGAAGGATCCGCCAAAAACAGGGACAGGAGTGAGATGATATTGAAAAATATTTTTTTTATTTTTTATTTTTTGAGTAATTATAAATGCGACCGTCAATAAATTATTCAATCCCATTTTTTAGCGTGTTCAAACGTAGCGTTCCGGCGCTCTTGGCGGGAACCGGAAGTCTCCACTATTGGTAGTTACCAGTTATCCGAGACCCGATAATCGTCGGGTTACCGGATCCTCTCCCATCCCTCTCTATTTACATTCTTAATATGCAGTTATACGAAATTAAAAACATTCAAATGTTTTTCCGACCCGAAGTTAATATCGCTTTAGTTATTATTTAGCAGTAATTATTTTTACAATTTATATGAAAATGGAAAAAAAACGATTATTATATCGGGTTCGGATCCGATGCTTGAATGTTCGGGTCGTCGTCTACGTCTATTGACGGGGGGTCCTCCACCCCGACCTGCGCTCCCTCCGCAGCAGAGAATGGCGAGGACGAAACACTTCACCCCTGGCCCAAAGCGCCGCCAGAGGAATTTTCAGGGGAGGTCGCCGCAGTCGTCGCGGGGGAAGGGGCGAGGGCGGCGGCGAGATACTGGTCTCTGATGACGTTTTCGCCGATCTATGTTCTTCTATCTCTCCCTCCCTTCTTCTGCCTGTCTTCGTCTGGGTCCGAAACCTAGATGCTCTAGATCTGTGCGGTAACTCATACCATTCGATTTAGCAGGTGAATCGAGTCCCAGTGAGGCACCGGAGCTGAGTCGGAGCCCCAGGGTAACCACATTTCCTCGCGTGAACTGCACATTCCCATTTCTCAGCTGAATACACGTTTCCGCAGGCTTCTGATCTCCTCTTTACTTCGTTCCTCTGTGTATCGCATGATCTCTCTGTAAATAAATTCGGCAGGCTCGTGGAGAAGGTTCCGCAGCTCGGGCCCCCGCTGGTTATTTTCACTGAACCCGTGATATTAGTACCTTTCACTTTTACGCGTTTGCAGTCACCGGCATCGACGAGAGATTTTCTCATTTCCCGCTGTTTGTCCTTGGACAGAGAGAAGCACAAAAAGGACACACAGATTTAAGCCGGGAACAGTGGCCCTCCGCGAGATAAGAAAGTATCAGAAATCTTCTATGCTTCTAATCCCGGCAGCTCCATTCATCAGAACCGTGAGTTTCCCTGATCGTCGGTTCATAGATTTGATTCTTCAATTTCTGTGTTCTGTCGGATGTATCTCGTAGATGCATTTACTTTCCGTCCTCTGTCACGTGCCTGAGTAGATGGTCGTCCACAATTTCAGGTTAGGGAAGTGACTAGTTATTGTACCAAAGAAGTTACACGATGGACGCCTGAAGCACTGGTAGCAATCCAAGAGGTGACGCGACAACCCCATCATTATTTCCCGCTTTTCTATGTTATTCATGCTATCATTTGAAAATTATAAGGTGATCAACAAATCCGTTTGATGCACAACGGGAGGACTTTTGGTGAAGGGCCTCTGACTGGCTTCCAGTTGTGGATCACTGAGAATGTAGATCTTTTTATGTAGCCTGGAAAGACTACTTGTTCAATCTGGCGAGATGAACGGTAGTTCTGTCTTTGAAAAATTGCTCTTTCAAGGGTTTTGCTCATGAAACATTGAACCTGTCGATCAAATCCCTTGGCATATCTTAAGTTGTGGGCCTAACTAAGTATGTAACATACTAATAAGGCTAAAGCTTTTGGTTGTCGAAGCAATGTGTAGTAAGTGCACCATGATATTGCATATTTAAAACAAAAACTTCTACCTTCTCAGAATTTGAATGATAATTGATGTTCTCAAAGTGCTCTCAATGTACTTCTACCAATCTGGCTTGGGCCTCCAAATATATTAGCTATTGCTGTTAAGTCGCATAGATTTCCGCAGATCATGCAGCCTTTATCATTTATAGCACCTGATGGGGTTGATGATGGACAGAATTGGAGGTTTAAAGTGATTTTCATTTTTACAGCATATGTAATTATTTCGTACTCCTACCTGCTTAATGTATCCCAAAGTGTGTTCTCAATGTCCTTGACCAGGTTTTTTAATAGTTTCCTCCCTTGATGGAAATTACTTGCATTTTGTACAGTCTACTAGTGAATCCTGGGAACATATTATATTTCTGTACGAGTTTCTCCCCTTTGACCGACAACTGATATCTTCAGTTTGGCAGCCAGAACGTATGATGTTACTATTTGCCTAATTGCTGATGCTTTTAAAAGGTTGATGTATTTATATTTTAGATGATTTCTTTGTGATTTTTTTTTACTGACTTTTAAGACTAAGTATTGTTAAACCATCAAATTTAAGTGAAGCTAGACATTCTGGTATATTCCTCTGTAGCTGGATTTAACACAAAAAAAAAATGGAATTTTTAATGTTAAAACATGTTATAGATGATATGAACTATTTTTAGGGATCCATTTGCAGGATATGTTCTTAAGCCAGTGGGACAAAAGGTTATTCAGTTCATCTCTCTCAGTATGTGTGCTCTGAATAGAAATGATTCTCTTCGATACCCTGCTGCAAGATTGACTATTATCGTAAGTTTTGATCATAAATAGTTTATTAGTGCAAAAAGTGTGGCAGACGGAGCTAACAATCAGCATAACCTCTTGAACCTGGCTGCCATTTTATCAAAGAAGCAGACATCGAATTAGCTAGCGAAACCCACTTCGTTTGCTGGTCGACTTAGTCAATGGCACCGTATAATGTATGTGGCACCGTATGAGTCATTATACCTTGAACAAAACTGTAGAATGGAATGATCGACATGTCAACTAGGCTACCAGTCCCATGATGGCCTAATGAAGCAAGCCTAAGAAAAAAAATAGCCATTTCCTCAATCCATCAGGAGGGGAATTTTGACTACGGCTTCAGTCTAATCAACAGGTTACACAGACTCTTTTTTTTTTTTTGGGGAATGAATGGTTATCTCCATGAATCCAAAGGTCAACATATGCATCCTCATTTTCTTTTTTGCCTAATCTTGTTAAAGTGACGCTCTCAAACAAGAAATGAACACCTAATTACATTGTTGTCATCCTCCACCAGTATCGAAGACAACTCGTCTCCACATGGTCTTAGATTGTTTTAAGAAAGCTTGATATTATAATAAGTTGGATGAAGCTCGGATTTCATGGTACATTTGGTTGTCATTTTGTGTGAACAATTATGTCATCAACAACTTAGTTTCCCCATTGTTTTCTGTAACGTATGTGCCCAGGAACTTCAACTTTTGATAAATACTATTTTCTTTTACCATTTTCTTTGGTATCAACAAAATCTTGCGTGTCTGCATGCGTAGGTATGTTTGTGTCTGTATGCATGCATTCATGCTTCGATCCATCTATAAGACCCATCGGTGGATGTCCGAGTCTTGAGAAGGCCATACTAATGGGGGCAAGTTGGAGGATGCAGAGACCAAGCATCCCTCTACCTTGCTAGCAATCTTCCAGGCGTTCTTGTTGATATCTACCATAATATCCTTAGATTTTACTTTTTTCCTCGAGTTCGTACATCTTCAGTGGCATATTTCTCTCTTTTCTATGATCTTTATTGCGTTTGGCTGGTAGTCCTCCAGAGATGTTCTTCACCCAAGTGTCCGAGGAGCATTCTCTCTCTCCCTCTCCCTCTTTCTGTAGCGCTGTTGAGTTGATGCCTGTTTTGTTACGTCTTCAGGCCGCAGAAGACTTCTTGGTTCATTTGTTCGAGGACGCAAATCTCTGTGCGATTCATGCCAAACGCGTCACGCTAAGTGGGTGATACCATTACCTTTCATTTGTGTCTGGCCTGTGGTTTAAAATTATATGTCCGGTCGGAGAGAGAGAGAGAGAGAGAGAGGGGGGGGGGGGCTAATGGGTCAGACTTACCTACATTGATGACCATCCAAAGCATGCTAGAGTCAATGGTTTTCCATAGGTATCTGTGTTGTCTACGGCGTTGACTCGGGTTGCTGTCCATGATGTGGCAGTGCAAAAGGACTGGCAGCTGGCAAGGCGGATTGGCGGCGGAAGACATTTCTGAGGCGTCCTCCCTCTTCTCACTGTACCGTTCGCGGCGTTGTACCTGATTTGGTGGCACTAACCTGCTTCCGCATTCTCCCCTCTCGACTGAAATGACGTTCTACACCGGGGTGGTCATTTTCCTCGATTCTGTCGATTATGTATGATATGTCTTCTCTTTGGTTCTCTTCACTAAGTGTTAATTGATCTGACTCAAGCCCACAAAGTCAACTAGCCTGCTCTTGAGAGTCTAGAGGCCCCACCCGCTCCAACTCTCTCTCTCTCTCGCTCCCTCCCTCTGCGTTAGTGTAAATGGTGCCCCTGTGGGTAGAGCTGAATTTTTATTGCAACTGACTCTAGATTCTCTGGTCTTGGGATAAAACTCAAGCCCGCAAAGTCAACTAGCCTGTTCTTGAGAGTCTAGAACCCGCACTCTCTCTCTCTCTCTCTGCGTATGTGTAAAATGGTTCCCCTGTGGGTAGAGTTGAATCTTTATTGCAGTTGACTCTGGATTCTCTGCTCGTGGGATAAAAGTCAAAAACTGGCCGGTGTATTGTCTCCCCCGCTTCTCATTCATCAGGAGTGATCACATGTATGGACGAAATCCATTGCCTAATTTGGCAAGTACTTCTCAATGTCAACCAGGCTTAGCCCACGGCATCCAGCAGTCAAAAGGACACAGCCAAAGCAATTCACCAGACATAAACAGCCGTCCGAAACAACTTGATGGACTCTGCACTTCACAAAACCCTGACGATTTTTATCACCCTTCTACGACTGGGAGAGCTCGCCACCACAAAACGGAGGCCACTGATGAGACTTCCGGCACTGCTGCTCTTGAGTCTTTCTGGTCAGGGGGGTGGGAATCCACGCCCTGACGACTGCTGAGAACCCCCGGATCAGGTAGGCTTCTGGGTCAACGATTCTGATGCAGAAACAAGCAGCAAAAAGAAAAGAAAAAAGTCAACTACCCAGTGAAAATCAGTAAAAGATTATCCAACAGAACCATGATTCCATTTCTATTAACACAACTTTACGGGCACAGAGAATGAGTGTTTTATGAAGAAAATTTTCTTTCAACCACATCAAAGTGACTAGAAACCATGGAGGACTCTTCGTATCATAGAAATAAACTGAGTATTTTGGCAAGAACTTCGGGCCATTAGCTGCTGTTTGTAGGATTTTTTTTTCCTAGAAAGCATTTTTTTCTTGAGTGGATATGATCGGTGACTACTCCAATCTATGATTTTATTTGCACAACATCAAAGGAAATGGAAACCACGCAGTTCTGTTTGTATCGTGGAGAAACAGATGGAGGCCATGTATTCTTTCGTGGAAATAAATGGATCGTGTTTGGATAATTTTTTTATTTACACACCATTAATATGTTTTGAATCCATGAAGCACTCTTCGTATCATAAAAGATAAAACGATGAAGATAAGAAAAGGGAGGAATGTGAAGCCCTTACAGAGCTCGAGAGCTGGTCACTGATATACGTCATTGATCTCAACATAGCTTCCAAAGTGTCTCTGGAAAGTTGGAACTTGACCTCGACCTCACCCGAGGGAGACTTTGTATAATCTTGCAGCTGCAAGAGAGAAAAAGTGTTAAAAGATAACAAAGAGCAAAGGTGGAGGATGCAGAAAGATTAATGGAAAGAATTAGTAAATCGCACACGATTTCCATAACTACTGAATGAGGCTGCTGAGAAAGACAAAGTTTACCCAGTAACAAGCGCTGCGTTACGAGGAAACCCTCTCTCACTAAAAGCTTTAATGTTAATCAATCCTACGATATTTTGGAACTGGTACTTGAGTGATGGATCATCTCAAGATATATGGCTCTCCATAATTGCGTCGGTAGTAGCAAAAAAAAAAAGAAAGAAAAGAAAGATAAAGACTCATACGATCGTGATCAAATAATAATACAACGTATTCTCATTTGATCCATAACACAGCGCAAATATATTTTTCATGAAGAACAATGATTTGGGAACCTTCTGGAATGTGGCAGTGAAGAATCCTATTTCGATCATTCTTCTATCTCATTTGCGCTCACTGTAGCGCGCCGCTGCAGTTTGGCGATATTTGACTGTACAAGGAAGCATCAAGGAGCCATACCTTCAAGCAAATGACCGCCACCCGATCAGAAGGTCCTGAATGTCGATTCTCTATGGTCCACGTCATTGACTTCAGACAAGGAAGATTTCCCTGGAAACAAGAGCGATCGGAATATCAGATATCCAACACTCCATTTCATGCCTGAATAATCCTTTATTTCCCTCTTTTAATAAACGCCAATCGCTAAGGAGATGCCACTGTGGTCATTTTTCCATCTTTCAGGATTTGGAAATCTATGATCTTATGAATAAATAGCATGTACCAAAAATATGCAAAATAACTAAAAACTGGAAAGATGTGCAGAAATTTAATTTCAAGGATAAGATACAGGACCATTCACATCATTTTTTCTGCGCAGTGTGAATCCACCAGCTCATCAACCTAAAAGAAAGGTCAACGAGAGTCCAATCCAAGATTTACAGCATACCTTGTTATTGGAGAAGCCACCGTCCAGGGGAACAGAGGCCATGTGTGGAAGATCTGGATCACCAGCTGGTGCAGGACAACTGCTACTATTGCTGTAGCAAGATGTTACGTCATCTTTCCGTGGCCATATGGATGACAACTTCTCTGAAGCTGTGAAGGGAACAAAAGCTGGTGATGTGCTGACTTTCGCCTGATGTGAGATCCTTGTTTGTTGCCACAGAGGCTAAGAAAAGATGGAAAAAACATCATATCAAAATCAGTACGCATAATATTCTAATTGAAGAGCATTCATAAAGTCGTCAAATTCTATGTGCTAACAGCAAGTGAGCATGGGCTTGCCAAGTAGAATGCTTTCAATCAATCATAAATTAGTTCATAGTTATTCCTTCATCACTAAAAAAAAATTCAAAGCCTCTATCTTATTCTCCAATAAGAGAAGGTCGACAAACATTGAAATGATCACCAGACTCCATAGAGATGGTGGTGATCAGCAAGCAAGAAAGATTATGTCCGACTGGACTTGTTCCCATCCCTCTTTCATGGTCAGAAGCAAACCCTTGAAAAAATTGAAGGTACATAAAGATGAGCATTTTGTCAAACGATGAGACGCCTGAGAAAAAGCAGTTAACTTAACAGACAGAGGATGATTTCTTCTCCAACAATGAGATGTTAGATGAACATACATCTGAACTGTTACATATCAGCAACATGGAAGGTACCTGGTCTCTCGATGCTTCCTCCTTCCATTCACTTTGGTATCTCTGAAAGAGAACCAACAAACTGCTCTGAAGCACAACAGGAAGATCATGAGGGAAGAGTCTCTGGATGTCATCCATAGAGAGGTTTTGACGTCCAGACTTTCTAATAATGGAACGGAGGCAAGCCAGGACCTGACATCAGATTCCACATCTTAATATCTAAGAAACTTCAATAAATCAAGATGAACGTAAGTCATAAAAATAAACAATTAACTTCACATAAAACATAAAAATTCAAGATGAACGAAAAAAATATTAAATACAGCCGTCCCATTACAAACATTACTGAAGAACGGAAGCACAACGATGAAATTAGGGTTCAAAGTTCCCCGAGAAACGCCGCCACCAAACAAGTGACGATTTGCGCTATAGTATGGAGAATGCACACACCAGCGGGCCAGTTAACCACAAATCTTCCCCGAGTTGTGGACGCCGGAACAAGAACAAGGAGACTTATCAAGCAAATTTAAGGCCTCTCCACGTGATCGAGCACTCATATTCGCCAAGTTAGAAAACAGAGCCAACAAACAGCATGCAACAGCAGCGACCGAGCGTAAGAACAGAACGAAAGAGCTTCCGCGATATTAACTGGTCAAGCAAGCAACAATCGGCGAGAAGGAAGAAAGGGAGATAATCGGTAGGAAATTACGGGTTCGAGCTCTCCGGTCGAAGCAAGGCCGAGGTGGGACTGAAGATCTCGTTTCTGGACTGAACTAACCCCCGTGTTCCGGGTGCTCCACAGCGTCTCCAGGACATGGGCTAGGTTCTCCTCTGTCACCGTTGCCGGAACCTTCAGGAGGTGCAGGTGAAGGTCGGCGGCGCCGCCTTCCATAGCCGATAACCAGAGGAACCGTCCAGACACCGGGGTCTCATTGGTGTCTCCTTATATTCTTAGAATCTCTACGGCCGTACAACTCTCCCTCACCATGGGATCCGACAACCCCCTACAAGTCCAATATTGGGAACCCGGGACACGTTTGGTGCGGATTCTTAGAATCAGATTCTTGATTTTATGCCCAGATTTTTAAATTCTCTAGATTTTATACCAAGGCCGTTAAATTGGATTCAAATAATATTTTTTAATTTGATGAGCATCATCGAGGATGCGTATTTCCTGATCGACCGGTCAGCATCTCGCGGAATGATTTATGTCAGGAGGAAAACCGAATGTTTCGAACGATCGAGCAAGAATATACGAAGATCCTTCTGTTCATCGGTAGGGGGGATTCGTGCGAACAAAAACAGGGAGATAAACAGAGCTGCGCGGGGCAGATGGATTGGAGAGAGCGATCAGCTAGAGCTAATACATTGGTAGCCATCATTCCGGCAATCAAACCAATAGGGAAACAAGTTTGTTCGTCATCTCGCTCTTTCCATGATCTATACTGGGGGAGGACACAAACTGTTCGAGGACAAGAAGATTTACAGTGGAAACAGATTTCCGCCCGAAAAAACGAAGATCAGAAGAGGAAAACAGCAATGGAAGAGATAAAGCGCGCAGGGAGAGATCGGCGGAGGGAGATTTCTTGGGGCATCAGATCTCCAAGGTGATTAGCATCACAGAGATGCCTCAGACGCAAATTACCCATTAGATGGATAGGTTCCTCATTTGCCCGGCGTGAGGAGAATATCGGCAAGAAACCACATCGAGAATCGAAGTTACAATGTGGAAAACGAACTTGAATCGAGAAGAGAAAGAGAGAAAGCGGATCACGATCCTTGAGCATCGACCATGGGTAAAGTGGAAAAACGACGACGCTGGTCTCGTCGTTGGAAGCGCATGAACAGAACCAACTCTAGGGTTTCTCCGTGAGAAGCCCTCTGCGACCTCACCAGTATATAAGGAGGATGAGAGGAGGAAGGGCATTGGTAAGGCTAGGGTTTCCAGCCGACGGAAGGATCTTGGACGTCCGTAGCCAACCAGTCCTAATCTGAACCGTTGATCCTGTATCTGGCATTAGCGGTACCGAACCAGGTAGGGTGCATGATATTCGGGACGTAAAAGGGTGGGAATTACATATAAAACTGCTCTAATAAAAAACTAGCCTCGATTACAGTAGATTCAATTTTTTTCACGTGTGGGATCGCAAGCAGGGGCGGGAAGGAAGAGGATGGGGCTTACGGCCAGACCGCCTCGACCGACACCCTCGCCTCCCGGAGCTCCTCAGCGGCATCCAGCTCGGCGCGCCAGGCGGACATCGCCGATCTCGTCGTCCTCGTAGATTTTCCCTGCAAAGCCGTTGCGGCGGCGGTGGCGAAGGACCTGGCGGCGGCGGCGACACCGCCTCGCGAAGAGCAAGTCGCCGGCGGATACGACGTTCCGGTGACAAGGATGGCGTCTTCCGGATGTAGCAACTCCGAGACGAGGAGAATCAGTGAAGCCATGGAGATCGATCGATCGATATCTCCCTCTGTTTCCTTTCCTTGTTGCGCTTGAGAGTGAGATGCAGGATTCCGGCGACGAGCGATGCGGATCTGGTGGTAGAAGTACAAGAAGAAGAAGAAGAACTGTGCGGAGGGATTGAAGCGACTGAAGTGACGTGAGCTCTGTGAGATTGAGGAAGACGTCGATCCAGCTTATAAGCACCGGAGCTCCACCTGGAAGAGCCCCCGGGTTTCTGCGCCGCGTTGCCTCGGCGGCGGATTCCGTGAGCCGTTTACGCGCCGAAACGACTGCTAGTGGTTAGTAGGTTCGTGCCATTTAATAAGTCCAGCTGTCAGCTAGCCAGGTGGTATGGTCCCAGGCCCACTAAGTTCGGACTTGCGAGTCGGTTGTTCTGACCCTACGGGATCCGAGCCCAGGCCAAATCAAGACAGAAGTTGGGCCGACTGATTGCCACGTTCCAAACAGCACATCACGACACCGCCTCATCCCGAATAGCACCGGGGTTTCGTTTCCGCCGTTGGAATCTTCCATAACATCCACGTCAGCATCCGCGCCTAGAAAACCCATTTCCTATTCCGGATTTAGATAAGGTCAACGTATGTTTCATTGGCGTATTAGAGATGACTTCTAGAATGCGGATTTGTAAAAGAAAGTCCTCCGTTTTACTGCGTAATACACTCAACGCCCTTGATCGATCAATTTAGCTAAGAAAAAAGTCAACGTTTGATCGATCAGTACGAGCATCTTCAGTGGTAACACGGTATTTTAAAAAACGTGACTTTTATGAATTTGGGCCAGACTATGCTCTCTTGCTCGGCCCATTTTTAGGAAGCAAAATATGTTACACCGAATATGAGTTGACATTTCGATGATAGATTTACGTCGGTTGTAAGTCCACGACTTTTAAACGGCCGAGCTTAGAAGCTGGTCAACGGGCCGAATCCAGATGGCCCCCCCGGAATGGTTCGAGTGAATTTTGACAGGACTAACGGCGAGGGTCACGGAATTCCGTCAGTCGATCAACTGAGGGGAGGTAAGAAGGGAGAGTCCATATGGAAGCCGTTTACACGCAAGGCCATCGTGCCACGTCACCCGGAAACGACAGCCCAGGAGTGCCAGCTGCATTGGTAATAGGTAACGACTCCGAAATGAAAAATTGCTTATAAATTTAAGCGTAATTAGTTTTAGAATCCCTGGAAATATTGTCTATTACTAATGAACCTGAAAATGTCTTCTACGTCGACCTTTTGCCCCCGAGACGATGAAGATCCTGTCTGTTCGAAACTCAATTCCTTCCCGCCGCCCCCTGGCACCCAATACTGTCTCTCTCTCTCTCTCTACCCAGTTTCTGGACATTCCTCATTTTTAGCATTCTCTCTCTTCCGAGCTTCTCCAAGTCCCCCGTTCTTCTCCTTCTCTTCCCTTGACATTCTCGTTCTCTCTCTCTCTCTCTCTCTCTCTCTCTTCCCCCAGCCTATGGACAACCTCCGTTTCTCTCCTTCCCTCCCCCTAACATCCTCTCTCTCTACCAGCTTCCGCACACCACACGTTCTCTCCCCTCTCCTTAACATTCTTTCTCTCTCCCCGGCTTCCGTACATCCCCCATTCGCTCATTCTCTCCTCTTAACATTCTCTCTCTCTCCCCAGCTTCCCCACATCCCTCGTTTCTCATTTTCTCTCGCTCTCCTCAGCTTCCGCACACCCCACGTTATCTCCTTCTCTCCCCTTAACATTCTCTCTCTCCCAAGCTAATGCACATTCCCCGTTTCTCTCCTCTCCCCCTTAACACACTCTCTCTCCAGCTTTCGCACATCCCTCACTTCTTTCCTTCTCCCCATTAGCTCTTGTTGAACTATATAAATACTATCTTAGCTGTGAGGCAGAGTGTATCGTGTAATTCACTTAAAGAAGCATGTGCACATCACATGTTTGTTAGGGGATGTAAGATTCTATGTCTAGAACCTTCTCCCATGGATCTAGTATAAATAACATACCCTCTATATAGATGTAATTAAGATTAAGGGATATTTTTCCCTTGAGTGTTGAATAAAAGTTTAATTTAGTTCCTTCCATGAGAAGGTTTGTCGTTATTTAATAAACTAATGAACTAGAAGAAAATCAACATGGTATCAGAGTAAATCTAGGTGTGATTGCTCATTTGTTTTTATCTCTCTATGTATAATAGATTTATCTTGCTTATGTAACACTCTTTTTGAGGACTTGGAAAATAAACATCATTTTTCTAATTTTTGAACCTCTTCTCAAGATAATTCTTAATCTTCTTTTAAAGATGGAAGAAAGTTATGATTCTACTCAATAAGTAGTTGTTCTTTTGTCAATTGATTATCTTCTCTATATGTTTGAAGGATGAGAGACCTTAGTAGGGGACATCTCTACCACCATAATAGATGTTAATTACATATCATCAAAACTGAGTTTGAATTCCCTACAATGACTATAGAATTTAGGTTGAGTGGATATAATCTCATATAGTGGTCATAATAGACTAAGGACACACCATTAAATTAACATAATATATGATTCATCAATCATCATCTGTGAAAGAGAAGAATTAGAAAAATAATTATAGAGATAATTTATACTACACTTATTGCAAGAAAACTCATCTACTAGGAAGTGATGTTATAAATTCAAAGATAAGTTATAAAATTCTAAATATCAGGTGTATCAAGTTTGTATAATAATTTAGTCTTCATCCAAATAGAAGTTAGAACAAACAAACTCAACAAATGTTAATTCAACTCCATCAAACAAAGTAGAGAAATTTTGTCTTAAATTTAAGCAATTGAAGACAATGATAATAAAATATTCACAACTCTCAATGAGACATTAAATTGTTGAGTTCTACAATTCTCTCTATGTTTGAGCTTCATCTCAATATATTAGTAGATGTTGAGTAATAGATTAGGGAGCAACATACTATATGACTAATTCATCATATCATTTCCTCACAATCTACTATTGATGATACACTTCTCATGGTTGCTAGTATTAGAGACTTTACTCTTGAACCTTTAGGAATCTTCACTAAAATTCTATATGGTCTTAAGATTTTTATCAAGCTTATTTCTGTCAAAAAACTTGTTAAAAACACACCTTATTGTGTCAACTTTGATGAAGATATTTCTTTTGTCCTTGATAAGGTCTAAAAATAAAAATTATACTTGTTAGATAATAAAAATAACTCTACATCTTGGAGGGATTTAACCAAACATGTCTTGAGGAAATGGATCAATCTCTAAAACATCACAAGGATCTTAATCACATTCAGATCTTTTATCAAATATTAGGTCATGCTTCTTTTGTAGTTGAGTTTTATTTCATCTTTATTTAAAAAGGTACTTATAAAAATACCTAAGTGTGATGTATGTGAATTATCTAGACATACCCATGTTTCATTTCTAATTAAAAATGAAAGGAGTGAAATCTCTTTCTCTAGTATTCATAGCAATGTTTGGACCATGTCTCAATGTAGATCTATTAAGTATTAAATGATTACATTCATTGCATATGGGTCTTTCTCTTTAAGTTAAAAATATGAAGTTTCTCTTGCATTGAAATGCTTATGTGTAATGATCAAAACTCAATTTGATACCCTTATAAGGGAATTAAAGTCAATTAATACTAAAAACTATTTTAACAATGATCTTAATTATTTTCTACATGTTTAGGGTATCATACATAAGTCTTTATGTGTTTACACTCCTAAATAAAATAAATTTGACATAAAAAAAATTCTCACATCTTGGAGGTTACACGATCACTCTTATTTCAAGCAAACCCAAAATTATTTGGGATGAAGTCATTTTAACATCAACACATCTAATAATTTGTCTTCTCACAAGAACCTTGAATTTTCAAAATCATATGGAGAAAACTTCTTTTTGTTCTCTTAACATCTTCATATTTCATTAGAGTTTCACATATTAGATGTATCTCATTCATTTACAATAATGATCCAACTAAAGTTTAATTAGATCTAAGATCTTTCAAATGTATGTTTGTGGAATATTTGACTACTCAAAAGAAGTATTGATGTTATCATCCACCAACTCAAAAATTATTTACAACTACAAATTTTTTACTTTCATAAATCTATTTTTATTTTCAAAAAACCTCTCTAGACATGTCTTTGCCATTTTCTCTTTTTTTAGATGGAGTTGCTTCTCCTCTAGGTTAAATTATTCTACTGATTCATGTGTATGACAAGAGTTCTTCTCTTTCTAATTTATTTTTTGAAAAATTCATATTTGGTTAGGTTTATTTGAGGACATGAGTATCTCCAAATTTTGGATCAACTTGAGACTCCAACCACTCCTAACTAATGACCAAAAAACCACATTTATTACTACAAGAAGTACTACTAGTCCACAATCCAATGACATTCTTATTGTCCTCAAGAAACCTCCACATGCTTGCACAAAGCACTGATTATACTCTTCAGCCAACTTGATTTCATATCATAAACATTTTACATCTTATAAAACCTTCCTTGCTACCTTGAATGATATTACTAACTAGTTTTTTTTTAAGCTCTCTTTAAGAAAAAGTGGAAACAAGCAATGGATGATGAAATGGATGCTCTCGAGAAAAATAATACATAAGAGCTCATACCCCTTCCTAAGAATAAAAGGGCAATTGGTTGTAAATAAGTCTATTTTATAAAATATAATGCTAATGAATGAATAGAAAAGTATAATGCTAGACTTATAACTCAAAGATATATACAAGTTTATGAAGTGACTATCATGAAATATTTTCTATTTTAGAAAAATGAACACAATTATAATTATTCTATCTTTGACAAGTATTTTTAGTTGGAGTATCCAACAATATGATGAAAAGAATGACTTTCTTCATGAGAATCTTAATGATGAATTATATATGTATTATCCACTTAATTATAGAAGACATTTATCATATAACATTGTTTGTAGACTCAAAAGGTTATTATATAGACTAAAATTGTCTATTAATACTGATCATACATTATTTTTTGAACATATTTCATCATGAGAATTACTATATTTTGAGTTTATGTTGACAATATTATAATTACCAAAAGCGATGACATTGAATAAGGAAATTTGACCAAATACTTTGCCAAGGAATTTAATATCAAGACTTAAATACTTTATAGGCATTGAGGTAGATCATTCTTCTAAGGACATATTTATCTCTTAATGAAAGTATATGACAAATCTTTTAAAGGATATTGAAAAGTCTACATGTAAACAAGTCATCACCCCTCTTGATCCTAACTAGAAACTTTGTGTTCGTGAAGGAGAGCAGTCCATTGATTGACAAATATATTAACATCTCATTAGATGGTTAATATATATCACACATATTAGACATGACATATTTTATGCAATTAGTTTCTTAAGTTAGTTCATGCATCAACCAACTAAATCTTATCTTCATGTTATTTATTTGGTGTTACACTACTTAAAGGGAACTATGGAAAAGGCATTTTCTTCAAACATAGTAATAATCTAACAATTGAGATGTATATTAATGCAAACTATGTTGGTTCTCTCTTAAATTACTAGTCAACTTTGGGTCTTATGATATTTATGAGATGAAATTTAGTTAATTTGCATAACAAGAAATAAAATGTTGTTGATCACTCAAGTGTAGAAGTAAAATTCAAAGCACTTACACATGGAATATGTGAACTTCTTTTAAGTAATCAATCACTAACCTAAATATTCTTCTTTTAAGGCATATGAAGTTTTACTGTGACAATAAATTTGTAATCAATCATGTACACAACTTGATCCAACATAATCATGCAAAGGATGTTGAGATTGATCAACATTTAATCAAAAAAATTAGAGTCTAAGGAAATTTATATTCCTTTCGTTTCCACTCAACATTATTAGTTGATTTAGTGACGAAGGGTATCTCTGATACTCAACTATAATAAGTGATCTCCAAGTTAAAAATAGATGATATCCACCCACTAACTTGAGAGAGAGTGTTGAAATACTATATAAATACTATGTTAGTCGTTGAGGCATTAGATGATATCACATGCTTCACTTTAAAAAATATGCAAACATCACATATTTCTCACATGATTTAAAGCTGTGTCTATATTTTTTTCCTTTGAATCTACTATAAATGACATACTCTACGTCTCGATGTAAATAAGATTTAAGGACATTTTTCACTTGAGTGTTGGATAAAAGTTTCATTTTTTCCCTTCCACAAGAAGATCTGTTGTCCCTCAAGAAGTGAGGGAACTAGAAGAATATCAACAACACTCTCTCTCTCTCCCTCAGCTTCCTCACATCCCCCGTTTCTCTCATTCTCCCCCCTTAACACACATACTCTCTCTCTCTCTCTCTCTCCCAAGCTTCTGCACATCCCTCGTCATCTTCTTCTCTCCCCTCAACATTCACTCCTCTCTCGCTATCTCTCTCTCTCTATCTCTCCCAGCTTCCGCACATACCCCGTTTCTTTCCTTCTCTCCCCGTAACTCTCTCTCTCGCACACACACAACATGCTCTAACCAGTCGTGAGAAGAGAGAGAGAGAGAGAGATAGATGGTCCTGGCGACGCTGAGAACTCGGGAAACAGCACTCGTGGAGAAAGGCTCCCATCACTCTCCACGACTTCAACCGTATGTTTGACTTCCTGACAAGATATCCAGCCGGGCAACGTCGAGTCGTGCAGGGGGACAGCTATGCTCAACCCCTCACTACTCAAGATCATCATGAAAGTTGACCCTGGGCTACCGATTTTCTGAGAGAGAGAGAGAGAGAGAGAGGTCCCATGCCATCGAGCAGCTCCTCTACCTAATTTATCCGCTTCGTCACCTGCTCTGTGAGTTATGGGGTAGTTGGTGGTTGCTAAGCATCACACCAAGTTTCAAGCTTCAACCCGTCACTCCTTCGTCAAGTAGGAAGTTGACATTGGACTCCGGGTTAGAGTTAAAGAGAGGGATGGCCCTCCATCGCCTCGCCTCTCTCTCTCTCTCTCTCTATACTCTTACTGATTTGTACAACGAGTAATGGGACAGTTGGAAGGGGGGGAGAGAGAGAGAGAGAGAGCTGCACCAACTTCCACGGTCGAAACTCGATCTGGTACCCCTTATCCGGGGGCCCTACAAAGGGCCCACGACCAGGCTCATAAACACAGGAGTTCCCATCGGACCTTCCCAGTTGGAGCGTTGGTGGGCTCCACAATCAGATAATGAACTTTTTATGGGCCCTCAGGTCTCCGCTCCCAACAAGAAGGGGCTCGGCCCGTAATTAAATCGCAGTAGCCACGATCCAACCTTGAAAGCGGCTGCCTCTTCCCCGCGGTATAAATAAGGAGCGCTGTTCAAATGGCGCAGCAGCCCCCGCCCCCGCCCCCGCCTCCGCCGCCATCGTCCTCCACGGGAACGGCGGCCATGGAGGTTCTGTCTGTCCTGCTCAGTTTCCCCGTTCTCCCCTTCATCCTCCTCCCCTTCTGCCCAGCGGCCTTCCTGTTCGCGGATTTCTTCATCCGCCCGGTGCTGTGCGTGGTGTGGCACCGCTGCGAGGACCAGTTGGCGTGGGGCTCCGATTCCGACGAGCCGCCGGCGGGGAGAGAAGCGGCGGCAATCGACTGCGTAAAATGGCTCTTCGGGAGGAAGCAGAACACCTTACGGTACCGGTGCAGCGCCGCCAGTGAGCAGGCGGCGCAGTGCGTGATCTGCCTCTGCGACGTTGAAGACGGCGACGAGATCAGGGAGCTGAAGTGCGATCACGTCTTCCACCGGTGCTGCTTGGACCGGTGGGTGGCCTTCGGCCGGGTCACCTGCCCCCTCTGCAGGGAGGCGCTGTCCTCGAAGGCGGAGACGGTGGAGCTTCCCTGCCAGGCGGCGGAGCAGACGACGGAGCTCTTCGGCACGCCGGCCCTCGAGTTCCCGCGCGGGTGGTTGATGGGTTGAGAATTCTCTCTTGGAAGAGGAGGCTCCGATCTTCCTCCTGCCCATTACACCTCTTCCGCGCTCGCCGATGGCAACCAGCCTCGGGGACGTCAGCGACGACGGCGGCGATCCACCGCCGAGTCAGGCGGGTGTGATCGGAGCGATTCGCGCGAACTCGGGTTTAGATTCAGGGGTCGTCATCCTTGTCCGTAACTCTTTGACGACTCTCGCTATCGCATAATAAATCCGCCATGGATTTTATGCGTTTACACAAATCAGCACATCTTGGGAAACCGGAATTTCCAGATGTTGACACTCGACAAATCAATCGCTGCCATTTCTCTCTCTCTCTCTCTCTCTCTCTCTCTCACTCTCAGCAGTAATGGGCGGTCGGATTCACCAGATTACTCAAAGATTTTGGAAAACCCTCCTCGGGAACCCATCCACTTGCTCAAGAAATAACCACGAAAACGACGACGTGTCACGAGTCGTATAATTCCCAAAACACTGTCATTTATGATTTGAGAACGCGGCCACTAAGAAGGATCACTCGATTGCACTCGTTCCAAGCGTTGGATTTGTCGTCAAGAGCATTTGAGACTAAACCGCGTGAAGGAGTTCAGATCCGACAGCTCCTCGTGGAGCAGTCCAGGCCATCGGGCGCTTCTAAACCGCATTCAAAAGCAATGATTATCGTCACGGGAGGGTTTTTAGCGCTCATCTGATGATGGTGGAGTTGATTGTAGCATGAAAATCAAAGATATCCAGGGACCGGCGACTTGCGGCGCGACGAAGAATTCGACCCGTTTAATTCCCATCCACTGGGGCATTAATCGAATTGATGGAAACTCAAGAGCGAGAGGTAAAGATGCTTGCCCGATTGGCAGTGAGAGAGAGAGAGAGAGAGAGAGAGAGAGAGGAGGGGATTCTGAGTTCGCGCGATCCCCGGATGTCTTTGTCGCCGTCGTCACTGACCTACTCCCCTTGGACCACCGAAGTGGGCTGTCGACGAGGAACGCAGTCCGTTCGCCGGTACAATCGTGGTGCAGAATGGCGGCGGCCCGGGGGAGCCGTCGTTTCTTGCTTCCCATGCTCGACGAGAGACGACGGAGGTCATCCGCCGTCGTCACTCTCCGACCGGTGCCGCTCTCCGACGACCGCGAGCTCTCCTCACGGCGGTGCCCGGGCGGAGTAGGCCGGCCGAAAGAATCGATAGCCGCGCCAACTTAAAGCACAGTTGAAAATCGGCCAAAAAAATCCTCTACGTGGCGAACACTCGGTCAACCGTTTTAAACACAAGCTGGCAACGCAATTATCTCGCTGACGTCTCGCCGTTGACTCCGAACTGTCGTGGAGAGCTGGGCACATTCGGCACACGATCCCTTCGCCGGGACATGACCGCGATTAAGGACCGTCGAAGCGTCACCTTCTCCACATTAACTCCGGTCAAAAGACAGGGCTTGACTCCGTCCTCCACATTAGACGACAGAACTAGCCTACAATCACCCCGCACGCTCCACCCCGAAGAAACCACGTTAATGGCGGAAGAAAGATGCGCCAGCGGCGACGGGGTACCCTCTCCCTTGACCCACTGCCGGAGGAAAACCCGCCGGAGTCCCGTCACGGCGTCCAAAAGACTGTACTTTCTTCCCGTCGCCGTCGGAGCCGCCTCCGCGGACGTATCTTCCTCAATCCTGCAAATGGGAATGGCGACCAATGGCGGCGTCCTCTTCCCTGATAGCTTGTTTCTCTCTCTCTCTATCTCTCTCTCTCTGGTTTTCCCTTCCTCGCGTACCTATTCGAGCCATTAGAGGAAGGCGAGAAGGGCCGGGTGGCGGTGGCGGAGGCGGCGGCGCCGCTTCCGCCACCAGGAAGTTGCCGAGATAACGCCCTCTTGAAGGCGAGATCTGACCGTAATACGCTATTAATGGAGCATTTGCGTGCCCGGGAAGCTCAGTCAGTACGTAGACTGCATTTATGGCCGATTAGAACAGTGGCACTGCGTGTAATTAAGGTAAACAACATGCCTTGTCTGGAGGCGGAATTAGGTGGGTCCCAAGGTCATTTTCGCCTATTTATATACATAAATACTTATTAAATAAGCTAATTCTTAAACGTCTAATTTCTGCAGCCACAGGAAACCTCCCGGGGTCCATTTTTCGTATATTCAATTTTTTAGCTTAAATTTTAATGGCATTTATTCGTGCTTTGGTCACAAGTCCAAGTCCACGTCCACGTCGTCCTCAAAGGCAAGATCTGGAGATTTGTACGTGGGCCACTTGTCAACTGGCTCCCCGATCTCCCGTGGGGCGTTAGAGTGAGAGGTGAAAATTGACTGATTGGTGTAGAGAGAGAGAGAGAGAGGTAGAGAGAGAAGTCTATGGGGCCATTATTACTGGATTGGACACGGGCTTTGACCGGGGCCCAGAAGGATGGGGGCAAAAAGGTCCGAGCGAATCGACGGCACAGAACACAAGAGCGTGGACCGTCCAAAAGGATTTTTTATTTTTATATCAATTAAAAAGTTGACCTCTCTCTCTAGGTCTATTTATATATATGTGCGTGTAGTAGCCACGTTGGACGTCCTCATCTGAAAGGTTTGGGACGGCCGCCATGGCATCGTCTCTCGTCTTCTTCACCTTCTCTCTCATTCTCCTCCTCCTCGCCAGGCCCCTCTGCCGGGGGATCCGATCCTTCTTCTCCAAGGAGACGGCGGCGGGCTCGCCGCGGTGCCCCGGAAGGGGCCACCACTGGCGGCGGGAGCCCGGCGCGTGCTTGCTGCAGGAGAAGCTCGCCGTCCTGCGCTGCGCCCGCGCGGCGGGCGGCGCGCAACCGGAGTGCGCCATCTGCCTCTCCACCGTCGAGGAAGGCGACGAGATGCGGGAATTGAAGTGCCGGCACGCCTTCCACCGCTCCTGCATGGATGAATGGCTCGACTACGGCCGGAGCACCTGCCCGCTGTGCCGGGTACCGCTCCTTGCGCCCCCCGCCGCCGACGCCGACGACGAGGCGCTGCCGGAGGACGTCGCCCTCTCCTTCTCCGTCCTCATCCACAGCTCCTTGTTCGGGTGGTAGAGAGGGAGAGAGATGATCACTGGAGGAAGTTGACTTTTGGGGCTCCTACAGCCTCCGCACGCGGCCTGCGTCCCCTTCCGGACGGCCCTGCGAGATGGGCTGCGCTTCGTCGGTCGAAAAGATGCGGCGGTGCGCGTCGAATCCTGGAGTTTTTTAGGGATGAAGACGAGTCGACATGAAAGGCTCGATCTTGAGGAGCTTGATTAAATACCTGTACCGACAGCCTTTTCATTCGTTGACATGTACATTTAGATCACAGTACAAATCGCGAGGAAACTTCACGACAGAGAGAGAGATAGAGAGCGAGAGAGAGAGAGAGAGAGAGGTTCACGAGTAAGCCTGGTCTAGTCTTTCAGGCCTTAAACGTGAAGACCAACTGGCAATGATCTCCACCCGGAAGCGGACATCGCTTAGATGGGTTTGACCACGATAGGAATCCGGGTCTACTTTAAAATCAACATTCGGATAGAACCCTCTTTTGGTCAACTCATAACATTCATAATCCTTGAATAACAAGTGACATAGATGGGCATATTGCCTCGCAAGGTGTATATAATCACAGCAAACACGAACCAGCAGCACAGCAGCAACCTGCTAAAGCAGCAAAGATCCTGTTTACACCGGGCAGATCATGTACAGATGCCCGCTTAGTTCCTGAAGATAGCTAGCAAGGGAAGACCTCGGAGCGAATTGCTGATCCAAGGAGATGTAAAGAGGGAAGAACACTTCGTGTAGGGACGAAATTTCTAGATGTATATATATATATATATATATATATATATATAGATATATATATAGATATACATGGTCAGAACAGGGCGGAGCTCGTTCTTCGGAGACGAAACTTTGATTCAGGGGGCGGCATACGGTGTAAAAGCTTCTCCAAGTCCTGCAAGAAAACGGCCGAAAGCCCGATATCAGACGATTGCGACCCCAGATGAGAAAAAGAACCACGCTGACTCCAAAGAGTTCTTCGAGCTAGCTAGCTAGTTCCTCCAGATCTCCACTCACGAGGAAAGTATAATGATTCTGACTTAAACCAGTCGGATAAATCCTCAACAATTCCCCAATATATTTAACTCCCACCCGGAACCCCAAATCTCTCCAGCCGGTGTAGATGAAACTATCTGAATTCATAAACTTATATAGCCGCCATCTACCTCCTGGGCTGGATCTAAAAGTCAACCACAGACAAAATTCTGCAATCTTTCCACCTCTCCTCTTGATGAGCTCCAAGGACTGAACTCCCACAAGCGGAATCCACAAGATTATCTATGCTGGGAATTCCAAATCCGGCCAAGTTCCAGCTGTTTTGGCACTTCTCCAGCAAGATCCCGAAGCTTTAAGGGTGGCACTCTCTTTCTGCTCTCTCTTAAAAACCGCTATGAAGTTGCCTATTGTGAGCGATTAGCAGTTAGCAGAGGAAGTGTTTATTTACTCAAAAATTATACAAATTTATTGTATATATGATATAGTTCGCACGTCCCCCATCAGGGGGTGACAGATTTTTCCAAAGTCTTCCACTCACAACTATTATTATGGATCTTTCAAGAGAATAATCCAATTACATATATCAGAGTGCTCTTAACTGGTTAACTCTAAGATAGAGTGCAAGGAGCAGATGGTCAATGCATAACACTGAAGAACAAGATATCAAAAAGGTTTCCTCTTCTGAATAATTGCCATCGATCAAGAGCAGTAAGTTGTGGAGAAAATAATATACAGTATTTTGAGGCGATACTAGAGGTTAGGGGTGAGCTTCCTACGTAGGTTAGTAAAAATCTCAAATGCGACAATCACAGGTGAAACAGAGATAGAAACCTTACCCTATGCTTCTTCAGCATCTTGTTCTCTTCTTCCAGCCGAGAAACCTTATTCTCTAGCTCATTAGTATAAGCCTGGCCATGATGAGGCACGAATGTTTCTCAGTGGAATGCCAAGTATCGAAAATTGATTAGTATAAATGCTCTTGATCTTCCATAAGTGCCAAGTATGGAAGAAGATATACATAGAACCGACCTGCTTCCTAGCCCTTGATCTGGCAGCAGACTCCCTGTTCTTGATCATCCTCTTCTGCCTCCTCTCGACCGTCTTCCCCCCCACGTAATCAGAAGCCTCCCGCTTGCCGCCTGGAGTCTGGGTGTCGGAGAGCGCTCCCATCGTCGGGGATGAGATGGTCAGCCGTGGATCAGAGTACCCTGGTTCTAGGATGGTAATGGGCGGTGGTGGCGCCGAGGCTGCGTACATGGGCATCACACTTTGCTGAGGCTGCTGCTGATGGTAAGCTTGCAGCCAATGGCCCCCCTTCGAATAACCAGCAGCCCCCACAGTCCGATCAGTGCTCCCTGTGGAGCTCATGTTGCTGGGCCTCTTCTTCTCTCGGTCCTTGACATCAACCCCAGCCTTCATCAAGAAGTCCTCGAGCGTTATCTCCCCCAGATTCGCCTGCCTCTCAGGATCCAACCTGGTCCCGCCATCGCCCTTTCTTTGGCCCTGCTGGATGTCCAGCCACACCTCGTCGACGGTCTTCCTCCTGAGGGCTCTTCCCAGCCCCACGCTTCCCTGGCCCTGAAGGCCAGAGCTGGAGCCAAACTGCGCGGTGCTCTGGAGGTCCACCGCCAGAGTCTGCTCTCCCTCGGGTGGGAGGACATTTCTGAGAAGCTCTTCGAGGTTCATGCTGCTCAGGGGCTCACCCAGTTGGTTCTGGACTTCACTTAGGGTGAGACCGTACAGGGATCCTTCCCTTGACAGAGTCTCGGACTGGGGTTGGAGTTGCTTCGCACCGCCGCCACCACCAACGCCATGGGTTATCATGCTCTGCATTCCCATCCACGTCTCCTTCTCCCACCTTCGTCTATTTTATCGGAAATTGCGCACCCTTCCCAAAAAAAAAAATAATAATTCACATGCAGTATCGATTTTCACTGAGTTCTCTTCGGGAAAAATTAGATTCGGGAATATAATATTCCCGAATCTGCTCAGTGTCCGATCAACCACCGATTCAACCAAACATGCTCAGATTCACTGCAGCGGCTGAAATAGCAGGACATCTCCTCCGCAGAACGGGCTCCGCTTAACGATGCTTCCCCGTATACGATGCTCTTCTTCTCGGCACGAAACCCTCGCCCTAACTCGTCAAGAAGCCAAGCACGGGTTTCAGCTTTCTCGATCCCAATCGAGAAAGATACGCCGTCGACGTGTGAGCGGCTCCCCCCGAGCTTCGACGGCTGGCGACCCCGACGGACTGAACTAGGTTAGAAACGGCAAAATTTCTCGAGACAAGATAAGCGCAAACGACGGGCTCTAGAGAATCGGAACTGGACTTGCCAAACCGGAGAGCGAGGATTTCACTGCGTCGCCCGAGATGAAGCTCCGAAGATGACGCATCCAGCAGAAACCGGGAAACACACCACCGACAGCCGTCGGAAGATTTTCCTCCCCAGGATCTTCCTTCCCCTTCCTCACCGCCGCCTGGCGGAAGAAACCTTCCCAGCCACCTGACAGCGGCAAATAGGGCAACGCCCTCTCTCTCTCTCTCTCTCTCCCCCCTCCCCTCCCCTCCCCTCCCCGACCGTTCAGTTCGATCTGAACCAGAGTCGGCGGCGCTAGCATCGCCCCCCTGGTTTCGTTTTATACGTGTTCCCCAATCCGGGAGCCCAGGAAGAGCCAGGCGTTTTTCCGTGACGAAATCTTTTTCGGTGAGGCCCACCTTCTGTTGGCCCCACCATGGTCAAATAGTCGACCTCTGTCCGTGGCCTAGGACCGGGCCCGGGCCGGACAATATGATGACCCTGGAGAACCCCAAAGTCAGCCCGACACGTGGCTTGTTGGCTACTAGGATGAGCGCGTCTTTTGAGGCCGACCTCCCCCCCCCAACCGCCATGATGACCTTTATAACCTCTCTCTCTCAACGGCCCGGCTCGGCCGATTTACAGTCCCGTCTCTTTTTATCTGTTAGGACGCATCCCGGGAGACCGGCCCGAAGTTATTACGGGCTCGAGATGGGCCCAGCCCGGCTCGTTCGGGGAGGTCGGATACCGTGAAGATATTTTTGCGAACGTTGCGCCGCCTCTCGCCGTCGCCGCGGACCGTTGCATGGGATTTAAAACCGAAGGTTGCTTTCACGTTCGCAGATTACCGAAAATACCCCTCTTCAGATACGAGGCACAGAAAGAACTGGCCCTTCACCTCCCAGCGGGTTTCCATTCTGGTGAATCGCAGGGCAGACAGGCGACGCTGGGTGGCATCTGACGGATGAGATCGTCTAATCTGCACGATCGGCTCTCAGTTTCTCCCGCGCATTTGCGGCAGGTCCATTTCGGGAAGGTTTCAAGAGAAGGGCCGTACGGAGAGAGAGAGAGAGAGCGTGGGGGGCGTGGTGAATCGGATTTGTCGTCTCAAGTCTCCTCAACCGGTGCAGCACAGATACCAGGGCAGAGGAAGGGAAGGGTCCATAGCTTCTAAGGGTTTCTAGGGTTTCTGTGTCTCCTCTTGTCGAGCGCTTTGCTTAGATAATCACAGAGAAGGAGGTACGTTGTCAATCGCTGCTCTCTGCGTCTAGGTGAGTCTTGAATCCCGCTTTTGCGTCATGTTTCACATGGTGTAGGGGGGCCGGTGCAGATTCGGGGGCGGTTGCTATGGATTTTGGTTTCTCAGTTTTCGTTTCTGTTATTCTCTCGTTCCGCCATGACGTTGTCGCCATTTCAAGAAAGTCAGATGTTCTCGACTCGTAGTTGCATGCATGGCCCTCTGCTCGTACTTTTTCTCGTCGCTTCGCTGCTGTCGTGATGCTGTCCCGCTACTACTGATCTCTTTCTCTTCATTTGTTTAGTTTTTTGTGTCTGCTTCCAGTTTCCGATTATTCGGTTCACATTCCAGAAGGTTGGAGGGAGAGTCTGTCATCTTTGGATTTTAGCTTGTATGTTTCATTTAATTATTCGTGAAATGGCGTGCCTGATTTTCTATTTCGAGACAAGCCGATGCTCGTTTTGTTTAGACTGGCCTCATTTTCCCGGAGGCTATATTTAATGTTTAGTCTCTCTTTTGTGATGCTTTTGACAAGACAATTTTTAGAATCTTTTCTTGTAGATGCTTCGTTATCGCTGGGTTGTAGTGGCTTTCTTCTTCTTTTTTTGTTAATATTTATTCCTCAAAAATGGCCGTTTATGGATGTTTAAATTCCTCCTTGAAGAAGGTTTTCATATTTCTCCTTACAAGTTGGGTTTAAAAAAATTGTCCGTTGTTTGTTCCAATCATTTTCTACGCCGTGGCATGGTGATCTCCGGTTATTTTCTTGTCATTCGTCATATTTATTTTATTTATTTATTTTTTGCTCATTGCTCAAGTACATGTTGTTGACTTAACATGTTTTTATTACTCTTTCCTTCCTTTCTTCCTTAGGTTTGAAGAAATGGACAAACCAGGAGGGGAAAGAACAGAGGTGCCTCCACCTCCGCCACCTGTGATTCCACCGAATGTGATACCCATTATTGCAGACCCTGAACTCAGAAAAAGTTCAAAACACAAAAGGATACCCATGAATAGACCAGGAACGGGAACGAATGGCAAGGCCATACCATTGGTCACCAATCATTTCAGAGTAGATTTGCGTAACGTTGATGATGGATATTTCTACCACTATAGTGTACGCTTCTTTTATGCTCATACTCCGATTTTGTCCTTCAAAAGTACAATACTCTGTTGTGCGCAATGTATCTCCCTCGCACATGAATTCCTTTGTTATGGTGTCTTTGTTGAAAATAGGTGTTGCTCAAGTATGATGATGATCGCCCTGTTGATGGGAGGGGCATTGGACGAAGGGTAATCGATAAGTTGCACGAGATATATGATGCGGAACTTGGCGGCAAGGATTTTGCCTATGATGGCGAGAAAAACTTGTTTACCATTGGCTCTCTGCCACAGGTGAACAATAATTTTACTGTAGTTCTGGAGGATTTATCATCAAATAGGTAGTTCCTGGCATTCTATGTGTCTTGTAATTTCTCTCTGTTCGATGTGAATTTTATTTTTCACTTTGATCCTGGAATTCCTGCATTAAACTCAGAACTGGGGAAGTTTCGAACGGTAGCCCAGGTGGAAATGACGGCCTCGGGGATAGTGACCGAAAGAGGAGGCGACGGCCGTATCAACTGAAGACTTTTAAAGTTGAGCTAAGCTTCTCGGCAAAGGTTCCGATGCGGTCCATTGCAAATGCTCTCCGAGGACACGAAAATGAGAATTCTCAGGAAGCACTCAGGGTTCTTGACATCATACTGCGGCAACATGCTGCAAAGCAGTAAGCTGCCATGAGTTTTGTAATTTTTTTCCTATGGCTTTGGATTTTGTCCTTATTTTACTGTCAATGCTCCTATTTGTAGGGGGTGCCTGCTTGTTCGACAGTCATTTTTTCATAATGATCCTACGAATTATACTGATTTGGGAGGAGGAGTTTTAGGTTGCAGGGGTTTTCATTCGAGCTTTCGGACAACCCAGGGTGGTTTGTCCCTGAACATGGGTACGCTTGTAGGAACTTCCTAAATTCCGGCCACCAGGGTGGTTTGTCTCTGTTCCGTGTACACTCCTCTCTTATGTGCCCTGGATGTCTAAAATGTTGCTCGTTTATCGCAATTTCATTTCAAGATATATGTTCTTGTTCTGTTCTACAGATGTATCAACCACAATGATTGTGAAGCCAGGTTCTGTGATAGATTTTCTGATAGCGAACCAAAAGGCTCGTAACTGTTGGGATATTGACTGGGTGAAGGTGATTCTGGAATCTCCCTAAGTTTCCTTTGGGCGTCATTATTAACTTTTTAATGAGTTTTTTTGACCGATTTTTTTGTTTGAATAGGCTAAACGCACCCTTAAAAATCTCAGGGTAAAGATTACATCAACAAACATGGAGTTTAAAATTGTAGGATTGAGCGATCAGCCATGTAACCAACTCATGTAAGTTACAGTTCTATGACATATATACGGATTATTTATCTTCTTCTAACTGATCGCAGCAATTTTCTATTTTTTTTGAGATATATAGGTTTTCACTGAAACAGAAAAATCGTGATGTTGACACCATTGATATAACGGTGTATGACTATTTTACCAACCACCGTCACATAAAGTTGAAAGATTCTGCTGATTTGCCCTGTCTGAATGTTGGGAAACCAAAGCGTCCGACATATTATCCATTGGAGGTGTGGATATGCCCTTGCAATTTAAACATCATGAACGATTTTTTTTTATCCCCCTTATGGATAAAATTTATCCTACTTGTCCAGCTATGTTCTCTTGTGCCATTGCAACGGTACACAAAGGCACTGTCAACATTCCAAAGATCCTCACTTGTTGAAAAATCTCGACAAAAACCCCAAGAAAAGATGAGAGTTTTAAAGGATGTAGGTTTATGCTGCTCCTCAGTGACATGCACGTGATAGGATAGAGAAGCTTTTAACATTCATTTGATCCGTTGTGGCAGTCATTGAAGAACAGCCACTATGACGCTGACAGGATGCTAAAGGCATGCGGTGTTTGTATTGGTACAGACTTTATGCAGGTTGAGGGTCGGGTGTTGCAAGCACCGAAGGTTTTCCTAATAAACTACTCTTTTTTTTATGTCACAGGGTCTTGCTGTTAACAATACTGAAAACGCATAACTCAATTTTTCTGTTTTTACTGTAGCTTAGAGTAGGCAATGGTCAAGACTTAATGCCATACAATGGACGGTGGAATTTCAACAACAGGGTATCTATCTAAACTCTTGATTATTCTTGGAATTTTTATCTGATGGCAACTTCTCTTTCAGAGATTCGTAGAACCCGCAACCATCGATCAATGGGCTGTTGTCAATTTTTCAGCTCGCTGTGATATAGGCCATCTTATTCGTGAAATGAAAAAATGTGGGCGGATGAAAGGAATTGTATGTTTCTTTTCCGCAATCGTAGCTCAGCTTAACTTTATTAATGGCTGCTACAATCTATGTCATTGAAGGGCTGGGAATGTTTGTAATTTTTTTTGCAGAATATTGAGGAACCATCTGATGTGTTTGAGGAGGATGCTCCATTGATGCGAGCCCCTCCAAATGTTAGGGTGGATAAAATGTTTGATAAAATGATGAAGAATCTTCCTGCGAGTCCGCTCTTTCTTCTCTGTATTCTTCCGGAGAGGAAGAACTCTGACATTTATGGTGTTTAGGAGCGACTTTCCAAAAAAAATTCCCTTTTTTTTAGTTCATCTTGTGCATGTGTCCTCACCTTTTTATTGTCTGTCAGGTCCATGGAAGCGTAGGAACCTTACCGAATTTGGTATTGTCACCCAGTGTATCGCCCCCCCTCCTAGAATCAGTGATCAGTATATTACAAATGTTCTTCTGAAGATCAACAGCAAAGTGAGCCGAGAGACTATCATTAACTTGTTTTTAACGTCCCTCAGAAGACGGAAACTCTTTATTATCTATCCTATCATTGATGGCCTTTTTTTCCTCGTAGTTGGGGGGCATTAATTCTCTGTTACATGTGGAGATTCCGCGTTCAAGTGATCTTGTTTCTGGTATTTCCACGATCATCCTTGGGATGGATGTTTCACATGGTCCACCAGGCCAATCTGATATCCCATCAGTTGCAGCGGTAAGATATCAGATTTTCTCTTCTAAATTTTAGCAATTATGAGGATGCTAGATAACTTAAATGCCAAAAAAATGTGACTAACATGGTACATGATCAATTAAAACCACTATTCTTCTTGAAATTGACATTTCAGAATAAATTGTCTCTATTCTGAACTAACTCATTGGTTTTGCCTGTGTATACGGAGCCCAGAATGTTTTCTAGCGACTCTCTCTCTGTGTCTTTTGTATTATCGCATCTGTTAAAAGTATGCATGGTAGCAATATACCACAATCAAGTTCCTGAGTGCATACTCTTTTTCTTTCTGCGAGTTCCATTACTACTTCTGTGCAGCTGAATTTGTTAGTAATTTTCTGTCATTCCTGCGCTCTACTTCTCTATCCGCCTTAGGTTGTCGGTTCACGGCAGTGGCCTTCAATATCTCGTTACAGAGCAGCAGTGCGCACTCAGTCCCCCAAGCTTGAAATGATAGATTCTTTATTTAAGCCTGTATCTGATAAAGATGATTCCGGCATAATTCGGTATGCTGTTCCTTATTTTTTCCATTTTTTTTACCATTGCTCTATATTTGTCCTGCTCTCTGCTTTTATGTATTTTTTCAATTCTTCAGGCATTAATTATCCGGATAATTCTTACATAGTCTTTTCAAATTTCAGGGAACTTTTGGTGGACTTTTATCTCAGTTCTCAGAGCAGGAAACCTGCTCATGTGATAATTTTTCGGTATACTTTTGTCTCTTGTCATTCGTATCGTATTTGTTCGCTTCTGTTTTTTTTTCATGAGATATTTTCTACATTTCTGGAGTTATTTTTGGTTTATATGCACACACCGTCTCTTCCGCCGAAATTAATTCGATTATTGAGGTTTGAGTTATTGGAAGAAACAAATGGTTGTAGGAAGAACTCTCGGTCAAACTACATCATGTTAAACTCTGTTTGACCTAACTTTATATGCTGCTTATTCCCGAGTATCAGCCATGTTAAACTTCTTCTGATCGATATTTGCCCTATTTTTATGCTGCCCGTATGCCTGATGCAGTCGTATCTCCGGACATGATTAATGTGTCGCTTCAGATCTAATGCCATTATAATGGAGAATTTTACATTATCATCTTGACATCGCAATCCATATCTTTAGGGCATTTCTTAAAATATTTGCCAAATTTAGGAAAAATGTTGAATGAACGCGCATCTCCACAATCCGTGCATCACATGTTCGAGGAAAACAAGAAGCCTGCCCTTTTACTATTTATAGCCTATTTCTTACGCTCATTTATGCCATCTTATTATTCATAGGGATGGCGTGAGTGAATCGCAGTTCAACCAGGTGCTGAACATCGAGCTGGATCAAATCATCGAGGTGCTCTTTCTCCACCCTTCCACTCTCTCGATCATATTGATATGAAGCAAGTAATTGTGTCCTTTTGAGACTTCCACTGATTTTGGTCATCTCCCTTAAATTCTCTCAGGCTTGCAAGTTCCTCGACGACACATGGCATCCGAAGTTCACTGTGATTGTAGCCCAGAAGAACCATCACACGAAGTTCTTTCAGCCTGATTCGAAGGATAATGTTCCCCCCGGTTGCCCCCCCCCTCCCTCAACCAGACCGACGTCCATTGACTTTCTTTTTAAAAGGAAAACTCTTCGTTATTTTCTGACGGTGCTCTTCCCTGACAAACAGGTACGGTGGTCGACACCAAAGTGTGCCATCCACGAAACTTTGACTTTTACATGTGCTCACACGCCGGGATGATCGTAAGTTTGACCATCAGATAATCACTTCCCCCCCCCAACCGCCACCACCGCCAATGCTCTAATATAATAGTCTTATCCCTGGACTCTGAAACAGGGTACGACCCGCCCGACTCACTATCATGTGCTGTACGATGAGATTGGCTTCTCGGCGGATAAACTCCAGGAACTCGTTCATTCTCTGTCCTATGTGTAAGAAACCGATCCCACGCCTGTCCTCGCTCGTTCTTCCACGCGGCCATGAACGAACTCAACAGACTTTCTCTTTCAGGTACCAGCGGAGTACGACCGCGGTCTCCTTAGGTAGCCCCCCCTCTGTTCGCCCACAATGCGCTCTCTATTTATATTCCTAGGATATCAATTTTGCTCTCATAACATTTTTATACCATACTTTATTCATCTGAACTTATTGAAGCTCTTCATGCATGGTATTTATCCAATGATTATCTGAAAATTGTGTGATCCGTTCTAGAATATTCTTAATGGGTCGCTCTCGGAAAACTGTTTCATGTCCCTTTTTCCAGTGGCTCCTATATGCTATGCGCACTTGGCGGCCGCCCAGGTGGGGCAGTTCATCAGATTCGAAGAGTCGTCGGAGACCTCCGGCCGCGGCGACGTGACCTCCGCCGGCAGCGTACCCGTGGTGGCGCTCCCGAGGCTTCACAGCCGGGTCTGCGAGTCTATGTTCTTCTGCTGAAGCGGGCGACGGCTGGGCCTCCAACGTTTTTGCGCGGCATCCACTCCTTCCATGTCCGCGGTATTAGACTTTCTTCCCTTCCATGGCGCTCCGCCGTACGTAGCCTGCATTTTGTCAACCCCCCCTTGATAGCGCGATTTTTTCGGCTGGTTTATCTGCCGATGCACCTTCTGGTCTGGAACTCATAAAATAGAAAACGAGGTGCTTAAGCCTTCGCTTCCACTAACCATCTCTGATGTTATCTCCATATATATCGATCCAAGTTTTATCACTCCGAATTAGCGTTAATTCTATTATTGCATTACATTATTCAGTTTTATTGAAAAAGAAAAAGGAAAAGAAAATAATAGAACCTCAACTGGAATTCCCATCGGTGTACGTATTTCTTTCCACATATATACATCAAATCTCTCTCTCTCAGCCCTCTGCTTTTGCTCTGAAGTCGTCCAGAGTGCGGTACTCTTCCGTCAGTAACCTCTCCAGGTCCGGGTGCTTCTTCAGAGGCTCCTTCTGATATCTCACCTCCCGGTAATGGTGGAGAGCCCTGCCACGCGAGAACATTAGGAATCTTGCTGCTGGTCGAACCAAGAGGCACAGAAAAGCACCGAATCTGGCTTGGTCCCGGTCACAAGGATCAAACCTTCGAGGGATATAAAGCAAGAGGAAATAGCAGAGCCCAACCCTCAAAGGAACCTAATACGAAAAAATTATAGCATTAAGATGGCAAAAAAATGATATTAAGTGGTTTGAAGCAAGCAAGGAGCTTATGGCAGTGTTCCTTACTTTACCATTGTGGGAAAATATTTCCAAATATTTCTATTCTACTAGGATTTCTGACAGCTAGAAGGGATCTTCCCACGCGAAGCTTTCTGGAGCATCCAGCAGCTCCCTTGTGTTCCTATGACATGGGAGGGAGATTTCCGAAGCAATAACCATACTGGGGGATGCTATTGGAATCAGCGAGATTCATGCCACATTTCCGAGCACATCTGAAATGAAAATATCCACACGGATGCATGCATGCATGCATGCATGATGAAACAGAAACCTTGTGGAATTCACATCTTTTTTTTGGATGGTTCTAATAAGATGATGAAGATATCGAATCATGTTCGCCAATAAATACGGTTCATAAATTGAACCCCAGGGAAGATGGTGATCATGATGATTTTAAATGGTTGAGAAAAAAATAGGAAGAATCAGATTACCAGTACTTTTCGAGGCCATAGAGATTGCCTCTGCGGTAGAACTCAAGTGCCAGCTGCTCAAAATCCTTGTATAAATCCTTCTTAAAGCGCTTCTCCAAACCATAACTAGCAACACGCAGAAGGGAAGGCCTTAGGAATCACAAAATGACTAGTCTTGGCTTCTTTTTTTTCTTTTTTTCTTTTTTTTTTTAGGGTTTTCCTACGAAGGAGACGTTTTTTGGATGTCAGTACCTGTAGAATCTGAAGAGACACTCCAGTCCATAATTATGGTTAGCAGCCGCATCCTCCAGAGCCAGCTTCCGAAATTCCTTATACATGGCGCGAACGAAATGGTCTCTTAAAAAGAACGACCAAAAACGGTACAGTGTGTTCATTCCCTGGATGGATAAAACCAAAAAGGTTTAATCATAAGAATTTACTTGAATCAAAACAGCAAGGAGCGCAATGAACTCCACAGGAACGATAAGCCTGACCCAAAGGCGCAAGAGAGAGAGGGACCCAAAAATAATTAACCCATAAAACAAAATACAGACATGTAGTCCATTTTCTAAGGCTTTCTGTCAAGGAATGTTTATCACATCATGGGCAGGGATCTTCTCCATTCAAGCTTCCCAAAATGAAAATGTTAATCACGAGCTTTAGGGAAAAAAGATCATACAATAAGACTGACTCCTAAAGAGATGACAAATCTGAAACAATAAAAGATCATACAATCATAGAGGGCAGCATAAGCTCTGGAAAAATATTTCGTCTACACAAAGAAGAGTTAGCTGCCTCTCTTTTTTCATTCTTAATACGTTGACTTAGTTCCAAAGTCCCAACGGTGCTAACATAAAAGTAGAGATACATTGTGTGATCAATAATCTTCCAAAGCAGCTTACTGTTAACCTTGATGGATATTGGACAACAATTCTACAGATATGACTCACCTCACTGCAGCCGATGCCAAGCTTTTTGCGGTCATTTAGACAATGTTTATGGAACTTGAGGTACCTGAAAACAGAGAAGTGAATAAATGAACATGTTATCTTGCCCTGTATGAAGAATTAGCATTCACTCACTTCTGTTGACGGAATCCTTTTTCTTCCAGTAGCTGATGGCTTGGATGCTGAAATGGAGGAAACGTTTTAGGCTTGGAACCCCCTGGGGGGCTGCTCCCAGCAAGCGGTCTGTGTGGTGACCCTCTAAGCTTTGAGGACAATGGGCTGCAACAGAGGACATCTTCTCCATCAATGAAAACTATCGACCGTCAAAACCAGATGATAAGAGTAATAGCAACAGTAGTAAGCCCTGAGCTTGCCTATGAATATCTGGCGGTGTTGAGACAAAGAAAAAACCGACTGAATTGCTAGGTGGGCTTTCAGATATAATGCCTCGAGGATTATGACCACCACCCTGACTACTAAAATTACTAGCAAAAAATCGTTGTTTCAGGGAGAACTGTGCTTTGCTACAGCCTTTATTCTGTTGTCTTTGTGAAGTATCCGCATGGTCATGGTCTCCAGAGACACACTTCCCAACGCTTTTCATATCAAGTTTCAAGTTTGCAAATGTGTGAGCAGTACTGGTAGGTTTTGCATCTCCGTTGTGTGTCTCCAACCCAGGTGAATGATCACGAGAGCTCTTGGCCTTCAACTCCTGCCATTGACAGCACATAAAATAAAATTGGATGGTAATGAACTGTGACAACATAGGGGAGCATCAAAATAATTTCATAAAGTCAATCACCGAGCACCTGTTCATAATAAATAAGACCGTCATTAATTGCAGTTGCAACCTCGTTAGAAATTGCTTCAGTTTCCCTCGGGCCAGCATTATCTATCCCAATATCCTGCACATCAGCAATAAAAGGAAAAGTATAAATACTGACTACATCAGGAGATGGAGATCTTAAAATTTTTCGATGTACTTGTCAATGAATCCAAAGTCTTAAAATAAAATAACGCAGAATTGGAAACAAACGGAGGCAGTTGGAGAAAATGCATCGAATGCAACCACTAAACTGAGGAAAGAATCATGGCCCAGAACATTAACAAAACCATAAAGATTGAAATCAGAATTCCTACATGATGCAAATATAGACAAAAAAGAGCGTTTCAGTTGTAAGAAATGATATTAACAGAGGAAAACTGAGACAATGTTTTTCTTTTACTTAAGGTTAGGCGAAGAGATTTTATCATTTCCAGCTGAAAATATTAAGAATGAAAGTGAGAATAAAACCAATTCAGTAATTTTGAATAGACCATAGAGGCTTTTCCATCTAAGGGCCATCAAGCTTTTTTATGCAGCATATAAGTAAATGCATTGATAATGGAAGCTGAGGTACACCTAGGCACACGGGGGAGTAAGTTTCCCAGAGAAATCAGAGATCAAGTTGACGAGGAAGGAAAGATCCACAAGTCAGATTCCGAACCAACCAAAATCCCTGATTCACAAGCGTAAAGCTGCTTGATATGGAGGAACGATGTGAAAAGCTAACAGAAAAATTAGAATGGATTCAACATATAACCCCCAAAATTAAACAAATAACCTAGATTTACAGCCGCGGTATAGAAATCTGAATAGAGCAAGATGACTCAATGTAAAAGCCAAAAATTAAATGCAACAAGTGGATTATAAACCTATTTCGGTATTTTTGAGGTAGATAGGCCTGAGGTGATCCAGTCTACCCTCAATCCGTGCACAACCCGATCCAGTCCATCTATATGACTGGTGACTCGGCCTTGCACTCCTCAGGTTTGCATAGCAGAGCCTGCGAGGTGACCTGCTGTCCTGACAACTTCCATCAACTGTCAAAACATCCAGCTGATGGAATAATGGGAGGGTAAACGAGATAGGAAGGAAAAAAAGAGACAACATGAGAGAAGGTGCTTGACTTCTGTCAATTCGGAATAATTTTTACAATTGTTCCGAACCCAGTGTTCCAAAGCGACTCAAATCCACCAGGCTGATATGACTAATCAATTGAATTTCGCCTGTAATAACAAAAGTGAGAAAATAGAAAATAAAGTAGTCTAGATAAAAAGAGACAGGGTAGTAAATCAATTTTAATGTGTTCTTTTAGCAAAAGCTGAATTAGAGAGAAAGGAGTGCATTCTTGCAAAAACACGGGGAAGATAAATGAGATCTTCAAGAACGTATTATGATAAAACATGTATGCATGCTTTCCATTTCAGAGGTAAGGATATTAGAGATAAGGCACTTGGCGTCGGGGTAAATGACTTTCAAAAGAATGGCAAAAAGGAAAGAACCTAGTGAAATGAATTCACACACCTTCCAATCTCACCTGTGTAACAATTATTAATCCTTGTACATCATGATCATTGATATCTGTGTCATCTTCATTGTCAGCAATCCTGAAAGTTAAGAGGTATCAGTAGCATAAGAAAAAGGGGACATCCATTTTTCTCACGAAGGGTAGAAATAGAAGTCAGAAGACGAACAAGATAAACAAATTTTAAAAAGAGAGGATACATTCCTCAACCAAAAGGAAGTACTTCGAATTAAAAGAGTCATGATGCAAACATAGACTCCAAAACGAAAGCTCCTATAATATATTTTAATTCTACGTTTTCATGGAAATTAGGCACAGAGAAGCTAAAATATAAAATAGGTACATCTGCTTGAGAATCTATACGCAGACTATAATTAAATATGACCAGACGTTGACAACAGCACACTGAAAGGCAACAGAACCATGAATCTGAGAGAACACAGCATTGTAAACACGACAAAAGGTGTCGCACATTAGAATTGACAGATTTTATAAATGGCATAATAATAATAATAAACTGTTATAAATGAGCATCTTGTGCATGTATATGTTGACCGTCAGATGATAAAATAAAATTCAGAAATCACGTATTAGTAATTTAGTGAAAAAAATTAAAGTCTGATCCCAAACACTAGCTTTTATTTGTAACATATAATACGAAAAATTTGAGCATTCCCTTTTGATGTTTGCAAACATTCAATGTAGAAGAATGAACTCTCAGTAATTATCTCAACTGCTTTAACAAAACTTCAAAGATATTACCAAGTAATTCCTGTGAAGAAACACTAATCTGACAACGAATACAACATGATAATTACTGCATCCCCCATATGCCAATTTCAATTTACCCGAATCCGTCTCAAGCATGCATCATCATCTACACACATGTTCACGAGCATATGCATCATCACATAAATGGAAGAACTGATCCAGAAACAGCCATGGTGATCTGAATCGCATTGGACTGCAGAACGCAAATCCCAAAAAGGTCACCCCTGGGGATATACTTCATACACAAAAAAAAAACCGTCTACCACTTCTGACAATGGCTGCAGTAACACTATTTGCCTTTTCGTAAAAAGGTTCCTTTTATGCTCTTCTTGTAACCTAGGCTTTTTAATTAGAAATATATACTCTGAAAACTGGGTCAACATAACTTTTAATTAGAAATATTGAAGTGACATCGGCCCATTTCTAACAACTTCTATCATTTCTTCTTCTTTTTCTTCGAGCAGTGAGACGGTTTCAGGATTCCACTTTCTTGAAAGTTGAAATGAGCATAACTCATTCATCTATTCTTTTGACTTCTTGAAGCTTAAAACCAACATTAATTGAGACATACTGGTTTCAAGGTCAGTAAATGCATAACGTATTTATTAGGGAGAAAGAGATCTCTTTTGTGTACCAAGAAAAAAAAAGCAATAACCAAGTTGAGTTGAACTCTAGATCATCAATCAAGAAACCCGAGTAAAACTCCATGCTAATCTCTATCAGTTTCCAACTCATCGAGTTATTTTACATTCTTTGGAAAAGGTATAACCCAGACCTAGGTGCTAAGCAGTGGACCATCTCCTTGATTGCAGGTAGTAATAAAAATCTTCATGTTATATAATCACACAGTAATAATTTAATGTTCTCAACACCCCATAGATACGGCTCAATTTTCTCAACACCACCAGTCATTTCTATATGTTACAGGACAATTATATAGAAGTCAAGATGCATTAATATTTAGAATTCAACAACGTCTGAGTTATAAGTTATAACCGCGAGTATCAAATCCATGCCCACTTGCTAAGTGCTTACCACGAACACAATATCAACTCAAAATCTCATTTAATAGGAAAACACTTTTTCAATATTGTTGCAACATTAGGGGTTGGCAGCAAAGCAAAAATATGATGCCATAACTATTCAAAACATAAAGATTTTAACCACGAAAATAAGTATGAAGGACCAAACTCAAATCTCAAGGTCGATGAAAATTCAGAAAAAGTACCTTTCCTGAGATGAGGAAGCATCCACCTGGGTCACCGAGTGATCAAGCTCGATCTCTTCATCAAGCATGAATGTGCTCTGCCCCCCTGAATGAGTAGGTGGCTCGATTAAAATGTTTAATAGACCATCAACCTCTGCTGTACCACCTCTACTATTTACTGCAGCCAAAGTAAGAAAGTCCAGTGTCAGCACTGCCTGATGGTCATAGAAGCCTCAGATCGAGCATATCTCCAACGAAAATATGGGAGAATACGAACACTAGATACTGGGTGCTCACCAGGCAAAGGGCTATGTTTGCCACCGTGATCCATTACTTTAAGTTCGGAACTTTGACCTGAAGCAAGCTTCCCATACAAGTCCCTGTTTTCCCCATTGCACACATCTAATTCTGAAACAGTGCAATCTGACATCAGCTTCACGTTGATATCTGTGCTGCCTTCAATTGATGGTCTCTCATTACCCTCATTTTCACTAATTCTTTGGCATTCCTTCCTCTCCCATCCACTACCAAAACTACATTTATTTGATTCATTATTCTCCATCAAAACAGGAGACCTCTCGACTTGAACGTCCGCAGCTTGAGGTTTCAATCCACATGCTTTATGAGAAAGCCACTTTCCCCAATCACTTCTCCTGATCTTCTCTCCCTTTATATAGGTACAAAAAGGAAAAAGAGACAGTAGAAGATATGATGTATAGATGACAAAATCAAAGGACAGGAATAGAAACTTTCAAAAATAAATAAAGAGTGAGGAGCTATAATGAGCAAAATCAAAGGACAGGAATAGAAGAATCATGCCACATCGATCATTCAAAAGGCTATCGTATTCCAACCTGGACTTCAATGTGACTAGAATTCTGCAGCGCATCCAATATAAAAGGTATGTTGGTTCCCATGCTCTTAACCTAAACCACGCAAAGAAATAACGGAAAATAGGTTAAAAAAAAATTGATTGGAAAGAGTGTAATATTCTGAGACCAAGGAAACTGAGTGGTACCCTGTTAAAATTTGCAATTTTCGTGACAGGCACCCATCCTTCATTATCTAATAGAGAAAGTAGAAACCTATCCATCCGCAAATTTTCATCACTACAAAAAAAATGCCATTTTCTTCTATAAAAAGCTGTTTACAGAAAGGATAAACGAAGAATTTCTTGATAATGTAGATGAAAATTAAAAAAACTGAAAAAAAAGCACAGGAACCACGTGTCAACGCAAATCAATGCAAATCATTCTCCTAACCAAAATAACAACCGAACCAGACAAAATTTAGGAGATGGATGTCAAAAGGAAAAGAGTATGAATGATAGCAACAGGATAGCTTGGCCAAAAACCTGAAATAATATTCGATTTGTTTCACAATGCTATTCTTCAGGTTTTGCACTTCTAGTGAAAGATTAGGATAACCACGATATGAAGCACTTGATGGGATATAATTGGGAGGACCCCTTGCAGGTTCTGGGAGTGCAACAGGAACATAGTACACTGGAGCAGGACCTACATGAAACGCACCAACTTAAGTATTAACATAAAAAACTAGAAACTGTATTCACTACAAAAGCAAAAAAATAAATTCCAACAAATACACTTGGTTAAAAAGATACCAAGAAGCTGTGGCCCATTAATATAACCAGGAGCAGGACCAAAGGATGGTTGAGCATGTGCTGTGATTTTCTTTCCCCCGACACTTTCTGGCATAATAATTTTATCTTTGGGATTGAACGCACGTTGATGATGCCAATTCTGGTTAAATTGGTCACCATGCTCCTGTTGTCCTCGATAATTTTGGTTGCCACTGTGGTTGTGCCAGATGTTTGGACCTCCTTGTCCCAGAGCCAAGTGGTTTCCACCAGCATGGATTTCTCCTCTTGGTGGGACTGGTGGGATAAAAGGTTGCACAAGAGTCTCATATCCGGGTCTAACTACGCAATATTCGACATTTTTAAATGGAGGATATGGCTGGTAAAAATAATCATGAAAGGGGAGAGGTGGCCTTGGTACGGGAGGCTGGAAAAAATGGGGCGGAGGATGATAGTATGTCAATGGAGCTTGGAAAGGCGGAAAGGTAGTGAGAGGTGGAACATGCTTAGGGCCAAATTTATGACGATGAGGATGATTCTTGCCGGACGGACTATTGTTTCTGAGTCCATCTGACCTTGGCATCACTCCCGATCCCTGCATACGAATAACATGAAAGCGATGCGCCGTCAAGGTAAAGGAAGTAAGATCCTATAGAAAATCCGACGAATGGAAAGTTGTGATAGCAAATAAATAGTTATTAAGAGGACCACTAATCACGCAGAAAACATAGACACTGAATGCTTCTTTGTGAATATTTCAGCCTACAGATTCCCATATTAAGGCCAGCTTTTCATGGCAGTTTTTGGGTCGCGCAGGTCAGCAGCATGCAACTAGGGGCCACTTCGATAAAGGGGAGGTCAGGCATCAATCTTTAACGCAAACACGAGCAAGAGAAATAAATGGAAAGCAATATCCAAAGGGAGTCGTTCAACCAAACATTAAAAAAAAAACTCAAAAGAGGTTATTGAACAAAATGTACAAGTGTAATTCATCATGTGTGTGGCGCACCTCAACTAGAGTGCTACCTAAAGTGGTCTGTAAATCTTTCAGAAAAACTCGTGTAAATGGATACAGTAGTTATCAAGGATATGGTGAAAGATCGAAATTCCTACGTGAAAGATTTCGCAAGTTGAAAAATCCTTTCGATGACGAAGCCATTCGATCTAAAATAAATTCTCATCCGATGACGAAGAAAGAGGAATGATATGAACCTTCAGAGGAAGAGTAGCAAGCAGTGGAGGCGCATTCACTTGAACGGGATCACCACTCCTCGCGGCCGCCGTTCCCCTCAATACCGGAGGGAAGCACGAGTTTACATGTTGAAGACTCTTTAGCTTACAGTCTTCGAGCGGGGCCCACGGTTTCGTTCCCATGGCCGGGCTCCCCATCTTCCCAGTCTCGGAGACGGCGGCCGGCGTGTCCACCACAAGAGGTGGCGCTGGCTTCCCCCATTCCCACGTTGCCACTTCCTCTTTGTCCTCCTCCATCTCTCGACTATCCTCCCGCGCCACCTTTTCCATCGTTCCGATCTTCGGAGCCTCAATCTCTCCTACCTCCGAGCCGTCGACGCGATCCGAGCACGCCCCAAAACTGGCCGGCGGAACGGAAGCAACCTCCATCGCATACCACAAAAGACGAATGATAGACAGACTACCCCGCTACTCCACATCCACTCCCCTCAACTCCGGCTTCACTCCCGACCATCGAGGGTCACAGCTCAAGATGACAAGTACCTAGGGTTGCTGGGGAAGCTCCTCCATGTCCTTAACCAGAAAACCTCCACAATTCCTCACAGAGGAGGAAAACAAACGGCGGGGTTAGGGTTTACGGGAGAGAACCGAGGGAAACAGACCGCCGTCCTGCGGGTGGTAGCCAGCCACCTGATTCTCGAAGCAGCTGGGAACGGAGTTGACCAAACTGACGGGAAGCGACGAATCGGCGGAGTTGGACGGTGCCGGAGTCGTCGTCGCTACGGTCGCGCTGCTCCGTCGGGGGGCCATGCGATGTGACGGTGCCGAGGGGGAATCGCCGAGGCAGAGGCTGCTGTGGTCCACTGTTGACCCGCCTCCGGGGGCCCACGTGGCATTGTCCGGGGCAGCCCCAAATTAGTAAACTTTTATTACTCTCGGAAAAGGAAAGAGCTCACAAATGCTTGCTCCCAAGGGAAGTGAGATATAGCCTTATTAGTTTAGTACATAGAGAGGTTGGGAAAGAGGGTGGGTGAGAATGGCGTGAGGGTGTTATGATATAATATGAGTCATAAAAAGTCAAGAGAAGAACAAGTGTGCTATAAAGTAAATGATGTTTCGTTCATTTCACTTGGTTTTAGGTTCCATAGGGGAATTATTTCTATTCTCATTTTGTTATAAGTTTTTGACTTTTGTGAGAGAATAATTATGGTATGGTTATCTACATTTATTCCCTAATCTTTTGATATTAAAATGCAATAATATATGCCATTGGTATCTGGTGTGAGATCATATCAAAAAACATTCACAAGATCTAATGCTATAAACTCCAAAGTTTGAAAAATACTTCAGCCTTCAAAATTCTCACCCCAAATTTCAACTCAATTCAGTAATTTTTTTATTGAGCATGGTCATATTATTACAAGTCAATATGATGAGAAATGCCACAGAGAAATTGGAATAAGATAATGGTCTTTGAATTAACATACCGAATCAATATTTATGAAAAATTGAATTACCTTTACTCAATTCTCATATTAGCTTCAGAACTTTAATAGTCCTTTAGATTATTTGTAGAAGATGATGGCATAGAGTCTTTGCATGTAGTTATGCTAATATGCATCTAATTGGGAGAGAGCTCCCCTATACAAATGAGATTGAACAGCACACTAAGAGCCACATTGTGCGACCCCTCTAGTGAAAACAATGTTGAGCATTGATTATGTAGTTAACTAGTCACACATTCTTTTTTTCCTTCTTGATGTCAAGTAAATCATGCATACATATGACATGATTAAGTTGGGCGGAGACAAGTATGACATTCATAGATAGGGATGAGTAGATTGGGTGGCAATATATACATATATATATAAAGTTTTCATTAGGATTCTAATTTATAATGCCAAACAAGATTTCAATTTTTTCAAAATTTTCAATTAGTGTTCAAATCATAGACCCTTTAGAATCCCATGTAGTTCATAAGACAAGGCACATGACCACTGCTAATTCTAAACTAATGGGTAACGGTTACTTTAATACCCTCGTGAAGACCAGGGATTCTAAGCATGTGCAAGTTGGTGAGCTTCAATCTTGAGCACCCCAATATCTCACATATACACCTCTTTGGCTAGATGATAGTGATATGTGCCATATATCAGGTGGAAAATCATGGTACATTTTTTGATTTAAGGCCTTTGAAATTTTATGTTCAAATAAATTTGGTGTGTTCTCTATTAATACTAATATTATTTTTTAAATATATAATCAAATTTAGAAACTAGTTGCTAACACATAATAGTTGGTTTTGCATCTATTCATGCTTAATTATTTCCCATTTTTATTAAATTTTAAGATCAAAACTGACTCATTTATGACTACGATGGTGATGTCACTAATGATGTATTTGTAGAAGCACAATGTGATTGGTGGTCAGAGAAAGTCTTGACAGATGTCACTCTAGTGACGAAGAAATAGTGAGACCTTAATTGGGTCAGTGAGTCCAATTTCCCCATGCCAAGTGGCATATTTTCCTCATGTGCGATTAATTTGAGGGGTAAAGTTGGTTTGTCGTATTTAGATATTTGACAGCTCACTTGGGGTGTTATAACTGCCAATTTGTATTAAAGGATGGAGCACTATAGGGCGAAGAGCTCGCATAGAGATGGAGCCACCCACTAAATATATTTTTAGGATTTTTTATTTATTTAAAGATTTAAAATTTAAAATCTCATCAGATTATAAAGTTTTAATTGTTTGTTTGGAGACTTGATGACAAATGTCACTTTCTCTTAGTTAATACTAAAACACCATTCAAATTTTGTGTGTTGTACGAGAGAGAGAGAGAGAGAGCCACCCATCAAATATATTTTCGTGTTTTTTAATTTTTGAAATTTCATATTTAAGCCTCCTCAAATTCTTGAGTTTGAAATCTCTGCTAGGAGACTTGAGGCCAAATATCATTTTTTTTAGTTAACGCCAAAGCAGGATTCAAAAGTGCGTGTGAGAGAGGGAGATAGATAGATAGGAGGAGAGAGAGAGAGAGATATTTCCAACGGGCATCTGAGTGCATGGGTGCAGAGGAAAGGAGGAGCCCCATTGGAAGCAGCGGGAGAGCTGTTGAGACAAGTGTTGGGTGAACAACTGACTACGGTCCCGAAGCGACCCATGGCCCGCCCTGTACTTAAGCCTGGCCTCGGGTGCTCTTCTTCTCTCCTCACCACCTCCACCCCCCCCCCCCCCTTCGCTCTGTCTCGCCTTCTGTTTAGGTAAACAACCTGTAACTCAGACCTCCTGCAGCTTTCTCCCTTCACCGTCGCGTATATTATTCCGGAGGAGGAGGGGGGCGGGCACCTACCCACCGACGACCGCCTCCGGGTAGAAATCCTCGGCAGAGCCCAGATGGGGAAGTCCTCTCCTCCCACCTCTCCCGCCTCCTCTTCTTCCTCATCTGCTTCTCCTTCTTCCTGCCTATCTGCTCCCCCCTCTGGTTTCGACACCAGCAAGCCCAAGCTCAAACGCTCCAAGGAAGGCGGCCACTTGGAGAGGAGTCTTTGGGGAAATGGCAACGGCCGGAGGAGCTCCATGTACAGAGGAGTCACCAGGTGAGAGAAAACCAGCGTCTCTTCCTCCCGAATATTTCCATTCCTTCTCCCCCCCTCCCCCTGCGAAGTCTGAGATTTGTGATGCATGTAGGCACAGGTGGACGGGGAGGTACGAAGCTCACCTCTGGGACAAGAAGTGTTGGAACCCAATTACCAAGAAGAAGGGGAGACAAGGTGAGATGAGCAGATAGCGATAACCAGATCACCACTCATGCCGGCATTGCGATGGTCTTCTCCCCTAATATGGATACCATGCTCAACGTATCTGCATCTCGATGGATTTTCCTCCCCCGTCTTCCATTTCTTGGCCTGATGACGGTCTGCATCTTGTCGATTCTTGGTGGTGGCATGCAATCAATGACTTCGATCGGTGCGTCGTCTCCTTCCTCGTCATCCTCCTGGGGCTAGTCTACCTGGGTGAGTTGAAGATCCTTCACCCCTTCTGAATCGAGATTCACGACCATCTCCGTTCCCTTCACCGGTGGCCGCCTGACTGTTGCAGGAGCGTACGACGACGAGGAAGCCGCCGCCCGGACCTACGATCTCGCTGCTCTCAAATATTGGGGCCCGGATACCGTATTGAACTTCCCGGTGAGCCCACTTCTCCCTTCTCGTCCTCCATTTTCCCCCCCCAATCTACAAGACGCCGGTTCTGCAAAATGCAGATGAACACATACGCGAAGGAGTTCGAGGAGATGCAGGCGGTGTCCAAGGAGGAGTACCTCGCCTCCCTCCGACGGAGCAGCAGCGGCTTCTCCCGAGGGGTCTCCAAGTACCGTGGCGTTGCCAGGTAGCATTCATCTGCTACCTGTCTCTCTCTCATCATCCTCTTTGCTGTTCACAGGGAGACCCCAAGCTTGTGACAAGAGGGGGGTAAAAAAGAAAGCTTGCCCAATTCGATTCCTTTGGTATTTATTTAATATCTGACGCCGGCGCTATGACTGCAGGCACCACCACAACGGGCGGTGGGAGGCGAGGATCGGCCGCGTGCTCGGGAACAAGTACCTCTACTTGGGCACCTTCGGTGCGATCCGCCCTCCGCCCTTCTCTCCTTCTTCCTCTCTTCCTCCTCTTCAGGCGGGCCTGTGTGGAATTCTCTCCGCCGGAGTAGAGGCGGAAGAGAAGGCCTCTTCCCTGCGACATAACTACTCCTGCATGTGCGGCGCAGGCACGCAGGAGGAGGCGGCGCGGGCGTATGACAGGGCGGCGATAGAATACCGCGGGGTGAATGCGGTTACCAACTTTGACATCAGCTGTTACCTGAACGACGGCCGACAGCCGCTGCATCAGGAGCAGCAGAGAGAACTCCAGCTCCATCTGTCGGAGGAGCCTCTCGCCGGAAATGTCTCCGGCGATGGCGGTGCCTTTCCTGAGAGATACCAGGAGGAGCCTCCCCAGCTGGTCGACGTCGGCCTTCCGGCCGTCGGCGACCCCGCCGGGGACCACCCATGGGGCCTCCCTCTCGAACCCATCTTCGAGCCGTACCCTTCCGCCGTCTCCCCCTTCGGCGAGTACGGCGACTTGGAAGGGCTCTCCGGCACCACCGCCTTCGAAGACAACATCGAGTGCTTCTTCGAGGAGCTTGAGGCCCAGGGCAAGAAGGAAGGCGGCGGCGGTGGTGGCGACGCCGCCGGCGACAACGGCGGCGGAGGCTACTCCGGCGACTCCTCCTCCTCCTCCTCCTCCATCAGCTCGAGCTCCTACGCTTTGCCGCTCAGCATCTGCTCCTGATCGAGCTTGATCAGATGAAAGGGACCAGAGGCGCGATCTTGCCGGCTCTGAAAGAGGAGAACCTGCCCCACCTGTACGGTTTCTAAAATGCAGAATAAACATATTTATATATATATTTTCGCAAGTTGGGCATTTTTCGAAGGCACGTCAAGTGGGCCTTAATAGGCCAGATATTCCAGCCCTCTTAAGAAACTCCATCTAGTGGTTCCTCTTGTGGCCCATATCGAGTTAAAGTGGGCCGTAGATACCGGTGCCCTCTCTTTCCCCGACATCAATACTTGTTGGTGCCACCTCCTACCTGGTTCTTTTTGCCCCCTGGAAAGCGGGGTGCAAGAGGGTGCAAGAGGGTGCAAGAGGAAGGGCGACATGGGCTCGAGGTTCTTGATTGGCTTCTTCGCTGTCGTCTCCCTGGCCGCGCGGAGATCGTCAATGGCTTCCTCTCTCGAGGAACCTCTGGTGGCCACAACCTCGGCCCTCTTTATTCTGGGCGACTCCTCCGTCAGCTGCGGCGATGGTACATTCTTCCCTCTGCCGCCTGGCAACTCCTCCCGGCTTCTCTGCGACGACAGCGGCGGGCCGCGCCACCGTCTTCTTCCTGATCTTATCGGTGAGTTCAGCAGTTCTGACGACCTTTTTCTTTAGTTTCTTGATCGGGGAGTCTATCCCCTTCTCTTTCTTCGATCCCAAAGCTCCAATGATAATCCAAACCCTTTCCGGCGCAGCGGAAAGGATGGGGCTGCCCCCCGTCCCGTCGTTCTATCGGGCGAAGGGGACAGCGGATGGCCTGAGGAATGGGCTCAACTTCGGTACAGTGCCGGCCACGATCCTGAGCGGGGGATACACGTCCTTGTTCAGGGTTCAGGGGCTCTCTCAGCAGATCCGGCAACTTTACGACATCCTGCAGCTTCTGCAACTACAGATACGCGCCGACGTATTCCGCGAGATCGTCTCCTCCGCCGTTTTCTATCTGTCCTTCGGCCGGGACGACTTCATCGATCTGTTCTTCCTCGACTCCTCAGGATTGATGCCCAAGTACGGACGGCGGGGTTTTCCGCGGCTTCTCGTCCCTCAAATGATGCAGGCCATCGAGGTAATCATCTCCCCCAGGGTCCACCACCCAGCACACGTACCTCTGGTCGGCGACTGTGATTTCTGATTAGGGTTTCCGGGATGAAATGCTTCAGGATCTGTATAACGCAGGCGCGAGGAACATCGTGGTGGCGGGAGTCGGCTCTCTGGGCTGCACTCCTCGTGTGATGTGGGAGGCACTCGCCGGCGGCGGGCTGGACGCGCAAGGCTGCGTGCGCGAAGTCAACGAGTTGTCTCTCGACTACAACGCTGGCCTCTTGGCGGCTCTCTCCGATCTCAATTCCCGCCTCCCCGGCGCGAGGATTGTCTTCTGCGACGTCTACGCTGGGATGCTGGAAATCATCTCCAACCCGGCCACCTACGGTATGGGCTAACATAACTATCTCTCTCTCTCTCTCTCTCTCTCTCTCTCTAGACTGGTAGAGTGACTCCTGTACGCTGTCCATGGTCCATGGGGGAGAAGGATTTGCCGACGAGAAGAGGGCATGCTGCGGCTTGGGCTGGTACGGGGGGATGGTGGGATGCTTGGCGGCGGAGATGGCGTGCGAGGAACCATCGAGGAGGGTGTGGTGGGATCTCTACAACCCGACGGCCACCGTGAACGAGCTTCTGGCCAACTGGTCGTGGACCGGGGGCCCGCCGTCGATCTGCAGTCCCGGGACCTTGGGCGAGCTCGTTTCGTCCTCCTCGCTGGTTGACTAGGGTCACCTCTTGTTCATCTCGGTCAGAGGGAAGGTCTGTGCGGTAGATACACCGTGCGATTTACTAATCACGACGTGTTGATGACCTTGTAAAAGCCGCGCGTCTATTGAATACGACAAGAGACAAACCCCCCTCTCTCTCTCCCCCCTTTCGCTCTCTCATTAGTTACTATCACTTCGAACCCTTCAGACGGCGGAAGAGACGGCGTGGATTTTATTGGCGGCAGGAAAGAAATTCACACCACGTTAAGGTGAAATAATTCAGAAGCGAGCGAACCAGCGAGCGAGAGAGAGAGAGAGAGAGATGTTGGGCACATGACGCTCTAAGCGAGTACGTGGCCCAGTATTCAGCTCATATGGCGGCTGTGCAGAAGAAGAAGATGAACCGCATTAATGCGGAGAGAGAAGACGGGGTCCATGGGAGAACCGGGCACTGGACAGACCGATTCTCACGGATTTTCACGGGCCCAGTTGCGTGTATCGCGGGACCGGGTCACTGGAAGAGTAGGAAATGTCTGGACAGTTCCCGAGGTGCTCGAGGTGACTGGACAGACCGATTCTCACGGATTTTCACGGGTGTATGGCGGGACCGGGTCACTGGAAGAGGAGGAAATGTCTGGACAATTCTCCTGTTTACAGCGTTCTTTCTTAATGATATTACATCAGATAAATATAACGTTGAAGTGGAACTTTCATCGTCGCCCGTAGACGTAGGAGGCTAATCTCCTAACCACGTAAAATCATTGTGTCTCTTGGTCGTGAGTTGTTCATTTCCGCAAGTACATACTGGATATTTTACTCTAACAAGATAGAGAGAGAAGTCCCATTTCACGTTCACTCTTTCTCCCTCATAGGTTTACACAATCTATACGAAGGGAAACATAATTCGCACGTGTCTATCTTAAAAATCATGTTAAGCAAGGAAATAAAAGCAAAAATAAACGTATTTCTTTTCTAACTCCGTCAAAGGCAAGGTCTTTATGGTAAAGAAACGAAAATCGAGGATCAAAATTTACCGGAAATTATGGGGAGCAGAGCCTTTAAATTATGGGGAAGCCTAAACTCATCCCATCTGGTGGCACGTTGAGGGAGAAACATGGTTTTTTTTGTACACAAATCCATTTAAACAAGGTCAATTATCAATAAGCCCCTTTTTGTTACTTTTTTAGACTTAAGTAGCTCCCTGCAAGCCGCCATGAATTCGTCTACAGTCGCTGAGCTTGGTCCATGTCGGTAGTCCCGTCTCCTTCCACCCCTTTCAGGCCGGCGTCGCCCGGCCCAGGAGCTCGTCTCCATGGCGTGCAATACTGTTGCTTATCGATTTTAGACGGCGTACGGTAAATAGTAGCAGGGTATCTAAGAATAGTCAGCGTAACCACGGGGGTTAAAAAGTTGGTCAATGGGGCTCACTTAGACTTATGGGGGTCGGCACAAAAAAGGACGACGTCATTCATACGTCTCCTAGACTGTAGGGAACCACAGACAGAAGAAGACTGCACATTTTTTATTTACTTTCTGAACATTCGGGAAGAAAAAAATTCTGTCTCCTATCTAATCAAGGGTCAGACATTTACTACCTTGTTCACACGACACGAGCAAGAACACCGATCCCGATTGGTATCCTTTTTATTGGAGACAGAACGCGTGTAAAGACGTCATCGGCGTCATCGGAGCTCCAGGATCTGCTGGGAGCGATCCCATGGCGATTGAGGAAGATGATCAAAGAGCAAAGCCCTTCATTCCGCCGGGCGATGGCGTGGAGGGAGAAAGTTCCCCACATTCGGCGTTTCCGTCATCAGCCAGGCCTTTATGGGCCACATCGGCTCCACCGAGCTCGCGGCCTACGCCCTCGTCTTCACCGTCGTCGTCCGCTTCTCCAACGGTATCCTGGTGATTCCCCTCTCCGGCCAAATCTTCCTTCTCCCCGCCTATGAAACGACGGCGTTCCTCGTCACGTTGAGGAATTCGAGAGAACTACGCCGGCAACGTCGTCGTCGTCGTCCTTCCGACCATTTTCATGGGTTAAAGGTGGGCCACTTCTCTTTTCCGCAGCTGGAAATGTTTAGCGCGCTGGAAACGCTCTGCGGGCAGTTTTTCGGCGCGGGGCAGAATCACATGCTGGGCATCTATCTGCAGAGGTCATGGCTGGTACTGATGCCGTTTACGGCGGCGCTTCTCCCGCTCTTCCTCTTCACAACGCCCGTCCTGCGGCTGCTGGGCCAAGACGAGCCCGTGTCTCTCATGGCGGGGAAGATCTCGGTCTGGTGCATACCGGCGATCTTCTCCTACCCTTTTCCTGCACTGTCCAGATGTACCTCCAGGCCCAGAGCAGAAACCAGGTCATCACGTACTACACCGCGCTGTCCCTCACCGTACACGTCCTCCTCTCGTGGTTCCTGACGGCGAAGCTCGGCATGGGGGTCGCCGGCGTGATGGGCTCGACGATCATCGCCCTCTGGATTCCCGTCGTCGGCCAGCTGGTGTTCGTGGTGTGCGGAGGGTGCCCTGAAACATGGAACGGACTCTCATGCGAAGCCTTCAAGGACCTGTGGGGCGTCGTCAAGCTCTCCTTCTCATCCGGTATCATGCTGTGGTAACAGCTCTCATCTCTTTCTTGCTCTCTCTCTCTCTCTCTCTCTCTCTCTCTCTCCATATTTCTTGCTTTCAAAGTGCAATCTCAGCACAAGCCACCGATAACGAGATTAGTTTTCCACAGTTTGGAGCTCTGGTACAACACCATCTTGGTCTTGTTAACGGGCCACATGGATGACGCCGAGATCTCCATCTACGCCCTCTCCATCTGGTATGCCCCTCATCGTGATAGAGGAATAAATTGACCGAATTTAATATTTATTTCTTATTTATTTCTCTTTTTATCTCTATATTTAATTCCCGTGAGATCGATGCCGTGTTCATTCGTCAGAAGTACATGCGCTGCTGTTCCCAATCGGGACAATTCAGAACCACGGAGAGCCGAAATCTGTCTTCAAACGATACACTTTCTTAAATCTCGTGCTCATTTTCTACCGTCTTTATTTTTTACTCGAATAATTCTTATTATAAGCCTATTTCGAGGACTATTTTTCCCATGTTCATGAGTCCGATCTTATCGTATATATGATTTTTTATAGATTATCATGATGCCGACTCAGAAAATTCACCATTTGATGTCCTTTTCGTTCATTTGATCCACAACCTTGGTTTTTAATGCATTGAATAAGAAAACTTTAATGCATAAATCCGTACCCCTGTTACTGTTATTGAAAATCATGACCGTCTTTCTTTACCAACCTCATCTATCCTGCATAAATCTTCCAAGTTCACCTAAATAAAATCACGAACTTTGTCGTGATGATATATCACCCGTCCATAATAAATTAATCCTAAAAGCAAGTTCATATAGTAAGCCAAATTTCTTTATGGCCCGGCAAAAGCACTTGTTAAGATGTTCAATAAAGGCTCTTCTTCCAGCATCAACATAAACGGCTGGGAGATGATGATAGCCTTGGGGTTCCTCGCAGCAATGGGGTATCTTCTCCTCCACAACGATGAATCAGTATTCCCTGAATCCGCTTGATTACCCGCCTCACCGAACCGTCTCCGTCCTCCCTCTCGCAGTGTACGAGTGGCCAACGAGTTAGGAGCTGGGAGCGCCGACAAGGCCAAGTTCTCCATCCTCATCTGCGTCGCGACCCCATCCTCCATTGGATTCACCCTCTTCGTGATATTCCTCTTCCTCTGCGGCCGCATCTCCTACATTTTCTCAACCAGCTCCCTCGTCGCCGGGGCCGTCGCCAACCTGTCTGCTCTCCTGGCCTTCTCCATTCTCCTGAACAGCGTCCAGCCGGTTCTCTCCGGTGATCTCCGAGACCTTCTCACCAGCGTCTTAAAGACGAGCGTGTTCAGCTCACTGCTCGTCCTGTACCCGTTGCAGGAGTTGCCATTGGTGCAGGATGGCAGAGCACGGTCGCCTACGTCAACATCGCCTGCTATTATCTCGTTGGGATCCCTCTCGGAGTCGTTCTCGCTTACGTGATTGGTTTAGGCGTCAAGGTTTGACCGTCTCCGCATCCACTGACCTAGATTTCTGACCTTTTACAGGCTGCTCTGACTTGTTGACCACAGGGTGTCTGGTTAGGAATGATACTCGGAATAGCTGTTCAAACTCTCGTTCTCACGTACATTACCTGTAGAACAGAGTGGGATCACCAGGTAATCTCAAAAATTGGAAAATATTTATTTTTCCCTGAGATTTTCAATGGGTCAGTGCAGCCTGCAATGCAGCGCCATTAATTTTCTCAAATTAAGGGCTTTTTTTTTTCTAGAATTATCTCTGGACCTCGGATGAATCCCGTCTCCCGTTTATGTTGATGCTTGTGCGTTCTTTAATCCTGGCAGGTCTTTGCTGCTCGATCGCGGTTAAAGAGGTGGTTAGTGTCGAAACCAGACAATGAAGATCCACCAAATGAGGAGGCCTGAAATTACTTACCCTTAAAAAAAAAAAAGAGTACTTGTAAGTCTGAAGATTCCCCAGTGAAACTATCACGTAAATCTTCAGTTCGAAGGAAACAATCGTTGGAAATGTTGTGGTGTTTTCTCGACAGATTGATAGACAGACAGAAAATCTAGTGAAGTATTTATGTTTTTAATTCTAGTTAATTCGAATATATCCAGTGGGTAGTCGCTATTTCGTTAAAACTAAGCCTTTTTGGCTTCACCATTCCACTCATATGCCCCCGTCCCCCCCTCCTCTCCACCCTCCTCCCTCTCTCTCTCTCTCTCTCTCTCTCTCGCTCTTGGTAGGGAAGCAGCCAGAGAGAGAGAGAGAGAGCGAGCGACAAGAGAGCACTATTCTTCTATTAGAGTTCCTTACAGCAGCGTTGGACATAATGCATATGATCTAAAGGGTAATTTAGTATTTTTTGATGAAATATTAAACAGTAGCAGAATTAGTTACAGGAGTGAGTAAGAAGGTAAGGGCCTAAGGTTCAAGAGAATGTTCATACGGGGCTTATCCATAGGAAGGCCTAAGACCAAATAAGCCTTAAATTTTAATACAACCAATTCATTCATTAACCTAAGCTGCTTCGTCGCGCTGCCGATCGCGACCTTTCCGATCCCGTGTCTATGAAGCTGGACGGAAGGCTGTTTTCGTGCAGTTGTTCGCTCCCATCTCTCTCTCTCTCTCTCGCGCGCACACACACACACACACACACAACGCACGCACGTACGCACGCACGCACGTATCTATGGTCGGGCTTAAAGTCGATGTGGGCCGAAACCCTTACCGGAAGATGGAGTTTTTGGCTTCTTCGCCGCCGTCTCCATGGCCGCTCGGAGATCGTCAGTGGCTTGTTCTCTCGAGGAGACTCCGATGGCCGCAGCCTCAGCCCTCTTTATTCTGGGTTACTGATACGTACCTCGGGTCGAGTGAAATAAGACACGGGGAAGTTGGCTAAGGGTTGACTGCGAACAGTCTGTTTGACTAGAGCTCAAGCTCGGTTACAACCGGACAGGGTCACACCACACAGAGTGAGAGAGTAAGAGAGTGAGACAGGGGGAACAAAAGAGGAAGAGTCCCGATGGGGCTCTTCTAGATCAGGGGGAAGGGGGAAGGCTAGTTCGAGTTAGCCGATCTTCAGGCTCCGCAGAGACTCCACCAAAAAGACCTCTTCCCCCTTCTACTCGTGGTTCTGATCTTATAGATTGGTTGTGTCGACCGTTTGGTCGACACTTCTGCCGAATCCGTTGAGTCCCTCTGGGAGACCCGACGGCCCGATATCCAATCTTAACGGCCTGACCGTTTCAGAACCTTGCCGTCATGGTCCAACGGTGTTGGACCGCCCGCGTCGTTTTCTGCTACTGGGCTGTTCTCAGTCTGTTGTCCTGGGCCTCTGGATCTTTACTTTGAGCAGAACCTCACCGGCCGGGTCTCTGTCCACTTGGCAATGGATTTGTGGCCAGAGCCTCAATAGTTACTCCGTTAGCGGCGGCAATGACATGATCTTCTCTCTGCCGCTCGGCAATTCCTCCCGGCCTCTGTGCAATGACGGCGGCGGCCGCGCCACCGTCTTCTTCCTGATCTCATCGGTGAGTTCACCAGTTCCGACGACCTTCTTTTTCTTTAGTTTCTTGATTGGGGAGTCTTTTCCCTTCTCTTTTTTTGATTCCAAAGCTTGATGATAATCAAAACCCTTTCCTGTGCAGCAGAAAGGATGGGGCGAGGGGGACAGCAAATGGCCTGAGGAATGACCTCAATTCGGTACAATGCCAGTCATGATCTTCGCAGTCGTTACACATCCTCATTCCAAGTTCAAAGGCTCACCTAGCAGATCTGGCAGCTCTACGACATCTTGCAGCTCCTATAACTACAGATGGGACAACTTCATTGATCTAGTCTTCCAAAATGTGTTATATATTAGAATTAATCTCAATGTGAATAATTATATATATATATAATATTATGGGGTTATCATTGAATTAATTCTACTTAAATTAATTTATTAAAAATTTAAATATTTGAGATTACGACCTCTCTCGTAAGTACAAGTATAGATATAAATGTGTAGAGACCAAGTATTATTCTAATTTTATGATGGACTAACTTAGAAAAAGATATAAAGAGACTAACCACCTCTTGTCTATAAAGACACTAAGAAATTATCTTGTGCTGATCTAAAAGGTCATCATCGTATTTACACGTTTATGTTTTTAATTTATTCTCATTATATCTTATCATTCTCCATTTATCTCAATATTAAATCCTTCAGATTCAACAAGTGGTATCAGAGTCAAATGTGTTGAGTTTTTAGAAAATGACATATTATTCATTATTTTTTGTTCATCTTGGTATCATTTTTTATGCCTTGTCTTGAGAATGGATTAAGACGTCCACTATGGAAATTGTAAGGTTTAACCTTACCATGGACGTACTAATGGGCCATAGGGCTGTGTACATGGGTCTATCAACTCTTCTTCTTCCATGCAGAGGAGTAGTGGTTTTTGCACACCTCTCTTCCTCTCTTTCTTGAAGGAAGATTTTCATTTGGAAATCAAGGGCTGCAGGAGGGGCCTGCTATTACTCTTTCCCCTTTATGTCATCAGATGGAAGGCTGGAGAGCATTGGACGGTCCTTCTAGATGTTTGGATGTTGGAGGGCCCCAGAAGGCAAAGAAGAGGTGTAGGCCAATGTCAGAGGTTTCCAAAAGGTTTTGCCGGTGGCAGAGGGTTGTGGCGGCTTCCGCACACCCTTAACCCTTTTGGTTCTTCCTCTTCCTCTTATTAAAAGATGGGTGTAGCCCTTTTGATTTAGTATTTGTTTAATAAATCACCTAAATTTAAAATTTATAAAACTAAAAAATACTACTTTTTAGATATTTAAAAGTATTTCTAAGTAAATATATCAATTATAATTTAATAAAAGTTTCAAAAATAGTAATTTTTTTCTAGATCAAACATAAGAATGTAATATAATATCAGGTAATATTTCAGAATTTTTCTCTAAGAATATAATTTTTTATGAATTTTAGACTAAGAAATAAGAATGAAATATATTTAAAATTCACGAAAAAGAGAAATAAAGGTACAAATGTTAGGATGACATCAGCACCCTGATGAATGCGACTTAGGTAGAAATAGAGTTTTGTTCGGTGATTCTTAGGTAGAAATGATTTAATTAGTCAAATTAAGATATATAAAAGCGAAAATAATTGTAATTGAATACAGAATAATTTAGAAAATCTGAATCACACAAATTATCACAAAATAAAATGAAATTAAGTTGAAAGTAGGAAAGGTAGAGTTTTGGCCTCGTAACAGTGATCGTCAAAATTCTGTGTGTTCGAGAAGGTCATCAAATGATGTCCACAACCTCAAAGGTTCTCCTTAGACATGGACGATTAGAAGATTCACTAGATCTTCTTTTGAAGTCTAAAAAATGATGGTAGAAGTTAAACTAATTAAAAAATATTAAAACATAGTTTTGACATCGCGGCAGCGATGTCTTGATGATGCACCAAAATCTTGAGTGTTTGCGAGGATTGTCTTGTAGTGTCCACAACCTTGAAGACTCTTTTTAGACAAGACGATGTGAATAATCTCTAGATCTTCTTACAAAGTTTAGAAATCAATGAAATGAGTTGTCAATTCATCTCAAATGGCTGTCACCCGACAGAGTGAAAAAATGGTGACTCTACAGTTCTTTGATAGGTGTCACCCAATGAAGAAGAGTTGGAAGTAGGTTGGGTGTGTGTTAAGGAGTTTCATCTTCATGTTCGCGTAGTAAGAGAAGGCTCTTCATCACATCTAGTATGTTTTCAAGAGGTGACGACTCATCTCTCAATGAATCGTCCTCTTTTTGATGGTGACTTGTTTGTCAATCAATTGTAGATGATTTACTCAATAAATTCGTAATTTTTTATCACAAATTATTTAATAATTTTAGTAAGGATGCTCTGTGAATCTTGTTATGAGATTTTTACCGATAATTAATCCTTTGCTAGCAACATGTAGGAAAGTCACAATTTAATCATATAAAAAGAAATGAGTTTTAACTTTAGAAGGATTTAAACCCACGTCGGTCGCTTGCCATATGAGAGAGAGTGAATAAGTACTCAAATACCCTTATACATTGATGTCATCATGGTATATTGTTGTTATAAATAAGGGGTAATTTAGGTATTAAAATTGTTGAAAACAATCATGTAAGGTGTGACTGCCGATTTAGTCCCACATTAGTTATATGCCGAATGTTGAGACGAATATACAATAATACCATATTTAGAGGCAATGAGTCTATTTTTTGTATGTGTACGACCACTCCTTACCTCACGTTTGGCTGGCCACTAATGACGTGGAGGAGGAATGATGCATATGCGCCCCCATCAGTCCATAGTCACTCAAGCCCTTGCTTGCGACTTTGCCACAACTTTGCTTTTGACCTGCTTGTGGGCTTGGTTGGCCGACAAGTCCTCCCTTTTTCTATTTTTTATTTTATTTTATTTTTCTTCATTTATCTCAAAAATAGGATTATAAAAGTTATATAAATTCATATAAAATCACATAATTAGTCAAAAATCACATTAACCAATTGAAAACCACTTTTTATAATTTAACACAAATATAAGTTTATTTATTATGAGTTAAGGCTAAAAATATATTATTTATTAATTATTAACTCATGATAATGATACTTATCAAGGTGCGATCGCTATAGCTTTGTTTTTCGAATGGGAGGCCATTAAGGGTCAACTGTTCTAAGCCCTAGGGCATCAAAATGACCCAGTATTCTGCTTCCTCTTTGGACTGAATCCTTTGTGTGATGGTTCATGTGTCGGTCCACCATGTGAAATGGCCACACCATTTTTGGTGTGTGCTAGATGGGAGAGGAAACATCATGCAATAGTTTGTATACGATGCAAGCCGATTTCTAGGTGCACGACTCAGCTTGTGCCAATTCGGGTGATCAGCTCAACACGAGT